CCTGTCCCCTGACAAGGGTGAGAAATTTCCGCAACATTTTGGTCAAAAGACCCATCATTTTTCTTTCCTTTGCTTGCTTCTTATGACACTTTAACTTCCTACAACAAGGCTTCCTCAGTTCTTTTTACAACATGACAAGCCAACGAGCGCTCCGTTCCCAGACAGCGAATGCCATGAATGGCAATATTACTACTAGAAGCGGTAACAAACCTGCCAGCACCAGCTCTAGGGCTGGCACCGTCAGCGGCATTGGGCGCGGAGGTGCTTCAGGGGCAGGCAGGGGCCGCGGAGGAGGGGCATCCAGAGCTGGAAGTGTTGGGCCCATGGCTGCTGTGGCAGGAAGGGGTACGGGCCAGAAAGTGAAGGTCAGCAGTGATATTTCCACAGAAGACATGGCTCTCTTTTGTAGAGTTAAAAAGCAACTTGACGCCCAGAAAAAATCAGCCAAAGACGCTGAGGATGCAGGTATGTTATTTGCTGATTGATTTCCACATGACTTGCCAACCCCTTCACTCTACGTAGCTATTTCAAAGAAGAACAGGCTTCTTATGGATGCTGAAACTCTGCCCAATGGAGCTCAGGTTGCTGGCGCAACAAGGAAACGGCGCCGTATGGTGCTAGATGACAATGAACTGGATATTGCTGATGATTTGGAGCCTATCACCACCTCTCTTAACCCTCCTGTAGAGGAACCAGAGACTGCTCCTCAAGAACCTGAGGAGGAAGACGAGGAAGACAAGCCGGAAGAACGTTCCACTAGGAATGAAGATGATGACGATGTTGAAATGGTCGGAGACGACGAGTTTAACGACGAGTTCAACGAGTTCAACAACGGCGATCGTGATGCCTATGAGAACACCTTCAAAGACAATGGGGTTCGCTTTTGATGACAAACTTTACTTGTGCGCTAACGCTAATTCTCCTTTAGTTTCAATCTATTCCCAAGAGCACTACCTCAACTTCTTCTGTTGCGACCTATTCGAGGGATTCCACGCCCTCGATAACTATGGCTATCACTGGCAAGGCTGGAAGACGCACTGGAAAGATTACCGAGTCTGATTTTCCTGACCTCATTCTGCCGCTTCATTGCACTTAAAAGCCGAATCCGTTATTTAGCGGCTTTCACCAAAGCCTTTCCTCCTACTGCACTGTCTGAGCGGGTGGACTATGCTTGGAAGGCTGTCAAGGAGGCTGTTAACCTTGATGGAAACCTTCAAGACGCATACGGCTTCATCGTCCGGGATCCCCAGATGAAGAAAAACATTATTTCCTTTGTAAGCTCTTCATAGTCATGCAAACATTTATTGACGACATTGTTATGCAGGGCTTATATGCAAGATCTGGGATCACTAGCCCCATAGTTTCTACTGTTCGCACGAAGATGGCTGATTTCTATCGTCTAGGAGGTGGCAATGAAAAGATAGAGGAAGATGTCGCATGGTTGCTAAAATCAAAGGCATTCATGTATGGCGGAGTCAACGTCGCAGTGAGCTTTTCATTAAATACATAGTTTCTGCTGTTTGACCATCTTTTAGGAAAGAGAATATGACGACATGAAGCCATTTGGCTCAGAATTCATGATGGAGATGATTGAAATGCACTGGTTTCATGGGGGCCGTTCAAATGCAAATGAAGAGGCAACTGCTCGTATGATGGAAGAAAAAAGTATTCCTCCAGCTGTAATGTTTATTGTGCTAGTGGCGGTAAGTTCTTTTCCAATGACACAAACATTTTACTTATGATTGCTGTAGATGGAGCACGTCCTGAAGGATTGGAGTAAAGGCGACGTAAAGGCAAAGAGTCCCTTCTACGAGATACTCTCTCAGGCAAGGTATTGATTTATTTATTTCTCCTACTACTGGCAACATCTGACCTGTCTTCTAGCTTCGCTCGCCATCTTGAGAATTGGGATAAAATCGAACAGGAGGCACCCTACTGGCCGCGTTGGTGGAGTCGCCAAATCTTCTCTTTAATTGTGTACATGTACATTCAACTTAAAGCTCTGTTCTGCTGACTGACTGGTTGTGTCAGACAAAAACCTGAGGATAGAACTCAAGAGATGACAGAGAAGGATTTAGAGAAGGTCAACTTCCAGGCCTTGAATCGCCTGGCAGGAGGGCCTGGCTCTGCTCCTGCTGCCCCTACTGCCCCTACTGCCCCTACTGCCCCTGCTGCCCCTACTGCCCTTGCTGCCCCCACTGCCTAGAAGTATCCATTGCTTTCATTATCGTCTACAGTATCTTTTGCAAAGGAATACGAATACACTACATCTTTCAGAATACACTACGTGTTGCAACATCTTTCAGACATTCTGAGGCATTTTGAATCCACTCTTGGAGAGACATAAGCAACATCCTAGCGGTGTAAAGTGCTTTCAAGATTGATCCAAGGATCTTTGGGTCATCTTCAGAATCATCAGTATAAAGTCTAGAAGCATCTGGAGCAACTCAGAGTAGCAGTATATTAAGTCTGGAGCAGCTTGAAGAGCTCTAGAGACATCGCAAGCATGCGGAGTAGCTTTTAAGGCTCCCTGGCATCTCTGCATCTCTGGATCCTCCAAGGAACCCGAGGGAGCTCTGGAGCTCCCTCGGAGACAAAGTCGTTTTCCTGATGCATACCAGTTGTGGGTCGCAGACTTGAGCATATTATAAGTGTTACAATGTGTGCATACAAAGCTGTTTGCTGCGGCCTCGTCACTGGGCTTGACAGGAGTGCACCCACTCGAACCAGCCTCAGGCGCCTTTCCTTTGCCCACCATGTCACCAATGGCAGGCACAGCCACCATAGGCACCATGGTGGCAACTGAGACTCCAGCCGCTGCAGCGCCAGCAGGAGCAGTATTGGCCCAAGGAGACCCTGATAATAGGTGTTGAGTAGGACATTAAATGCATGGCACCAAGCACGTACTTATATTCCTGCTAAACGTTGGGATACCAGTGCCAGCCCCAGTGGCAGCGGTAGGGGTGGGGGCAGTGTATGCGTTGCTGCTGGAGACGGGGGCTGAGGGGGGGTAATCAGAGAACAGACACCGTATGCTTGCAAAGAGAAAGACTAACCTCCACTTGGTGAGACAACGTTGATGCCAAGGGCCTGGAGTTGGGCAATCATGCGAGCGACATCCACACTGGGAGCGCTGGGAGCAGCAGGCGTGCCGGCGCTGGCAGGAGGACCAACAGGGGTGGAGGCGATGGCGGCGGACTGAACCCCCTCACCTGTGACAGCGATAGAATTGGTGGGCGACTTCAGAGAGGAGAGAGATGAGGCAGAGAACTCACGGTTCATCTGCTCTGTGGGGGAAACAACAGTCACGCCGAGGAGCTCCAGGGCTTCAATGAGCTTCGTCAGCATGAGCTCAGCACTGAGGGTGGGCTTTTGTGAGGTCATGAGGAGGAGTGCGTAGAGGACAAAAGCTTGGCGAGCTTCTGAGGCATTGGAGGGAATTCGTCACCTTTTAAACAAGCTGGTGGTCTGTTGGGAGGCGCCTCGAGGAACCCGAAAAGTCGTACGAGAGATGTGCAAGGCAATCCAGACCCTGGACAACTGACGTTGGGTCACAGGGAGAAGGTCACGGGATGTTCATTTGGGACAACGTGTTTCTGTAAATCGCGCTGCTAATCCTGTCATGTGCTTGTGAATCATGCGAAGAATGTAGCCCATACCTGTCTGTTGGGGTCTCTTGGGGCAGCATGCAGTTCAGCGACCACGGAGCTTGCTAAGCACCAGCACTTCGATGACGAGAGGTCAGCACAGCACCAGTGGAATAAGGTTTGCAACTGTACAGTTTACCGGGAGCACCCGAGGGTTCGGACACTGCACCGAAGTGGGTGGTCCGCAAAAGGGAAAGTCCAAATTCGCAAACAAGGTACACGCACTGCTTACGACGTTGAGCTAGAGTTTATTCACCGAGACCTCATAGATGCCGGCAATCAGTTGGGCGACTGGCCCACAATTGGCATTTCTTACTAGCCGCCTCGACGCCTTCATGAAGGCTCAAGACACCAAAACACTGCCCAGATTTCGGTCTGACATTGAACGTGATTTCTTTGCCCAGTGGCCGACCCCTGAGGCGGAGCAACAGAGTGCTGAACAACAGGTCAACACCAACCCTAAGAACAAGAAGAAAAAGAAAAAGAAGACTGCCAGTGTTACTATGGAGCTGCCAGTTGTCTTGGACCTTGCAGTCTGGATGGCAAAGTGCAAAGAAGTACGTAGTGATGAGTCCCTTTTACGACCACTGAGAACTGAATGCGTAATTTAGACAATCTATAATTGGTTCAATAACCACCAGCTGAGCAAGGGTCGGCGCACCGGCAAAGTCGGCAAGAATGTCCAGCTCACCTTACAGCCTTCAGGGTCACGCATTCCTTCCGAATCCCAAATTTATTCCAAGTTATACTATGAAACGCGCATGAAGCCTCAAGTGGAGTTGGAACTTCAACGCCTGAAGCCAGAAGACGAGACCAAGGGTGATGATGGCATCGAAGGGGACAAGCATATCACCATCATCAATAGAGTCACAGCCGAGGTTTACAAGAAGGAGACAGAAGAAATCAAAACGCAAGTCCATGCTGAGAGAGAGGCCCGCATTAAGGCAAAAGAAACAATGACGGACGCCATGAAGACCGTGCTTGACCCGGCCACGCAAACAACACCAGCGGGCCTTATGTTGTGAGTGACCAGTGCTTATTATATGCCTGAAGTGACACACTAATTCTGGGAAAGAGCACAAGCGGCACTTCCTGACATGATTCAGGATTTTGTCAACACTTTGACTGAACGCACATGTTGGTCATTTATGGTTCTTGCTGGCGGACCTTGTGCAGTGAGAGATGGGGTCATATGGACGATCGCGGTCCACAGCAGCATGAATGCTCATGGTTGCCATTTTGGCCAGTCCCATGCCAAGTTCAAGGACAATATATTAGCGCCGTTCTCAAAGTTTTTGCATGGAGTTTACCGTAAGTCGAGAAACACCCTTCAACGACGTCTAATCTGAGGCAATCAACACAGCTGCTGGTGTTTGTGAAACCTTTCGCTCCACTTCATCAGAAGACCCAAACACCGTGAGCCTGGCTTCAGCAACACAAGATCTTGTCACACCGACTTCGGCATCCAGTACGCACCAGGAGGCTCCAGTCACTCCTGCACCCGCCGCCCTGATAGTCGTGACAGTCACAGCAAGTGCGGCCTCCTGCATGGCGCAGGCACCTCCTCCTCCTGTCATGCCCAACCCACTCGCATCGAGTCCATCCTCCAAACCCTGTCCTGTAACCACCCCAGTCATGCCTGCCGCGGCCCCTATCCCAGAGATGAAAATGCCGGTCATGCCCACCACAGCCCCCATGGTCGTCACCCCAGACACGACCACCGCAGCCTCCATGGCGGTCCAGATGCCTCCTCCCAGAGCGTGTGGTGCCATTGCGTCAAGCCTAACCTCTCTTGAGGGAGTTGCCCCTGCCCCTACCACATCGCTTGCAACAAATCCTGGTATACCGATGGGCAACCTCCATGTGCACGCCCCTGCTGCGATGCCTGGCAGTACGCTGCGAGTAGCCGCAGCATCGGTGGGAGGGGCTGGTGCATTTGTGGATGTAGCTGGTGCATTCCTTGCTGGCGGTGGGTCTGGTGGCACAGGATATGCCCATGGAGGGGGGTTTGGAAATGGATGCAGCAACAACAGCGGATATGGGGCAAATGGTGGATACTCTGGAGGGTATGGGAACAGCAATGGGTATGGAAACAGTGGGGGATACGGCCACGCTATGGCATATGGGAATGCCGCAGGCTACACGCAACACAACACCACGACAGATTCTGTAGTTGGGGGGGTCGGATTTGGGGGCAGGGTAACAGGTGGAACGTACATGCAAACGGCAACGCAGAACATTCCTGTGCTCCAGGATTCCTCCGCGGCGAATCAGGCGACCAACAGAGACGGCTATAACTTCCCCGACATTCCTTATGGCACTAACGGTGACGAGGAAATGTTTACGTTGATGCCAGAGTTCTTCCCCCCTGATCTGTTGGCCGGTTTGTCTGAGCCCAATGAAATAATGATGAGCCAGATCATTGGAGAGGACCAAGACTTACAGATGAATTCACTTGGTGGACAGATGCCCGCTGAAGCAGCGTACACCAGCCAGCTTCTCCTCCCCCAACCAATCCCTGAAGGGATAACCCCACCATCCTCATTGCCGACTGTATTGACATCCATCGAAGAACTGGCAACAGCTCCTCAAGTGTCTGCAGAAACACCTTCTGAGAAACCAAAACATGGGGGACCTAAGGCAACCAAACAGGCGAACAACAAGAACAAGAATTGTGGACCACACACTCAGAAACCCATGACTTCGAAGGAGGTCGTTCCGCTGACTGCTAAGGATATGCCCATATCGCCGCCTGAATGGCTGACAACAGCTCACATGTACCTAAAGGAGGGGGCAGACGATGCAGGATGGCTCGAGTGTGTGGCAGCTTGGTTCAGGTTTGAAGAGCAAGTTCTATTGGAGTCTACTTCGGTAAGCGTGAGCTTGTAGCGGATAAATTTTGATTCTTACCAAGGGCCCAGCACCGTCTTGCTGCGAAACACCGCCCCGATGCGCTGAGTCGGTGGTTGTCAAGCCGCAAGTATCCACCGCCAGCTGTGGAGGACCAGGCTGCCTTCGGTGGTCAATGGATTGGGTGGTGGAATAGCCTGCAACCCGAATGGCATCAAGTTGAGGCGCAAGACCATTTCCCTCTTCCTTTGAGCAAGGCGGAAGACGGAGACGATGTGATGTTGTTGAGAAAGGGTGGTCCTTCCGGTTTGGTGACGGTTATGATAAGCTTGAAGTGGTGGACGACCGACGCTCGTTGGAAAGAGGCCATTACTGACGTGAAGGATTGCCTCAAGCAGGTTGTAAAGGGGACGAAGAAGCGCAAAGCATCCACGCAGCAGAGGAGGGGTAGTAAGAGGTCAAGGAAAGTGTGACAAAAAATCACAACATTGCACTGCATTCTTGTGACGATCCAACATCAGACACATTCAGAAGTATTTCATTTCTCATTATGTTTGCTTTCTTGATAAGATAGAGTAGAATGGGCATGAAATGCTTCTTATCTTGACACTACAACAGTCGGCGAAATAAAACATGGGGATGAAGGCTGAGGGAAGAGATGAAGGATAAGGGGCAGGGTGAAGGATAAGCCGAGGATGAGGTGGGACAAAGGATAAGGGCAGACAAAGAATAAAGGGCGGGGACGAAGGATAAAGGGCAGGGATGAAGGATAAGAGCTGGGACGAAGGATAAGGGCGGGGATGAAGGATAAGGGCGGGGATGAAGGATAAGAGCTATGAGAAGGATAAAGTGCGGGGACAAAGGATAAGGGCGGGAACGAAGGACAAGAGCTGGGACAAAGGATAAGGGCGGAGATGAAGGATAAGAGCTACGACAAAGGATAAAGGGCGGGGACAAAGGATAAAGGGCGGGGACAAAGGATAAGGGCGGGGAAACAGGAAGGGCGGAAATATAAGAGGAGCATGAAGCATAAGGTGGAGCTGAAGTACAAGGGAGGAGCACCAATGATAAAAGCAGCGCGATGAATAAAGCGGGTGTGATGAATAAAGGTAGGGCACAATGGATAACAGGAGCGTAGCTGAGAGAGTGGCTTGATGTACAAAATACATGAAATGCAATAACCACGATTTATTGATCAGTACTTTACAGTTATTACAGTGGTTTATATATCAGTCTGCCAAGGTCTGGTGTGTCTTCTCCATCACAGTGATGTTGAACAGGCTGACTCTGAGTGTCAGATGTGCGAGAGACAGATGTAACTTGCTATTACTTTTCTTTTGTTGTCGACAGGTAGGTCGTTCTTTTGCGCCACAGAGCCGAGTTCATTCTACCCTACCGCACGCAGCCTTTCTGAGAACAAAATTCCACCACTGCTGGGTCATTCACGCTTGGTGAGTGTGGCAGACTGTCTTCTGTGGAGGACTATTCAGATGACTATTTCATGCAGGACACTGTTCTTTAGTGTGGTGACTGTACAGTGACTGTGTGGAATCTGGATCCTTGACAGGCAGAATTTTTCTCTCTCTACGTCTCACGCTATATCTGTAATCCTTCAGGCTTGGATTCAATAAAAGTGATATAACATTGTGATTTCTATAATTGGTGTAACCTTTTATGGTCGAAACGAGCTGATTGAAGGAGAAAAATGGACGAATTTTTTTTTAGCTTACCTCTGCTATTGCATGGCGCAGATGGTTATCTCCCTCTTCAAGGATTACTTTTATGTTATAAGGTCAAATTAGGTCTCTAGGATGATATACCTCGGTACCACAATGGCACTATCTTATCAAAATACACCAAGTTGGTGCATAGGTGGGCCTGATTATGTCGAGGGGCCTATCCCTATCTGGAAATATAAGGGGTACTGTCCTCAGGATTCGAGATCACACCGAGGATGGGTGGGTACACCTCATGGCAGGCGGTTAGAAGGTGCTAACCACATCTCCCGATTTCTCTGATGGAACCCAGCAGGGATGTTGTGTGCCAAATCCCGACAACGGGAATGAAATTTTTTTTTGATACATGTATCAATTGCGGGAATCTAATTCCATTTCTACCTTAACAAGAAGCAAACGGGGACGTTCTGAGGCGTACGAGCACATCCGAGTAGCCCGGGGCCAAATTGATCTCGCGCAGAATTTGTATTTGTTTGTCCGGGCCTCCAGCCCTTAGAGCCGATAGATGCTCGCTTCGCTCGCAATAAGATAAATGGGGTGTGTTCCATCCTTCGTGACACGCTCGCTCGTCATCCACTTCCTTCATCATTCCTTCCTCGCATCTCTCATCTATCCGGTCTACTTGCAGCTCAAATTCAAAGCTGACTTGGACGCGAGGGTATACGATGTATTATTATTCTAGGTATGTATAGGCCAAGTAAGGCGTGTTACGACTACACATCACCAATTGTCTCTTTCTGCAATCAATGGTCCTTCTAGGCTAGGTCGAGAAATAAAATCCAGTCCTATAATTAGATACAAAACGCCGTCGCTGCCACGATGGTGAAAAGAGAAAGTACCAGCGTCACCAGGCTGTTCGTCGTGCTCCGTGGCGCCGGGCTGACTGCGTTGCCTGACAAGTTCGACGCCGCGTTGCTGCCCCACAGACGGATGTTGCGGAAGTAGGTGTGGGTGGTCACTGGGGTCGCCCAGCTGGTGTCAGAGCCTAGCGAAAGCAAGCAAATGCACAAGAGCAAGGATTCATCAGCATCAAGTGTCTCCGAAAGCAACACAAACGAAAATATGAGGGAGGTGAGACCCACGTACCACCGAAGAAGGTCGAGAAGTAGAATCCATTCGCCGCAACTGAGTTGCTGGCACGAATCTGCAGGTCTTGTTGCGAGACGACCAAGATATCGTTGAAGCTGTTGTCGGTGCGAAAGTTCATCCAAAAGAAAAAGTGCAAAGGACGGATGTTAGTTACGCGCACGGCTTGGTACGGTGATGCACGGCCAGACACTCACTAAAGCGCGATGTAGCCGTTGGCAACATTAGGCGGGTTATTCAGCTGCACGAGCTGTGTGACTCGGACCCATCTGAAAGCAACTTGGCGGTTAGGATATCGTGATGCTGGGAAGTTGAATGATTGGGGAGGAGGGTGGACACGTACTCGCCACTGACGAACCCAAAGTTCCCTCGCTGGACGGACACGCCGAAGTCTGAGTTGCAGGTTATGGACTTCTCCGAGCACAGGTTGTTCGGCGTCGGGATGTAGGCGTAGACTGGAAAATAAATAGAAAGTTGAGGGCCGAGCGCGATGCAGAGAACAGACGCGCACCTTCTCCAGTACCGCTCTTCCTCCACATGAGGCGAGAGCTGAAACAGTCGAGTCCATCGGCCTTGTTACCGCCTGAGCACCCAGTGGAGTTGAGACCACCACGGATACCAGGCAGTTTACCACCCTTCACCCAGTCGAACCCAGAGTCAAAGGCAACCTCGTATGAGACCATCATCGTGTTGAAGTTTGAGCCGTCGCTCGTGTTCCATAGTGCATAGAATTGCGCCCCACCAGTGTCGTGCGAGAAACTGCCCTCGGGGTACGTCACCCGCAGCACCGGCCCCGACGGCGAGGTGACCCCAGGTGCACCAGTGGGCGGGTTGTTTGGGAACGGATCACCCACGAACTCGAGGTTGTCGGGCCCATCCTGGATGCGGGCGCGGTTGAGGCCCCAGTTCGCGACGAGATGGCTCTGCGTGTCGCTCGAGGACTGTGTAGCGGAGGGGTAGGGCAGGGACGTGCTTGTCGCGAGTGTGTACTGGGCAGCCACGGCGTCGGGGGCGATCTGGGAGGCTGCCCAGGCAGCGGAGGCGAGCAGGAGGGGAATAGTCGTGGATATGTACATGGCGGGCATAAAGAAAGGAATGAATAGTGAAAACCGCGACTGCCCAGCGTCGGCGTTGTGATTAGCGTGCTAAAAGAGACGGTCTTGTGCAAGACGAGAGATCTCAGCCGCCTGCCTAATCCGGCGCGGACCTCGGCCTCTCCGGACGGGCCGGAGCATGACGAAGTCCTGCGCTCGATGCTCTGCTCATAACTGGCCATGTTCAAACACCCCTCGCGCACAAATATTGCATCAGAGTCAGAGTCACGGCAACCTCTCCTCGAACAATCCACCTCAAATGGCCACACCCACACACTATTCAACGCCGGAGACGACTCCGATGACGACTACGACGATGGCACGAGTGCGCTCCCAGTCGTAACACCCAAAACAGCGCGGAGCACACACACCGTCGCATTCAACGACGAGGTCCAGGTCTACGCACCGCCCCTCCGCTCGACAACGTCCAGTCGGGAAACGGGTAAGTCCACCGCACGAAACCTCACGTATTTATACCAAAGAAGTGTAGAATTCGAGCAAGACTCGGACGACCTCGAGGAGCAGCATGCACGCGAGCTCGATGGGTCTCGCCTGCCAACGCGCCGCGGGAATGACCAGCGCATGCCTCTGTTAGTCGGCTTAGTGGATTCGTCTGCCTCTCGACGGAGCTTGGATGCGTCGATACCGATGCATGGCGCGAATGGGAACACTGTCATCATTGGCGAAGACACGTTGGACTTGGATGAGATTGCTGCGAAGAGGACGGCTGGAGGAGGCTTGTTTGATTCGATCGCGAATATGGCAAATTCCATTCTTGGTGCAGGTGAGTTGTCGGTCCTTCTCTATTCTTCGTGTGCTAATCCCCTCGAACAAGGCATTATCGGTAATAGCACAGAACATTTGTTGTTATGCCTTTCCTTACGCCTCCGTAGGTCTGCCATATGCCCTCCGTCAGGCTGGATTCTTCGCGGGGCTTGTTCTTCTCACCGTATTATGCGCTGTAACCGACTGGACGATTCGTCTCATCGTCATAAACGGTAAACTAAGTGGTGGTCGTTCGTACATCGATATCATGGACCATTGTTTCGGCCCAAGTGGGCGAGCAGCCGTTTCATTTTTCCAATTTTCATTCGCATTTGGAGGTGTGTTTCTTCAAGCTGTATTAACCTGGAGGCACTTATCGAATGTCAATTGTAGGCATGTGTGCCTTTGGAATTATCATCGGTGATACCCTACCTCAAGTTCTTCGCTCCGTCTTCCCCACACTACCCACAACACCCATCCTAAAAATCTTCGCCAATCGGCAGTTCATTATCGCCCTCTGCACCACCTGTGTTTCCTACCCCCTTTCGCTATATCGAGACATCCACAAATTATCTCGAGCATCCGGTCTAGCTCTCATTGGAATGTTTATCATCGTGGGCTCGGTACTCATTGAAGGCCCGCATGTTCCCCCGGAGCTGAAAGGCGCTCAAGAAGGAAAGTTCTCAATAATCGAGCCGGCAATATTCCAAGCTATCGGTGTTATCAGCTTTGCTTTTGGTAAGGATAACTGCGCATCATGGTTTTTTTATCGATTGTGCTTATGCCAATCTCACTCCAGTCTGCCACCATAATTCACTTCTAATCTACGGAAGCCTACGAACGCCAACGCTAGATCGATTCGCAAAAGTCACGCACGTGTCGACCTTTCTCTCGCTGGTTGCATGTATGACGCTCGCTCTCTCGTCCTACGTCGTCTTCACGGACAAGACGCAGGGCAACATCCTCAATAACTTCCCACAAGTACGTATACCTCTCTTATCCAAGCCCCGCATTTTCTTCGCTCTGTCCGCTTATCTTTATCCTATGTTCTTTTTTCTCTTTCCAAATTGCACCCTGATTGGCTTTGTTAATATCAATAGAACGACACCCTCATCAACGTCGCGCGGTTTTCCTTCGGCCTGAACATGTTCACGACGCTTCCATTGGAACTGTTCGTCTGCAGAGAAGTATGTGGGGCCGTTTCAAATCTCTCTTCATGCAATTGGATTGCCTTCCCTTCCTGTACCTGCTCCTATCGTCTGACCCGCCTATTTACAGGTCATCGAGCAATACTTCTTCTCACATGAAGTGTTTAGCCCACAAAGGCACTTATTCTTTACGACAACCATCTTGTTTGCGTCCATGTTTGGTGGGTTGCAATTTCCAATGTCGACAGACACGTATTCGTGTCTAACGCCTTTCTATTCCGTGTCTTCTTTTTAGTGGCACTCATAACCTGTGACCTTGGGGTAATGCTCGAGATAACAGGCGGTGTATCAGCGACGACACTGGCGTTCATTTTCCCTGCTGCGTGCTATATCAAGCTGGTCGACAAGAAGCTGCGGTGGTACAGCATCACGAAATTGCCCGCGGTAATGTGCGTTGCTTTCGGCGTGATTGTGATGGTTATTTCTCTATACCTCGCTTTGGCCAAGTCCTGGACATCGGAGGGAGCTGCCAAAATCTGCATTTGATGGACCCGCTCAAGACGGTCTTTGGCGACAAGCATTCAGGACACATGCGTATATAACTTACTCTAGATCAGGATGGACCGTATGTACATAGTACGGCAGTGTAATCATTAGTTTATGTACAGGATCCTCAACGTCATGCTGCTGAGGCTAACACGCCTGCAAGTCCTGGGATGTCGCTAACGGATTCAAGGCGGATCCCTTTTGCGAGACTCTCTTTTGAGGAAAGAGGAGATACGTTAAGATCGGTGTAGTTGTTCCAGATGTGCTCTACTCGCTCGAGAGGCGATGGATCTGATTTGCTTGAGGAAGGGTCGCAGACGAGCAGCCACACTGCGTCGTAGCCACCAGCTAAACAGAAAAAAATATTCAGCCGACGGAGACCCTGAAAGTGGCCCAACTTACCACCAGGAACACCACCGCCGATGACGCCTGCCTGCGACACGCACACATCTAGGAGCCTCGTTTGCTCGTCAGGCTCAATGGGAACACCAGCCAGCTCGCCCATCTCTTTCATCTTGGCTCTAATATCCTGAAAATGTGTCAGTAATGAACCACGACATTCGAGAGCACTCGTTTTACTTGCGAAAGCGTATGGACCTGGGAGAAGGTCGATACGATGGGCTCCTGGGTGGCAGGTTGTAAGGGATTGGCCTCCCACTGAAAACCCCCGTCAGAAATCAGACAATTCGACTTGTGGCACTGGACTGACCTGCAGAGGTTGTAGAGTCGAAATGTACTTAACGGCGCTCCGATAGCTCTTGATGTCCTTGTCATGAAGTTTCGAGAGCTGCAACAAAGTTTGTGCGAGCGCCTGGTTTAGCTGATCCAAATGTGTCCATAACGCATTGGCTGAACAAATCGTTGGCTGATGAATGTTCAGAGACTCGATTACGCTTACCTTCAGCACTCTTCTCCTTACGCCATTTCAAAACCTTGCCAACCAGAGAAGGGGTATCACTGCCCGCATCGACATCGGCGAGCATAATTCGGGTATACGGAGGAAGTTTGAAATTTTGGATGCGATAATTCCACGCCGCGTTCGATGGCGACAGAACAGGCAGCGATTTAGGCTAATGAAGGAATCCAACGGTCAGAAAAAAATGGGATTCGAGAACGATAACATGGAAAGAAACACGGACGCGAAAAAGAAGATGGAGAACGAGCAGCCACACATACCAAACTTTCACCCATTAAATCCTGAATGACCGCCGGATCGAAGCGCGTGTAGAGGTGGCTCCCAAACACAGCGGCTGATACGTCAAACCCGCTCCCTACCTTCCCCTGAGCGACGCAGTGCACGAACTGGGCGAGGTTATGCGCCAGACGGCGGCCTTCGCTATCATCTTCCACGAGAGCCAATACGGGGATGGCCGAAAGGTGTACGAGGAGGGCAGAGGTGAGAGATGTGATAAGCGCGGCGGAGGACCCGAGTCCGGTCTTGTGCACGTCCGAGAGCTGGACTCCCGTGGGGCAGAAGGGCGGAATGCTGGAGAGCGATGAGATCGTACGTGGGAGGCCAAGCTCTTCGAGCTACATAGGAAATGGTCAGGCGCTGAAGTCGCTCCGGAGGGTTCGGAGTGAACGCACCTTAGCCCTTTGGGAATAAAAATCGTTACCGCCGACAATTGTGATGTCCAGGCCCTCAGAGAGGGCGTTCTGGACGGCCTGCACGCCACTGATCTCGACAGCTAGAGCGATCGTGTGCTGCAGCGCAAGATGCACGAATTTGTTCTTCCCAGCACTATCGGACCTGGCGATGAATGGATTTTCTCGAATATCATACGATGTGAGATCACTGACTTTTCTGGGGACGGCGCGATGTGGACTGACGGGGTCAACGCGACATGGTAGACCCAGGTTGCATTGAGGAACTGGGGCGATTGGACGCGTAGGGTGAGCGGTTGGAGTGACGGGGCGGGCTGAATGGCGGTGTAGAAGCGCGATGAGGTAGAAACGACGATGCCAGAGTAGGCGGGATCGAGGACGAGATATCCGCCGGCGACGAGGACCTTTCCGGGCGCAGAGACGATGGTGGTGGACATTGTCAGAGAGGACTGGACAAGACAGGAGTGTCTGTACCTTGTGAGGGCTTACGCAGGGCCTTTATAGCCGCCAACACCTGGTAAACCAACATCGAAAGTCCTGATCAAGTTCTTGTCCGCTGACTAAGCACTCCCTTCCGTCTACACCGCGGCACCACAACGTAATCTCACTTAAATCGCGTCTTCAAACTTTCCGTCGACCCTTCGCATTGACCGAATCAACACTGCTAAAATTACAAGCGACTACCGGCCTCCTCGCGTGAACCAAGCTTTTTGTTGCCCACACGTTGCGTTCGTGCATCCCGGACATCGCAGGCCCAGCTGAATGCTTGTTGGTCCTTTCCCCGCGGCACATTCGTGCAGATGTGCCGCAACAATGTCAGCCAGCGCTCGAATAAACACGGGCGAGTCGTTCAGGGAGGCCGCCCGGTGTACTTCAACGCCGTGCTAAGCACAATCATTTCATTAGCAGGACAGGAGGCAGCAGCGAAATAAACTTACCTCCCGAGCCTCCTTTGCATACTCCAAGTCCAATTCATATAGGGTCTCGATGTGGTCGCTCGTGAACGCTATTGGAATCAGCACCACCTGCTTCTTTCCAAGACGAGCAAGCCCCTTCAGAGCCTCGCCTGTCTGCATTCCCATCCAAGCCGAAGGCCCAACCTGCGACTGCCAGACTAACCGGTATGGATTCGAGTGACCTAATCTTTGCATCACCGCAGCGACCGACGCCGACACTTCGAGTATATACGGATCTCCGCGGTTTACAACAGACATGGGCAAGGAATGCGCTGAAAAGAGCAGGACTGTTTCCGAGCGCTTTTCAGCTGGGAATTTGGCAAGGGCTGCTTCAATATTCTGGGCAACTGCCTAGGGTAAGCGTTGAGTATTATATGTCAATGGGATTGCAGATGGAGGGCGAACTCACCTCAATGAACCCAGGATGAGTACCCCATCGGTCAATCACACTCCACTCAATAGCACCAAATTCACCTGTCTTCCCTCGTCGAAATAGTTCATTCAGGCTGCTTCCCGTCGTACTGCAGCTATATTGCGGGTACTGGGTGAACGCGATACCTCTTTTGACTCCATCCTCCTTCATTTGTCGTGCCGTTGCTTCTGTTAGTGGGCGAGCATACCGGAACGCGACATATGCTTTGTGCGGCGCGGTTTCCGGATGCAGCTCGTCGAGCAGCTGGGCCATTCCGTCACCCTGGAGTTGTGTATAATGAAGAATCGGGGAACCACCGCCAATGTCGGCATACTGCTGTTCGATCTTGGGCGTGCGTCGACGGGCAATATAGGGTGCGAGGAAGCGTTGGAAAGGTAGTGGAATAAGGTCGCCGTCCATGAAGAGGTTCTTCAAGAAGTCGTGGGTTTCTTCAACCTAAACGCAAAGACGTTGGGTGACGCGAGAGGCGAATGACGCGTGGACTTACGGTGGACGGGCCGCCCATGTTCAACATGACGACGGCTTGGAGAACTTAATATTGCGCGTCCAGTGGATAGTGGTGGAGGCAGCTTACCTGTCGGACTGGTGACGTAGGTGAGATACGGGCATTGGCTGGACGGGTAGGCGAATCACCTTTTTCCTGCGGCATGTGTCATCGCATAGGACCGTGAACGAGCCAGGGCTCTAGATACGATGGAGGAGCGAAGAAGAGACATGGGGAAAGGTAAACGAGTGAACGGTGGAATAAATACGACACCTACGGCGCGATTCTCAGAGTTGCCTCGGAGTCCATCGAGCCAATCACACGCTGGTCATTCACTCGTATTGGTAATCTACTCTCACGCATGTCCCGACTTCGCGACCTTTGCCTTCCACTCTTTAACCTCTCCCTGTCTCCGATACCACTGAATCAGCGGCAGCGTCACGCACGAGACCCCAATCCACACCGCCAGCACACCGAAGTTCAGTCCTACTGTCAATGCATATTACTCATTCAGTTTCGGGTTTCCGATGTGACGACAATCAGCTTACGCTCATCTTTCGTTCCGAACACAATTGTTCTCACCCCCCTCGAGATGTGGTAGAACGGTGCTGCATGTCCGTACCGGTACAGCAACGGCAGTGTCTCGATCGGCCATAGGCATACCGACACGTTCCCTGTCTACGTGTTAACTCCACATAGACCCGAGTTCAAACGACAAACGGACCTATAATCCATAGGATCAAGAACACTTGGATGTACTTCAACGTCAACAAGGTCATCATCGACTCCAACGCGAGCCCGCTAGGAAATGGAGCATTAGTATACGGAAGAGACTCTCGAACATCCTACGCACGCTGCCGTCATTCCAAACCACGACAGTATCCAGAATATCACAAAACCAGCCCGGCCAAAGCTTGTCAATCGAATTCAGCATTGTCAACTCTTCGTGATATCAGTACACCACCTACTGGCGCTCAAATGGCAACTTGAAGGCGAGAGTGACAAGGGTATACGCAAGCTACCGCCAGCAGTCATCAGGTTGATACGTCGATTTGGAGGCAGGCCAACTTACGGAGAGGATCAAATAAATGACTACTGGTGAGACCAACCGTACCCGAATTAGTGAGGCCGTCGTTAACTTTTTCTCTATTCCAGAAACCGTTCTAGCCAAGATCCCAGAGTTCTGGAAACCATCAGCGAAATATCTTCAAGTTTAGCTTGATAGGCTCAAACTCACGACCACAATGAAAGACAAAATTAGCAGATAAATTAATCCAATAAAGGTCACTGCTGAGGCGCTAAAATAAGGTGAGCTTCATGGCGTGTTTCATCGAAATTTCCATCAAGGCTTACACAGGAACATCAAAGGGGCGTACATTCACCAGCGTGTAGTAGACTGGCCGCACCAACACGTCTGGCCGAATCGTGGCCAGCGAGATGTTCAACCGAATGAGTTCCGAGACCATTCTGACGGCATAGTCCTTTGTGATTTCTTGAAGGGACTCTTCTATCTGCAGGCAACGTGGTTGGTTAAAATTAGGTTATCAACGACAGAACGGCGCTTAACTGTATGACGAAGCAATGTCCGACTGTTCACAAATTGCTCAAACGCCGGATCAAGGAGGGAAGGCCCGGGCAGAAGACATACTATGCGTTTTCATTCCGTGCTTCGATCCCATATGCTGTTATTAAAGTTGAAGAATCGAAGTTGGCATCATTGGATGCCAGCGTTGCATTCAAGAGCCTTGTTGCGCCGCGATTGACTATTGTCCAGAATAGCAGCATTCAACGGCCCATCAGCACTACTGTTGATTCTGAGAATTCGACGGGCTACCTATTACCGCAATCCAACAGTCTTCATCCACAATTGCCCGCGCAACATCATCAGGGTCCTTCAGCGCTTCTCCACTCTGCTGGATGTTCCAATGTATTATGGGACCTGACCTTGCGTTGAGTTCGGTGGTTATGAACTCTCCTATCTGATCGCCGTCAAAATCCTTTTTTTTTGCATTTTTCGATAAACACGTCAATTGGCGCTCAACTATATTTGAAACAAGCGAAGACTCTTACGACGATCCATCCTTCCAAGCTATGAGTGGGAATTCTGTAGAGAGCACCCCAGTAGATGGAGAAGATGGCGAAGATTGCTGTGACGATCAGCCCGGTGCGCTGGAGGAGAATCGTGATGTATGTTCTACGTGCTCGGGAGATATCTTCGTCCTCATCCAGGAACTGCGCCGAGAACGGAGGCTTGGCTGGCGTCTGAAGTTGGGCCGATGGTCCCACTGGCGGAGGGGGTGACGAGGCCCTACTTTCGACTGGAGATACCTTCTCGACATCGGCAGAGGCTCCATTCTTTCCCTCGAGACTGGTGCTAGAGGCTAGCGTCCTCTCTCCGGTCGTGCTCGCCTTCATCCTTGCGTTAACCGGGACTGTGGGTGTGAAGGCAGGATGGGAGAGACAAGCGGGTGACGTTGCTCGTGGGGTGCTCGGTTGAAGTTGAGAAATCCGCGTCTGTTCTCATCGGCCATTTGGGCCATCCCGACACCGAGGGAACTACGGGGATGAAAGAAGCTTCCCTCGGCGAACGTCAAAGCTCTCATCAACTCCCCGCTACGATAAAAATAACTCGTGCTCATGTGCCCGCGGCAACCCCTTGTATCCAATATTGAGCAAAAGAAATTTGTTTGAACATCAGCAGAGTATGACGTGTTCATACTCTGCGTCGTTAGCATATAGTTCTAACATATTTTTGCCCCAATTTGACGACCATAATGGAAGTTGACCGAATCTCTTGCGTCATACTACCGGGTACGCTTTCACCGGTGAGCCAAAACCAGATTCATTATCCCTAATTTGAGGAAGCAGATATGCAAATACTCTATACTCCAGTACAGTGCAAGTGCCATGATATGCTCCGTCCTTGCCTTGAGGATTCAACGAGGCAACTGGTGATGTTGTGCAGAGTTTGCAACACGGAGTATGATTGGCAGATCTTTTGTTTGACATCCAACGTCCTGTCTTTCAGCATACTAGGGACCTACTTACAATCGAGATCGTCTGGTGACAGTTTTGGCGCCTGAGCGGTCAGATCTTCCGACAGATAGGCGCTTATCCACAATTTCAACTTATTCGGCCGTCGTCCGCTTCCCGACAGAACCCAATGACAGGGCAGTACGCCACATAGAATTATCAAAACTACCATTTATGGATTAAAACCCCATAACTATTTTTTTTCGTGAAGATGGTGAGATGACGTGCATAGATTCTGAGGTCTTGAAATCACTGGTAAACTGATAGCACTAAATTAGAGTGAATGATAACACAATTCCTATACAGAAGATTCTTGGCCCAGCTGGCACACACTACATATACTACTAGGTGTAGGAGGATCTCAGTAGATGTGTATCCCAAACCAACCATTGTCAAAAAGCATATTGCATAGGTAGGGAATCAATCTGCAGTAGAAAACAACATTAGCAATCAAGAGTGTTTGAAAGGTCATTGGACCAAAACACCTCAGAAGCATGCTTAGATTTGTCTTGAAGGTTTCTTGTTCTTGTCTGGGGTCTCCACAGGCCTCTGACAAACAGGGCAACGTCCAGAGACATCAGTCAACCATGGATCCAGACAAGTTTTCTGTAAAACATAGTGAAAACCAGGATGGACCCTACAGAGCCTATCTGACTCACATGGAAAACATGTCCGCAAGAAAGAAGTCTCAATGGCTGAGGTCCATCACCTGCGTCTGTGAGTTTCGTTTTTGTTTGCATTTCTTCCTCTCTAGAGTTTCCTGTTCGACGTGGTTCTGCAACATGAGAAGGGCTGTCGTTGCCGCTGTTTACAGAGGGTGAACCTTCTGACTGTTCTTTGGATACGTTACCCGTGTCCTCGGGAGTGTTCTTTCGCTTGGGTTCCTCGAAGTCCATTAAGCAAATGGCACAGGCTGCCTGGTTTTCTTCCAGGGTAACAAATGGGTGATCACCATGCTCCCAATTGCTCTCCCATGGCTTCGGGGTGGTATCAGGCAGACCATTTTCTCCGTTCTTTTCGTCGACAGATTCATCATTGGGTTTCCTGAGTGCAGCCGCAGATGCCCTTCTGAAGAACTTGAAGCGGACGCGAGGCGGTTTAGCGACTGTCTCGGACACCTTCGGGGGATAAGAATGCAGTGATTGATCGGTGGCATCTTTCTGCGCTGCTGGAGGTGGTGGTATGTACATGACAAGCGGGATGCGATCAACAACAGATTTGGGAAGTTTGCCCACTTCTGGCTTGATCATGTTGGGATTCTGCATAGGGTGGCGCCCAATGCATATCAAAAAAATGTTCCAGAATATCTAGCCAAAATAATCAAGACCTCGTCGGGAAATAGCTGACGCCGGAACTTACGAAGAGGATAGGAGCGACGATAAGTACGACAAAGCCTAGGATGACGACCTCCAATACCATTAGGTACATTATGCACAGAATACCGAAGACGAGCCACCAGAGGTGAGGCGACGAGTTTCGACAAGTATTAATCGATGTGTACTCGAGAATATGAGCGGTGAGGAACCAACTTAGGGTGAGCAAGGAGCACACTAATGTGAGGCGTGAATATGTTGGATTGTAAGGAAGCATGCGTGCTGGACGTGCGGCAGAGCCAGCAGAGCCTCCATGGGGCTGAGGAAGTGGTTGAGGCGCAGCGGTCCGTCCATTTGGATTATTAAGCTGCCACTGACACATCTTGCGGTAAAGCAGCAGCGTTCACATTCCCCGACTCCGCATCGACGCTTGGGCGTCTAAACCAAGCATGAGCGATGAGTGTTGAATAAAGGTTTAAAGAGACGAACAGCAAGCGATCTCGCCGGAAATCCCAGTACGCTAATCCTGAGGCCAGAATGGCTCGGACGACCCAGATCGATGCCCATATCCCTAGTGGGCGATCGCAAGCCTTCCATTCCGTTAACTCTGGTTGTGTAGGACTCTTCAGTCTTGTGCCTGTCAAAATCAATATGGTGACAATAGTAACGACCTGAAGAATAGTAAGATCTGTTAAATAGATAAGCAATACTACGAGATTGACGTGCCTGAAAGAAACCCCACGACAAATTCCAGACTACTGATACGAGTGCCTTACGCGCGTGTGAGGCTCTTCTACCCAATCCGAAATAATTCAAGCATCTGACATAGATGGAGGTGTTATGTTGAGGAGGAACCAAGAGATCCGGTTGCTCCGGGTGGGCAGGAAGCGGCGTTTGAGGTGGCGGTGTAATCAACGGGGGAGACGCTGTGTCGAAGGGAGCACCTGAACCAGCTGGTGAAGGTCGTACAGAGGGTTGATGAAGGTCAATATATGGCTCTCTCAAGGACGGAGTTGCAATACTGTTAAGCGCCAAACCGGAATTGTCCACTGTGTGGTATAGTCCTTGCCGCCCCTCTAGATTATCGTGAACTGGCAGGTGGGTGTGCAAATGAACCATCTCTGGCCTTCGAATGGCACCCTCTGACCTTGCTCTGCGGACGTGAACCAGGTTTTCAGATGAAGCCATTATTTGCAATGATGTTCAACTCTTGTGGGTGTGCGGATTGGCCCCTTATATGCAGTTTATGAGCGCCAACAAGTCACAAAGCAGGACGAGGAGTGACTAATACAAAGCCAGCAACAGACGTAGAGCGGGTGCGAGGATGTGGAGGGCGTCAAACCTACTCCAGATGGCATCGGTGTTGGAGCCTGACGGCGTCCAGTTACTGTGACTGTCACACGGTCTTCATGGTATAACACCTCGTGCCCTCCTCGCGATTCAGACAGTTCTGCATGCCAGATCTCACCGTCACCGTCACGTTCAGATTCATGATCCCCATGCAGGATGCCAGTATGCACACCATTGCTTCATAGATAAAGGGATGACAGCGCAAGGTTTTCATCAGTCCGGAACTGCCCCAAGCTAATTTACTGAGGTCTGAGATATCCTGACCAAACACTCAAGCCCCTTTCACCTCTGTGTAAAGGGCGCCTATGGCTTTGCTGACCATAGATACGGCTAGAAAAAAAATCACATCAGTTTTGGCAGACGGAACGCTAAGGAAATCAAATCTAACCTGTATGCACTTCATTCCTCTCTTGCTCATCGAGAATGGAGGTGAAGAGATTGCGGCTGTCCCAACGGTCAGGATGAAAGCGCTGGAAACTTACCCTCAATATGTCTTTGTATTCTTGAGGGCGTGAATTCTTTCGGAAATAACTGAAAAAGGCGTTGACGACGTCCCAGTCCAAGTCCTGGACCTTGTTGCGACGTGGGTCCTTCAATGTGGGCCAAGGGATGTCAATAAAGACAAGCGGGAAGGTCTCTCCCGAGAATCGAGCCTTGTCGAAGAAAGCAGAGACGCCTTTGTACCGCTCTACAGCTCGATGATGTGACCAGTACCCGTTGCTCCATTGCTCATGACGAAGCTCGCGTTCTCGGTTGAGTCGTTCGAACAGTTCCGCTCGTCGCCGTCGTATCTCTTCTTCGAGCATGGCCTTCTCAAATTCTTCACGTCTTCGAGTCTCTTCCTCCTTCCTACGTTTTTCCTCTGCTAATTTCTGCTGCTTTTGTTGTTCGCGACTTGGATCCTCGGACTGAGCTCTTCGTTTGACCTCCTCCCCTTTAAGGTGTTTTTCCCGCTCCCGTTGCCTTTCACGGTCAGCGTTGAGTTCTGCCATCTTTCTTAAAGACTCTGCGAGAGGATCCTCTGGTGTTTCCTCTTCTTGGGAGGTCCGTTCTTCCATTCGTTCTTCTGGTATGCTCGTCTCGTCTGGGGTATTCGTGCTTTCTGGAATGTTTGATTCTTCCGGTATGTCGGGCATGGTCGAGGCGGAGCCATTCCCTAACGATCAATGAAAGGTCGAAAAGGGCAGTTCAAGAGCAACCACCAACGTACCATTGAAGTGGGTATAGGCCGGAGGCACTTCTGTCAAGACCTCTCGGAGGAAAGCCTGCTCGCGGCGCTCTCTCCGGGCTTCCTTTTCTTGTTCCCATCTCGTCTTCTTGGTGTTGTCCCGAGCGGTGCGATTTGCGTGTAATGTACGTTTTTGTGCTCCAGGAGAAAGCGTTCTGGCGCGCTTTTGGTTCCGGGGGGTGTAGGATTTGGTGTTACGGTTGAGGCTGTCTTCCTCGAAGTATGCATTCTCCTCATCATCAGCTGGGCGCAGGGTCTGGAAGGATACGTGGGCTGTAAGATGTGCTTAGCAAATCCATAGGCCTTTTGTGCGATCTACACACCTTTCCGTTTTGGTTTAGGATCTGGTGGCTGTTCAGGAGGTTGGACACCAAAGTCGAAGTCAAGGGCTACTCGAGGTGATTGCCTCCTCTTTCGACGGGGAGAAGGTCCAGCTTTGGGACGAAGTGGTGTGAAATCATCGTCAACAACCATTTTATCGCTGTCATAGTCGTCCTCCGCTGCGTTGGTTAATTGGGACTCTGTTGGTGGCGAGGGTATCCGGTCATGGGTTGCCCATGCTCTCCGCGTAATCACAGTAAGAGCGGGCGGAAATTTAACAAAGCAATTGTAGAGAGGATCTAACTTGTATAAATCCCATTGGTCTTGCGAAATCTCGCATAATTGGCTGGGGAACGTATAAGAGGTGGCAAGTGGCACGAAGAAAGAATCTCTCACCCGCAAAGGTCTATCAGTCGAGGAAATCTTCCCTCGTCGTCTACTCCCTCCTGCTTCAGTGCGCTTGGCACCCAGCGCCACGAAGATGGCTGCCCGGGAATCGTTTCAATTACAATTCGCTTTGGTCGACAACGTTCGTCGTGAAGTGAGAGATTGCTGATTCTTGAAATATCATGAGGAGTCGCGACATATGGGTTGAAAGACGCGAAGGTAAGGGTGGAATCCGGTGTACGAAGGAGGCGGGATGGCTGTGTTGGATCAAGGACCCCTGGCTGTGAGCCACTGACCACACGAACTTCGGAGGGTCCTGCTGTTGGTTTCGAACGAGACGCACGGCGTACCATAGAGATGAGTTGGATGTTCTGAATAGAGGGTGCATACTGCTCACCTTGTCCGTTCATTTATGATACAGCGCAAATTGCGACCTTGTACTTTTGCCGAGGGGTTGAGAAGGGTAGAGGATCGGAAGGCAAAGGCCACAGGCCGAAATTAGCTCCACGTGACCGTGATAGCGAAGAATGATTCGGGAAGGCCTTGTCGTAGTACCATCTTTCTCATTTTCTACATTCACGGGAGACAAAGTCCAAGTGGCCATGCGGCAGCTTGTCATGGAGAAGGTTGTCGACGCGAATATAAAGCACCCCTTGTTAGTCTCGGTCTGGGAAGCCTGCGATATCCTCACATGACGCCTGGGAAGAATGTCTGCATTCTGCATCGCCCACAACAATCGAGTCACTCAACAGTGGACTGACTCCTCCACTCTGTTTCTAGATCCTTTAAAAGCTGCATTTTGAGCTGTTCGATATGGCGACTCTCCGAACATTTCAAAGCGAAATCGAAGAAATTCACCACCGAGAAGTCGTGAAGCAGCGCGTTCAAGCTCTAGTTGACAAAGAGAAGGAAAAATCGAAAGGCAAGGCGAAGGAAGATTCAACTCTGGCGTCACCTACAGAGTCCAAGAAAGGAGCAACAACTGGTCCCGAAGGCCCTGCTTTACAGGAAGTCAAGGAACAGATACTGGTGCGTCCAGATCGATCTTCCCACATGCCCGCTTGTGAATCACAATCGCTGATCAATTTATGTAGTCCCTGTTACTTTCTGAGAACCAGGCTGACCATGATCGTGCCCGCGATCTGGTTGCTTCACTATTAATGCAGCATAATGGCGAATATGTGCTGCGAATAGGACAGCAGCCTCCTCGTGCAGAGCTCTTTTCTGGCGAGCTTACCGAGTCGACGGCAGGATGGACCGGCCTCGAACGAACCGTGAGGGACATAGAAACCCTTCGCAAAAGGATTACCAAGTCTGTGGAGGAAGTCGGAGGGAAGGTGCGAACAAATTCGAGATCCATGACCGTGCATCAGACTTATACAACGGGTTGCTAAGATGTCGACATTATTTGAAGTTAAAAGTGGCCATCCTCGAGTTTCATTACTTCTGAGATTACCTCCTCCCAACGTTTCGTTGACTCCCGAAGTTCGATGTGCTGTGGTTGGTAACGTCGATAGCGGAAAGTCGACAACATTAGGAGTGCTGACCAGAGGTATGAACCTCGTGCTTGCATATTATAAGCTCCCTCTTAGCCCGATGTAGGGGCTCTTGATGACGGCAGAGGCCGGGCTCGCGTTGGCCTATTCCGTCACAAACATGAGTTAGAGACAGGTCGAACATCCAGTGTCGGAATGGAGGTACGTACGCTCCTTGCCCAGAGCAGATATTGAAACCAACTCTTGAGTGAGATCTTGGGTTTTGGTCCTTCTGGTGCTCCGATATTGCCTAACACCGCCCATTCAACCGATCCGGATGTTATACGGAGAGAGAAGATGGGATGGGAGGAAATATCATTACAAGCCGCCAAGATCGTCTCTTTCACTGGTAAAGTGGTCATGATCATTTATAGATTCAGTATTAATTAAAAAGCAGACCTCGCCGGACACGAGCGCTACTTGAAAACCACGCTCTACGGTCTTACTTCTGGAGCACCATCCTGCGTCGTTCTCATGGTGGGCGGCAATGCTGGGCTGATAGGAATGTCGAAGGAACATCTTGCGATTGCCCTAGCTCTGAGCGTTCCTGTGGTGGTTTGTATCACCAAGGTTGTCTCGCCTTTCTCTGCCACCAATCTCACTGCTCACGACTTTACCTAGATTGACATGACCCCTCCAAATGTTCTCGCAGAGACGGTAAAGCAGGTTGTCAAAATTCTCAAGAGCCCAGGCTGCCGGTACGCTTGATGGTGATATTCAAACCTATTTCCCGTTGCTCACTCCCCGCATTTCCGAAGGAAAACTCCAGTCTTTGTGAAATCGTTAGAGGTTGCCATCGAAATGGCGACCTCCTTTGGGACCGAAAAGTGAGAAAACCGAACCTCTGGCAACGCTTACAGATGCTGATTAACCTAGACTCTGTCCGATTTTTCAGATTTCAAATGTCACCGGCCAAGGATTGGACTTCGTACGCAAATACCACACTCTTGCGATACAACTCAATTCAAAGTCTCCAGGTCCGAACATTCCTTAACCTGCTACCTTCTAGTGAGAGAGATGCAGAGAAATTCGCTGTCGATCAACCTCTCGAGGTCTGTGCTATTTTATACTGCTGACCAACATATCTCATCCCTCGGGCAGTACTCCATCACAGAGGTTTGGTCTGTTCCATACGTCGGAACTGTTGTGAATGGAATCTTGAATTCTGGGACTATAAAAGCGGGCGATGCTGTTATGTTAGGCCCAGACTCAAATGGGAACTACCAGACCACCGTGGTCAAAAGCATCCAGAGGAAGAGGTGCCGTTATTTCTCCCTTCAGGATGTGCTGAAAGTGACGGTCCGCTTTAGAGCGGATGTAGGACGCGCAGAAGCAGGCCAGTGTGTATCATTAGCGCTGAAGAGAATCCGTCGCGCAGCGGTGAGGAAGGGCATGGTTCTCGTGACGAAAACGGACACTCCTCCCCGAGGTGGGTAGATCACAAGCATTTCGGCTGAACAATTCCACACATCCCTTTCGTAGCCATCCGACAGTTCGAAGGCCAAGTGTTGATCCTCTAGTAAGTATTCATTTGGTCAGTGAGATCACCCCTGACGCGGCGCCTAGCCATAATACAACTTTGCAGAAAAACTATCAAGTTCGTGATTTTTTTCGTGCTTCTCAGAAGCAGGCTGACGAATGTATGGTGTCAGGCTATGCTGCACTGCGGAGTATGTTGTTCTGCGTGAGAAAGCTTATATTTCTTACTTCTTCTATCTTCTAGGCCGTCCGCCAGACCGTTCGAATAGTTGGAATGGATCATCCCCAAGGCATCTTGAGAACAGGCGATCGCGCCACAGTCCAGTTCGAGTTCATTTCTCATCCCGAGTTTGTCAAAGAGGGCATGAAGCTATTGTTCCGTGAGGGAAAGACGAAGGTCGGTGTGGTAAACACCTCACGCAGAGTTGCATTGACATTTCTTGCAGGGTCTAGGAGTCATCACGAAATTGCTATGAGTGTATTTATCTAGATTCTTATTATTGTAAAGCGGGTGTAATGTTATGAATGGGGCGGCTATTTTTAGGCCGTGTCGTCATTTATGACAGTTAGCTGCGGAAGTTTGTTAGCCTCATCTCTCTCGTCTCTTCGACGCACCGACCATGGACAGCAAGCTCATGCTCAAGAGAGATTCGAATGACTGGAGTACGCTGGTGACTACTTTATTTCTCAGCCTTGTCTCCTCTGCTTATTATACACACTTTAGTCCGACTTCGATTCAGCACCATATCCTGCTGGAGCAAGGTCAAGCCTCGCGAAAATATCCGCAAAGGTGATTTTTATCATTTCAGAACTTTTAACAACATCCTGAAAATAATCTCTAGTTTTACTTCTCTCCTGACCCGCGCGACTGGGGCTCCTCAGTATCACCGGACTTCATCGAGTCCGACGACGAGTTCTATAACCTCGTTCCTACTGAGAAGAGGCCATGGAGGCCTAAGGACACGCTCTCCCCGCGTGGACTCGGGAATGCTGGATGCGTGATTCTTCTCATCGCAGGCCTTTTGCTGCTGTTGTGCGTTCTCGGGCCAGTTTCCTGCCAGCCACTACGCTCACTACCAATAGTATTGGCTATCCCGTTCTAACGTTCTACGACCGGACAAAATTCGACACTGGGGGTGCTTTCAACGTCGGCGGTATTAATTCAACAGGGCAGATACCGCTCATTGGTAATTTCGGCCTCATTGACCAAGACACGCCTCGGGAAGCATACACGAGGCCGTCGTGGGTTAGCGGTCAGCAAGACATGCAGCTCGTATTTTCGGACGAATTCAATGTGGACGGACGGACTTTTTATCCTGGAGACGACCCATATTGGGAGGCTGTAGACCTTCACTATTGGGTGAGTGCATTAATATCGGAACAAACTTTCGTAAGTTTACCCCATATTCCGTCAGGCCACCAACAACTTGGAATGGTACGACCCGGAGGCTATAACAACGCAAGACGGCTCTCTGGTTATCACATTTTCTCAGAAGCAGACTCATGGATTGAATTATGAAGGCGGTGAGTATTTAGTCCATCACATTTATGTGATTTATGACACTCATAAACTAGGTTTGCTCTCTACTTGGTTCGTTACTCAATTTCTATGGGTGTTCGTTGACCCCTCCTCGTTGTACAGGAACAAGTTCTGTTTCACTGGTGGTTATATTGAGACCTCGGTACAATTACCAGGTGCTAGTAATGTGGCAGGGCTTTGGCCCGCAATATGGGCGATGGGAAATCTTGGTCGTGCGGGCTATGGGGCTTCGTTGGAGGGTTTAGTAAGTCGCATTGTGCCGTTTCGTCCGGCCAATCGTTGAAGCTACATACAGTGGCCCTATTCATATGACAGTTGCGATGTTGGCACCGTCGCCAACCAAACCGTGAATGGACAGCCCGTAGCGGCGACGATAAACGGCGACGCGAGCAAAGGCGGGGTTCTGTCCTACATGCCAGGGCAACGATTATCTCGATGCACTTGCTCAGGCGAAAGCCATCCGGGACCCAAACATCCGGATGGCACATTTGTTGGACGTTCGGCGCCTGAAATCGATATTTTTGAGGCACAAGTACGTCTTCCTTTTTTTTGGCTCCAAGAAATCGCCTCTGACAAGTGGACTCACGTAGTCCAGTGGGAGTGGAGTGGGCGAAGTTTCGCAGTCCGCTCAGTGGGCAGTAAGTAATTCATGGCATTCAAATTACTCTTGGGCTGATTGTATGCTAGCCCTTTGACGCTGGATATCTCTGGAACAGCACGGCAGAGAATATGATTATTGCCGATCTCACCACAAGCAAGCTGAACACGTATATTGGGAGTGCAACCCAGCAAGCCACTTCAGTCGTCACAAACACCAATTCCAACTGTTATGAACTTGGCACAGGGTGTTACTCCGTCTATGGCTTCGAGGTGCGAAACCTCGGCAGCCCCATTCCCCGTTGCTGACTTAGATCATTCCGCAGTACAAACCAGGCATTTACTCCACCTTCCATATCCTTTTACCCCACGAATTGAGCGCTTGTCCTGTGGTCACCTAGGGTTCGATGACGGTGTACGTATTCAATGAGTCGAAGGGTCCGTTCAATCGCTGATCAAAGCGCAGTACATTACCTGGATATCGAGTAACCAAGTCGCATGGACGATGAAGGCGGCTGGAGTAGGACCAGACCCAAGCGTCCAGATTTCTGCAAGACCGGTATCACAAGAGCCAATGGTTGGTTCCCGAGTCTGCATATCAGATGATACTCTTAACGTCTTTGTTCCCTAGTACATCATCGCGAACCTGGGGATGTCGACAAGCTTCGGGGCCGTCGACCTCACTGCTCTAGCCTTTCCTGCCCACATGAAAATCGACTACGTTAGAGTTTATCAGCCAGCCAATGCCGTCAATATAGGCTGTAATCCACGCGACTTCCCTACGAAGGATTATATCGACAAGTATGTCTTGACCGGATATTCTGCTTCTTGCATGACAACGTTTCCTTTCAGATACATCGAGGCGTACACCAACCCCAATCTCACGACGTGGGAGGACGACTACCATCAATCATGGCCAAAAAGCTCTTTTCTGGATCAGTGTTGATATTTTTGAGCTGCTGGAATACTTCTTCATAATTTACATACTCTATACCATTATCATCCAATATTTCTGCCCGGACAATATCTTGTTTTATTAGCTCTTCAACTTTCTTCTGCTTTCTTGAGTTACGATGCAACCCCTATACACGACAATGTACAAATACGTGACGTCGCATGAATAACATAGGCAGGGCAAGTGATTCGTTTGTAGAGTGCAACTCCTTCCGGGTGGTGTGTCATTAGCTGTCTGGAGGAACAAGTACTAGGTGGTTGAAGAGCTGGTAGAGCAGGCCATGAAATTGAGCAGCCTCGGGTTAGTGGTGATGATAGTATCTCCCTCGAGACCCAGTTGGTTGTCGTCGCGGTTGCTCCGAAAGTCAAGGGTTTGTAGGAAGATGTCCCGCTGTTGTCGAGGTTGAGATACAATTTTGATCCATCTGCGCTGTTCAGGGAGATTGTACCACCGATAGTGAGGCGCCCAGCGGATGACTCTGGGCCAAGTACTGGTTTCCCATCTATGTTCCAAATTAGCGTTAATCGTATATCTCAGATTTCTATGTTCCGGCGGCGTACTGCTATTCTGAAGGTAGAAATGATAGACGGGAGCTTGCACGGTACGGATCTGAGAGCCAGTAGGCGCTGGTCCTATCGCCGTGGTAGTTGGCGGGGCAGCGACCGTAGTAGTGGTAGCGCCTTCTGGATCCGTGGCAATTGTTCCAGGTGCCGAGCCAGGGATGCATTGTGAGTAATCTAAGCGCCCGAATTTGAATTGATCAGGAAGGGAAATGGGCGCCTAATCTCGACATATAGGGGTTGCTGTATGTACAAGTGTACCCTGAAACACAAGTAGTAGAGCCACTCCCTATCGGAGAGTAACAGCTATGCATGAGCGTCTGCGAAGGTACAAAAATCTCACCAGCCCTGACCATCGCACTGACCCCAAGCTGGAGATTGGGCGTTGGTGACCGAAAATGTCAGAGCACTGAGGAGCACTGGGGCAATATAGTCGAGGATCAAGAGAAGGGGGCTCCATCCCATACTTGTTCTATGTATGTTTTGTATCGTCTCCGGGTCGGGTGAAGGTAGGAGATTTTCCGCTTTTCCGATGCTCAGCAATTAGAGGGAATATCTTCGGGAAAGTTATACGTGTCCTATAACGTTCAGCATTAAGATTTCCCGTATATGCAATATGGGATTGGGCTTAAACAACGGAATTTACAGTATCTTCTCAACCTCTAGGCCATTGACGGCATTTAACGACCAGATTAAGGTGTAGAAAGAAGCACACACTAGTCCGATGGCGGCACCGAGTCCGCTTGAAGAAAACGCAGCCAGACGGATCGGAAGCAATTTGGACTTTGAACAAGACCACTTTTCCATCGAAAAATGTCTCTCCGAAGCAAGCAAATTCGACGCGGACGCCGTGTTGTTTTCCTTCTTGCATGTTTGACCGCGAACAGATGTTGCACACGGCTCGAATAGGGGCATTTGATCTCTTGTTCTTGTGTTCCACACCGGTGGCTGTCCCACCGTCGCATATAAGCACTGCGCACCCATGTCATGCCTGCCTCCTCTTACGAACCCCTCCCCACATCAGAGTCCAACGACAGGCTTGTAGAGCGCCCTCACCTAGAAACCGACAACCCCCCGCCCCCCCAAAGGAACTTCGCAGCCGCACGCCGCTGGCTTATTCTTGGATTTGCTTTTTGCCTTGTCGCGCTTCTTTCTTTCCGAGCGGGACAATCCTCCGTTGCCCCGAAGTTCCCCTCACCAGACACTCCAGAACACAAGCCAGACACTGATCGACCCTGTTCACCCGACAATCCCACTATGCCTTGTGATGGTAAATACAGTGTCGGATAGTAAGTCGCGTTGCTTCTCGTCTTAACCCAATCTCACCCAGACTGTAGCTTCGTCAATTGGTATACAATCCATCCTTCTTTCATGGTCCAACACGTCTCTGACCTCGATCTGCAGGGGTATCTACGGCCGGAAGTTCCCTCCCTCCCTCATCCCGGTGCAAGACCTCACGTAGGTTCACTCCACTCATCTGTCACCGCATATATCTAATTTACGCTTCAGCCACATATTGTATGCCTTCGCAAACGTCAAACCCGACACTGGCGAGGTCTACCTATCTGACTTGTGGGCCGATCAAGACATCCATTACCCCGGAGATTCCTGGAACGATGTCGGAAACAACTTGTACGGCAACTTCAAAGCTATCTACAATCTGAAGAAGGCGAACCGCCACCTAAAGGTCCTCCTCAGCATCGGAGGGTGGACGTATTCGCCCAATTTCCATCCTGTTGTGATCAATCCCGCCTTGAGAGCTAAATTCGTCGAGACCTCGGTGAAGATCCTAGAAGACTATGGATTGGATGGTCTGGACATCGACTACGAGTATCCTACGAACGATGAGCAAGCTGCTGGATATACTGGGCTTCTGAAGGAGATGCGGATTGCCTTGGACAAGCATGCTACCAGGAAGGGCTATGGAGCCAAGTTCCTGCTTACAGTGAGTGCTCCTCATTTTCTTCGATGAGACAACGGTTGACGCCAGCGCTCGACAGATCGCAGCACCCTGCGGACCAGACAATTACAAGAAGCTCCACGTTCAAAAGATGGATAGATATCTGGACTTCTGGAACTTGATGGCTTACGACTTTGGTTCGTTCCTTGGCTTGTCCTCTGCTCTCTCATGTTCTTAGTCGATTCTTTTTTGTAGCCGGATCTTGGGATTCTGTCACTGGTCATCAAGCCAACTTGTACGGAGGACCTCTAGGCGCTGCTTCTGCCGTCAACTGGTACATATCTCAAGGCGTCATGCGCGACAAACTCGTCCTCGGCGTTCCCCTCTACGGGCGGTCCTTCCTCAACACTGATGGGCCTGGGTCCTCCTTCTCCGGCATGGGTCAAGGAACTTGGGAATCTGGGGTATACGACTATCGCGCGCTTCCTCTACCCAACTCGACGGTGAGAGAAGACACAAAGACGGGAGTCAGCTGGTCGTACGACCCAGCCAAGAGAGAGATGATCAGCTTCGATAGCGAGAACATCGCCAGGTTGAAGGGCCAGTACATCAAACGAGAGAACCTTGGCGGTAGCATGTTCTGGGAGCTCAGCGGCGACAAGGGCTCTTCCAGAGAGGGTATGGAGAGCGGTCCTGGGAAGGATCCGCAACCAGGTAATAGTCTGGTTGCCATCGTCAAGAATGCCATGGGCGGCCTTGAAAAGAGCAGCAACTGGTTGTCCTATACCGACAGCAAGTTCGACAACTTGAAGAAGGGAATCCCTTAGTTAATACACGTGTAGAATAACTTTATTGACCTGCATAGTGATACAACGGACCTGGAATACCGTCATTTTAATTGTTACAGCGTCTTCTTGAATGGACGAAACGATCGTGAATAGGTACATGGAGGGGGTGTAGAGTGTTCAGGGCAGAGTAGGATCAGGACGCAAGATGTCGAGCTTCAAGGTCCAATGCGTTGGTATGCCCGGTTTCCGGCGGCCCACTGGTGGCCAACATCTGCAGAAATGCCCGTCGTAATCACCCCGATGGTGGTCAGGATGGCGACAACCCAGGAGATCGTATGGAGGACGTAGGCGAGCCCTGTTACGTAGTAAGGACCTAACAAAACGTTCCCTGAACATCACGGACTTACCTGGTCGGGCATGCTCAAATGTTGGGTAGCTTTCTTTCCTGTACAATTCTGTCACAATCACGAAAGCGAAGAGTAGGCAGATGGCTGCACAGGGATCAGTATGAGTCGAGGAAACATGCATTAAACCACATACCCTGCAAGAGAACCAAGCCAGCAACTGCTCTCCATATCCTCCTCCTGCGTGAGTGCGTGCTCACGCCCACCAAGATCGCCAGTAGGGAGACGCTGCCAAAGCCGATGCCGATCTGTGCGAGGTATCCTGCACTCGTCCAAGCGGCACAGAACGCCTCGTTCTCCTTGTCGCAGCCGTCGGTTACACTGGCAGGGAAGCGTCTGCATTCATACTTCCTGTATGTGATCTTTCCACCGTCGGAGGGACTAGGTATCTCCGAAACGGTGAGCTCGCAGCGTTGGGTGAGACCGTATGTTACGGTGACTCTGGTATGGAAGATCTCTTCGTACTTGACGACAAGCCTGGAGAAGGCATAAGTTCGTGGAGTTCCAGGAAGCTTGAACCTTTCCCTACCAGTCTGGTCGGCGGGTGGAAATTACGTTCTGAGAGGGGAGTCAGAAATAGAAAACGACCAAGGAATCATGTTCTGAGACAGACAAATGCGAGGATGAGTGCCACAACGGCGAAAGTAACGACATATGAGGTCTTCCTCATGATGCAAGCCGGTCTTCAAAGGGGGACTATCGGGGTAGAGCACGAAAGTCGAGCGCGAAAGGCGCAGTCAGAAACATCTGGACTTTGGCGAGGGCCATTACGTCACGTGTAGAGTGACGTTCACAACTTTGAACTCAAAGTGACAGTCAGGCTTGCAGCAACCAAACATTCATTACGATGGAAAGGTAGATAGACGACGCAGTTCTAAAGAAGGGTAATGTCAAGTCAAAGAACCTCATTCCCTTTAAATCAGTGTCTTGGAACACCCCGGACGACATCGGGATAGGTTTCTGCGATAAGCTGTCATAGGCAGATCAGTGGCAATTCTCCTTCTATAAAAAATACAGGTTCTTACCGCGAACAACTCCGGCGCACGATTGGCAAGGACCTGGGGATCCTCTCCGAGTCCGACGAAACTATAAGAAGAGTCAGATACAAACAGGTTCAGAGAGAAACATAAGCCTACATTGTCGATACGCCGGCCTCAATCGCGGAAGACATAGTCATGGCTGAATTATAATAAGTTCCAGTCGAAATCCAAGAGGGAAAATAACCACGCACAGCAGACTAAGCCGATCAAGAACGCAAACAGAACCACAGGTGCGGTGTATTGACCGTTCACGTTGTAAGACGGCGCCGTGACTTGCTATTTGTTAGGAGTTTGTTTCTTGCATCATGAATGGAGCGCTTACAACGCAGGTATAGATAGGCGAACAAAGATGACATCAGGCCAATCGCATATGCGCCCCACATGAGAGCTGGATGAGACTAAGAAAAGTTGTTGAAGGAGGCACAAAGTGACAGCCTTACTCATTCCGACAAGAGAGTCGTTCACAAGAGCATCGATACCTGAAGTAAGGAATAAGAAGACGCGTATCGAGCGCCCAGACAAAAAATCCTACCCCGATCTCTGAACATCCTCCAAGTATCCTTCGCGGCGGCAATGTAGGGCTTGCCATAGAGTGCTGGAATAGGATGTGAGGAAGGAAAGAAGTCGAGTATTTATACTTTCGCTGACCAATTTCAATGTATGCATATCTGGTCATAAATTTCGTCAGCGTTAATGGATACTTGTTTCGCTCGAGAAGCGTACCTGTTGAAATATTCCACCATGCTCTGGAGGATACCCACAAAGCATGCAGCGCAGCACGCAAGACAAGCCTCAACGGCTGAAAGGAAGATACTGAGAATGAGACCACTTTATAGTGGGCATGGACATACGATGACCCTCTGCATTTGCGTTGGCTTGCGCGGCATTCAGAATGAGCCGCAAAAGGTCCAGAATAGTGACGATCAAGGAGCCAAAAGCGATGGAACCCAGAGAAAGAGTAGAGGCACGTCCGAAGGCAGACATAGTGGGATGCTTTGGCTGAAGACGGAAAAGAAATAAATTGCCTACTCAAACGGCCGTGGAGGACTATCCTTACCATTTCACCAAGTTCTCGAGGCCCAAAGTAATACCAGGATCCATAGGGTCCGCCAGCCAAGGTCGCCAAAGAAACATTGCCAATGACCTGGGACGTCCAGAGGAAGGAGAACGTCTCAAAGAAAAGAAGGCCGGCAACCTTCCCACTAGAACAGCCGGACGTTGCACACGCTAGAAGGAACCTGAACAAAATATTCCAAGCATCGGAGCGGAATGTAGAAACGTACAAGGATTTCCCGGCGTCCATTTGGCATAGCTAAAACGTCGCCAGATCAAAACCATAGCTTGGCGCAAAGGATGAAGCCTGGGCTTACGTGGCAATGACAGTGAATGTGAACCAGCTATAGAAGAGTGTCAGAGGAATCGGGGACTGTAATGGAGGCACATACACCGAAAGAGCTGCTTGCAAGAACAAAGCAGTGAAGGCGACGGCATACACGCTCAAGTGATGTTTTGAGACATCCATCACGACCTGGAGAAGTAACGAGGCAAGCGGAATCCTAGATCTGAAACCGAAGTAGGAGAGGACAGAGAGGACGGCGATTATGGTGAAAATAATGGCGCCAGCTAAGGAAACAATTGAGAAAGATGGCTGTATGAACAGCGTGACGACGACTGACAATAGTACTTGGTGATCCAATAGTAGATGCATATTCCACTGTCAGGGCAGTCAGTGAATGGCGATACACGAAAGAGACAAGGTTGCGGTCTTACATGTTGAGCAAGATGGTAAGGACAAGCGTGATGTGCATAATCATCTTCGTGAACATGCGTGTGAGCATGAGGTAGACGATAGATAGCAGCACCGCAGCAGCGGTAATGAGGAGCAAGAGGTACACAGTGCTCCTGTCGGCGAGGATTCATCAGGAGCGTCGGCGGGATGGGGAAGACGGACCTCACCTATTCAAAGTAACAGAAGTGCCTGTCTGCCCGCCACTCTTTCCCAGTCCGCCGCCCAATCCTCCTTGCGATATCCATTCGTTGAGGGCAATTCCTGAGAGTGCAGCAAATCCTAGCAGCTACGATGAACGGTCTAAGACGAGGAATACGAGCCGTCGCCAAGTCAAACGTACTTGGAGGACGAAAAGGACGAGGAAAATGGGATCATTGATCTTTTTCTTGGGCTTGAACCTATCGCCTTCGTAAGGGTTCTTGACATCCCCCCCGCCGTAAGGCTGAGGCGGAGGGGCGTAGTTAGGTTGTTGCGCATATTCGGGGGTTGGGCCCGGATAGGGAGCGGGTTGTTGGTACATAGGGTCCAGCCGTATGTATGGTGTCTGGGGCGTTGAATTCGTCAGTTTGAATGAAGACGAGGGAAGTGGCTAACGATATAAAAATATCGGGTAAAGCCTCACTGAAGCCTGCAGTGAACGTTCACACCAAGAATCTTGTCAGATCTCGGCGCCAGCTCATTTCCAGGCCCGCGGGAATCTTCAAGTCATCATCGTCATGCCAAGAGTGAACGTTTGAACGTTGAACGTTGAACAATTACACTTAGCCTACACTAGCCGGGATAAAACTATTTGGAAACCCCCTTTCCACGGAAACCCTGGGTTTCTTGTCATTGATGTAGAAACCCCCCACATTTGTCCTTCCATCAAAAGCTTGCGCATGTTTGGCTTTCCGGAGGCGCGGCCGGCGATGTGGGAGGCGCTCAGAAGCGCCTCAAGCGCCTTTTGACGCTGGCATCTATTACTTATACAAAGGCATTGAGCCTACGGAAGGCAAGAACCTTCAGCTCAGGTATTCCAATCAAAGCAGTTCACGCAGAATGGGTCCTCGCAATCCCTGAACACTGCAGGTTGACTGAACTGGCAGGAGGCGCCGAGGCGAGAGCTATGTCTTACTAGTGTCCGAGTCCAGCACCGGTTAGGCACTCCCAAGACACGAGGACGAGTGAATTTTGCTGGGTGCTGGAGAGGGCCGAGGTGCCCCGAGCAGGTCGCTAGCTCTGGGGAATGCGATATAATAGCGGTAAAGATAGGCTACGTACAGGTGAATCTACCTATAGGTGTCACGTGACTCTGGAGGCAACTCTCCCTATTCCAGTGCTCTACATAATAAATTCTTAAATAGTGCTCTAGTGTTATGTTTGTGTGAATCATGCCTAATCTTTCGTCACGGTGGGCTTAAATAACTTCTTCCAAGCAGCTTGGGAGACGAGTGAGCCTTTACTCTCTGAGTGTTCAGAGATCTACTGAGATACAGACTCTTTATACAGATTAATCAAGCATTAGAGAAAGCAATGTATGATGGTGTCGCTCATTGTCCCTTTATTGTCTATCAAGCCCTCCTGTGCCGACGTTGCAAATGATGCCCGCCTCGCCTCACGAGCGCTTCCCAAACCAATCGCGCCCCGTGCGTCTCACACTTTAAGCTCAAAATATCTACCAACCTTCTTTCATACAGCTAATTCTGGTATGGATTTACTACAGGGCGTAAAAGCTGGAGGGAAGGGGAGTAACAGCTCAAACAACGTCGACTTGGGAAAAGCTGACGACGCCATGGACGGTGCACGGTGACATATTTGGCCGACATCACCGGACAGGCACGATCATTCATGCTCGAGGAACCGGGTTTCCGAACAAGTTATTTGGAAATCCAGGGTTTCTGCTGGAAAGGGGGGTTTCCAAATAGTTTTATCCCACTAGCCGAGATATACAGAGCTATACAGACTTACATCGAGTCTAACTATGACTGTAGACATTTACAGGGCAACCCGAGGATAGAAAAGAGGAAACAACGTGGTGAATCGAGTGGCTATGCTGCGTGTTTGAACCTCACAACGATAACAGTTACATTGTCCGTAGTATGGTGCGAGAGCGCATGTTTCAGCAGTTTGTCGCTGGCATGCTGCGCATCTTCAATGTCGCGGATTAGTTCAATGGCCGCTTGATCGCCAATCACATCCCAGAGCTGAAAGAGCAAGGCAGTAAGCAAACGAGTTCCTCGGGGCTAAGGAAATTATCTCTCTCACCCCATCGCAGGCCAGGACTAAGAACTCATCCTCCTGGCAAAGCTCCGTCTCTGTCGTATACGGAGCCCCAACAACGAATTCCTTCATAGAGGAGTCCCCAAGACTTCTTGTAACAGCAAGGACACCGTTGACGCGTCCACTCATAACAAAACCTCCGGCATCAGTGATCCGTTTCGCCTCTTGCCTGTCTGATCCCTTGTGGTCGTACGTTAGTCGCACGGCCTTGCCTGCTCGGCAGAGAACTCCCCGTGCATCTCCAGCGTTAGCACTGTAAAGGACACGCCGGCCCGATGCCGGAGGAATTGTGATATTCGGGCTATCCCCAGTTGTCTTCAGCGACGAGTTGGGAGATGACGAGCCCGAGATGGACGACGATGACAGCCGGGATCCACCTCCCAAGCTCCGGAGGGCCTTGCGAATCCGGCTGGTGCTCGATGACTTCTCTTTCTTAACTTTCTTACTCGTCTTGCCGTCAATGTCATCTTTGGGAGATATACTCTCCACACTGCTTGCTAGAGGGCTGCTACTGGCTGGGGGCTCGGTTGCATCATCGACGGGAGAATCAGGAATAGGAGAAGATGGGGGGGTAAGAAATGGCTGGTGCCCTCCCGCGTCTTCAACTCGGAGAAATGCAGTCACTGCAGTGCACCCTGAATGGATCTTGCCTTCGGATTCTTCGCACATACGAGATAGAGACTCGTCAACAGCGTGGAATGTTTGATTTAGAACATCTGGAATTGGGACGGTGGGCGACGCGTGGATAGCATCGAGTAGATACTAGAGAAAAGCTAAGCGCCTGACGCGTGCAAGAAAGAACGAGATAACTACCTCATGGAAGTGAGATCCACACCATTCAGCTGCGTGTTTCCCAGCATGACCATCAAATACAGCGAAGAAGCCTTGACCACGTATGGAGTCGAAGTCGACAACGAATGAATGAGCGTCCTCCATGGTCCTTCGAGTACCCTTGTCTTCTGAAACGCCGACACGAAAGGTGGGATGATTGGTGGAATGGCGATTGAGGACCTATTCAGCTTATCAGATGGGATACGACGCGAAATGAGACAGGAACATACACCATGGGTGTCTAGGTCAGCTGCGGTTATGGATTTTGAACGGGCATTGGGGGAATCAGTGAAGCGGGGAGTCATGGTTTGAGTTAGGAGAGGGTCATGATCATTGTGGCCCATTTATTCCATCATTCGGAGTTAGCCGACGACCCTTCATCTCCTCCGTCCATTTCGTCCCACCTAGTGCATGTCTCAGCAATCCGCCGCTGCAAAGCCTTCGCTCCAGGGCGTCAGAATAAAAGCAAGAAAGGGTGCTGTAAAGGCACACGCTAAGCACGAACCGTCCGGTATGAGTCCTACACGCTGTCAAAAGTACCGCCAGCCTCACATTCCGTTTTCAGTCTTCAGAGATCAACTTTACAAACACCTCGAAACCGTACCCGAGGGCGATTTTGATTCCTTCGCTACTAAGTTCGTACAAGCAGGATCTACTCTCGAATACCTCAAATATGCAGATGCCCTCTTCGAGATCATCCTTGTTGGCGGCCTCCTCCAGCCAGGCGGTAGCTACGTCGATGATGGTGCACCGGTATCTCCCTTCACTATCTTCAATGCTAAAGAACCGGCGGAGGTGGACGACATAAAGAAATACGTTGAGGTCATCAATAAGCTTACTAGAAGGTGTGGTCCATATTTCTGACCTTTCTCGTGTAATCTTATCTCCCGATCAGATACAAGTATCTTCAAAAACCTCTTGAAGAATCTGCACTCCCCACTTTGCTTCAGTACATCCACCGCTGGACACCTGTTCAGAAGGACAAATTTAGTACTGCAGTCGGGCTTCTGATTTCTCAAGGCCTTGCAAGCGCTTCTTGTCTCCAGAGTTTGACCAAGGACCATCTCGTCAAGAATGGTCAGTTGGATTTCTTTCAGCTATTGAGTTGGAAGCATGCTTATTCTTCGTTTTAGACGTGGCTACCAGCGTTCTCACCATTATAATCCGTGCTTACCTCGTGGACCAAAGTATGGACCATCTGTCGGCTGCTTTGAAGCGCGGAGGCATCAAGGACCTGCTCCTTTTCTTTCCACCGAACAAGCGCGAAGGCAAATTCCTCGACGACCATTTCAGAAAGGAAAATTTGCCCCAAGTCGCAGAATGGTGGGCCAAAAAGCAATATGCTGTTGTAAAGGAGGGTATCGTCAAGGACCTCACTGAAATGCAAGAGCACGGAGACACTCCTGAGCAGGTTAGCCCTTTACACTTTTCTTCCCTAACGTCTGTTCACAAGTCCATAGATCGTCGGTGCTATCAAATCACGCCAGGAAGAATCGCCCATTCCAGAAGCGGAGTTGGTTCAATGCCTTTGGTCAGGTCTCATGGGATCCGTGGATTGGAGCGCCAGACCAGATCAGATTGAAGGCCTCGCTCTCCGGGAAGTCACGGTAGGCGACCAAATCTACATCCACCAGCATCGAGTATTGACCAAACCCCTCAGAAATATGCCCCTATACTTGAACCATTCTGCGAAACTGGCAAGACCCAAATCGCTCTTATCAACGCCGTTCAGGTCTACTGTTATGAAGACACCCGTATTATCAAGGCCTTCCCCCAGATTCTTAAAGTCTGTTCCCCCGCTGTTTGACACTTGAATGTATCCTGATAAAATTTCGGGAAGGTATTGTACAACAAGGACTGTATTTCCGACCAAGCTATAATTTATTGGTACCAGAAAGGCTCGAAGCCCCAGGGACGCCAGCATTTCCTCAAAAGCACAGAGCCTCTTGTCAAGGTACGATCTCAATATCACATTGCATTTTCGTCATAATGAACGTCGCACAAACAGTTCCTGCAAGAACAGGAGTCCAGCGAGGAAGAGTAAATCAATCATAGACTATCGTAATGTGTTCTGCTGCTATCCTGTCATGGATCCTTCGTATTTTTTCTTTTCTTTTCAAGTACCAGAAATCAGGAAATAGAACGATTATACAAACCGAAATTCGCTGAACAGACAAGAAAGCGCGAGATACAGAATACAAAAAAATACAAGCTTCGGAGGAAAATCACAAAATGTTTTACCAAGCCTCAGGCATAGGTGCAAAATCTCCAGCCCATCCGTTCTTGCCCATTGACAGGAATATGCCATCGGAACCGTTGACTGGGAGGCCGAGATCCGCCAAGCTCTGAAGAACAAGGTGAGACAGAGGATTGGACTAGCAGAAAGAGTTTTACCTGTTCTTGTAACCATACAGGAATGGCAGCAGGGCTGAATATACCTCTGTCGTTGGGCCAGACGAATCCGAGCTCCTCCATGGTGAAGGGAGGGGGCATGCCAGGATCATGGAAGGTCGACGTTGGAGACACAATCATGTTTTCGGCAAAGGGAGGTGGCGGCATTGTTGGTGGGGCTGGCGTGGTCATGCCGCTTCCTAAACCAACCTTTCGGCGAAGGTTGGCGAGCATGATACGCAAAGTTAAAGCATATCTGTATGACCGATAGCGATCAGAGAGTGACGACAGAATGCTTGGTTGCAAAATATAGCTTTCCTTTCTGCAGCTACGTCGGAGAGGAGTTGGGCTAACTGCTCGACCTGGGTCGTGATAGCTCCTAAGTCGAGCTCAGTGGGGAAAAGGTTGGCCATCTTAAGGAGGAAAAGGCCCGAGAACGCGGCAGTGACGAGGCTGTCATGGACAGCGTAGCGAAGGGCAGCTCTAGGAACATGAGCGGTAAGTGTGCCGATCATAGATAAACGACACAGACCGGCCCGTACCGGTATTCTGACGAGTTGAGGAATATGGACAGGCAGTTGGAGGCCGCATCTTTGGCTTGGAAAGCGAGTTCACGCTGTTCAAACGGCATTTTATCCCATGCGACCCCGCGAAGAGCCACGCAGACAAGCCATAATTTCGCATAGTGTAATTCTCCGGCCAGTACTTTGCGCAAAAGTGAATCCTGATCCATCGTACGGCCTGAAGCGGGAGACCCATAAAGACAAGCTATGCATGAAAGGGAATCGGTAGACTGACGATGGAGCTCATCACAGCTGGACCACCACTTATCGAGAGCATCATTAGCTCTCCTGATAATGGACAGGGTATTGCCGGTAACTTGTCCGTTCAATGGGGCTAAAAAGTCGTAGATTTGGGCTAAAGAGCAAAGATTAACAATTATTGCCGGAGATACGAAGAACATCCTACTTTTGTGGGCAATCAGCTCAACCAAGGAGATCAGGCGGACGTCAGTTGGAGACGCCATTGGGTGAGTTAACAGGATCCTGCAGTGACGGATGGTGTTCTCGTCCCTCAGGACGATGGGCCGGCCCGTTCCAAGACTCATTCTATAAATGGTTAAATGTCAAACTCGACTTATTCATCTCAACAACACGCACTGATGGTCAAACCAATATAAACAGAGCCATATCCTGGCAGAGACGACTGTGTGGCACGTCAGTAGGCGTCCAGATGATAAGAAAATGATCGTGAGTCAATTACCAAGGTTGCGTTCTTCCTCTTCGGACCGCTGCTTGCCGCTATCCTCCGCCAATTTTTCCAAGGCACGGTGAAGCCCTAGATCGAGGGCCATACGCATCGCGTGTCCACTAGGGAGCCAACCATTGGTGCTCCAGGCAGCGAGCAAGAGCATTCCTATATATATGCGACAATAAGGACTTATTTGTGTCCGGGGGATGAATGGTTTTCATTTACCTTGTACGGCCTCTTTCCTTACAACAGGTCCGAAAAGGGAGGAGCGAGCGATACCTTGAGCTTCTTCCAGACATTTGTAGAATGATGGACTGAGAGGCCCGTTTCCACTGCGGATTTTGCCGGCTACAGCGAGGATTGCGTCGAAAGTCCAAGGTGATCTTTCCATCAAGCTTTCATAGGTATCATAGGAGGGATCGAAAAGCGGTATAAAGAGATGGCATCCTGCAAAAAAGCTACAAATACAGGTGAACAGGGCGATGGCTAAAAGTGATGGGTAAATCTACATGTTAAAGAGCTCTCGAGCTTCTGAATCGGTGACCAAGCCCTAGATATCGGGAAAATAGAATAGAACTGAATAAGAGTATTTGAACAAATAGCAGAGCACTTACCTTTTCGACGACATGGGGGAAGGCATTCCTTGGGATAGGTTCAGCGCGCTTGCGTTTCTTAACCCTAAAGTACAGTCAGTTTCCTTAGCATAGAGATAAGTGGTCAACGATACCTAGGCGGTTCTGCGGATGGGGCTGCTGCAGCTTCAGCCGCAGCATTGGCCAATCCTTGGAGTGCCTCGATCGGGGCATTAAGAGATGCTCTCGGGAGGGTATCCTCCGACTCATCATCAGACGAGGGCGCGGTGCTAGGAACTATGCCGTAGTTTGCATATTTGTGAGACTAACAGATGTGAGTGTGAGCTTGGAGATGGAATGTGCTGAACAAGGAGAGGCTCACAGGCGGGGCGAAACCCGGCAACGGCGGGAAGACCCTTCCACGGTCAGAGGGCCCGGCGCCGGATTCAAATCCATTTCGGTGTTGAGGAGGCATTCCTCCTCCCTCGCGATGGGGCTCCATGTGCGGGGGGTACATGGGAGGTGGCATAGCCATGCTGCCGTTGCTCTGGACAGCCGAAAGGATGCGGTCGAGAGAGGACTGCATGCCTATCATCTGGCTTTGCATGACCTACGATTACGAGAGAAGAAAGGAACTTAGTCAGTGAGCAGGTTTCTTGGGTCTGATTGGACATACCAGATACTGGCCCTCCAATCTCGAAAGGCGCCTGCGTGGCATGTGAGTGAGATATGGTAACAAGGAGGGAAAACGGGTGCACACGCACTCAACACTAGCATTGGACAGGGCCTGTGCATTTTTCTTCTCTGGTTTTTCGAAAACACAGGGAGTACCACTCGCTTGGCAGCGTCGACAGGGAGCCTGTGGGGCGAAGAGCCGGGCCGGGGAACGGGGAGGCGGGCCTCAGTGAGCAGAGCGGATCGCCAGGACCGCGAGATGAACACATACCTCTCCTTCACATCTGTTTTTGCCCTTTCTGCAGGCAGTGCAGGCCCGAGCACCTCGCTTGGGGATGTGGGCCGAGGGTGTCTGAGTGCTCGCCGCCTCAGCGGTTGACGTGAGAGCCATGTTTGGAGAGGCGGCAGCAGCAGTCTTTCGTTTCTTCGCAGCGGCCTCTGAGCCGTTCGAGATGGACGCAGAGGGGCTCTGGGACATGGTCGGTTGGGGGATAGATATGAGAGACTGAACAGTGGGCGGGAAGCAAATCCGAACAGCTCCGGTTCATCTTTTCACGTTGAATGGCACGTGTCACGCTGTCACTTGACCCTCGAAGGCTATCTTCGCCCATTCAATGTTAACTCCTGCACCGTGCGCACGATCTTCACCAGCCCGACCTTCTGCGATCCCACGCAGTTATGTTACCCTCGTTCCTCCGCCCCCTGTGTGCCCCCACCCTGACCCCTGAGTCAACAGTCACCACCGGAACGGGCCAGCCCCCACGTGCGCTTGTTCTCCTCACTCGCCACACATGGACGAAAAGTCCATGACTCCATGAGCTCCCCCCACTGGAAGGGACAATCTCGCGTCTTGAAAGTCTGCCATTGGTGCGCAAAGAAGCAAGAGCCCGGGAAAAAGCCGTTTCAAGCCTGTGGCAAATGTAAAGAGGTCCGCGCGCCGTCTTCTTCCTTTGGTCCTCGCTAAGCCCACTTCCTCTCGTTCCAGGTCATCTATTGTGTATGTTGGGTTCTGTTAAAATTATCAGCCATTCACTCTATCTAAATTTGGATCATTGTTCTCCGCAGAGCAGGGAATGCCAGGTTGCAAGCTGGCCGCTTCACAAGGTCTGTACTTCGTTTGGGAGCGCTTATCATTTATCTAATCCCGCTTCGTAAAGGCACCATGCAAAATTAGCTCAGACGCCAAAACCGCTGCTGCCGACCCTGCTGCAGCGACGGCAGTAGCTAATTTCAAGAAATGGCAAGAGTCCATCATATTATACATATTATCAACCTTTCTCACTCCGGGTTGCTCAGGCATTCCTCCCACCTCCCACCCCTTCGCCAAGCAGCTATTTGTGCGCTGGACCTCGGTCATAAACCCACCGTTTTGGACGACAATCTTCTTTTTATTGATATTAAACTCAAGTTTGGCCACAAGGATTTACCTCCGAATCGGCGCTATGAACCCGTTGGTGGATTTTCCATGACGATGGCTGAAGTACGGGAAGTATTCGGTAATTATGCTTTCCGGCTCAGTGCATGTTCCCGCCTCATGCAATCCTCCAGGAAATATGGGAGTGGGGACCATTCTAGACAGCTTCAAAGACGTAAACGATCATATGCGAAAGAAGGGAGGACTCGGAGTTGTTGCTGTAATGCTGCGTGCCCACGACATCGTCGACATTGTCAAAATAATCCTACCTTCTCGAGCCAGCACCAAGGCTGCACAAGAGGTAGATGATTGGGGTAAAGACTGGGTAAGTTGGCCGCGTTCATTTTGAGGCGTCGTGGAGTAACTGAAGTGTCCTTTTAGCTAGAGAAACTGCGCCTTGCAGTCGAGATTGATTGATGTACAGGGTGCGAAAGTTCAAATTTCGCTGATCCGTACGCAACACTACCGAAGAACGATTATGTTGAAAGCCAGACTTATTCGAATTCTTCGTAATCTTCCCCTATCCCGAGGTATTGACGAATATCCTCAACACCGACGCTACTTTGTCTCGTAAAGTAACCAACCAACACACTGTAATTGTCTGTGCGGCCACCAGACGATTTAAGTGCATCTCCTAGGATAAAGAAATTCAAGCACTGTACCGGTCCAGCGATACACAGCTTCCTTGGCAAGAAAAGCCGCCCGCTTTGCTTCCTCTAGCTTTGCTGGGTTTGAATCGCCGTATGCGTTCAATTCCGCTTCTAGCGTGGACAGTTCTTTCTTCAATTCGCCCAGCTTCGCCAAAGCATTGGTTCGGGCATCCTGGATTCGACATGATGAGCAGCACCAGAACGAATCCTGCTAGAACTTGCTGATTCAACTCTCTCTGCCTTTGCAAGTTCCATTGAAGCTCTGAGCTCTGTAATCTGGTTTTGATGCGTCGTCCGAGTTTCCTTCGTTGTTGCTAATTTTGCTTGAATCTATCAAAGCGACAAAATAAGCCAATTCGAGGTGTTCCTCACATATACTTACAAGGACACCTTGCTGTGAAGGGAAGCTCCAGAAAACTTGGAAACACAGATCAGAAACGCGTGAAGTGGGACTAGAGTCAAATATATGCGCCTCACAGTTGGAGGAGCCAATCTTATCTCCTTGCACCAGGCCATCGTCTACCAATGACTGCAAGACCTCTTTGACGGATTGCGACACTAGGGTATTTGTAGGTCAAACCGAACCGCGGGCGTCGAGCAGATGGGCCTGACCTATTCCCTTCAATTTTGGGCCCAATTTTTCGAGTTCCTTCAGCTGTTGGCGTGTTTGAGGGCGTGATTTGACTTCGTCCGGCTGACGTCCCTACATACCTGGTAGAAATCGCGCTTGAAAGAAATGAGCGTCCGACGTGCCAAAGGATAGAGGCGACTAACCGATTCATGAAATATCTCGAGCAACCTAACCCTTTTTTCCTCCGCTGATAATCCTCTAGGAGCCTGTCAAGTGACATGAGATTATGCAGCCCGCAAAATACGTATCCTACTTGCCATTTTTATGCCGTTCAAGGTTGTGGATGAACACTGGGGTGGAGAAAGACCGGATGTAAATCTGATCACCGGAAGGACCGGACCTGTCAAGCTTTCCTCTAAACGTCCATCTCGCACTTGCCACCTTCAGTCTCCTTTGCTCGACAAACGCGCCACGGGAGCCCACTGGCGTTCTACAGACTACAAGTGCCCAATCTCTCACGGAGTATTTAATGCAGAATAGGATCTCTCAGACATCGAGGCGACAATGCAACTATTCGAAGCGTGATCTAAAACGGGAATCCGTGTGCCCTGCCTGGCGCGCAACCTTCCCGGGGTCGTAACAGCCAAGGCAAGGCGCTTTTCCGGAAATAGTTGGTTTATAATAGACTCTCGATTGGTCCTACGTTTCCCACTGCTTTTTACACCCAATACTAGCATCGGTTCGAAATGTCGTTCGCTCAAGTGGTCGTATTTCTTGTTGCGGTGCTGACCTTGGGTTACATTCGACTGCGTCGTGGCATATCTTATTCCGGTGGTGTTCCGCGAGTGGGGAAACCAGGTGTCTGGGGATACATTCAAACAGCTATCAAGTATACACTGGATGCGGAGAATCTCATCATAGAGGGGAGGACACAGTTCGACAACAAGCCTTTCGTCTTACCAACACTGGTAAGCTCGCCCCCGTTCTGCTCTATATGCTCCTTGTAGTGATTCATCACAGTCAGGACCAATTTTCATCCTGGGACCAGAATATTTGGAACGCGTAAGGTCAGGTCCAGACAGTGTGGTATGTCATGGTTCCTTCTCCTCTTTTCTTCAAGTTTAAGCTCCCGTTCAACAGTTCAGTGAGATAATTGCCGTCAATGAAGATCTTCAGCTGCCGTATACAATGGACGCGAACCAGCTCGACAATCCAGTTCAAGCCCACGTAATGCGGACCGATGTCAACCGCGCTATTCCTGCTATGATCCCTGAGATTTTCGAAGAATCTGTCTTGGCCATGGATGAAACTTTCAAGATCCCGAACGGTCAAGGTTTGTACATACGGGTTTCATAAACTTTCCAAAATTCTTAAAGATATCATTTTCGCAGACTCCATTAGCATACCCATTTTCGACACCATGACACATCTAATTGCTAGAATTAGTAATCGTGTTATTTTCGGTGAAGAGATGTGTAGGGATGAAGGATTCTTGCATGCAATCGTACGGTTCGCAGAGACAACACCCATGATGGCACCGTTTATTCAGTGGAGTCCGGTGGTTCTTCGTCCGTGAGTGCTCTTATTTCAAATCTAAATGTACGCTCCATCTTCCTTTCCAGCATTGTGTATTTCGTACTTTCATCATTATTCGGAGGAAAGAAAGGTGCTCTGAAGTATGCGATTCCGCATCTGGAACGGTACATGAAAAAACGCCAAAGCATGACTGAAAAACCTGTCCGTGCCGTTATTCATTCCCGTCTGTTCCGTGCTAACGCCGCCTCCCATCCTCAGAAGCTTGTGTCAGAGTTCATGATCCAAGGTGTGCCACAGCACGAGAAAGTCCAGGAGATTGCGGTCCGGTTACTCAATCTTAACTTTGGAAGTATACACACATCGTAAGCTTATGCCTTTTCCATCACGATTTCCCATCTAAGCGTACTGCACAGGTCGATCTTCATCACACAGACACTTTTCGAACTCGTTTTGTTGCCTCCCAGTGACATTGAAAGCATGAGGCAGGAAATCGGCGAAGCCTTGGAGTGCGAGGGTGGATGGACCAAAGAAGCTTTGGACAAGCTCAACAAGGTGGATTCGGCCTTGCGCGAGATAGGAAGGTACTACGGCTTAATGCACTGTAAGCTATCCTTGTTTTTCCACCATTTTCTCACTGAGGTAAATGTGTCTACAGTTGCACTTCCTCGCTGTGCCGTTGTTGGTTATGATTTGGGAAACGGAACTCATATCCCACCGGGTTATAGAGTTGCGATCGACATGAAAAGGATACACTTCAATCCTGATACTTACCCCGACCCAAATCGATGTGACATCTTCCGCTTCTCAAAGTTGCGCTCTGAGGAGAGCTCGGGAGCGAAGTATGCCTTCGCCACTGTAGACTCAAATGTAAGCTTGTGCACATATTTACCATAGATATACTGAGACTCATGATCACTACTCCCCGTTCGCCTCAGTATCTCCCATTCGGTGCAGGTGCGCCTAACCCATGTATTTTGTCCTTTCGGCGGTCAGCTCAATCTTTTGTCACAGGTCGTCATGCTTGTGCTGGTAGACAGTTTGCTTCTGTGAGTATCAAGTCCTTTAGATGTACATATATGCACTTATGGTAACTGGCACAAGATGGAGTTGAAGATCATGTTGGCCCACATCTTGTTGAAGTATGACGTTAGCCTTCCTCCTGGGATCACAGAGCGCCCTAAGAATGTTATCTTCAACGGGGCCATCGTTCCGGATACCAAGGCCAATCTGATCTTTAAGCCAAGGTCAGGTCATGGAGGGAAAGTGGGTTGATTACGGTGGCGCTGTCAGAGTGCCAATATATTATATAGTCCCTTGTTCATTCCAAAGGTCGAACAAAATTTACCAGAGTTCATTAACATTCTGAAAGACCAAGACCGTGATGCAAATGTGGATAGATATGTGCAAAAACGAAAGTGGAAGTGGGTGCTGATAAATTACAATCAAGACGATGAGAAATGAGGTTATGTACACGTCCGCAGAAGGTAGGAAGTTGCGTAGGGAGAAAGCACGATACCAACGAGAATTCCGAAGGAGAACAGGAAGGAAAGGAGCGAATTAAAATTAATAATGATGATCTGAGTATCTGTCAAATATCAAGTTGTCATCGCAGGAGATCCAGACGTTGGTCGTTCGAAGGGTATCGATAGGCAACGAAGTCTGGGTCTTGTTGTACCAGCTCCTCGAGAGCCTTGCGCGAGGTGACCGACATCCGTGGGTGAGCGTTGGGAGTACCTGAGCTAAGTGCACTGTGCCGTGATATCGACGCCGTATATCCGTTAGTCGTCATATCATCCTGATTGTCGTGCTGCCCCATACTTGGAAACTGGTGCCCTATATTTTCTTGCATGTGGTCGTGGTCACGTTTGTCGTTCTTCTTACCGAGCAGCGATGCAAGACCGAATTTGCTCTTTCGCTTCGAGGAGGGGAGAGGGGATATCGCTCTGACCTGTTCCTGGACCTGGTCAAGCCGACCTAATGATCGTCGAGAGATACCAAATTCGTCGTAGCGCGCACCAAAGGAACGATTAGAGCCGAAATCGACAGGTTTGTTGACAGGCATAGTATGAACGGCAAGATCAGGTCTTGATGAGGTACCGCTAAAGGATTGGCGTCTTGTATCAGTAGTTCTGAAAGCAGCTTGAGGAGGGAGGAAATCGTAAGGCGAAGCAGTTCCTGGGGGAAGAGCACGGGAATCAAAGGTGTAGACTGTGCGCGGTCGGTCAGACGGCAGAACTTGGGCCGGGGCTTCACCAACAGGGAGAGGAGGTAGAGATTTCTCTCGAGAAAGGGACATGGGCCTAGGGCCCACAACGGCAGTACCATTGGCACTGCCGTTGGTAGCATTGTTATTGGGGAAAGGTGATGGAGAGCTTGGGACGCTGGGCTCGAGTGGTGGACGCCCGATGTCTGGTTCGGATGTAAGAGAATGCATGGATTTCCAATTGCTTGGTGTCTTGCCAACAACCTCGTCGCGCCGGTCTCGTTCATCATGAACAGGATTGCCGTCGTTGTAAAAGGAGTTGCGGCCATCGACTAGTTCTACATCAACACCAGGTGGACGTAATGAGACGGGAGACGGCAAGAGACTTGAAGGAGCGGTGGGCGGTGACATACCAGGAGTTGATGCCCCGAACTTAGGCGAGACAACCGATGGTAGAGAAGGAGTGGAAGTGTGGCGCATACCGCCAGAGTGGAGGTCATTTGGTTTTCGGTCGACAAGATAGGATAGTGGAGGGGGTGGGGCGAGCGGAAGGTCGTCATCATCTTGACGGCGCAGCAAGCCTCGTTCTTGCCCGGCATCATTCTTCCCCGTCACAATTCGCCAGATCTTCGCCAATCCTCCTTTCTTCTTTTTCCCCTTGCCATCACGAGGTCCAACCGCGCTAGTATCCTCAAGGTCAGCAGGAGGCCAGATTTGACTGCGACGAGGGGTGTTTAGATCGATTGGAGAGGCTGCAAACTGATTAGGCCCTTGGCTTTCCCGTTGCAAAGCAACGCTGGAAAGGCGTGAGGTCAAAGAGGAGAATTGAAGACAAGTACAGTTACGTACTGCATATCAATCATACTACCCGACATGCCTGATGGAGCGAAACTTTCCTGGCTCCTCCAACCCGCACTCAGGTTCTTCATACCGAAGAATCTAGTTCGCCTTGGAGAGCTGGAGCCGAGGCTGTGGACATCGGAGAACGATGCTTGAGAATAGGCGCGAGGGAGATCGGGTCGATCCAGAGGAGCGGTGAGGACACTAGTGGGACGAGCAGAGCTCGCATGAGAAAATCTAGAATGAGGCTTCAAGCCATTCTCAACAAGTCGTCCATTACTCTGGGCGGAAATGATGGATGTGACATCCATGACAGAGCTCCTGGAAGACTTGCGCGCCCGTCTCTCCTCGCGTTTCTTGCGTTCCCTTACCTCTCGTTCCTCCTTCCGGACGTCTACATGTTCTACAATCATGCCATTCTCCAGCAGGGTGATCTCACGAGAATGAGACCGGACATGCGCCTGATTGGGTTGTGTGGCGCCAGGAGACAGTGGAGGTTTGATGCGAACGCCACCAAGATCGTCTGTAGGCGAAGAGCTATTGCCCATATCGTACGCTGAGCGCCGTAGTTGAGAATAGGCGTCGCGCATACGATTGTCCAATTGCTTCGCTTCTTGCATGGCACGGGCGTGGGCAAGAGCTTCTGCTTCAAGCAAGGTTCTTTGGGATTTGATATAGGTATTTAAGGTCTGCTGGCGAGAGGTAGGCTCTCGGGGGTTCTAATCATAAAGGTTAATTCACGGAATTATACATAGAAGACCAGAACTCACCACACTCAGCCACAACTTCAGATTTTGTTCTGTCAAGCGACCACCTCGGATCCTAGGTCGTGAGGGATCGTCGACAACAATACCGTTGGCTTCGTCCTCTCGCTCTCTTTGCTTCAGCTCCTCGAAGGCGATATCACTGGCTCTGGCCCATATTCCCGGAGAAGTGACATCTACATCCGCCATATCTTGATCGCGCATCGCACATTCAACACATACTTCCTCTTGTTGCTGCATGATGGGTGTATACACGGTCTGGATTGGGTTGGGTGCGTTTGGCTGTGTGACATATGTAGGTTGTTGCGCGTAGGCACGATGGTTGGGGGCTACAGGCGGGTTGTATGTTGGAGAAGCGGATAATGGCATGATAGGAGGAAACTGGGGTCCTGAGGGAGAACCTATGGGGGAGGGGTTGGGAGGTTGGGAGGGGTTACGGCGAGTGGAAGGGTTTGGGGATGCACGTCCTGGTTGAGGCGACATGGCACGAGACGCCTGAGGCGTTCCCGGGCGACTACGGGCTGTGACGGTGTCTTGGGTGGACTCGACGAACGTGGGCTTCGTCTCATTTGAACCTCTGGAGGGGGCGCGTTGAACGTTGTCGTCCAAACTGTAGCGCTCGACGACACGACGGGCAGCGCCTGGGGGAAGGGCATACGAGAGGGAACGTTGTGGTTCTTGTGATTGGTCTGAGGGGCTCGAATAAGAGTCTGCTGGCGCCCTATCCTGCCGAGAAGAGGGTCTGTGCGTGTACTGAGCATCGGGTTGAAGACCCTTTGGTGGGGCGGCGAGGGTCGGATATCTGTTGTCCCCGAAGTCGTAGTCGTTCATGATGACTCTAGAATAGAGGCCATTTGCCCCGACATCGTTCCTGAGGGGCGGAAGAGCAGCGGCCATGCTCAAGGGAGGAAGAGGGAAGGCGAGAGGGTGCAGGTATGAATGATCGATGATCAGAAACGGCAGGCAGGTCACAACTCAGCGCTCAGCCGACGGCGGATGACGGAGGCAACGCTGGCTGCTCGCTGTCGGACACAGCGACGGAGAGGGTGTTGGCAGTGGAAGGCTGACAGAGGCTGTGGGCACTGGGCGCAATTCCAGGACCCCAACGGCCCATAATTTCTCTTTTCGGTCTTTGCGGATCATGCCGCACTCACTGCGAAATCTTATTCTACTCTAATTCCTCGAATTACTACTATCCTTACTTACGGTACCTACGCAACTACGGTCAGCTCCAAGACCATCAGCGAAAAACATGAACCACTTACCAAAGGACTCCTTTCCGGCTTCGCCTCATCTTCCGTTGCAGCTGAAGCATTCCATACAGAAGCGCTTCCGCTGTTGGGGGGCACCCAGGCACGTAAATATCCACCGGAACGATCCCTACATGAAGTCAATCGGATGACCACTGTGCGGTTCGAGAAGAACGTACGATCACATCCACGGACGACAGAATACGAGTAGTGGTAGTAACCGCCGCCATTGGCACAAGAACCCATGGAGATAACCCAACCTTTGAAGAGGAGAAATATGAAAACACGAATTCAAGTTTCGAATCATAAGGACATACGGGGTTCGGGCATTTGGTCGTACACCTTTCGTAGAGCAGGAGCCATCTTGTTGGTTAGTGTTCCAGCGACAATCATAATATCGCTCTGCCGAGGACTAGCTCGGAAAACGACACCAAGTCTGTCCTGGTCATAGCGCGCAGCAGCCATGTGCATCATCTCCACTGCACAGCAGGCAAGTCCTTTTGACAGGGAATACCATGAGTTGAGGAAGATTGAAGACCTGGCGAGGGGACACACCGAACGTCATAGGCCACATAGACCCCTGCCTTGCCCAGTTGCTAACTTTATCCAGCGTCGACAGAACATATTCTGAGAATGATTTCAGCTTCATGAATCTTTCGCGTGGAAGATATCCTCTGACCAGCTTTATTCTGCGGTGTCTCCAGACTCAGTTGCATAGAGCCCTGCTTGGCAAAAGAGGTTATGGGCTCTGTCGCCGTTGGCGTGGGTGTGGAATACTGTTGTGGTTCAGCCTGTCTGACAGGCTTCGAGGTGTGTAGGGAGCGGCAGGCTGTACGAATGTATTGTCAGATGAGGCATTGCGGCAAAAGTCGCGAAATGCTAACCCGTCAGGCGAAGTTGGGAAGAAAATGCTGTTCTTCGACCAGCATGGGAAGCTAAGCACATATTTGAGTCCGTAAGAGATAGGTGAATGCTTCAAATTGCTAACCTGCTGTTTTGAGAGCGAGGGACATGGTGGTTGGGACTGACAGAATATCGGCTGGTGTTCTAACCCGCTGCTTACGATTGGCTCCATAACACGTGACGGTCTTACCAGCAACTCCCTCACGTTTCAACGTTCAACTTGAGTACGGCACTGCGACTACAGTGCAAATCGTGTAATAAAAATCGGATACAATACAGTAGAAGAAAAATTCACCTATGAATACAAATCTACGAAAATGATATACAATGCCCGAAGATAGAATGAAATATGCTGAAGGAAAATTACTATGTAACCAGCCAATGATAGAGTAGTAAAATTAAGTCCGCTGAAATCTAGGAAATGACGACAGATAGAGAAAAAAATATTGAAGGAGGGAACTCTGCGGAATGATGCTAAAGAAGCTGCCTCGGCTGCAGCCAACGGTGAGCTTTGACTTGGGAGATTGTGGCGCGAGTCTCGGGATTGGCGTCCAAACATTTCTGCATGAGATCCATAGCGTCCTCCGAAATTTTGCCCACTACCTTCTCTGAGAGAAAAATCTTCCCGTCGACCGCGTCTCGCACGGTGGGAAATGGGGAGATACCAGCCAGTAGGTATGACAGCAACACGCCAAGAGTCCATATTTCTGCAGGCGCAGCCTGATAGTCCTTTTTCAGGAGAATTTCGGAAGAAGCATATGCCGCCGTTCCGTAGAACATGGTGTAATATGGCCGAGGTTGAGTGGGGTCAACGGCGGTAGCGCTGCCAAAGTCGATCAACTTGACCTGGACGACCAACGTCAATTAGATATTTGGAAAGAAAGGGAACATTGAGGTTGTACCTTGAGATTTTGGTCAATCACCAGATTTTCATCCTTGATGTCACGATGAGTGATACCAAGACCTTCGAGGTATTCCACGGCATCAACGACTTGCGCAAAGACATAACGGGCCTGTGATTCGGTGAGCCGTTTACACTCTGATTGCTCGATGCATTCAAAAAGGTCGTGGGAGGCTCGACGGGTGATTTCGGGTCGAGATGCACCTTGGGCTATTGATAAATGCGTATGTAGCAGTTTTGGCATGTCTGCGTCTGCATTTGTCCTGTCTGTGCCGGAATGAGGCTTGATAGTGGCAAAGACGTGTGGAGGCGTGCAAGGCGTTGACGCCGGCAGTGACGCCTCCGATGAAGATGGAGATAATGCAGGTGTTGATACGGATGGTGTGCGGCCGGAGTAGCAATGGATGGTTGGAGGCTCGACATCCAGTCTGTGGTTCTTATGCCACGGAGAGCCATGCAGCTCTTGTACCTGAAGCAATGTGTCAGAACTTCTGCGGAGACTGGAACGACGGAGACGTTACGAGGTAGAAATAGAGGTGATCCTCGAACAAATCAAGGCACTTGACGATGTTTGGGTGGTTGACGTAACTCATTAAGACCACCTCAGTGGGCAAGCGTCCAACGACCTCGTCCTCCATCCAGGCATGTTCGGGAACCTTGTCTTTAATGATGAACTTGACGGCCACCTCATGGCCCTCGATACGATGGTAGGCAGCCATGACGAAACCATACCCACCAGAACCCAACTCATCTTCAAGCTGATACGTTTGGGCGAAATGCGAATTAAGGTGATGGCCTGCTGGAAAATGGGAGGAATAAAGATGAGCCTCAGTGCTGTATTCAAGGCGAGGTAGTTTCAACTCCGGCGATGGCTCGCCGTTGAGATGGAGTTGAAGTCCGTTTTCAGGCGCGTCTTCTTGGCATATGGAAGGCCGACGGAGTGCTGCATCGGGCATGGTGTCGGGGGAGGTAAACGACGCGTCGTGCATCTGGGCGAGTTGGTCTTTGGCGGCTGCCAACAACGGGAAGGTGGGTGAGGGTGAGGATTGCCGGAGCTGCGTGGAGTAGCTGAGCATCCTCCTGAGACGTGGCATACTTTCCGACAGCGTCCGCCTGCCGTTCCCCTCCGACCCGCCGGCGTCGAAGCCTTCTTGCGAAGCTTTGTTCATGTGAGTAATGCCTGTGAGACCACGTTGGGGCGGGCTAAAGGAGGTCGTCCGAGAAGTGTGGTCTGGGGAGACAGGCCCCACCGAAGAAGACGCTTCCGGCGTTGAGTAAGACTTTGGATTTTGTGAGGCCATGGAGGAAGGCTGAATAGGTTGATTGGTCGAATACGAGGAAGGGCTCATCGGGGTGGAAGAAGGAAGTGTGGTAGCTTTGTCTCGGGGACAACGCCTAGGGTCGTGGAGGGCAACAGGGTCTGAAACAGTCGGAGCAAGAGCGCCCAACAAGAGAGCGAGAGAGAATAAAGAGGAAAGGGAAAAGGGATGCTAGTCAGAAGACCCGCGGTGCGACCCCGCTTTGGTGAAGAGACGGAACGTAGAGGAATAGCGGACCCATGCTTGTGAAAAAGTCGATCAGCGGAACGGGGCTCGGAATGACCTACTTTTGGAAACTCGCTTTCAATTACAATGCCCTCACTCCAAATCTAGACGCGGGGTTTACTCGGCAGCAACAGGTTACCAGAAATCTTCACTCTACATATCGTCAACTACTCTGCTTCTGCTAGCGACCACATATAATAGACGCCTTGAAATTTTCGAACGCACCCGGTCAGCGTTCCAGGTCTGCCAGCCAGATGATCACCTACCAACACTCCTGTAAGGCTTCCAATTTTCTGAAAGTGCATTCATTTCTTGCGGCGTTAGGAATGCTCCTCTGTAAGAATGAGGCATCACTATGCGGTGCATGACTCTTCTCTAAAATAGGACTGACTTGACTTTATTCTTTCCATCCAGCCTGCTCTTCAATAGTTTGACGTCGATGCCGGACGGCAGAGGTGGCACGGGCTTTCCTGGAGTCGCAGCCGGCTTGCTCAAGGTCTTCTTGATAGAAGGTGTAAACGGGGGTGGAATGGAAGAGGATTCTTCCCCCTCGGACGTTCCTGGTGGTGCTGAGGAGGAATCGACAGGCATGTCGTCATCTTTCTCGCCATCTACCAGCGACTCAGAAGGGTGCTCGTTAGCTTCTCCCTGCGACTTCTTGGTCTTCGTGTTCGCCGAATTGCCGACCTTTTCCGGTGAAATGGAAAAGGGGTGTGCCGCGGAATGCAACGAAAGGAACCAGCGCACCATTCCTCGCTGAACTCCTAAATCGCCTGCCTAATATTATTAGGAATACTAGCATCGTTCAAAGAAGGCATCCATGACCCACCGACCGGAAGGATGTCTGGACGGCGAAGGGAGAATATTGCAAACATATCGACTGGAACGAAATTAGCTATTCGGCGCTGGTGTGAATAACACTGCCGTATTACCAGTCCACTGCGATGTTTCCGTTAGCCCCGCTAACGAACTATTTGCAAACCGAGGGCGCTTACTCTTCCTATGCCACGCACTTCAATGAGCATTCGGGCCAGTTCTTCGTCATCGGCTGCCAGCAACTTCTCAGTAGACAGACGGCCATCCGCAAACCTGGTGGCTAGATCCTTGACTGTAAGAAGCAGCAACGTGATTATTTGAACGGTTGAATCTCATGGTAAACCAGATGTCGACTCACTGTATTCCGCCTTGCGAGCGCTAAGACCCGCGGTCCTCAGCGTGTCTATCCCTGTCGTCGCCACTTGATAAGGGCTTGGGAAGAATGTGATTGCTTTCCTCCTGTACAGACAAATTTGAACTTAAAGGAGGTCCGTCGGAATGGAAAACCGTGTACTCACTCCTCTTCAGTTGGCTTTTCTGGGAGACTGGGCTGATACAATCTGAGAAACTTGTGAGTAATTGACCGCGCAGCCAACCATGATATTTGTTGTCCCCTGCACGCAAATATTATGGCAAATCAAGAAAAACGAGGTCCGTAAATACGATCCTTAGATCTTACAGGATAGATTTAGCAAGGGCTCTATCTTCTCGTGAGCATCTTCGAGCTTTCAAAGGTTGGAGATCTTACTGGAAAGGGTGGACTCGCTCGAGTTGCTCGAAGGGCTTGCATTTCATCTTCTCGAAGAGATCTTCAAACCGATGATCAGCTTCAATGAGGTGGTTCTTCGCTTCCTCAAAAGCAAACGAGAGAACGGCTGGGACTGTCGCATCCTCCTCCGCTGAGCTTGACGGAGGTATCAGAGCAGGTTGAGCACTTGGGCTTGGGTCTTCCTTCTTGGACACTTTCTTGACTTCCTTTGTAACAGCGCTTTCTGCTTTACGCTTCCTGGAGGTTTCTTGAGGAACTTGAACGTTGGAATCTGTCCCAGTTGACTTCGGAGTTGAAGTTGTTTGGGCCGTTCCCTGTAAGTTGGCGAGGCGGCTTGCAGATCTAGTTGTGCTAGGCATGGTCCTTGGGAACACAGCCGTTGAGCCAATACGAGCCAGGCTAACTAGACGAATTTTGTCGAATTAGAGCGCGTTCTACACTGGGGTCAGTTGGGTGTGAGATAGAACCCGGGAAAGCTCACCTCATCTCTTGTTCATAGTATATCGTCACCCCCGCGACCCTGCACAACTTTGCTGAGTCAAACCGTCTCGGTGCCGCTAGTAGTGTCGGTTTTATCTTATCTTGCCTGTTGGGCTAGCCTAACGTATGGAATCCGATAAGTATCATGAGAACAAGATCAAGTTAAAAAGCTGTGTGGAACAGCAGGCTTGCACAGCACCTCCATGGCCCCCACCAATACCCCAGCCAGTAAGACGATTTCGACATTGCACCCTTCCCTTCGAGGACTAATAGGCAATGATCAGAATACATTGTCGTCTTCAAGGACTCTGCTACGCCCCAGCAGATTGACGAATACGTAAAGGAAGTATCTAAGAACGGTATCGTGTTACCAGATTTCCTGCCCGATATACCTCTTTATAACTCCGTATTGTTGCTGCAGGAGGGGAGGTCACCCACCGATATGACATCTTGAATGTGAGCTCTACTACTACCCTGGGTAGAAGTCGCCTTGTTCATGTCCAGAACTGACGCAAATCAGGGCTTCGCTGCTGCCATCCCAGATCACTTCCTTGCCTCTTTGCAGGCCTCTGCAGTCATCCACTACATTGGTGAGCGATGTTATCCTAGCTTTGAACCACACCCGCCTCATCAAATCCTCGGCAGAACCTGACAGTGTTGTGACCACCCAGACTTGAAGCTTGAAGCTGCAGATGGCAGAAGTAATAACAGTCTGTCCAAGGTATACAGAATACATGTCATTATATGTAGAGTACCGGTGTTGTGCATGTCGTAAAGATGTCGTAAGAGTCATATCCGGCATTAAGGAGAAGTATCACCGCGAGAAGCTATTTCGACAGGAAGAGGACCATTGTCCACAACATCGAGGAGTGAATTCATCGGCTTGGGTAGGGGGACAGGAGGGATAACGACACCATGCGATGGCGGTAGGACAGGACCTTCTGGCTTGTCTGCTTGCGTAGGAGGGTCTGTCAGTGGTTCAGACGTGGGAGGTAACGGGAAATCCCATGGTCGAGGCACCAAAGCAGCAGGCATTATCCTACTAGAGTGTAAGAGCCAGACGCACGATAAACTTGAAGAAGATACACACCATGTCGCTGCGCAGACAACACCATTACCCTGGTCCTGCTTCTTGATAGCGTTGAACTCAAAGTCGATGAATTGGGCGATGTACCGGACAAAGGGGAGGATCTCTCGGACGCCGTTGTTAACAAGGGCCAGAGCAGACAAGAAATTGATAACGGTGCCGGTGACGGATTGAACGCTCTGCAAACGCATTAGACAGGAAGAAACTGGTAGCTACAAGACGTCTACACTGACAGCGAGATATTCCAAAGAGGGCGGCGGAAGGAGTACTTCCAGACCCCACCAATCTAATTTATGCCAACCAATCAACAATGCACCCAGCCAGCATCAATATACATAACTTACATGTTAGCACCGACATTCTGTCCGTCGGGGGATAAACTCCTATACAATTTGTGACTAGGACGGAAATATCTTGAAACCTCCACACATACCTGAATGATCCGGTGCGATAACCTTGCCAGTGGCATATCCCAAAGCCATTAATTCTGGTGTTATCTTCCTGACTCCTTCGAGGACCGTTTCAGCAGTTGGCAAGGCTCCAGCGAGGAGGCCTTTCCCATCCCCAGGTTGACCGAGGCCGAGATCGGGAGACTTGACCAAGTCGACGACCTGCATCTCGCTAAAGAGATCGGCCAGCTTGCCAACGGGGGCAGATGTGATGCCAGCCACATTGGCGACAAGCGTGGAAGCGTCGTCGGGCGAGGTTGACGAGGACTGTTGAAGCTTGGCAAAGTGAAGATGTTCCTCTTCAGCCTCTGGATGTTCCAGGCAGACGGCATGAATTGGTCCGTTCGAACAACCAGCATGGGGATGAATAGCAGAGTCGCCGGAAGCCGGGAGCTGGCGCAGTTGAGCTATAAGCTTGTTCGCCGACTTGGGGTCCTTCAGTTGCGACCTGATCTTGCTGAGCTGAGGTTTCGCGACCATCGGCGTCATCTTCGGGGCAGCTGCTGCCGACGTGGGCCCGATGATGAGAGAGCGAACCGCCATTGCTGATTTCTGTGCCCGTTTCTCCGACTTGGACATCTGCACTTTCTGCACGGCATGCCTTGTAGATGCCTCTCTGACATGCCCCCTCTTCTCGTGCTCTGCGATAGTCGAGAGAGCAATCTTGTGCTCTGTCGGGCGCTTTCGCGCAAACCCAAGTCGCCAAAACTTGCGGGGATGTGCGACAACGGGGTCGTCCGGAGGTCTCTTCTGCTGAATGGAGGATGTGACAGTTGCTTCCGTCGGACCTGAAGGAGTACTTTGGGTAGCATCTGCCTGGGCGTTTTCAATAGACGGGCCAAATCCAACAGAGGAGGACGGAGCATCGTCGACTGATGCAATAACGCTGGTCGACTTGATAGTCACTTGCTGCTCGCCTGTAGCAGCATTGACTCTGGTCTCGGCAGAGTATGAGAAGAGGCTCCAGAAACCCATCGTCGGGAAAGAGAGAGAGCGATGGCGTGGAACCGTTCAGGTCTCTGGCTTTTAAGCAAAGTAGGACATTCAAGTGGGTCTCAGGCTGAGACAGAAGGCGAGCGATGGAGACTTTGTTGGGCGAGGTGGCTGGTCGCGACGAAGGGTGGAAGACTCGGCTAGATCCCAATTTGGAAATCCGGGATTGTTCTCCGCGTCACTGTCACATGATTGGTCAGCCTAAAATTAGCCTCCCCATGACTCGCGCAACTTCCGGAGTCCGGACCTATAAATCGCTCATAACCTCGGGTGCACCAGCACTTCCGACCTATGCCTCCCCGTCAACCAAGATGGCCATGGTACAGCATTTTCCTTCGCCTTCTCCGAGCTATGACAAGGTCAGCATTCCTCTCTTCTCACCTGTTCCTGTAGCTTCTCAGGTCTGAACTCCAACCGTTAGGAGAGCATCTCCCGCCTTATTTGCCATCACAATGGGTGAGAGCTGTTCTCGAAACCATTCGCCGCTTTACCTACGTGAAAATCGATTCTCTAGGCACAGGAGCAATTAGCAACCTTTTTGTTGCTTTTCCATATGGCCGAGGCTCGCAGTCTTTCAACACCCTGAGCCTCGTGTTCTTCTTCTTCAACCTCTTACTCTTCGTAACCTTTTCGGCGCTGGTTATCGCAAAATACGTATGCTATCCGGACAGATGGAAATCTCTGTTGCGGAATCCAATAACCAGTTTATACACCGGTTGTTTTCCCATGGGAGCGACTACGCTCATCAGCGTCGCTGCGCAAGTTATTCATGACAGATACCAGTTCGGTGGAAGAAGTTTTGTGTACTTCATTTGGGCCGTATGGTGGGTGGACGTCATTGTCTCATTCATGTGCTGTTGGATCGGCGTTCACGTCATGTGGGTACCGTTTTCCCGTGGGGATTTCAATAGACTGATTCAGCTCTCTAGGGTTACGCAGCAAACACACGCTCTGGAATCTATGACTGCAATGTGGCTTCTTCCCGTAGTCACCCTCATAGTCGCTGCGTCTTCCGGTGGTGTTCTCGGGCAAACCTTGAATCAGTATTCCACGCCGTACGCTCTCTGGACTGTTACAGTCTCCGTCTACATGGTCACTGTCGGCCTTACCCTTGCACTCATGATTTTAACAATCTATCTCATGAGACTGATTATCCACGGACTACCTCCGGGAACAAGTATCTTGTCCGTATTCCTTCCACTCGGACCGACGGGCCAGTCCGGTTTCGCCATTATGCTCATTGGAGACAACCTGAAAGTACTTCTTCCAAGGAGTCCCAAGATCACAACTTCGAACTTCCTCACTCACGAGGCAACAGGGCCGATTATCGACATTGTCGCCACGAGCGTAGCATTCCTCTTGTGGTCACTTGCGACTATGTGGATTCTGTATGCCCTGCTCGCCGTCTACAGTACTCTTCGCCGGTCGTGGATTACGTTTAGGTTATCCTTTTGGGGCCTAGTTTTTCCCAACGTAAGTGCACATTCTTCCAACGAGACTTGGTCTGAACTGGTTCATAGGGAGTGTACGCTAATTTGACCATCCAACTAGCTGACAAATTTGATTCGTCCGCTTTCAGAGTGTACGGAGCAATTTATGCGGTGGCGACATTGATTATATGGACATCAATATTTTTGCGTTCTCTATTGGAGATTAAGTACTTTTTCGTGAAACCATCAGAGCGCCAAAGTCCTCGAATTGACGAACTCAAACAGCCAGAATGGCGCAACCCTCGGCAAGAGGTTAGCCCGTCGCGGACTAGCATAACTCAAGTAGCATAGGACTTACATTTAGATATAGACCCACTTTACTATAGAGCAATCATGTTACCATGGTCCGTGAAATGTCCACTAGTAATTCGCTCTGTCAAGCACCCAGGGAATAGATTAGATTCGCTTCATCAGCTACGTGTGTCGTCTAATACCGCTTTTCCACCGTACAAGCCTGAGAAGCAATAAAGAAGTAATCAGGACGCCTGAGTCCATAAGGTACCATAAAGCCAAACAGTCTGTGAGTGTGACGTTGCTGTGACTGATACTACCAGTGCCTAACGTCGTGTCGGTTAACAAGACCTCAGGTTCATGACCCATGTCTCCTCGCAGTGCGAACCGCTCTGAATACCAGCCCTTATCGTCCCATGACGATGAGACCGACATTGGTGACGACCCTCGCCCATCTACCAGCCAACATAGAGGCTCCCATCAACCTCGCCGAACGCTGCGACCAGGTAGCATCGACCTAACCAAGTTAGACAACGCATTCAAGAGGTTCGTTTGTGATTATCGCTCCTCTATTGACCTACACTACGTGGAATAGATGGACAGAGTCCATTGCTCAAAAAGTCAAGCGAAAGAGGAAGACCACGGACCGCTCCAGGAAGCAAATATGGCGCAGTGTCTTCGAACCAGCGGTCACCGGCTTGCCAAGCTCAGGATTCGTGCGTCAGCTCGAATGTGCAATTGCTGGGGTAGCTGAGCCATTTACATAGGTAAAGACCTTGGATCATAAAGCGCCCATGACGCAGACCGACTTCGACGCGTAAGTGAATGCCATTCTGCTGCCTTGCACACCTCGCCTGAACACCTTGTGTCATATAGGGTGGTGTCGTTGGTCAAGGGCGCGATACACGAGGGGGTTCATCCGAAAATGATTACTAAAGGGTCGTCCGGGTCTTATTTTGCGAGGGCGAAGATCGAGGGGCGTGTCCAAACAGTTGCGTGAGTGTTGTGCTATCTGCCGTCTGCGTCGTGGTTTAAGATGTCCGGACCACAGCGTATTCAAGCCCAAGGATGAAGAACCGTATGGAAGACTGAATCCTAAAGTACGCTCCTTCGCTGGACCCAGATTCAGTCTCCTAACCTAGTGACAGACCACGAAATGGTTACATCGTCAGTTTCGATGGATCATACCCTTTGGACGTGCCTGCCTTATCCCTAATCTAAGGTCTGCACCTTTTATTCCGTGGGTGGAGCACTTGTATTCGAGGCTAACGTCTCCGTAGTTATATCTCAGAAGCCGCAGCCTCATTATTAGACGACAGACTAGACCTCCACATTGTCCCTCCGACGCAGCTGGTTTCCCTATCAAGTCCTGTGGGTGAACAACGCCGCTTCCTACATCTCTTCTCCGCTCACCTGTCTCTAAAGGCATTCTTCTACGACTGGCTCGACCGGAATGCTGCCAAGAAGGGGAAACCTCTGCCCGAGAAGATTGGTAGCATGCAATATTTTCTTCATGGATTCCAAGGTCTGAACTGTTGGTTTATGTGACGAATTGTAAACTGAAGTCTTTAAGATGCTTCCGATTTTCTGCGCAAATATCCATGGCCTGGACGGGCTATATCTGACACATTTGACGACTCCACGCATCGACATGGAAACTTTTCCAAGCGCTTTCTTGGTGCAATGAAGATAATATGCGGCAGAACTGGCGATACTGATGATTTGTACGATGAAGCCGACTACGAAGATGAGCGTGTACTCTATGATGCTACAGAGGCATCAGAGGTGCAGAGACCGTTTTACTGGAGCCAGCAGCTGCAACAAAGTTTCCGAGAAGAACTCGAGAAGTGCGTCGTCTTTTCTTCTCCGCTATTCTTGCCACTCACACCACCAATCTATCTCATCTGATAGACTTGTCATTCTGGGTAATCCATTCACCTCAAAAGACATTATTACTCGCTGACATATCGTTGCAGATTATCTTATGTTGAATACTGACCGTGGAGCAGACAACTATATGATCAAATATTGTGAAGGCGATCATGACAAAGCACTAGTCGACGTTGCTCCTTCTCGTTCTGTTCGGCTGGAAATGCCTGTCATGAGTGAACTACGGCGATCCGAGATGCAGAGTGTGCCTCGCATGGGCTCATCATCAACGTACCAACCCACCCTTTCCCCAGTACCCTCTGGCTCCAATACACCAAACTCGGATTACAAACGCAAACCTCACATTCACATTGCCGCGATCGATAACTCATTGTCTTTCCCTCACGAACATCCCCAAGGGTGGCGGTCCTACACATACGGCTGGCTCTACCTACCAGTCAGCATCATTGGTCGACCATTTAGTGATCGGACGCGGAACCATTTCCTTCCTTTGTTGACCTCCAAGACATGGTGGGAAGAGACTACTTTCCAACTGGAAAAACTGTTTGTTGTGGACCCGGATTTCCATCCAAAGATGTTTGCGGTGAGGACCCCCTTTTTTATCATGACGATATTCCTGACGACGAATGTTTAGCGACAATTGGCTGTGATTAAAGGTAAACGAACGCTTCCGCGGTGTATGCCTTCCCACTGACACGAACCCTAGGTCAGGCTTGGAACATTGTCCAGTCATTGAGGCATGCAGTAAGTGTTTTCGAATTATCCTATTCAGACTGACACTAATCACCACATTTAGGATGAAGGTATTGTATGATAGATGTATGTGGAGAAGTATGCCTGACATTTGCCAGGACCCCTGGAGCTAACACGGAGGACGAAGGCTCTTGTCTGGGATGACGAGATTGAAATCCCAGAGGATACAATGCATGACAACCCCAATGGGCTGCCATCTCCTCAACTTTCCGTCAACAGCGTCCCTCCTCCAAGGCGTACGCGCAGCCAAAGCATCGGCGGCGGGGAGTTTCCTCCACCGATGCGCCGTACGTCTACAGACGCTTCTGGCGCACCACGGCCGGTGCCCTTTGCGGAAAAATTCCAGCGCGTCCATCCAGGCACTACTGGTGTCACAGTGTTGGAACATCTGGAAAGGCTGGATGCAGTTGAAGCTAGTTTACAGCGGCTCGGCTCGGATGTGGTTGATGAAGAGGAAGAGGACGTCGTGGAGGTAGTACGTTCTAAGTCCAAATCAAAAGCTAAGGTTCAAGCAGGATCATCGCACTCCGCTCCCACCACAGCTGCTGTTCTGTCTTCGCCGTTTACACCTCCTGGTAGCCCCCCACTCGCCACTGTGCCTGAACTGCCGTCTAGAAGGAGTTCTATTGATGAAGAAGACCTTGTCGCTCTCTCCAAGTCAACATCCCATGTTGAAGGCAGTCCTTATGACCGCCGTCAGCCTACCTTGTCTACTGCTGGGATGGAGTGGATACAGAATGCGGAATCCCCAGCGAAGCGAATTGTAATCGTCGAGGTGTGTTCCTTTCCCCCTACCTTAGTCAACGTCTGGCTGAAGCCTTCAAACTAGCGCATGGAAATGGTTACAAGCAAACCATTGTGTTCCTGTTGGTAGTGTTGTGTACCACACGGGATATGTAACATACTTAGAGGTAGATAATTACTGGATTATAATACACGACCAACAAGCAACATTGATTGGCACTGGTCAATTTAGTCTCCTTCTGTCATTAACCACTGTGCGAAGTCGTCCAACCGTTTTCTTTCAGCCTCTTCCCCTTCTCCTCCAAGATCGTCACCCGCACCACTTCGTTTGAATCTTTGCTTTCCGGTGAATATTTCTGCCTCGATCCGACGTTTATCAAAGAAACGACCGTTCATTTTCTGTGCAAAGGAAGATTATTAATCCATGACGCCTAAAAACGGTTATGGAGAACTCACCAGGACACAAGCTTGCGCACTCAAAGGGTCGCGGAATTTGACTGTCATGATCCCATCCTTCTCTTTCTGCGAGCTAGTCAGAAGCTGTGTGACTAAACAGGGTGGAGGGCTGCTCACATCGTATAGAACCACGTTTGTGACTTCTCCTAGTGTTGAGCATTCTTCTCGTACATCCTCTTTCAGATCAAGTAGCAGCGACGCGTCTTTCTCGAGGTCTTGAAGAGTGAACATATGTTTAAGAACGACAACCCTTCCTTGCTTAGCTCTATCTGCAGCACTTTCCGCTGGATCGGGTTGTGGACCAAATCCGTCGTCCTCGCCCCACTCTTCCAGTTTCCTAAACAACAACGGTCAGACCTCGACGAATAAGAAATAAAGGACAAAAGTAAGCGCGCCTTTGCATCTTCCCTATCCGCTTTGTGACCTTCTTTCTATCGACCGTCTTCCGGGGTGCAGATCCCTGTCCTGACGCATGATTCTTGTGGGCGAAGTCTGCCTTGGCTACTCGCATAACGGTAGATGGCTGCCCAAGCCTCAGCTCAGCCTCGTCAAGCAGGTTCACGGCCAATATCACGGAGTCCTCCTTAAAGAAGACGACAAGTGCTTCTCCACTGAATGATCCATCCTCCCGAGCGTACATCTTGACCTTGGGCTCGCCGTCTAGATCCTCTTCGATGACCCCGCACTTTGAGAAGCGCTCAACGAGCTCATCCTGCTCTGTGTCAAGAGGGAGGTTGGTGACATATACGGCGGTGTTCTTGGACTTGCGTTCAGTCGGCGCTTTCTCTTTCTTGTCAGCCTTGCCACGCTTGATGGTGACACCTTCATCCGGGGCAGTGGCGGAGGTGTAATCCTCCGCTTTGCGCTTCTTGCTTTCACGTTTGAGCACCGGAGCAGCCGGGGTCTAGGATTGCATAGATTATAAACCTATCTGAACGTTAACGCGTGTCGTACGCACTGATTCGTCAACACCCGCCACTGAGTACGCGGCCTGTTGCCGAGATACAAGGTCCTCGTCGACCTGTTTGAAACAGTCGGCTTATGTTTTCCTTCTGTACAGACTCTTGTGGCGTACCAAAGGTGTCCATGCGCTCTTCGCAACGTCAAATTCTAGCTCTGTCCCATCGTCTTGTTCAAACCGCCAGGTGTTCGAGCCTTTCGAAAAGTAGATCCTGTCCGAATTAGGTGACAGTTGAATACGCTGCTTTCCTCATCGGAGAAAGCGGTCTCGATGGATAAGGCACAGAAAGCAAGCATACCGTGGATCGTCGGCGAAAAAAGCTGGTTGGACTTGGGGATACGGGTCTAGTACTGCAGGTGGTGGTGGTCCGGACATGGATTCGTGTTTATGGTTGTTTGAGGTCAGTCTGGGGACGTTTAGGTACGAAGTCAAGGGTCTATAAGCATTTCTTCATATTCTACCCCATCTTTGCTAAAATAAGTTCGTAGGACAAGACCACGCTACTAGCGGTAGAGCAACATGGGGAAGTAAGAGTGCTCGTCATGGGGAGCTGCGGGGGATAACTGCGGCACCCAACGCTTGTGGGGGACAGAAAGGGTAGGAGGAAGTCTGCATTCCGAGTAGACTTTCGCAGTGGAGGTAATAGCAGCAATGGCGTCTGGCAGGGCAAGTTCTTTCTTTGCAGCAGGGACATCCGATTTCTCGCCTTCCGACGGAGCAGCGACGCTGTAGGCTCTCCGCGTCAAGTGTGCTAGATGGAAAAGTAGGGAGTGGACTCACGCTGGTGCCGTTGAATGCTCAATCAAAAGGGCCGAAAGCTCTGACTGTGTAACTACTGACAGCTGAGGATATGCGCGTCGAACATCGCGTTTCCAATACGGGTTCTGGGCAATATCAGAGGCTACCGAATAGTTGAGTCCCATCTAAGCTATGGTACTTCCAATACACGTACCCTTTGTTGCTGGGGTTGAGTATTTCTCCGGCCTCGAGCCAGGAGGCGGGTATCGGTTGAGAGAAGGAAGTGGAAGACCGCTGGAGATTTCGGGATTCACAGCAGCGACCTCGCCTGGACATTACAGATTGAGTAACAGGCATACAAGAAGGAGAACAAAGCTGACGGAATTTCTTCCAGAAGCCCTTGGGGCTGAGGTGATAAAGAGTCGACTCTGCTGCTTTCTTGGTGGCCGCCATGGGTATCTTCGCCAGAGAGTGGAAATAGTGTGACATTACATATTATTATCACGCGTCTGTCACGCGGTGCAAAGCGAGACTCCCAGTGCCCACCAGGCGACCTTTCTTTCCTCCTTATCTATACAATCCCTCCAACGTTTGCGACTGTGCTGCAATTGTTTCTTCTCTACTGGCCGAATATTTCTGTGAATGGGTACCAATTTTGTTCGATAACCTAGTCCGTGGATACACTTTTGCAATCTCCGCTCCCGTTGACCTCATCCTTCTCCGTCTTCTCATGCCACCCCCAGCGGCTTTTATCCAATCAACCCTGCTCCTCGATATCACCGCATCTCTAGCGGACATACCCCTTCTGCTGTCCGATTTGTGGATGACTCGGACATTTGATTGACCGACCGTCGACGACACATCTTCGAGCCTGCGTAATGAGCCAACGAGTGTACACTGACCCATCGACAATCGCAAGCGTCCGACTGCCTATGAATAAGTAACCTCACATTACGGGGTGAAATACAATGCAGAAGCATATTTTAGTTCGTCATGCCGTTTGCCGCTCAACAAGGGACGGTCCTCGGAAACAACGAGCGATTGCGCAATAGGGATGTCGCAATTCGTGAGGCGGACATTCCTCAGTTGTCGCCATCGAGGCGCTCGCTCATGCGCGTAAATCTATAAACCTGCGTGGCCTGGCTCCCTCTTACTTCAGCGCCCCGTCTTTCACCCTCCTTCATGACCGCGTTCGCCCACCCTCCTCACCCTGCCAGCCATGTTAAAGCTGTCGAGCTCGGCAAAGAATCCAAAGACCCGCACGCAATTCCCGAGTTCAATTCTCAGCTTGCATTCCAGGAACCTGTGCTTTATCTTCCCCCTCTTCTCTCTTCTTTGCCAGACCATTACCAATTACAAATCCCTCATGCCGACCCCCGATATCCTCCCCTCGTCACAGAGACACGCCTACCGGACATCGATCCTGCCTCTCTGTCATTACACAAGGCTCTTCACCACTTCAAGCCTTTGACCCCTTATTACGCTGATACTTCATATGACGAGGCTTTTAACTGGTCCGAGTTGGAGTTGCCGAAGGATGAGGAGAGAGATTGGTACTGTGTTGTTTTTAGAAGCAGAAGAAAGTCAGGAAGTGACGGCATTTGTGAGTGATTTACATTCACTGTATCTTCTGCCTTCACATTTACCTCTTTTCCAGCCCTTTATGAGGCGGATAAACTAGCTCATGAAGAGGCCATACGGAATGGAGGGGTTCGTTCGTCTCGAACCCACTCCACCAAAGCTCAATCTAACTAATGTCCGCGGATTCTAGTTAATTCTTTATTGGTATGGGGTTCCGAATCCAACGACCGGGATTAACCTTGCCACCTGCATCTGGCAAAGTCGAAAACATGCAATGGCAGCCAACTCTCGCCCACATCACATTAACGCCATGCGTCTGGCTGCGAATGCCTATGATGTTTACGGACTAGAGCGATATCGACTGCGAAAGGTGCAGGGTGAGTCGGGGGTATCCATTGAACCGTTTGACGGTGGTGATGTTGGGTGGTGAAAAACTACATTGCACCTTTCTCGGACCATGCTTAGTTGCTTAGTTGCTTTCTTGCTATTGTCTTGCTCTTAGCCCGTCCTGTATTCATTGCGCGTAATCGTTGACCGCGAAGCTTTCTAGAGCATTTATTTGATCTAGTCCGATAGAGCCTATGTCCCAGATGTTGACCCTATTTTACACATGTACGTGTACTGTCCCATGCCCCATGCTACACATCGGCGAAGGAGCCCTTTCGGAAAACAGAACACATCGTGATTGTCATCGGAATTCAAGCTCACATGAGCCAAGTTAAGTGGGGTATGTTATCCCTTGTTTGCGTATCAAGTCGTGTCCAAGGCAAAGGAAGGAAAACTTCCGGGGCCGCGGAATGCTCTGTAAAACGTGTGTTGAATTAAACACCTTCCTTGTCATCCCATGACTCAATACTGTCATTTGAAGACTGGGACATTGTGCGACGCTGATGGTCGACTTCGTGGTCGACGCCACATCGGACCGGAGGAGGAGTCGGCGCCATGACCTCGACTGCTCCGGACGAGTTAACGGGGTCCTGGTCATGTTCTTAAGCAGAAGCCAAGAGAGAAGGAAAAGTAAAGATGCGACAAACCCGAGAGGGACTTTTGGACGTGCCGTTTACAGTCAAACGAACCCTGGGCGACGGTTCGGCCGTCTGTTGTCGCTGCAGTGGCGATATGTATATGCCAGGCACTGGAGCAAATGGAGGCATCTTCGGCGTAGTTAAAGCTCTGAGTGGTTCCTGAGCGGCAGGGACAATGGAAGCAGCTGGAGCGCTCTCCGGAGGCGGTAGAAAACGGAAAGGACATGGCGAGTAGCGGCGACTGGGCGAAGGTTGGGGAAATGGTGATTTTGGAGGTGTGCCAGTCGATCGTGTGACCTTGGGAGGACTTGAATGACGATCGTGAAGAGTGAGCAACAGGTTGTCGGTGCTCCTTTGACCTTTAGATGGGCTGCGAGCAAATGCAACACCTTTTGCGATGGAAGGCACAACAATGTTGTTTCGATCGAAAGGCCTCCATTGGAAGTCAACAACGTCGTCCGCATTAAAACCAGGCACCAGAAATTGAGAAGTCAGAGGGTCTTCAATAGGCGAATCGAAATGCTCAGGTGAAGAAGCGCGGTATCCAGGCCCTGGAGTTGAATAGAGCCTCGAGAAGTATCGATTATGGGCAGCTTCAGCTGGCGACAAGGGCAAGTTAAATGTTGCATCGTTACGAGCACTGCCAGAGTATTTCGGAAGTTGGACGGCAGGGGTGTTGCAAACAGGCGTATATGGGCGAGCAAAAGGTAAATCTGGGTCAGAACGAGATTCAGTTGAACAAAACGTCGGAGAAGAGCAGGTCTGCGGAGAGGGGATTGAAAATAAAGTATTGGAAACTACAGAAGAATTGACAGCAGAAACTGGACCCGGCGTAGAAAATGGAATTGGGTGAGAGAAGTTGGGAAAAGGGTGTTCGTTTTCCGGATTAATTAGGTATTCCATGTCGCATTCAAATGGCGCCATTTGGAGATTTTTGGTATCATTAACGAAGTCACCTTCAAGAACCTGGTTAGAAACTGCAGAGGCAAAAGGAGAGTCGTCGCCGTCGCTGTTCATAGGATCATCCTCAACTGGAGCAGATGATTCGTCCGAAGGAATTTGCTCCGTTCCTTGCTCCGTTCCTTTGGGTAAGAGAAGGCGTAGAGGGTGCGATCGAGAGAGCGTCATGAAGGTATTTGCTAGCCAGGAAGGCAGCGGATTGCATGTTCTCCAAGATGATGCAATCTCGGAGCCCTATTAGACCAAGTCAGCTAGTCAATGGTCAACGTTGTATTGAAGCAACCTTTGTGTCGATACTGTCGCTCGACGGGCGTTCTGACAGAGGAGCCGAACGATCCATCTTGATCAGGGAGAGTTTGTTCTCGAGATGGGCTGGCTCGGGTGGGCTATATGCGCTCTTCCGTCTTATTTTCTTCCTCCTGGTGGTGGGAGAGGGTGAAGTCGAAGAAGGGTGCGAGTGTACAATTGACATAGTCTCAATCATTCGATCGAACCGAGCGTTGGTATTTGTTAGTTTGCGACGCTTTGGATTGGGCCCTAAGGGCTATTTGTGAGTTGAACTACTAAAATCACCACTTTCTGGGCACCTGGCTGACTGAATAGAAGGTGAGTACGGTTCAGACACGCAAAATGTGAGATTACCCGCGACTTCCCGCCGCCGTATGGTCAGACATCTCTGAGAAGAGACGTGCATGGCTGGACGCCATGGTGGTCCGGGTGAACGTGGGGTGATTCGGCCGCTGCTTTGTAATTCGGATTCCGGGCCGGGATTAGGGGTGCTTATCCGATACCCCAGTAAAGAGTGTGCTTTCAAGCTCTGACTCTTTCCTTCGACCACCACCATGTTCGATGGAAAGTCCCCGTCCGCCCATCCTGTCGACGAGTCTTTACTTCCTTTGCCTTCACAAGCGTCATTTCCGCACCCAGGCGTCCGTCGGAAACGCTATGCGCGATTGGCTCTAGCCTTGCTCGTGTGCTTGGTTTTTCTGACGTATAGGCATTCCTCTAAGTCCCCGTCATCTTTCTTCGGGAAGAAACGAAACCCGGCCTACCTTATTCATGCTCGCGGCGGTGCTGTCGCAACTGAGAACAAGAGGTGTTCCGACATTGGTGTGGATGTGTTGAAAGATGGAGGAAATGCTGTTGACGCGGCGGTTGCGGCTACCTTTTGCATTGGAGTTGTGAATATGTTCTCGTGCGTGCTTAATCCGTTGCTTCAATTATATCATCCCAACCTGCGGTTTAATAGTTCAGGTATTGGAGGAGGAGGTTTCATGACTGTTCGCCTCCCTCCAACCAATGACAGCACGAGCTCCGAAATATATACCATAGACTTTAGAGAAGTTGCCCCGGCACTGGCGAATACTACGATGTACGCCTCAAATCCGAGGTCTTCCATGTACGGTGGACTATCTGTTGGTGTACCAGGAGAGGTTCGTGGCCTTGCGGAAGCGCATGGCCGTTGGGGAGCATTGCATTGGAAGCGACTGGTAGAGCCGAGTATACGCTTGGCCGCTGGCTGGCAAGTCGACAGGGAATTAGGCAATCGGATACCGGTTAGTGAAATATCTAAGACTATTTTTTGCAATTCTTCTGACAGGATTTATAGTGGTTCACGGAACTGATGCTGAACGACCCCGATTGGAACGTAATTTTCGCCCCGAATGGTCGTTTGCTCAGGGAAGGGGAGCTTATTCGACGGACTAACCTTTCGCGGACCCTATCTATCATTGCTGAAGGAGGCGCCGACGCGTTTTATAAGGTAGCGACTATCTTCGTTCATACCTTTGCTCACTTTCTCAAGTGCATCACAAGGGTCCTATCGCGGATTCCATTGTACGCAAAGTTCGGTCAACAGGTGGCATTCTCTCCCACGCAGATTTAGAGAATTACTCTGTAAAAGTAGAAAGGGCCTTAGAGGGCACCTATCGGGGGAAGAAGGTATATACGACACATGCACCTACTTCTGGTCCCGGTAAGCCTTTCTCACAAACGACGGCTTGGTGCGCAACTGACCCACAAAAGTCTTGCTCCACATGCTCAACCTAATTGAACTATATGATATGGCCGAAAGGGATGCCCTCAACGTGCACAGGCTTGTTGAAATCATGAAGTTCGGCTTTGCTGCGCGGTAAGTCTACCGTTCCTCTCGCGATTCTATTTATAACAGCTAAAATTAGAACGAAAGTTTGCGACCCGGCTTTCGTAAAATCTACCAAACAGATTGACGAAATCGCAACAAAGGACTTCGCGCAGACAATTCTTCCTAACATAACGGATGTGAGATGCACATTTTTGCCGGCTGTTGTGGCCTCACTCATTCAACTTCGTCCCAGGATCGGACACATCCCCCCGAATACTACAATCCCGTATTTGACATCAAAGTTGACCATGGAACTGTAAGAAGAAAGTTTATTCTACCATGACCATGACTTATCATGTTTTCAGAGCCATTCTTCCGTCGTTGACAAAGACGGAATGGCAGTAGCCCTCACGTCGACTGTTAATCTCATCTTTGGCTCCCAGGTTCTAGATCCGGATACGGGGATCCTCTTAAACGATGAAATGGACGATTTCTCCACTCCTGGCTTCCCGAACGCGTTCGGATTGTGGCCTTCACCATGTAAGAATTGCATGAATTACTAAATTTCTTTGACAAAAATATCTTCCTAGACAACTACCCTGAGCCTGGCAAACGACCACTATCATCCACCTCTCCTACAATTATTGAGCACGAAGATGGCTCATTTTACTTGTCCGTTGGAGGGTCTGGTGGCTCGCGTATCTTTCCTGCGGTTTTCCAGGTCCTTTTGAATCTTGGCTGGGGCCTGGATGTGAGCGCAGCCATAGAATACGGCCGCCTGCACGATCAGCTCTATCCTGCCAGGGTGGATGCAGACGATGTCTATCCTATGGACATTCTTCGCGGTTTGGAAGACAGGGGGCATAATGTGACGGGTCAGCCTTCATTTTCGCCGATTTCGTGAACGTTTTGTGCTTACCTATCGCCGTGCAAAAGTGCTTGATGTTAATCGCGTTGCGGCTGTGATTCAGGCAGTGATGAAAGAGGGCGACCTTATATCCGGTAAGGCTATTTTCGGTTTCGAAATTATTTTTGTCCGTGTTCTGAATGAACCTTTTCTGTAATTTAGCCGCAAGCGACTCGCGGAAGAACGGGATAGCTGCTGGGTACTGATCTTTCGTCTTACCTATCCATACACCTCAGCGAAATAGATATCTGCTTATTTGGTCCTTCAACCTGCCCGCCCCGTCCTGCACTTATTCTTCGGCGTATTGTTGGTACGGGTAGAACTCGTGATGCTTCTGGAGCCAGCCTTGCTGTAGCGGGACACCCCGAACATGGCAAGCTTGGTTCCCTAATCCCGTAGGCTTGGCAGGAATTCCAATCCCTTGGCCGCCAATAATTCCGCAAGTAACATGGCCATCACATCGTTTGACTCTATCCCTCTATTTCTCCGAGCCTTCTCTTCGCTAATGCGCAGGAAATATGAAGATGCGCCTGGTCTTTAGGTCGTCTGTGCTGCAATTGACTACCGATCATGCGGCCTATTTTTCCGAGCGACGACGATGGGCAATAAAAACACGGCGAGCTGAGGTGGCAAAGACTCGCGATTCTCTTCGTCGTTTCCCTCAACATGAAGCATCTTGCTGCTATCATTACGCTGGCACTGGGCTGTCGCTCGGCTCTTGCCGCCGTTCCTCTCTGGGGACAGTGCGGTGGGATCAACTACTCCGGGGACACAAGTAGGCCTTTAACTTCACTTAGCCAATGAGTTTTGCTGACATGCTGTCGGTCTCAAAGCCTGCGTCTCTGGAGCCTACTGCTTGGTCCAAAATGACTGGTACCACCAGTGTGTTCCGGGCGCTGGCCCTACAACCGCTGCACCGACATCGCAAGCTCCCACGACTACTGCTGCACCACCAACCACCACAGCTGCTCCGCCTCCAGCAGGCACTGGTTTCGTGCAAGTTTCTGGAGCGCGCTTCACTCTGAACGGGTCCAAGTACACCGTTATAGGGTACGTATGCTATTACCCTTTTGTCATCCAAACCAGTTCTGACCGTTTTATTCCTTATTCTAGTGGCAACTCCTACTGGGTGGGACTGACCAGTCTCAGTACAGCCGACATGAACAAAGCTTTCGCCGACATTGCTTCTGCCGGAGGAACCACTGTGCGTACCTGGTAAGTCCATCTCGCCCTCGACGTTTTCTGGTGCTGATGAAGTTACCTTCGTCTTCTCTTAGGGGCTTCAATGAAGTCAACAGCCAGAACGGGAACTGGTACCAGTCGTGGTCGGGGAGCACTCCGACGATCAATACTGGTTCTACCGGGCTCCAAAACTTCGGTAGAGCGACGTTCGTTTTGAATTCAAGAGGGTTTCTGACGACGTCTTGATTTTCTTAGACCGTGTTATTGCTGCTGCCAAGGCTAATGGCATCCGCCTTATTGTTGCTTTGTAAGTTCTTTTCTGTGAAATGTTTTCCAACCGGCTGATTAACGGTGTTTCTGCAGGACAAACAACTGGTTCGTTCATCCTAGCTTCGTATTTCGAGCGTGTCGATGTTAAATATATGCGCTCTATACAGGGCGGACTATGGCGGCATGGACGTCTACGTCAGGCAAATCCTGAACTCGGGCAATCATGATCTCTTTTACACGGACGAACGCGTAAAGGTACGGCGTCTATTTTTGGTTCGAAGCGACTTCTGTGCTTGACAGTTTTACGTCAATGGTAGACCGCTTTCAAGAACTACGTGCGTACCTTTGTGGGGCGATACGTGAACGAGCCGGGTATTTTGGCTTGGGAACTGGCGAACGAGCCGCGATGCAGAGGTAGCACTGGGTGGGTACCAACTTTAACTTGGTTTTTCTCAGTGGCGATGATTCGTTCTCACTCTTTATACGCTCCGTAGAACGTCCACTGGCGCATGCACACCCGCGACGGTTACTGCGTGGATCAGGGAGATTTCGGCGTACATCAAATCACTGGACAGCAACCACCTTGTCGCGATTGGTGATGAGGGGTTCTACAACCAGCCCGGTGCGCCAACGTATCCCTACCAAGGCGGCGAGGGCATCGACTTTGACGTGAACCTCGCTATCCCCACCGTCGACTTTGGAACGTTCCACGTACGTCGCTCCTCCCAACCGTGACGAACAGTCAATGTTGAGTATGTACTGATGCGCGTGATATAGGCGTACCCCGACCACTGGGGCCAGAAAGACAGCGCGCTAGCTTGGGGCGTGCAATGGATCAGGGACCATGCCGCGTCGCAGACCGCCGCAAACAAGCCCGTCATCCTGGAAGAGTTTGGCATGCTGGACAACAAGGACACGATCTACACCGCGTGGTTCGATGCGGTCGTGTCGTCTGGGCTGGCTGGAGACCTCATCTGGTGCGTAGCGGTCATGGGACCCTCCTTCCTCTTCTTTCGTGGGGTATGGGCGGGTGGCTAACGTGATATGTCTTCTGTCTTCTATTGACCGCTGTGTCGTTTCGGTTTGGACGGATTCAGGCAAGCTGGGTCAGCGCTTTCTACGTGAGTGCTCCACTGGTCTCTAGGCGATGTCGAAGTCAAGTGCTGATGGAACCTTGTTTTATGTTCGCCGCTGCAGAGGAAACACACATAACGATGGATTCACGATCTATCCTGGCACGTCGACGTATTCGCTCCTGACACGGCATGCGGCGGCGTTGAAGGCACGGGCGTAAAAATCTCAGCTGGATAGACTGGGCTGCTGGATATGTATATATTTGAGGAGGCATTGGTGTGCGCCACAATAAAGATCAGGAGATCTGGAGGTGGCGGCGGTAGATGGAAAAACATTGGAAAAACGAGCACGGGGATTGGATCTGTGCATACACTGTTACGGCAAGGCAAACTGGAGCCTGTACGCAGCTAATTCTTCGTGAGACGGTCGGACGGGTCTTGTAGGTCAGACGCGTCTGTCAAGAGCCAGGTGCCGCACCAACATGATTAAGTGTTCTTCGACCATTTGGCGATTTGAGCGCCCCGAAGAACACGAAGCGGCCGACATATGGGTAAACGCTAAAGTTGGGATCAGTGACGGATCTGGAGAAATCTGGGGGAGGCAGGGGATGCCGTGAGCGTGTGGGGGTGGTGCAGTGATTGGGATCTGAGGGATGAGAACTGAAGGGGATGGGGCCATGGTGGGTTGGTGCCAGGTTGACGTTCGTTGGAGGAATGGGGAATCGAAGCTGGCGGCTGGGCTCTCGGGTGGGGACGCCCTGGTGCCCGGAGAGGAGTGCGGCGTATAGGCTGGGAACGGGCAGAGCACTCGCGGGAACAGTGACAGCGATGCACGGGGGACGCCCTGTCTGTTAGCCGTCGCGCGACCGAGAGCCGTCCCATCAGCCGCCGGCCCGGACGTGATGAGGTGCTATGTTATGCGCCACACTCCAGACCAAGGACGACCATACAGAACCACACACGGAACTCTAGATCGCGAGGGATCGGGCACACTGTATCTGGACCCACATGGCACAAGTCGCAGGAGAAGTCGCCGCTGCTGCTCGACGCCTGCTGCAGGAGCTGGACGTCGACTGGGACCTACTGGCTTCCTACACTGGCCTGCTCGGCCTCGCTGTCCTCTCGATCTACGTTGGAGCACACGCCTCGCTGCCCCGGGTGTGTGATACGGACTGTGCTTTGCCTTTGGATGTGTACTTTACTTACATGGTCGAGCTCAGAGGTCGAAGCGGGACCCTGTGCCGGAGGACAAGGGTAAGGGGAAAGACAAGGGCAAAGGGGATCCCAATGATGAAGATGAGGACGAGGACGAGGACACGGAGCGCATGTCTGCGGAGGATGCGTGGTTGTTCCCCATCGTCAGTCATTTTCTGTCTTCCTTTGCTGATGGCTGAGGCGACAGGTCGGCTCCGTGGTGCTGGTGGTGCTGTATTTGATTGTCCAGCACCTTGGAGAAAAGTGGATAAACAGGCTCCTGGGCTGGTATTTTGCCATCACAGGAGTCGGAAGCGTGTGGAACGTGAGTTGCAGGCCTCGAATGAGCGATGCGCAGTGGCAGTGGAGCTGACGAGTGATGGATGATTATTTTTGCATTACCAAAAAGTCGCTGGTGTTGCTGACCAGGCACCTGGCCGGAGAAACACGGTGGAAGGGCTTCGACAGGCTGAGGGTGAGGGTGACGAAGGGATCGCATGGTGAGTTGATCGAGAGCAGATCTCGATGTGATTTTTTTTTTCTGCGATCCGTTTCCGTTTCCGTGTGCTGCGCGCATGGCGATTTGTCCTGGACTTGGCTGAAGAATGAAGACAGTGATCGTGAGTGTGGCGACGCGGACGCCGACGATGGTTTTACTTCCGCTGGCATTGGTGCCGTCTGGACTGTATACATTTTCGGCGGCGGGACGGCGGTCAGTGCTGGTGACGGACGTGCTGGGGCTGTCGTTTGCGCACAACGCGGTCGCGCTACTGAAGCTAGACTCGTTCCGGACGGGTGCGATCCTGCTCGCGGGGCTGTTCGTGTACGACGTATGGTGGGTATTTGGAACAGAGGTGGTGAGTGCAATCTTCCGGTTGACGACGCGAGAGAGCTGACGCGGTGCGGTGCAGATGGTGAAGGTCGCGACGACGTTGGATGTGCCGATCAAGCTGCTGTGGCCCAAGTCTGCGGTGTTTGGAAGCGGGCGGGGCTACACGATGCTGGGACTAGGAGAGGTTGTGATCCCTGGGACGTTTGTCGCGCTGGCACTGCGGTACGACGCGGAAGGAAAGCGGGGGGGAAAGCCATTCTTTTGGGCGGCGATGGTCGGGTATATTGTCGGGCTTATTACGACGATGGGTGTGATGCACGCGTTTGGAGCGGCGCAGCCTGCGCTGCTGTATCTGAGGTGAGTGCAGTGGGGATGGAGTAGTAGTCCTGAGTGCTAAGAGTCAATAGCCCGGCGTGTATTGGATCGTTCGTAGGGACGGGGCTGGCGCGGGGAGAGCTTTGTTCGGCGTGGCGGTGGAAAGATGGGCCGGAGTAGCCAATAGGCGGCGGGTGTATTTAGAAATGAATGTGAAATCAGGGGCTGCCGGCGAGCACGGCCGGGGGTGTCTGGAGTCCGCGTGTCGGACCGCAGAGAGCACTGTCTCGACCTCTCTCTCTCAACACCAACTCCCATGGCCGACTGGGATCAAGACGCCCTCCCCCAGCAAGACTGGTCCCAGATATTCTCTGCGCCCCTCAACCCCACCGTCTTCGCCGCCCTCGCCGCCAACGGCGTCCTCGGCCCCAACGCACAGACCCCGCCGCCGCCATTCAACCACCACCACCACCACCATCAGCACCAGCAAAATGACTGGCCGTACTCGAAACCCCCGCCCCGCCCCAAGCAGCGCACCCAGCAACCCACCTACTACCCGTATCCAGGTGAGCGCCAGGGCCTGCCCCCGTCTCTCTGGATGTCCTCCTCGTCTTCCCACTCCTCCCACTCCGCCCTTCCCCCGGCAATCCCCATTCCGCTAAACACTCCATCGCTCTCTGCCCTCCCAGATAACCAGCCATCCCTTGCCCACTCCCCTACCTCTCCCACCTCAGACTCAAAGTCCACCCTCTTCACCGACATCTTCTCCGATGAGCTCTTCCCAAACCAGCCCCCGTCCCTCTCGCCCCAGCCAACCAGCCCCTTCACTTCGCCTCGCCTCTCAGGCTCTCCCGATCTCAAGGCCTCTCCAGACCCCGATATTGACCCAGAGCAGCTTGCAAAGGAGGATCCCCTCGCTACCCAGGTCTGGAAGATGTACACCCGCACAAAGGTCACCCTCCCCCATGCCCAGCGTATGGAGAATCTTACCTGGCGCATGATGGCCCTCGCCCTCAAGAAGAAGAAGGAGGAGGAGGACGCAAAGGCTTCCGATCCCGCACCCCGGAAATCATCGCCCCAATCGCCTCAGCTCCTCCCCAAGGAGCGCATCTCCCAGTCTCTGCCCCACCAGGGCTTCCAGCAGCAGAACCCGCAGCTCCAGCCCTCGGACGAGCGCGGTCGCAGGATCGACAAGGGCAAGGCCCGCGTCCGCGTCGTAGGGTTTGACGGGATTCATCAGGACGAACAACAGGACGAAGAGTGGGTCTTATTTACATCTCTCATGAATTGCTCATCATATTGCGCCATAGTGTCGTTCCAATGGATTGGAGGGCCATGAGTCGCTCAAGATCACGCATCTCCATGGACTGGCGTCCTACAAGTCGCTCCCGTTCCCGTCCCCCCGAGACCACCACCAGCGCCAGCACCTTTGACCACCATGGCCTCGTAGCCACCTCATACGACTCACATTTCGCCTTTCCCACCATGGAACGGCCCCAGGCCAAGGCCATCCCTCCCTCCCATGGCATTCCCATACCAGGCCCCTCGTTGCTCTCTGCTGGCCGTCGTAGTCCGCAGTTTGACCAGAATCTGGGCGTTCTCTACGAGAACCAGTCAGACGCCCTCAATTACTTCGACAACACAGACAGATATCAGTTCAACCCCTCCTCCTTCAGCAGTCCTAATGCCATTCCCTCCTCTCTACCCTCATCAGGCCTGCACGGCTACAACAGAGTGCCTGTGCCCATCAGGCCTGAGCAGCTCCAACAGCAGCAGCAGCAGCAGCAGCAGCAACGCAGCTTTCCACGATTCGTTCGAAAGACAAGCTTTGATCACACGGCGCAGAAGGATACCCTCACCGGTGCACCCAGAGGCCGCCATCAGGTCAACGGGAAATCGCTTCTCGTGGACACCCTCAGCGGCATCAAACGCCCAGCGGAAGGCTTGCACACCGACAGTCTCTTACGGGCCGATCCTTCCACATTTGATGGCTCCTCCCAATTGTCCCCCTCATCGCACGAATCTGAGAGCAGAAGCCCCTTCCCTTCTACACCCTTCAACTTTGCCTTCCCCCCTTACGAAGGCATCTTTGACCTTCCCGGTGCCGCTTCGGCGTCTAACGTACAGTACTCTCCCACCGCTAACCCCAATTATCACCATCGGAATTCCGCTAGCCGCAACAGCCTATATCACTCTACCGCCACCTCGTCCTCGACGGAGCGTCTCTCAGCCGCATCGGCGGCGGCGTCGGCCGTCATGGCGGATACCTATGCACAGATTACCGCCGTTTCTGCTGCGGACGACCTTGACTATCGCCAACTCATGGGCCTCGTCTACCCCATCGACAACCAGTACACGCACGTCGACCCAACTCAGATTCTGTCCATCAACACCAGCAGCGGCGCAGGTGGAGGTAGCGCGGGAGGCAGCAACACATTCCCTAATTACCACGCCAGCCCGTCGAGCGACGATTGGGGTAACGGGGTCAATTCAAGCTCAAATGCGTCTCCAGAGCCTTATAACGTCTCCAATGCATCGACTCCACCTTCCGCAGAAGGTAGTTCGACCGGCCAGCAACCACCGCGCACGACCGCCCCGTCGAACCTCACGCGCAAGTACATTTCGCTCCAGCAGGGCGGCCAGGAAGTACGGAAAAAGTCCCAAACTGTTCCTGGGAACTCGCCAGTCAGCACTGAAGGTAGAAGTTCGACGAGCACGCCAGAGTACAACGCTGGATCGACAGAAGCCACGACCAAGAGCGAAGAGACTGACTCGACGCCCACGCTGTGTACGAATTGTCAAACCACGAATACGCCTCTTTGGCGGAGAGATCCCGAAGGCCAGCCGCTGTGTAACGCGTGCGGGCTGTTCTATGTAAGGATTGATGAAAATAGAAGCGACAGTGCAACGTACTGATTTTTTTTTTTGACAGAAATTGCATGGTGTTGTTCGTCCGCTTTCGTTGAAGACAGATGTTATCAAGAAGAGGTTTGTGATGCATTGTTTCGCGTTTTGTGCGCCCTTGTTGATGATGTCGCAGGAACCGCGCTTCTGGCACGCCCAGCAGTAGTTCTCGGAAAGGGGCGTCTACATTGCCTAAACTCGCGTCGTCAACGACCCGGCCGCGCTCTCAATCCGGTTCACTTTTAACAGGTGGGTCGAGAGGCACTGCGCCGGCCTCGCGCCCTCCAAACGCATCCACGACGATGAAGCGTCAACGGCGGACGTCTGGAGGGCAGGACGGTTAAGGGTTCGTTGGTTCGAATGGTTACTGGGATTTTTTTCATACTTACTGCGTCCATTTTTTATATCATCCCGTTCCTTCCATGTTTCCGATTTGTTGTAGACTGTAACATGCACTGCTTGCTTGATACTTACATACATGTGTGAGGAAAGAAGAACGGCATATCGATCAAAGCCTACGCGGCAAATAAACATGAATAGCGTGCGGAAGCAGTTCAGGGTCCAGTGTCGGCTCTCTGACCACAACACATAACTCCTCCCTGCCCCGCACTCTTGCGCATCTCTCGTCCTGGCGTCCTTATTTCGCCAACATGCCGCGCCACTGCGCTCCCAAGGCCCTCCGACTGCATATCCATCGGGATTGCAGCCCATCGCCAACGACCCAACCAGCAACAGGCAGGTCCACCGCCGGGTTTCGCGCACCGACCTTGATTTCGAGGAGGCTCTAAGGGCAGAGGGCACCGTCATGCTCAGGGAGGGCCTCGATGTGAACTCGCTTGGTGTCGAGAGCCCGTCCCCCATGAATCGCAGCTTCACATCGCAATCGACGTCTTCGAATCACAACACACCGACAGCGACTCCTGTGAACCGTGCCATCTCGAGGGTTGCGCTCCAACCGCCGACACCGGTCATCGTGCCCCCAACGCCTTCGCCACCAGGGCCGTCAAACGGGGGTACCAACAGCAATAATGGTGGCACCACTACGGGAAGTGGGAGTGGGAATGTGGGACGGCTAAATCCTGCATCCCCGTTGTCGATGTCGGTAGGGCCGTCTCCTTCATCGTCCTCGCATGATTTGGTTGGGGAGGCGGAGGAGGCGGAGAGGCAGACGAACAGACGGTCGATGTATCGCTCTCCCGGCACGTCGAGCAGCCCGGATCTGGCGACGCTGTTACGGAAGGCCAAGGAACGTGGAGGGGCTATGGTGGGGCAGAGTAGCGGGAGTGGGTCGAGCAGGAGGGAGAAGCGACGCGACCAGGAGCCGCCGCCACCGTTGCCTGACAATGGGCTGCGCAAGACGTCCTCGACGTCCCCCCACCCGCCATCGTCTTATTCGCTTTCGTCGGACAAGATGCGGACGGCATCCAGTCCCGACTGGGTCCTCACCGGCAGTCCGAAACAGCACAAGGAGAATGGAACTATCAAGGCGCGTTGTATTTCCGCTTCTATTCGGTTGTCTACCGTGCTCATCGGTTCGTTATTCATCTTTGTAGGCGCCAAAATCGTCGGTGCGGGCCAAGACGAGTGCACTCTGGGGTAAAATGATGGGGCAGAGCACCGTTAGGGAACGATCAGTACGCAATGCTGCTCCGTATCTATCCTTGTACGCTGTGTTAACATCTATCCGCGCAGAAAACAGATGCTGGGCTCCACCCATCCTCTGCTGGCCAGTTGTCGCAATCATCTTCCTCCAATCTCATGAATGCATTTGCACCCCCTGTCCCACCTATACCTGTTGAACACCGTCCTACTCCTACTCCGTCAGCGTCAACGTCACCCATAGCAGACGTCTTTTCCTCGTCCTCTTCACTTCGTCCAGTTGTCCCTGACAACAAGCCCTTACCTGCGATCGTCCATTCCCCGACGAAGGCGCGCGACATCGAAGATATCGACGACCGGTCCATCGTTTTTGTCGAGAAAATGTCACCTCTGCCTGCACTCCCTCCTCCCTCGCCCACGGCACCCGCTGCTAATGCGACCAAACGGAGAAGCATGAGCGTCAGCGATGCAGACCTGCGGGCGATCATGACCTCTGCCTCCTCTCCTACAATTCGTCCCCTCCCACGCCCGCCCCAAACCCCTGAAGCGCGACGGACGAAGGAGGCTGTGGCTCCGCAGACAGAGACGTTACCTGGGTTTTTGGATGTATTCAAAGGTGAACTTTCTTCACTAGAACCCCTCTCGAGTCCGACGTTGGACCTGCGGGATCCATCTACTCCGGCTCGCCAAGCTAGTTATCGAGCAAAGGCTAACGGCATCGTTTTATCCCCTCGTGACCCTCAAGGTGAACGAGCAGACGACAAAAAATCTCCTTCGATATCGTCGGTCGCGGATCCGTTTGCTAGCAGCAGCCCTGGTCCATCAAGGCCTTCTGTTTCTTCTGTTCACGATGACTCTGCGATTGTTCCTCCTCGCACCTCCTCGCTGCAATCTCCGGCTCGATACTCGTTAGGCTCAAGCAACATACACGCACCTAGCTCGAGGCAATTGACACCCTTGAGATCGAGAAGTGGCCCCTCGTCCGGATTGGTTGCCCAAAGCCAAAGTCCACGCGAGGCGAATCGGCTACGAGTACTTCATCGTTCCACTGCCTCAAGCTCGGAGCCATCACTCATTGCTACCGCTGAAGACGCTCGTGTGTGTAAGTGACCTAATATTAACTGTCAGTCAAAATGGAGCTTTGCTGAATGTTGTCATTAATAGTGTCGCCCCACCGAAGAGGTTCCCAACAGGATATATACACCCCGGAATCCTTGCAGTTCTCGACCTCACCATCACCGAATATTGAAGAGTCTGGAGACATGGAGACTCGCGCGAAAGAACTGGCGACACGGTGTTGGAATGAAGATGAGGAGTTTTTGGCCAAGGAAAAGATCTGCGAGTGGTTGGGCGGACAGTGCGTTGCTTTTCATTTTGCATGCTCGTCGTTGATTCATGATTTTCTAGGGGCCAAATCAACAAGGCTGCTCTGCGGCATTATATTGATTTCTTCGACTTCGCAGGCCTTCGGTTAGATCTTGCTTTTAGGTGGGTCTTTTTTTCATACATTTCACTTTCACTTCATCTTCCCTCCAGACGTCTCTGCGGAAAGCTGTACTTGAAGGCCGAAACACAACAGGTCGATCGCTTGCTAGAGCAATTTAGTCGTCGTTATTGGGATTGCAATCCAGGCAATCTATATGGCAGTGCCAGTGAGTCTTCCTTCAGTATCTTCACTGAACCTTCGCCAATTGTATGCGCTCAGACATCGTTCACGCGGTTTCATATTCGCTGTTGCTACTCAATACGGATCTCCATGTCGCTGAGTTGGTTTCTCGAATGTCGCGAAGTCAGTTCGTGCGGAACACCATGACAGCCATTCAGATGCAACTTCAACCAAATTCACCGATGACGGCCGCTCGCCTCTCAAGTTCTGACCTCACTTACGATGATTGTAGTAGCAGCGTTCGGGCGGGCTCTGACGAAACGGAAATGATGACCAGATCGAAACGTAGCGACAGCATTGCTAGCTGGAATAGCCTTTCCAAGGAGGCGATTATGTCGCTTCCTGTGTCGCCGAACCATGCCCCAAATAGTAGCATTGGAGCTAGTCAACCGAACGGCAGCACGCCTTCACTTCAGATCTCGAATGGGCACGAGCAGTCAATGTCGAATCGCGCTCAACATGGTCGAGCATGGGAAAGTGATATGGAAAGCTTGCTCAAGGTTGGCTTTTTTCTCTCCTCCCCCCTTTCCCGGCCTGACTTTTGTAGGAAATGTACAATGCGATCAAGCATCAACAGATCCTTCAACCTATCAACTCCAGCTTGACCCGTCCCTCTGTTTCTTCGCTGAGTCCGGGAGGCAATGGCATGATGCGGAATCGAAGCTTGCGTACCGGACAGCCAGATCGATTAACAACTCTCAAACGAGGAAGCATTCGCGGTTTGCAATCCATTTTGAGTTCGCAGTCTGGAATCAGCCCGTACAGCAGCAATAGTAGCATTGATGGACGCGTCAGCCCTTCTCCGAGCTTTGCAACGTCCACGCACGAAGTACGATTTCTTTCTCCCTGGCCTTGAGAGATACTCATATATTTTCTAGGCGATGTATGGTTCAAGCTCTTCCTTCCTAAACCCCACACTTGGATTCGCTTCGAACTTGTCCCATACCATCATTCGAGAGGCCCAAGAGGACGACGATCGTAGTGTGCATAGTATAGGGTCGACATCCACAACGATCAGTATCTCCGACGAGGAGTTGGCCTTGCTTGGCGCGCCATGGGCGAAGGAGGGCATGCTATGTCGTAAGCAGTACTGGGAATCCGCTAATAAGCGGGCCAAAGACAAGTCGTGGATGGATGTGTTCGTCGTCATCCAGAAAGGAGAGCTAAATATGTTTGTCTTTGGGGATCATACGTCTGGCATGTCTGGGACATTTGGCGGTGGAAATTGGCTGGTATGTCAAACTGCCTCAACAAATGGTTACTGCTGTCTAACATTTTCTAAGGCCAACGCACAACCTGTTGGAACGATCCAGCTGGCCCATTCCCTCGCACACGCGCTGCCTCCTCCTGGTTACAACAAGCGACCTCATTGCATGGTCCTCACTCTTGCCAACCGGGGTGTCTACTTCTTCCAGGCCGGTACGGAAGAGCTGGTAAACGAATGGGTGTCGACCTGTAACTATTGGGCAGCAAGGACAAGCAAGGAGCCACTAGCAGGCGGTGTCTCGAACATGGAATACGGCTGGAACAGAGTCGTCGACATGTACGGTCATGGACGGTCTCGGTCGCAGACTGAGTTGCATAGAGAACCAGATTTACCGGATTCGGTCAGTGTCCGCAGCGGTAAGAGTACGCGGAGCAAGTACGGGTGGAAAGAGGGGGCTGCTACCGTCCGTGGAGGCTTTTCACCGCGAACTGACAAGACGTTCATCAACGACTGGAAACCGCCTATGCCACCGACCGTCGCAAGCGTTCATGACGAAGAGACGCAACTGGAAGCTTTGAAGAAACATGTCGATTCCTTGAAGCGAGAGTTGGAGGTGCACAATGAGCTTCGTGAACCTATGGCGGCATTGGTATGGACTTTCCACATCTACAAAGCAGGGATGCTAATATTCTTCCAGTACCTCCATCGGTCGCCAAATGGTATGAAAGCTCAAAGTAATTGGGAAGAAAAGTCCCAGTATCTTCTCCGGGAAATTGTCAAGTATGATCTATACATCGACTCTCTGCAAGCAGCCATGGCTTTGCGTCTGAAGAAGCGTGGCGAAAAAGGCAAGAGGACCATTTCAAAATTCATTCATCCTGACCTTTGTTGTCTGTAGCCCTAGAACATGCTCTCAGCAATTCTCACCCCACCGACGACCCGCTGACGGGTTCGAAGAAATGGAAGGGCCCAGAAGAACTTCCAATCACTGAAGAACCGGAGCCAGTCACTCCGAACGCTCGACAACGCTTCCAACCTTCCCATCAGAGAGACGCTGCTGAAGACGACGATGCATGATGCCGTACTACTCTCATTTTCCATGACGATATACCACCGTTAGCTATTGCGATTGTTGTAGTGTGCAAAGAGCTGTTGCTGTCGCAGGCGATTCACACTTGGTTATTTACTTGCTCTATTCACTTCATTTGTTCGTTATTCAGGCTCTCTTCCCCCTTACGACTAAATTTAATATGTATAAGATTTTTAAATTTCTCAGAATCTAGCACGGCCCGTACTTGGCCGCTGCGATATGGGCAGCCAAGCCACTGGCGCTCGTTTTCGGGGTAAAGACCGATCCCCCCCGAAAGATGGGAAGTAATGAGGAAGTTTGGCACCACAAGGAATGAAATTGGACGCGCCTGGTTGGGAGCGTACCAGACGGAGCCGATGTCGTTGTTTGCATTCGTTCCATAGTGAAAAACGGCGGAAGTCTGCGATCCGAGGAACGGGCTGCACTTGGCTGTGCATGCCGGGTCGCTGGCCGTGTCGAGGTAATACTGAAGGTGCTTCGTCCAGATGCCCTTGAAAATTTGCTGGAAGAATTATACATCACGATCAAGATTGGACCTGAGAGTGACAGGGGCAAGCGCTTACCTGGTCTTGGTTGCAGACAGGCCCTCCCGAAGCCGCGTTATCGCATGATTCACGGAGGATGTTGTTCGTAGTTATGCGTGCGATGGTTGCGTCCAAGGTTATTTCTGCTTGATTGAGAAGCGAAGGGTCTTTGTTAGCCACGGCGAGTGCTGCAAGACCAGACGCGATGACCCCCTATCGCCAACAAGTTATTTTTGGAACATGATAAGATAAAGGTATAAGCGCTCATACTTGATTGTACGTCCAGGTCGTCTTGGATAATGTATGTGAGCCTTGGGGCAGGAACTATGCAGAGCATTCATACCTGACCATTGTTCCTACAGGTGGCACTGTCAAGTCCGTCGTTCCAGAGACCCTGCGCGTTTCTCATTCCAGAGTTGAGGACTTGGTGGAGAAATGCTAAGAAACCTGGCGATCGAAACGAGGATGCAGACTTACGCCAGTTCCAAGTCTAAAATAATTATGAGAAATTCTTATAGATTCGATGATAGATGGGAAATTTATAATGGAACGAGCTGACCTTCTGCGCATTGTCGAGGTATGCTTGATCGCCAAACCTAAGAAACCCGGAGGCAGACAGTAACAAGAATAGCTCATTTGTGACGGCATTTTTGTACGTATGGGCAGTGGACCACCAGACTATGTGAAGCAAATATTCAACGGAAGGTCTAGCAGAAAGTAGAAGAATGCCTACCGCCTCCACCACAGGTCGAATCCCACTGGCCTGCGATAATGTCGTATATTTTCTTGGCGCTATTCTGAAATTGACATCTGAGATCGATGGTGGTCTGATGAAGTCGTGCTTGACTTGCCAAGTAGGCCATAGTAGAGAGTCCACGGCTGCCTTTATAATTTGCTATCTTCCACAGAGTAAGGACAATCCACTTGAATAAAATTACGATGATAATGCCGAAAAGAGGGACTACTTCGAAGACGTACCCCCGCGTCGTCGTTACTTCCAGCAAGAATATTTTGCCAGTTCGTGTTTGCATCAAGGGCCGCTCTTCCAATAAATGAGGTATCGGCCACGGTAGAAAATTCGTCAGCCCCCGTAGCTAACATGAGGTTGTGGAGATCCTCAAGAGTATTCTGCCATGGGTTCGTCAGGTTGGAGCGAAGATTGCGCAGGTGGGAGAGAAATACGGCATCGGTCCAGAGAGACCCCCCAGTATACTTCCCGTTTCCTGGATTGAAGTAGCGACTTTGGAGTCGCTGAGCGACGGACTATCTTTGGACATTAGATAATCCAGAAACCCCTGGATCTTCAGGTATTTACCTTGGCTGTGGCAAGTGTAGATTGGCATTGAGCAGCCCCGGAAGACATCGTGAACAGAGTAATAGTTGTTGTAGCAGCAGAAAGAACACTTTTGAAGCATAACATGATGGTGTAGGGAAGGGGGATGGGATCTCAGCTTTCCAATGATTATTGGGTTTTATAGGCAGCGATACTATTTTTAAAGTGAATGCACTGTGACCCTTCAGATGGGCGCTATTTTGGGCACTTTGCCGATCACGTCCACTTTGGGGTAGTACGCTGTCACGTGCGCAATCCTATTGGGGTGTTCTGCGTCCCCTCGTCTTGGCCTCCAATTCATTGGGGTCCTTCCAGAGGCCCTCAAGTCCATTTGCCGCCACTCTCTGGCTCATAACCTGGCGCCCAGCTGCCTGCGCTTCAAGACCAACCGCCATGTCCTCATCCTCCGATGACACGAAGGCCTTGCACCGGCTCATCCGATTCATTGCTCGTCTTGCCGTTAATTCCTTCTTCACTGAAGTCAGAGTCATTGGAGGAGAAAACGTCCCGAAGGATGGTCCTATCATTGTGTATGTCCGTCGTCCGTGTCTTTTCGTTCAACATTCCTCATGCCGTCTGCAGGACCGCTACACACCACAACATGATGCTTGACCCCGTGGTTCTGTGTAAGGATGCGCCACCTGTGCCGCTGGACGTGTCTCAACGAGTCTTATAGCTGTCGGGTTCCCCTACCAGAGGATGCTCAACTATTGGAGTAAAGGTGCGAGCTCATGTGAATCATACAGTGTTCCAATTTGTTGAATTGTTGCATAGCAAGCTTGTTTGCCCATCCGGTTATGCGCTGGATCTTGTTCTCCTCCGGCAACATCCCTGTAGACCGTAAATCGAAAGACCGACAGGTTCTGTTCAAGGGAACAATCGAGGCTCTGTGCAAGGGTGAGGCTGTTGCACTGTTTCCTGAGGGAACAAGTTACACGGAACCCCGAATTATGCAAGTCAAGGATGGTGCAGCTTGGGCAGCCCTGGAATGCACCAAATTCGTGAGGGACAATCCTGGCAGAGCAGCCCCACAAGATGTCAGGATAGTCCCCGTTGCCATCGTTTACACGAACAAGTCCAAGTACCGAAGTGCGGTGAGTGGATTTCTATAACATTGGAACTGTATCTAATTTCCGTGTCGTAATTTTAGGTCATCATGGAGTACGTTACCTGCGATCCAATGCCTAATGAGTTTTAATCTTGACTGAGCAGGTTTGGAGGGCCAATTTCCTTGGACGAGTATAAAGAGCAATTCTTTTCCGGAGAGGAAGGCGCGCCACGTTTGGCTGTCAAGCGTCTAACGCATGCGATCGAGCGAGAGCTCGTTGGGGCCAGCATCAACGCTTCAGATTGGTAGGCTGTTTTCATGATCGCAGTTCGTACAGGCTTTCATATCCTCTCCACAGGGACACGCTCTTTGCAGCAAGAATGGCTAGAGACATCCTATGGGTTGAAGATAGGTCCATCCCGTTGGAAGACTTCGTTGCCATCTCACAGACGTATGGATCTTCCTCTTGCCTCCATCCATGGTATTAACTTCTATACGCTCAGCCTCGTTGACCTCTTCTCCTACCCGGATATCACTGCTAACTTCAAATCTGTCAAACGGAACTTGCTTGCATATTATTCTCTTCTTCAATCAACACACCTCACGAACTCTGTTCTATCATCACTTCCTCTCCCACGCACATTGGATCCCAACACACCAGCCACAATTCCAAGTCGACTGTATACGATACTAATTCTCATTCGGGACTCTATTTTGGCTCTGGTCCAATTACCCTTTTTCTTCCTTCCTCTCATCGTTCACAGTCCTGCCTATATGATGGGTGGCCTCGGCGCTAAGCTTGTGGAGCACGAGGAGGAAACACAGGCTCAGAACAAGGTTGCTTTCGGTCTAATATCTCTACTTGTCATCTATCCTGCTACATTTGTTTTTCTTTGGGCTCTATTCTGGTATACGCGTCTCGGCGCACTGTTGGCCGGATTAATTGTTTATCTATTCGCTGTCTATCACATCAAGATGGTTGATAGTGAGTACTTGTTCCACTTTGCTTGTTCGCTTCCTGATATGAACAACCTTCGCAGGCAACTATGAACGGTTTGTGAAGTTACTTCCCAACAATAGATAGGATACTGATTTCGAGGGCGCAGGGCGAAACGGTTCATTGCAGCATGGCGAGTGCTGGTAGGGGTATGGACACCTAAACGGTGGGACTTGTCGATTGGCGCACTAGCTCAGTACATGAAGCCGCGGACGCCACCGCCCAATCCGTGGATTGACCGGCCGAAGGCGGCAACTCCTGCGGCAGTCGAGGAAGAAGTCGCACGGCCGGGGAGCCCAACGGATTTCAAGCTGCAAGAAGAGCCTCCTGTGAAGATGCGGGCAGCTCGCAGGCCCCCATCGCGGCGACTCGTGCGTCACGTACTGCGATCCCGTGTGGAAGCGATGAACGCGTTGGCTGGGTTCTTCGATAGCCTGGGGCAGGCTGGCTACGACAAGAAGATTAAAGCAAGCCCCCACCTTGCGAGGATGTATGGGGGTGGTGTCGGTAGTGGATCGGGAAGTGGCGCTGACGCTTCGCTTCGAGAAGGGCAAGACGGAGGCGTGGAGGAAGGCTGGCGCTATGGGGGCGAGGTTGTGACGTTCCTCAAGAAACGGGGTGCGAAGATTCCAACGTTAGGACAAGGGCCAATGAAGGATGAATGGGCGGCGCTTAGCAGCGAAGGGGAGGGCGACACGACGGGAGAGGAGACTGAAGAGCCGGTTTGGGTGCCCCGCAGCGGTGGCTAGAGGATCTAGGGTTTAGTTAATAGATACATCTACGCTGAGGAGAGTTACGTATACGAAAACGTGGGGAGAAGAAGTCGATTTGGATTAGATTGCCTCTGACCGTGCGCACAAATATTTGAGCACCAGCCTCCCACACCTCGTCCTCCTCCTCCATGTTCCCAAATCGCCCGTTCCACTACGCTCCCCCCGACGACCCTCCATCGTCCTTCGCCCAGACTCTGCGAGAGTTCGAAGAGAAATTCTTCGACACCTTCCCAGCAGCAAGGGAGGCCGCCGAACGCGAGCGCGAGCAGGCCTTGACTGCCACCTATTTCAGCTCCGTATCCTTTTCCTACGACTCCCGGCCCCAGCAGGAGGGATATTCGACCCATTTCGGCGCCCAGCCGTTGTACGACCAAGCCTACAACGTCGTCGAGGAGCTGCAGCCTGTCGGTTTACCGCCGTCGACATCCCATCTGGTCTCCCAGCTGCACTACGATTACCGGCCACAGTTCGAATATCCCCAGCAATATATCCCTGATCAGCAGCAATCACAGCTCCCCGAGGTGTATGCTCCCGTGGGTCTCTCAGATTCAGCCCCTTTCTCTACCTAACCAACCTTCTAGGTGCAGTACGCACCCCCAACGCAGCAGATTGTCCATTATGCTCCTTCCGAAGGCCCTATACCGCCAACCCCAGCCCTCCAGGTCGCAATTCCCCGAGTAGCTCCTCCGGCACACTACCCCGAACCACCAGCCAACCCTTCATATCCTCATCCTCCACCTCATCGCCATGGCATAATCCATTCATCTGTTTACCAGTCCACTCCCGTCCAATCGCCAGTCGACTCGTTGTCACAGGTTCTCTATGCATATCCGCCTGGTACTCCATCGGAGGTCGCAAGCTCTCCGACGAGCGACCTTGCCCTATACTCCCCTGCTCCTGTCATCGTGCCTAGCCAGGACCCACGTCAGGCGACACACCACCTCCACCAACCTCAAATGGAATCATCTAGTCGGATAAACGAGCACCTCGAAAGCTTAACCCTCCCTTCTACATCCGCTTCGTTGACACATGCTAATCAACACGCCTACGATCATCACCGCCAGACTCGCTCCCTTTCCCAGGTCCCTCCACCTCACATCGACAGAGCTACCGTTCGAGGGGGCTCCTGGGGTCCCGCCGGTAGCCCCACGAAGCAATCAAGAGGGTCCATGCGTCTGAGCCCCTTGCCCTCGAAGAGACATCTCGAGAAGAAGCCACCTCTAGCGTGTTTGTTCTGTCGAGGGCGGAAGATCGCGTGCGGACCCCCTCTTCCCGGAAGCGTTGATAAAACTTGCAAGTACGTTGCCTATCTTAACCTAACGTCACTTCCCGATTTATCACAAGCATCATTACTCATCTGTCATTCATTTTCTTTGCAGCCAATGTCAAAGAAGGTCATTGCGATGCGAGTACCCGTCGGAGAGTCGGCGAGGTATGCGAAAGAAGAAGAACACCGATTCTACCGATACTGTCGACCAGGACCCGACCCCATCATCTTCGTCAGCAGAACCCCAAACCCTGCCTACGAACCCTCCACCGACCTTTTAATCTCGCTATGCACCTTGTTAACTCGCCCTATGCTATCTCTTGAACATACTTACTGTATTTTGTTGTCGACACATCCTTACTGCTTTCCGTGATGCTTTCAGATTCATTTTTGGTCACAAATTCATTCTTTATGAATGGTATCTCATTTTCTTGGGCTTTCTTGGACTGTTAGGTTATTATACACGACAGGGGACAGAAAAGATCCATCTTTCTGGGTTGTTGGCACCCTCGCATTAGTTGTAGTACCTAGCATAGTTATTTTCGTGCTGTTTTCCTTGATGAACGAACATCTCTTCGTCCGTCAATAAAAAGAATACTCTAATCGCTCATCTATTAATCAGTTATTCCTCAGTCTCTCTGGCAGAGATAGTTGAAAGAAGATCTGGCTCATGCCAACACATTGAGGGCGAAGACAACCATGGCTTGAGAATCTTTGGGGAGTACCAATAAGATTGGAAGAGTTCCGGGTGTATTGAGGTATAGAATATAGTACAAAAAATCGTGCAGATACATATGTACATGGAAAGAGATCATTGATACGCGGTCTATTAGGTTGTTGACGACTGGACGGGAGAGAGCGCACAGGGGAAAAAAAAACACGAAAGCAGAACTGCAATGCAAGAGACATTTATTCAAGCCCTACGGGCCATCTTGGAACGACGGGTAGAACGACGAGGGCGTTCGTCCGAGTTCTCGTCAAGAGATTCCCCAGGCGAGGAGGATTTTCCTTGGCCAGAACCCGAAGGGCCAGCAACTTCAGCAGTGTTCATGTCGGCGTCATCAAGAACCTCTTCGGGAAGAACAGACAGCTCCGCATGGACGCGCTTGTTCTGGCCTTTGGTTGCCCCGGGGACATTGGCGGCCTTCTCCCGTTCGGTTGCATGGGCAATCATCTCCCAAGAGGGTTCGGGGAGATGCGCACCATTTTCGGCGGCTTGAGAGAGTACGTCACTTCGTCGTTGAAGCGAGCGTTGAGATCCGTTGGGCATGTCTGTCTCGGCGGTAGGAGGCACGTCTGACTCCTGGCTACTCGGAGGGCCCTCTGCGCTCATGGGCGCGTCACCGTCGTCGTCATCCGGTGGAGGTTCATGAAAAGGGATGTGGGCTTTGAGCCACGGGTGCTGAAGTGCGTTCGTCAAGGACATACGACGGGCGGGGTTTTCTTCGAGAAGTTGGTGGACGAAACTCATGGCTAGAAAGGCCAGTCAGCCGCATGACCACCATAAGAGAGAAGTATAAGACGTACCATCCTCACCAACGTTTTTCGCTGCAAGGGTGTTCCAGTCAACTTTGCGAGTCATGATGCGAGTTCGAATGTCTTGATTCTCATCCTCAAAGAATGGGCTTGAGTTCGTCATCCTATGGAGACGTTCAGTCCAGGAATTGAATGGAAATGTCGAAGACTCTCACATGGAAAACAGAATAACACCAACGCTCCAACTATCGACGAGGTTGTCGTACCCTTCGTTATTTTCTTGCTTCACGACCTCGGGAGCCAGGTAGCTTGGAGTGCCGCACATAGTCTAAGAATAACTTCATGAGACGACGGATGCAATGTCGAGAGAAAGAGGCGCTCACTCGAAGCATCGTCAGACTATCAACAACTTTGGCAAGGCCGAAATCAGCAACCTTGATGAGAGGTGGACGATGGCTGGTGAGAAGAACATTCTGGCGGTTATAGGCAATGAATATATGAAAAAATAGGAGACAGGAAAGAGAAAAAACCTCTGGCTTCAGGTCACGGTGCGTAATCCCTCGCGAATGAATGTACTATACACTAATAAGTCGCACGGTAAGAATAAAAGAAGGAAAAGGACTGACTGATAAAGCATCGCAAATTTGGTAGGTGATGTCTCGACTATCAACCTCACCTGGATGGATATGAGTGACACAGCCTGACAAACGAAAAGTTGACAACATACAAAGACCGTTGTTACTCAGGATATACTCCAAAAGATCACCACCTTCCACAAGTTCGAGGACAAGGTCTAGATCCAATTTGAGGACTCAACAAATCAACGAAAAGGGGCATTAACTTACTTATACTACCATCATCTTGGAAGAACACCTCGAAAAGTTTGCATATGTTGCGGTGGTCGAGCTTTTCCATGATGCTAATTTCGCGTGCAAAGGTAGCGTTCCTATTACTATGTCCACGGTCACGTCCTACCGTCTTGCTTGCATTGATCATCTTTACAGCGAACCACTGTCCAGTGCTTCGATGAACGGCCTTCCTGACTGTCGCGAAAGATCCCTTGCCCAGTTCGGTTCCAAGGTCATAGCTGGCAAACAAGCCATCATTGGCAGAGCCACCTGCTGTGTGGCGGTAGACGAATCCTTCAGGCGACGACATCAAGACGTATCAACCCGAGAACACGAAAAAAGACGCACTGTAATCCTCCAGCCCGTTGTTGTGGGGTTGCGGGACGCATGTACCAAACGCAATCTCATTTCCTTCTCTCAAAAGACGTGTTTGGCCTCTCCCAATCTTTTCACCGTTGATCTACGGATGATGTCAAAGCCGTATTCTAGAATAAGGAAGGGAGACGCACGAAGGTTCCATTGCTCGACTTATCCTCAACCCAAACGCATGAAGTGACAGTATCGTGGCCATCCCAGGTAATAACGCAGTGTTGATTACCTTTTAACAACGCGTTCAATATGGCCCAAAAGGTGAGAGCCACATCAATGTACTCACTAACTTTGAACCCAGGCAAAACAACCTGATTTATCTCGGTGTTTCGGCCAAGCGTGTAGCGAGGGTGTATCTTCCAGAAGTCAATTCGTGTGAGTGAAGAGCTGCAAGGCTGGAGGTAGCCCCAGAGGTGAGAATCGACACTGGCAGCTGGTGGTTGAGATGCTTGTTGTGTGGACTGGGTCTGTTGATCCGACTCTTGAGAATCTTCATACGCGTACGGATCGACACCGTACTCCATTTCGTAGTTGATGGAGTCGTCCATTGTGTGCGGTGTGTGAGAGAGAGGACAGGGCAGAAAAGCGATGGGCGGTAATGGGAAGAGGAGAGTCGCGCCGGCCGATTTTTATATTGACGCGTTTCAAAGCCCGATTTAGTGGCTCAACATGCGCTTTGACAGCATTGCCACACAGTAACCGCTGCTTGGTCTGCATTATCCGTCCATAAATTACTACAATAAGTATCTGGTATAAGCTACAAGTTAGGAACACAAAGATCCCCCCCAGCGGCCAAAACGCAACCGGCTTGGCATGAATCTGTGTTGGCCCATGAGCTTCCCAGTTCAATTATCTTCTCGTCAAAGCGTCGCTTACCGATTATGCATTGACCTTTGTGGCATCTTACAGATCCCACGTTGGGGATCGCACTACAATCTCTTCCACCGTCTGGACTTCTTTCACCGTTGAGCGAATATCCAACACAACCGCCACAAGATCTGTCCTGGTCATTAGCAAGATGTCTAATTCCAAGGGATGGGTGACGTACTCAAGATCACTGTCGATATTTACGCACTCGTAACTGGCAAACGACTGATGATGTCCATTGTGCCCGCCCCTCCAGTGGTAGCCAAAGACAGGGCACGCTTTCTGGCCCGTTCTGCCGCATAAGGGTGCGTGCGCCACTCGACGTCGCGCCTTCGGGCTTACTACCGCAAAAGGACTTGATAAGGCTAAGGAGAAGGATCAGCAAGTGTTTACGGAAACCCTTGAACGAGGACCGTACGGCAAGTCCCACTGCTATCCTGCTGGGAAGTGGGAGATATAGCCCAGCTACCAGGTGTCGCAGAACAATCATTACGGTTTCCTGTGCCAGGGTTAGAATACGGGTACTGATTAGAGCATCTGGTTCGACGAGAATTTAAAAGAAAGTCGAAGAATGAGAAACTATGCTCACCTTTGACAGTTTGTGTTTCCAGGTTGGTCCTAGTTATCCAATAATGCTGGTCAGCGTCACTGAGGAACTGCTACTAGGGATGCGTTTACTCACGTTGAACCAGCCTGCTGCACAGTTGCAACAACCAGTGGCACCCTGTATATTGTTGAATGTACCGGCGGAGCATTTCTCGCACCAAACGAGTCCTCCTTTCGAGTAGCGTCCTGGTGAACAAGCTTGAGGATTGGCCAGTGCATCACTTGGACATTGGTAGCCAGCAGGGCACGAGGGACAGGATGAGCGGCCAGTCTCCTTTGCATAGTTGCCCGATGGGCAAGGGGTTTCAGTTGTAGCACCTCCGGACGAGACATAGTAGCCTGCTCTTGCTTGACGGCAAGACGTGACTCCATATTCTGCGAAGGCCGGTCAGTGAGGTTCACCATAACGATAGTAGAGAACCGACCTTTAGAGTAACTACCAGCAGAGCAGCTTAAGCAAGGCGGATACCCATTATTGGAAGAGTACGTCCCAGGTGAGCAACGGTCGTTGCTGCGCGGCACCAGAGGAACATCATTGAAAGTCCTGGTTGGTTCCTCGTGAGCGGAAGATGCTAGGAGAAAGACTGGTGGTAGAAGTAAAAGCGTCAGAAGATGCATAGCAGCGCTTCTTTTTCTCGATGGGTGGAACGGGAGGGGAAGGAAATGTTGGACAATCGAACAAACCGGCTCTTTAGCGTTCTTGAACTCCAGCATAGGTCTTAACTAAAGAAAATTTCATGGAGATTGACCTGCGTCTCCATTTCTGCCAAGATCGAACAAGGATGAGTCTTGTTCCGCACAATCGAGGGGCACATAATACTGGACAACTATCATTGGCAAAGGCTCGTAAAGGTGTCGAGACCTCTTTGATCGAGCATTGAGCAGTTTCATTACATAATGACTAGGGCGGATGGTCAGTACTTCAGTCCAGTTTCTGAATTCTAGACGAAAGACTTACCACTTTGTGTGTGGTGTCTATAGAAGCGTCTAGGAAGTAAAACCTTGACCAGGCTTGATCAGACCTCAAACGCCAATTGTCGCAGAGCAGCGATATCGCTCGGCTTTGTTTTACAGCAGCCACCAACAATGACTCCACCCAACGCCTGCCCCTCTACCTCTTGTAATAGAATACGAGAAACCGTTTCGCTAAATGCTTCAGCCCACGACTCCTTCCCACCGTCCTTTATCCACTCCTGCTTAGCTTCGTCGAATACATGGTTTCCATTTGGATACAAGACGAGCCAAGGGAGATTTTCGGACTTGAGCTTGAAATCTTTGAGGTACCGTCGAACTTCGGCGACGAGGGATGGCATGTATCTAAGGGCTGTGCAGTTGATTCCGAAAGCTGAAGGAATAGGCCATGCACAAGTGTCGTCGCGCGAAAAGCATGCCTCAAGAAGTCCATCAATTTGCACCTTGGGACCGCCAGGGAAGGCTTCTTCAGGAGATTCGCCTTGGGGAAAAACACAGCTAATCCACCACGGCTTTCCCCTCTTCCCCTCCGGACCTAAAACAGTCTCTTCAAGACAGACCATAGCCTTTCGTATTGCTCTCACTTCCCTTCTGAGCGGTATGGTCTCGAAGGCGATGCAATCTATAGCATCCCATGTTTTTGTGTCCTTGGAGAAGACAGTGAGGCGGTTGAGATGGAATTGTGTCAAGGCATCCGTTGCGTCTTGCTCGAGTTCACGATTATGTCCAAAAGAGTTGAGGTTGTCGCCGTCCTGAACATACTTCCTTGGTCCGTACGGAGGGTGGTAACATCCATGAAACTCTTGTGTCGGCTTCAGAGTCGCACCAAACGGTCCAAGGGAGAGTGCGAGGTATTTTTTTCCTTCGGAAACGTTGCGATCGTCTGGGGCACTTGTCGCGCGAAATCGTGAAATTGAATCTCGAGCTATACTCACAGACCGCACCATAATTGCAGCTGCCTTCTCGGCATCGATGCCCGTGTTTCTGAAAGTCTCTAAAGAGCACTGATAACTGTTCACAGTGATTAGTCACGACTGTGCATATCGAGTGAGTGCAGTGAGGTGAGGACGTTACGTGGAAGTAGAGATGATCGTTGCGCCTGCCTCTAGGAAAAGGGTGTGAGCGGCCGCCATTGCCTCCGGATTGTCTACTACAGGCTGAGCGGACCATAAAGAAGATTCTGCGAGTTTTAAACCAAGAATGTCCTCGAGCGTAGTTCCCTGGCGGTTGCACAGCTCAGCATAGTTCAGTGGTTGATGAGCGCACGCGAACGCACCAAGCCTCCATCAAACAGCACAAGCTTGGACGAGGGAAATAACGCGTTCAGAGAGAAATCAGAGGGTTGGGTAGACATAGACGGCTGAGGGTGGGGCATACTTGTAGAATCATGGAAGTACTCAGCGAGTCAAATTAACATTGCAGAAAATGATAGTCATGTTTATGCTACAAATTTAGAATCCAATCTAAGTGCATCCATTACGCGCGAAATAAATTAGAACCTGTAGAGGCTGTACATTGATGGAAACCCATCCCCCATGCAGGTAAGTACATATATACAAAGCAAAGGCACGAATGAATGTACCAGTGCCAGCACTGTTAGTGAAAGAAACCATAAACTCATCGGCTATATTGCTGGTACGAGGTCTGCTTGAGGTTGAAGTTTCCCTCGTTGTCTTGTCTCCTCATCTTGACTGCCTCTTTTTCCTGTCGATATTGCTTGGGGAGGAAAACCAGACCTGCGGCATATGCGAGTGGTAGGAGCTACTCAAACATTAGCACCCAGATTGAAGACGGGAGGTTTGATAACGTACCGCGACCCAGATCCAGAATAGAACGTCGACGCCCGACGGCAAGGGGTCACGCCCTGTGGTCAATGGCCATTCTTCATGATAGCCCGACCGGACTTGGTAGAAAGCAAGTCCTATCACCGCAAGACCGAGGATCGCATGGGCATAGTTCTGAGGGGGTCTGTGCTTGAGATTTTGCTTCTTGATGAAGTGAACGACGGCGCCGAATGCGCATTGAACTAGATAAAGAATGAATAGTGCGATTCCCCATCGCTGCAACAAGGTGTTATAAGAAGCTTAATCATATAATCAATAAGGATTGATGAACCTTATGGTTGTCATCCAAATGCTGCGCGCCGGCTTGGCCAACACCGACGATACCAAGAATAATACCGATGAGAATCGTTGGTCCGGCTGCGGGGGAATGTTGGCAATTCGTCACCGAGGAGACATGATGTTCTTACCAATGCCCCACTGAAGTATCCAATGTCCCTGGAACCAGGTAGGAATGAAAATTCGCATGAAACGTGCCACAAGAACACCAGCGGGCAGGAAAAGAAGGAAGCCAACCGTGCAGAACACGGCATGGGCCACGATGACTTTCTGATGAGGTTGCAAAGGAATGCTTGTTGAACCCGAACCTGTTCCTGTGCCCGAGCCAGACGTTCCAGTTGACGTTGGTGAGGTGCCAGAACTCGTCGTGGTTGACGTCGACACTTGTTTGGTGAGGTCGAGGGAAAGGGTTCCCGCGTCGATATGCTGAACTATCGGCGCGTCGACTGCTGAAGAACTTGGCGTCGTCGTTCCCAATGCGTAGATAACCGATTGTCTCGTGTCGCTGTTTGACTATGGTAAATGTCAATGACAGTATTTATAATAGATAAGGGAAGATACCTACGGGAATTGTGAAAGCGAAGCTCAGCGTAGAGCCAGACAGCTAGAAGACCAGGTCAATCGTAGTGACATGTATGCTTTCAGAAAGCCACTGACAACGCTGGCTCCTGAAGAAAATGAGGCAATCCTTGGAGGATCAGAGTCGACAGTGGGCATAACCAGGCGGGTCGCCGAACGTTGGGAAAGAGCGACTGTACCGTCACTGTTCAGCCACATAATGACCATAGGAGTATTGGCCATCTGGCTTCCGAAGCCCCTGCACGGACGGTGTAAAATGTGTATCCGGGAAATAGAGTAAACAGCACTTACATGCCCATCCACCCAACTCTCCTATTTCCGCTACTGGAAACGACATCTTGCATGCGCGTCAATGCATTGTCTTGAGGGAGATGGCGTTATGGAACTCACAAGTTGTGGTTGACCCATTAACAGTTGCGGCAATGCAAACTGACTGGGATGTTTGTCAGAAAGGCCGAACGATTGGGTGTAGAAAGTTTTCTTCACAGTGCCACATGAAGAATCGCCTGTAACAGTCTGTTGCTGACGGGTGTATAAATTCTAGAGGCGTCATCGTTGGTCGCTGAAGGTGGCAGAGCAGCTTGGAGGCTTACTGGTTGGAGGCCGCTGGCGCTCACGAGGAACTGGAGGAGAAAGAGGACGAGTAGGGGCAACATTGGGGTTGAGTAACGACAGGGCGTTCACTGCCACGCATATTTATGTGAAGTGGTGGAAGCACCTCGTTGACGTTGGTAGGGCCCTGCAGGGGGATAAGGCCTTGCAATCGGACTGATGTGATAGGACGGGCTCTAAAGTCCTCCAAGTGAAGACGAGAGCCATTTTTGGCAATTTCGAGACAGGACAAGCCTTCTAGTGCGACACTGTCGACTGCGCAATGCGGTTCGGCGGAATGAAATGGCACCACGTCAGGGCGGTGATGTTAAGGTGATGTCGCTCGTATAGGTAAGCCAAGGGGGTCTTCAATAATCTCAACGGCCAAGGACGCAGGAAGCAGTGTGCCGCAGTTCCTGCTTCTCTTGGAAACAGTGCAACCCCACCGACAGCACGCGCGCCTGCGCTCGTAAAATGTGGCTTTCACTCCCGAAATCTCGCTCGCCATCAATCCCGTATCACTAACTTTGTCTATGCTACATGTTCTATAGTCCTTTGAGACTCTGCGTCCGGGTAAAACAGCATTTCAAATTCATCCGCCGTTTGCCCAATGACGCCGAATGCATCCTGGAGAATCCGCCCCAGAGATTCCAGTTCCATAGTTACTCCCTTCATCGTAAGGGCGTACGCAAAGAAGAGAAGCTGCCGAGAGAATTTTACATCACGATTTTTTACCACATCCAATCGTCGAATGGCCTCGACCTGAAAGTTTAATCAACAGGTGAACGACAGCCCCAATTGAAGCATAGACATACCAATCTTAATCTTGATTGTTCTACCGGAGGTAGATACGGAGAAAGAGGCGCCTTCAGACGAAAAGCCGCGGATAATGTCGTGAAACTGAGCATGATATTGCCAACCATCTCTCGCCGTTCGCGATTGACCGGGATGATGAAGTCGTGTCGGACGCTCTGCAAGACCAATAAATCACTGCACAAGCAAACTTCTCAGGCTTTTGGTACTTACTGTATACCTGTGAAAGCGGGGTTAGCAATTACTGACTAAAACAAATGGGCCTCGAACGAACTTACCATTCTTCGCGAGTTGTAACACACCGCATACTGTGCAGCTTGTCCAAGATCGTCTGCAAGCTGATTAAGATCTGGCGATATAAGTTCACCGGAAACGGGCCCTTTAACCGCGGTTCATGCTGAGCTTGTGCAAGCAGACTTTGCAACTCGATGAGCTTGATTTGCAGATGCAATTCCCTGGGTTTCAATCCACACTTTCAGCACATCTTCCCGTAATGCAACAAAAAGCGACAGACATGGCCATGAACTCGTGGACCGAGTTAGAAAGCCGAGTTCGTCTTGTGTCGAGAGCAGTACTGTTTTGCTGGGCTTGGTCCTCATCTCGGTATTCGGGTGCGAACGAGTTGGAAGCAACTAGTCGTGTATAGAGCCATCCCATATTCAGGCAAAACCTGGGAGCAAGAGAGGGAATTGGATCAAGCAAACATGTCAAAGAGCCAAACAACATACTCGCTCAGAGATTTCGTCAACTCTCGCCGTGCCTCTGCTGGCCACCAAAAGCGAGACACAAACGCAGCCCAGAGTACGCCTGCAGCAACTGCAATCGCACGACTAATTCCAATGTCGAGCACGGAAACATCCTTTTGTCTCAGATTGTAGCTGCATTATCGCGTTGTGAATTGCGAACGAGAGACAGATGGAATGCAAACTCACCTGTAGAGGCATGTGAGATTGTACGTGAGAAGCACGAATCGTGAAGCAGACAGATATTTCGGCTTCGCGACGGCAATGTAGTAGCATGGGAGAGAAAACAGGAAGCCGAAAATTGACAGAATCACAGCTTCGTCTGGGAACAAGGCGTATATCCCTACAGCTGAGACCGCACCAAATCTGAAGAGATGTCAGGAAGTATAGGACTGGAAGTAGAGAGTGGTTCATACAAAGTACCAAGAATACGTTGCAAGCTCAAATTATTGGTCTTCACGAGAAAAACGGTGGAAGGTCAGTCAAAAAGTACAAATGGTAGTAACGTCACCTACTGCACCAATGGTGGGTGAAAGGACGACGAAGAACTATTGAAAGGCTGGATTAGCTTGAAAAGTGCCGTCCAAAAAAGCTACTTACAGAAATTAAGGCCCAATGACCCCAGTATTCGAGAAAAATGGGCCTAGTCGCTTCCGCAAAGGCTGGTGCTGCAAGCACAGCGGTTGCCATTCCGGCCTTGATGGCGTACTTGGTGTCTCTTTCTTTCAATCGTTTTCCTATCGACCAAAGTGTATGATAGACCTTCCCCAAGAATGACAATTGGTTTCGGCCAGGCGTTTGGATTGTATCAGGAGCGTGTGGCTTGACCTTTGGGAAAGAAGGATGCGCGATACGATTGGGGGGGATCATATAGGCTGTTCGAAATAGAATTGCAATATGTAAAGAGGAAAAGGAGGGGACATACAGAAACTCTTCCTGATGTTCATTGTTCTTCGACCACCTTCGACGGCTTTCGTTTTGAAGACGCTCGAGAAGCAATGCCGGATCGTAGCCGTTATTCTAAACCACCATGGCTTCCGTCGAACCATACTCTGCTCGTAGCAATAGATCTTTTCGATGGCATCCACGAGTGATATCAGCTCTTTTGCAAACTCCTGGAGGGTAAAGATAAAGCTTCAAGGAGTCAGTGACTGCCCTGTGTTTAAAGGACGGTTGCCTTACAAGTACACCAAGAAAACATTTTCGTTGTCTCCCTCGGTGAGCCGTGATTCGCTAGAGGACCCGGCGACGCTCTCGCTCGAGGACGTGGATGGCCGGACATATTGACTTGCGTCACTTCGTCGGTATAAACGCAGGACGGCATGGTTTGACGTGCTTTCGAATCGCACTAATGCTGCCTCTATGCCATCCACAAGATCTGCAAATTCATGAGGTTCCATGACAGAATGCCGCTTTAAATTCTGCTTTGATTGCAAGCAGACCTCTTGTAAGCGATTGAGAGTCGAGGTGGATGCAGACTACAGATTGATCAGCGAGACACAAAACACTCGAGGAAAGTCACTCACGGCCAACGCGCGCATGGGCGGACCTAGTTCATCAACCAAGTCTCCAAACATAGCTGCCGCCGCCTTGAGCAATACTTGTTCGTCTTCGACTGCACGAGAATCGCTTGGATGAGAAAGATCGCCATTTCCCCGTCTGTCTGCCTGCCTCTTTAAACCGGCTTTGGTCAACTCGTACTGGAGGCGCGTTCCGCTACGCAACCCATTGAGATGCTGACCAAGCCGATTCAAACAATCGACAGCTTCTTCGTATGACTCCCGTCCCGACACGCTGGATGATCCAGTCCCAGCACTAAAGTCATGTGCCACATCCTCATAGGCGCGAGTGAAAATCCACTCGCTTTTAGCCTCTCGAAGGTTCTTTCGGAGACTAGTAAAGCTGTTTTGATGACTTTCAACAGCCTTCTGAACCTTTTCCATGTCCAAAATATGCGACTCTGTGTCATTTTCCAGGAGGAAGATTTTTGTAATCATCGGTAACAAGGTCGAAAATGATTCCAGGGTTTGCGTCATGCTGTTTTGCAGATTGGATATCGCATTCTGAGGCCACAAAAGGAAGCAGACGAGGTTGGAAATTGCAGAACCGAAGAGCACAATCGCAGTCACTTGGAGGAGTTCCGTTAGATCGCCTTCTTTTACAAGACTGGAACACTGTTTGAGATTGCGACAACGAAATTTAGAAGTGGGTAGGCTTACACGACAAACATGATAATAGCGGTCATGCTGCAGGCTGGATGGATATATGAGAAGGAATATCTTGTAAGGGAATTGAAACTGGCCTGTGTTGAACGACGGATTTTCCTGTCAAGAAGTGTCAGCGATAGCGGACGGATGATATTTACTTAACAACGAAGCTTACCATCCAGACTTTCATCCATGCCAACACACTCATGCTAACCCCAATGAGAATAACCACTATGAGGTCACCCAGCCACTCCCACCCAGATTTGAGTTCTAACCACCAGAACAAAGTCATCGCCAGCAGACAGACAAAAGCAGCATAGAACAGGCCGAAGAGACAAAATAAATCTGCCTCTATCATTGCCCCCACTGTCTTGGCAGGATTGAAGTACACGGCACTAAGCAGTGGGTGTCCGTCATGAGCGGAGGCACCTAGGCACTCGAAACCACCGAAAACTCACATCGTTGCTACCAGATGCCCACTGGGGGAGCTAGTTGGTGGCTTTCCGGGCCCATAAGCATTGAGGTCAGCTATCAGCCTTGAAAAATATGGCGAAAATGTGAACAAAGATGCAAGCAAATACGAGATGCCGCATTTTAAGACGTTCCTTGTTATCGCCGAGAGACACGCCCGTTCAAGAGAGGGAAAGGAAAAGAATGAGCGTCTGGGGGACACTGCCAGATGGAGAGTAGATGTCGAAGAAGAGTAGTCATCCGAATCGTATTCTTCATCTGGATGCAAAGCGTCTGCCGATGCTACACGAGATGACTCTGACGCGTCACTGAAGCCGATACCATCTTGCTCTTCTGACAGCCCCGTCTGACTACGCAAGTTGCTGCCACTCTGCACTCGAGGAGATGACCCGTACAAAGTAGACAAATCGCGAGTGAAATAGTCTCCATCGATATCACGCCAGCTGAGTGCAGAACTAGGGGTGCCAGGGAAATGCCCTTGGTTCTCCATCATCTGGCCGAAGAGCGACCATTGGTGGTCGGGATGCCGTTCGCGAGGCGGGGCTCGCGGACTACCATGTTGTGCCGATACTGCTCTTCTGCGTTGTACGGGGGATGGAAGAGGTTGACTGGTGGAACGTGGGGTAGGTGCACCGAGGAGTTGGTCTTGGATATTCAGCGGGTCTGGCGATCCGAATAGGACATGCGGATCGCTGGTTTGGGAGTGAAGCGCGGCGGGTGCGGCAGAAGAAGAGGACTGTCTACGCTGAGGTATGTCAATGGGCTGTTGCATTGAGAAGAAGAGTCAAGAAGGAGCAGACAGCTGGCATGTAATGGTCGAGGATTAAAGTGGAGTTCTACCAGGGTTGGCCGCGCTCAGGCCTGATTGCGATATCCCATTTAGGGGCGCTTCCGACGGTTGACCCCTTCTCCGCTAAATACGGTCGTGTTGGTAACAGCTGCAGAGTACTATTGAAATATAACAGATACAACCCGTGCTACTTGAGTGCTAGTGATACATTGCCTTTTCTTTTTAAGAGTGTCCATAAAACCAAATTGCCTACTGGAAGATAAACGTCCGTGCGAAACGTCCAAAAGTGCGTGGCACAGGTACCGTACTGAAGAATCACCAATGTCCAAGATGGTCCGCGTGTCCATGAGCACAAGTAGAAAGGAGTGTGGTCACCCAAAAAGGGTGGAAATAGAAAGATTGAATGAATGTGTGGAGGATGAAGGTGCAGAGTCCATATCTCGCGGTCGAAAATAGGTCCGTCGTAAGGGATCATGAATGTACGCGTAAATAAAAACGTCCATGAGGCGTCCTCGGAGTCCATATAACTTAAGGAGTGCAAAATATTCTAACCAAAAGTCCGGGAGTAGTCCGTGGGGTTGTGCAATAACAGGGTAATAGATGGGACACGACAACAAGGGGAGGGTAAGAAACAGAAGATAATAAGTTAGCTGTATAGATCCATTAGCAGTAAAATGGCGGTAGAAAGGATTAATGAGAGGATAGGCGTTTTTGGACCTTCCCAACAGCAGGCGCTACGTTGGTGAGTTAAGCTGTGTACAGCAGAGCAAAGGGGCCAAGCACGTACCAACTACTGGGAATCGCGTGCTGAGACTGTTCATTGCATACAAGAGGACACCCAGATCGTTGCGAAGTTCACTGTGATCCATGAGAGGCCAGGATGCTTCGAGCGCGTCATAATCCCGAATGACAATGTCTGCGACCGACCACCAGCAGGGCTGTTGAAAATACGACAGTTAGCATAAAGCCCTCCCCGAGGTACATGAAACTTACACCGATTATCGGCTCGAGATATGAAAAGTCTCGATCCGAGATGTGCCTAACAACAGACAAACATGCTCGAGCAGCTTGTGAACACTTTTCGTATGATAACGCATCGTCAAGAGCAAAAGAACGGTGAAGGTGGATAGTAGCTGCATTCGCTATTGTATGGTCCATAATAAGGGTATGTCGTTCTTCGGGTAATAGGGCATCCAACTGGTTAATGGGTATCAGCGTCGACAGAAAGAGGTTAATGGCATGTTCGAGCGATCGGATGTCTTCCGTGAGCCTGGCAGAGGGTTTCGTGGTAGGATTCCAGCTCGCCGAAAGATGATCTGCATGTGCAAAAAGAGCAGACGCTTTGACACGAAGAGCTGGGACGGAGAAGCTGCTCGGTGACACCGAGCCAGAGAGATATGCACGGATGGTTGGCAAAGAGGAATGTGTGTCCACGTGACCCTACACCGCTGGTCAGCAGCGTCATGCATTCAGACAGGAGAGATTAGCTTACATTCTCGTAGTCCTTAACATCCTGAGGCCAAGGGCATGTAATGGAATGATGCGACTCTGGACTATCTGGTATGGCTAGTGGCTTCCGCAGAACAACCGACCAGCACCGGTCGAGATTATACGCTTGCCAGAACGCCAAGATCCTCTCTCCGTCACGGACATCACTCTTGAAAGGCTTCATGTCGATGTCATTGCAATCATTCGACCAAGCCAGGGTTTCCGGAGAGGGCCGTCCACTCAGACCAGTCTGGACACACAATGTAGCAGCTGCGCTTGCATGATAGCTGCCTTCAAGCAGGCGTCCGTTTGCAAGGAAGTACAGAGAAATAAGCGACGAAGCTTGAATGGCATCGACGACCTTGTCACTCAACCGGAGAGCATCCGGAAGAGCATCAAGAGCATACTGAAGATAATGTTCTTCGTGCTGGCTCAACGGCTCCGGGCGAGATATGAAGCAAGCCCAAAGATAAATCGCGTTCATCAGAACGGGATGTCTCTGCTCCGACGCTGGAAGACTAAGGCTGTCCCTCAACTTGCCCATGTGTATTTCGAGACCGCACTGCCTACTATGAGGTGCGAAAATGTCCACACTGCCCAATCCAAGGGTATCAGAAAGGAAATCGATGCTCTAAAAAAAGAAACACATACAGCATCTGCGCGAGTTCCAACGGAGGTTGGAACTTTGTTTGATGATCATCGAAGAAGACATCCGGCACAAAGCCAGCAGGTGAGGGTGATGACAGACCCTGGGACTGATAAGAATCGAGTCAGGCGGAAGGATGTGGATGGCAGGGCAGTGCTCACCTGCAGTTGGGCCCAAGTTGTTGGGGGAGAAGCTGGAGAGGATTCTAACGGGGACAGAGTAAGTCCGATTGACCGGAAAATCGAGCAGAGCTTTACCTGACGGAAAGGGAGAGTGGGAGGCAGAGAGGTAGGAGCTCTCGGGGGAGTCGAAAGACGAGCAGGAGGAATTCGAGCGCGAATGCGTGTGGGTATGGGGGTCGAAGAGAGTGACTGAGGTAGAGATGTATTCGGGATCTTCGAGTTCCTTGATTCTCTGCTCGAGCTTTACGATCGTTTCTCTGAGGATTTGGGTACGTGTTTTCCCCTTTCCATCGTCGTACTCGCACCCTTCGGCCTTCTTAGCGCGAGTACACTGATGACAGGCGGGTTTTGCGCCATCGCATCGCTTCAAGAGAAGTTAGGATAGCACACTTGGAGAAGACTGGGCTATGTACCATCTTTCGTTTTCTAGAAAGGATTTAGAGACGAGCAAACGAGGGGAAAAAAGGTGCGGACCTGCAGCGCAAGCATGCTTTCCCTCTTTGCAAGGTGCCCTGGGCGGCGGGGTCGACGGGGGCGGGTTTGTTGGCCATTACAGATAGGAGAATTAGATTAAAAAGTACAGGATAATATAAAGAGGGAAGGGTCAGTTATGAAGGAAATGCATGAGGAAGAGGAAGAAGAAGGAGAGGATTATGTATCAAACGCGAGCATCGAGAGCTTTCTGAGTGCGGTCATCTCTGCCCGTCCAGTCTCGTGCCCGGTCCGACCATATCCGACACTTGAAACGCTCGAGACCTCGTCGGCGCTTTTTGCTTCCGCAGTACCTGCACTACCGCCATCTTACAGGAGGTATGTACCCACAACTAGTACTACAATACACAACGACCACTGCCCACTTCAATCATCCAAATACCCCGTTAGGTTGCTGTGCTATCACCGAATTCGAGTGTGTTCGTCCGAAAGCATTGCTCGCCATGCCATATGGCACGCCGTCCGTACCATACTGCTGATTTCCTGGTTGCTGCCGGCTCTCGTGCTGTTGCTCAAATAGCCGTCGCTCCTTCGCGTGCGCCTGACGGACGTACGCGTAGCGCTGGAAATGGTTTAATGCTTGCAGATGGAGTACGCCGACCTGCCCATATTGTCAACGCGCCGACCCTATGTTCATCTTGCATGAAACTCACTGGATATACCCGAAGCTGGTTGAACAGGTTCACAGTGTGTTCTCGGACAGCTTCCTTTTGATGAAACAGTGAAAATCCAAGGTATAGCAACCCCCCTCCGTGGGGTAGCGATGCTAGGAGCTGGTCGTGCCAAATTCAGTACTCAAAATCAGAAGCGATCTACATTCATGCTCCCACCTCGACGACCTGATCGTAAGTCTTGACACCCTCCGCTAAACTGCGCATGATGGCTAGTGCCTCAGCGTCCTGCATATTCTTTGTATATCGTAAGCGAAACAGCTGGTGCACAACATCGAAGCCCTTGATTGCACTGTTGGCTTGGTGCTTCGGATAATCCTAGAAAGAACTTCCGTTTTCGGCAAAAAAAAAATCAGAGGGTCTAGAAATGAGGCACACCATTGTGAGGTACTTGTAGCTGTTCGTTTTGCGCCACGCTTCGATACGGTGCCCGTTCGCCAGTAGCTCCTTCCACCCGATTATATCATCTATAAACGCAATGCCGCTCCCTAGCTTGGGCGGCCTTCCATCAATGAATGGGGAGCTCGGGAAGCCGAAACTTGTTCCTCCTGACAACTCTTCCTCGTAGCGAGATGCTAGTCGAACAAAGCGTGTCACGTATTCGGTAAACCGCATTCGAACAAGGCTTTCTCCGAAATGATCTTCAATGGCTGTGCGAATCTAACTCTTCGTCAGCTGACAATAGAAGACATACGGATTTGACTAGCTCACGTCCTCGATGAAAACTCGGTCTGTGTTATTGCTTGCCATCCTCGCGATATCGTCCTCGCTGCCAACAGAGGTCTCTGCTTTGAGGGTACCTGATCTAGTTATCAGCGGTCCACTCAACTGCAAATTCATCGGAGGGTAGTTTGAATGGATATCTTTCGCCACCGTGACATTGCCAGTGCTAATGTCGAGGAAGAGATCCCATTGGCGAGAAGCCTCAAAGATGGGATTCGTAACACCTGCTATATAGGCGGGCCTGCGATCTATTTGTAAGGGCCTTATGCCATTAATAAAAGAAGTCCACATACACAGATTCCCATTCATCTCTGTTTCTCAAATTGGCGTACGGGAATGCGCGTTCGATGAAGCCTCTGAGAACAGCTCCGCAGCCCGACCCCAAAGCGCACGCAGAGAGTACAAAGCTTGACACTTCTCCTGCCGGTCGTTTATGTCCCAGGAATATTATGCGCTTCCCAGTCACAAGAGCATTGAAGAGTACAATGATGGGATGGGTTTGGGGTCCGTTCGTATGCAGATGTGGATGGACAGGTCCGGACACAACGGGATGGGCTGAGAAAACCTTGATCAGGGTGATTAAAGAATACTGCAAAAGTATGCGAGTCAGGCAAAGCTCATTGTATTTCGAGGGATGGTAATACGCACATCTCCAACTTCTTCAGGAAACGTCGATAAGGGCATCTTTATCGGCAACTGGTGATCCTTGTATGCCGCGGTGGTATGATAGAAATGAGTATCTTTAACAATGCCGTGCCGGAGATGAGGGTCGAAATGATAGGACGTCAGTGGGCGATAATTTTGTTCCTTGCCGTGCGCATGTGAAGAAGAGGATGAAGCATCTGTTGATCGACGATTTCGTGTCGAACCAACCAATGTGCTTCCACCTGTCATCGAGGCTACGCTGCTGGCGTCAGTCGCCTTCTCTTTTGGGGCGAAGTCCAATCCTGATTCGTCTCCAACCCAAACTGCACTTCCTCCTAGAGAGAAGGAGGAATCAGATGGGGAGTGCTGATTCTGAGATGGCACAGCTGTTGCCATGCTTTCGGTGTCGATTCGTTCCCTTCCTCGTTGGGAGTCCTTCCGACGGTTTCTCCCGTCTTCTGGATATCGGTCCCGTTCCTTGCCTCGTAGCATGATACCTTCCTCGAAACTGGAGTAGGATTCATTTGAGTTCGTCGACTTGTGTTGTAAACCAGACTTTGATCCCACCCCCGAGTGTGCCCAGCTCTGCTGTGGAGCTTGCGCCATCTTTTCGGCGAAGATGTCCTTACGCTCGCTGGAACGCATGACAAGCTTCTCTGACCTGGTGAGCTTGGGTGCGCCAGATAGATCCATGGAGTTAACAGCATCGAAGAGGCGTGCAAGACAATCCTGAGAGGGATCCGAGAAATAGTCGTCTAGAGCCAGAAGAAGGAATGGCTAACGCCCCTATGAGCCACGGGTATTTGAGGAGCACAGATGAAATGAAACACTACCTTGAATATCTGTATGAATGGATGTCTCGTGCATATTGCGAGTGCAAGAACCTGTGCACCACTGGCAGGATGCCATTAGAAGATATTAAAGTTAGTTAAAAAGAGGACAAACCGATCCAAGGATTTATCGTGTTTCGTGCGAACCAGGTTAAGGACACACAGCAGCTCCGGTCTGTCGCTGTCACGAAGGTCGTCGTCTTCCCCTGGGAGGCCAATGGTCTTGACCTCTGGCGTGTCCAAAGCGAGTACAGGAGAGATAGTATTGAATGGAGTTTGGTTCAGGAAGAAGATGGTCCAGTCATCGAGCTGAGTCTCTGCACCATCGGGGAGCATGGACATGGCGAGCACGCTAGGGGCGTTGTGAGTATAATTCTCGATATGAAGCGGCTGAAACTGGTACCTTTCATCGACGCCCAATGGTTGAGGAAACTGATACTTCAGCTGCGCCCCCTCAAGGATGTGGAATTCAGCGAGGAGGACGAATGAGCAGTGGTTGGCATTTCCGGCCATCTGTCGCTGTCGCGGTGCAAGTTGAAATCGCGCTTCCCAATCCGGAAGCGACTCATATCCACCGGCCCGCCTCTGCTTTTGCCTTTTGCCAGTGACCTACTTATGCCCGTCGCGATAAATAGCCCACTTACTACACACCTTCTCCCCACTGGCTACCCATGGGGCTAACAGAGGTAAGTAACCTTCCAATTACCAAGTATTCTCGCTCACTCCCCCCCTTCTCAGGCTACCGGCCCAAGTGTTGCCTACATATGCCTTGGGGGTTTCGTCGTCGCTGTGCGTATCGATCTGCTCTCGTTTGAGATGCCGTCTCAACGACTGCCATATAGTTCTCCATGTTCTCTTTGCTAGCTCGAGACAGGGCGAGTCTAATATGTTCTCATATTCCGTCTCCTCCCTCCTGAGCTTTTCGCAGATATACGTCAATGAAGTCGTTCTGGGGACCGTGTATGGCGTCTTCATGGGCCCCTACTTTGCAGGTGTCTTCGATCCCCGCTCGTGGGGGGCTGTATCCGACGAAGTCACCCTTGAAATAATGCGCATCGTCCTCGCGACAGGTCTTTTTGCCATTGGTGTGGAGTTACCAAGGTCTTATATGGCTACTCATGCGAAAAGCCTGCTCGCCATGGTCGTTCCCACAATGGCCCTAGGATGGGTGATCGTTGCAGGTCTGCCTCCCTAATTGTATCTTGTTATTCCCTCGACTTACGGCTCGTTAGGCCTACTGCGTGCCTTGTTCCCTCAGCTGAACTTCATTTCTTGCCTCGCGATCTCTGCTTGTCTAACGCCGACGGATCCCATTATCTGTGCTGCCATAGTCGGTCCGTATCATGCTTCGCTCCATTAGTATCTGATTCAAGCAAGGATTCAACTGCTATTTATGTAGGTGGCACGTTTGCTCGCCAGCATGTCCCTGTCAATCTGCGCCATATTCTATCCGCTGAATCCGCTGCTAATGATGGCCTTGCATATCCTTTCTTATCACTGTCCATCTACCTCACCCTCGAGGGAACAAGAGGCATTGCCTTCACCCATTGGATTCTTATTGGGTGGCTATGTGAAGTCCGCTTTTCCTGTTGCTCACAGCTCCAAACTGACAAAGCCTTTTTACAGACCAAGTGATCCTCGGTACCGCCACTGGTGCCACCCTCGGTATTGATACCCGCCCAAGTTCATGTTGTGTACACTCATATTCACTAATAAGGCTTGCTGTTCTCCTACGTAATGAAGTGCTCCCATAAACGAGGCTTCATCGACAGAGAATCTTATGTCGCCCAGTACCTCGCGCTAGCTATCTTTATCATCGGCATTGTCAGCACCATAGGCAGCGATGATCTGTTGGCAGCATTTGCTGCTGGTAGGGTTGATTTATGCTTGTTCGTAACCCCTTCTAACCACCTATACAGGCTGTGCCATTTCTTGGGACGGTGACTTCAAAACTCATATAGAAGGAGAAACCTTTGCCTCGGTAATCGATCTCGTGCTGAACTGCGGTTGCTTCATCTACATCGGTGCTTGGCTGCCGTTCCAGTCATTCTCGATTCCTGCAATCGGGATCACACCATGCCGTCTCGTCGCCCTCGCATTCGGCATCATGTTCTTTCGTCGCATACCCGCCATCCTGCTTCTGTATCGGTGGATACCTGAGATTCAGTCATGGCGTGAGGCTCTCTTTTCAGGTCACTTTGGTAAGGCTGATTCTCCATTTGACCTATATACCCTTGGAGGACCCATCAGCGTTGTAGGACCAGTGAGTATTTGTGCACAATTTCGTCCACAGCTTAACGTGCGTAACGAAGATGGGCGTTGGAGCTATCTTTATTTCAACACTAGCTATTCACCAACTTCCCCACCCCAAGGACCCTCCCACAAGTCAGCAAGATTACCTGAGTTTGGCACTTCAACCCATTGTGTCGTTCATTGTGCTCTCTTCGATCATTATTCGTATGTGAAGCCTTCATATGAAAAAGACTGGGACTCATTAACTTTCCGTAGATGGGCTGTCCATCCCTTTTTTCACCATTGGAAGGAAATTTTCACGGACGGTCTCCACCATCGCGGTTTCGAGGATCTACCCCTGGATTGCCGGCGTGAAACCTAACTCAACCCTTCCGAGGCAACCTACGATAGAAACTGCTCTTGTTCACGAACAGTCTACAACGATATTGGAAGAGGCACAATCTGAAAGCTCATGCGGTGAAGACAGATCACGCCGTTCCCTGTCACCTCATCTCTTCTCCTCGGAAGTAACATCGTTGGGACCTGAAGACATCCGCGTGGTGGAAGAGGCGAGGACGACGGCCCCACATATCAAACAACCCATGGTAATCAACTTCCCCGCCGCATAACACAAACAATTCAGCAATATGTAGCCATATATACATGCCGATCGATTAGATATTAGAGCTGCTACTACTTCTATACAAGTCCATGTCGTCTACCACATTGTCGTGAACGTTTGTAAATGCGATTGTTGTTGTTCAAATCAGGAAAAGAGAATCTATCCTGGGCATTCAAAAATTTGAAAAAAAAATCAAGAGTGAAAATAAAACGATGGGGGACGTATCGACATCAGGCATGATGCATGACTTATTCAAATGGATTTGTCCGTCCAGCCTAAGCAAAGCAAGGGTTTTTAGTATAGCCAGGAAAAAAAAAGGAGGAACTTACCTGCAAGTCTCCTCCGCGATCGGGGCCCTCTCCACAACCACACAGCCAGTCATGCCACCATCTCACTTCAGGTTGCTTCTTATTTGGGTTTGGACGCGTCGGGTCTGTCGTTTCTGTAGCAGTCGGACTTAAAATTGGGGGAGGTGTGCGAGGAGGAGGGATGTTGATAGGCATAGGTGGCGGTGGTCGTGAAGAAGATCCAGACGGAGTGCTCGAGGGATCTAGAGTGGGGGTCTCGGAGGTTGTAGCTTTGGAAGAATGTTCCCCAGAGGATGCGTTACGAATTGTGGGTGTGTGGGGTTCATGAGAATCGGAGAAAGGGGAAAAAGACTCTGAGGGGTTGAATGGGTCTTGTACATGCCCCCCTTCAGACTCTGAGCGGGTAGGGGATGGTACGGGACTGGCGTCAATTGCTGTCAACGGAAGGTCGTCGTAAGACTGGAGTGCCTTATGGGTGCCGAGTCCACTTATTGAAGGACGCTTCGGCCTCTTTCCGGGCCAGAGGAGACTTGCACGCCTGGAAACATCGCTAACTAGTGACGGTGTCCCACTGCTCTGCGACTCTCGCGCAGCCTTCCTCCGTTGGCGTTCAGCAATCTCCCATCGTCTCAGGTTCTATGCAAGTCTCAGGATGGAGAAGGAAAACAAGAAGAGCGGTAACTTGCCTCTTCTACGCGCCGTGTTTCTTCTGCTTCGTCAGCTCTGGGTGGATAGACAGCAGAATCGACATGCTCGGAGGAAGTGCTGGGGCTGCGGGGCGAGCTGTGCCCACCGTGCAAGCGTTGGTCCTTTGCTTTGCCTTTTCGATCGTGAATGGGTTCGTACGGATCGTGGTCGTGCGCAAAAGGTTGAGCGATATCCTCCTCAAAAGCGAGGTGCGGTGCGGGGAGTGACATGACATGGGTGTTGAAGAGGGACTTAGACCGCGACCCGGCATCACGACGACGTTTGTTGACATCTATTAGGTTTCCTGCCCTACGTGGAGTGCGAACAAAGTACAGCTATATCCTGGCCTGGGTACTTGTGTCCATGGTATGTAATTAGTAAATCGAATCAACGTCCTAGGTCCTAGAATATATCAGAATCGATTATCCTTCGTTCCGCGCATCTCCAGCCCATCATCAAAGTCGGAGCTGTCATTGTTCGCCATGTAGTGCCGCAATCCGGAAGACTTCTGCGTCTCAGCGCTATGGAGAATTGGTGTTTGCGAATCGTCGTCCCGGCTGTAGTCGCCGCCCCTATTAAGAGAAGGAATGGATGCACGGGCGGTTTCGCGCATTTGCATCAGGTTTTGGTGGAATGCGTTCTGAGAGACGGCGCTGTTAGTATCTCGAGAAGCATAGCATATGTCACCGCTAACCTGTTCCTTCCAATACTGAGCTCGCTTGGCGCGCTCGATTTCTCGTTGTTTCCGGTGCGTGACATACAGACCGGTGAGGGTTCCCGCCATTCCTAGAGAAGAACGGTCTTGTCAAGTTCCTGAAGGGTCGGTGAGATCTTCACTTACCACCGATAATACCTAGAGCAACCAACACATAAACCCAAACACCGAAATGACGAGGCGTAGCTGCTGGCACCCCACACACGCCAGTGCTAAGACAGTTCCATGATTCACATCTGACGGACAACTTTAGAGGACAGGTCATCGATGTAGAGTGGGTCCACATACTCCTTGTCAGCTGTGCAAGCATCACCTAAAAGCTTATTCTGGATGCAGACTTGGGTTGCAGAGTCGCAGTAAAGGCCAACTCTGCAATTATCGCTGTGCAGTGTAAGACAAGGAAGGGGCACGATGAACTTGAGGGCATACCGAGAGACAATATCGATGAACTCCCCACCAACTCCGTAAGCAATGTAAGGGGTGTTTTCGAAGATACATCTGGTTCCAACTGTAGCGTTCGCCCATCTTGTGTTCATATGTCATTCGCATGCACCGTGCAGAGCGCAAGAGCTGACTCACAGACAAACGTTGTTCAAACAAACTGAGCCATTGAAGTTGAGACCACGACCACTTATATCGGCCAATTCCTGGAAGTTAGGTGGAGCTTCGCATTGGTCTAGGTGGACAGATATCGTTAAAGTTAGAGAAGTGCATGAAAAAGGTATCTTACCATCTCGGTTGAGTTGGCAGGCGCTTCCTTGCGGTAGAATCGGCTGGCAATTGCTTGCTTCATCAGGACAGAACTCCCCTCTTTCACATTTTGGAGGTATATTATCTGATCCTTGAGGATATCCAAAAGGGAAGTCATCCTTCCGACACCCTTTGGGCTCACAAATGCCCCTCGCAGAGCAATAGGTGATTGAATTGCATTCACTCCAAAATTGAAAGGTGCCGGTCTGGAGTCTGCTGTTACCAGTACTGCAAGTCTCGTTTTCTCCAAGTGTTCCAGCAGCCGTGAGCTGGTATGAAGCAGATAAAATGAATGTGAGGAAGGTAAGACGCATCGTAGAGGAAGGCAGCGAGAGAGACAGAATGAAAGGAAAGCTTGATGCTGCGCCAAATCATCCAGGCACCCTTGTTGCGAACGCGGTTGATGATGTAATTATGTATTAGGTAATCAACTGAACATCCGAGTTGTGTACTCGCGTATCTTGGTTGAACTTAAGCGCCGAGGTCTGCAGGATGTTGGGCCAGCTGCTCAAGGCAATCTTCAATCTCTTCTGTGGCTCTCCGTCACCATCCCCAGAACAGACGCCTCAGCCTGGCCCTCCAACCCAGCAGCACCCTTCCGGCCAACAACACCCTGCACCAGTCCCCCCATTATACCCTCAGGGGCAGCAAAAACCAAGTCGTCCTCCAAAGAAATATCAGGTTTGTGTCAGCCATTGTAGAGGAACTCCGTCTTATTTTATTTTAGGATCAAAATCAGACTAATCAAAGTAATGAATACTATGTATCCCTTCGTGCTAGAGCAAATGAGCATGGTGATCAAATGGCAAAGTGCTTCCAAGAGGGCCACGAAGCATACGCTCGCGGAGATGGTGCGCTAGCCAAGGAACTCTCTAACAAAGGAAAGGAACATCAGCGTAAAATGGAACAACTCAACAAAGAGGCCAGTGAATTTATCTTCGTTGGTTCGTACATCTGCTCTCAGGCTCTGGAGGAGGAATTGTTGAAACTGACAAATTGATCCAGAAAACAACAAGGTTCACCTATAGTTTTTGCGTCAATAGTCTGTATTAACAACGACAGCAGGATAGCGGTCCTGGCGAAGTTGATCTTCACGGACTATATGTCAAAGAGGCTATAGCCTGTGCAGATGAAGCCATCAAAGGTGCAAGGGCTCGAGGAGACTCGCAAATCAACCTCATCGTAGGTTGGTGTTTGTACCTTCTCTCCCGATATCGTTGTTAATTCTGCTGCCAGGGAAAGGACTTCATTCGACAGGAGGTGTTGCGAAGATCAAGCCAGCGATCGAAGAGCTAATGCGCAAGTAAGAGAGCTTTGAACAATTTGGATTTCGTCTGCTGACACCCTTTCAGGTATCAACTCAAGGCTGAACTAGATCCAAATAATGCAGGAGTTTTAATTGTGTTCCTCCATCCATCTCCCTCCCAGCGAGGCATTGGTGCTGACGAAATAACTCGACGACTGGAGAGAAATGACGAGAGCTGTACCATCATGTAACAGCATGCACCAGCCTGTATGTATCCATTGTTTGTATAGAACCAGCATTATGCGTCTGCAATGTGCATAGTGGATGGTAGAAGTTGAGACAGCTTTTTTTTGGACATTGTAGTATATTTACATAATTGCAAAGAGCGAAAAAGATATGCATATTAGCAATGCACAAAGTGCATTTACGGACAGGGAGAAGGATGCAGTGAAAAGTATTAAACATCAAGGCCAACAAGAACAAACGCTGGGTCCACCTGGTACAAGGGTTTTGTGACAACCGATCCTCCAACATACATAAGGGAATGGAGGAGGGCGCTTAAATTCGGAGAGGAGCGCTCTAACACTATGATGAGAGAATTGCAGCCCAGACGCTCATCAGCAAGGTCGAGCAAGGCCACGATGCTGTGAAAAAAAACATAAGCACAGTCAGAGAGTACTGTTGCGATTGTACACACCTTTCACGCAAGCTGACAGATTCCGCACTTTTTCCGTCAACATAGAGTGTCTTCGCCTTGCCTGGAGCTTCCAAAACGACACCACTGAAGTCAGCGCCAAGATTAGGAGCGGAAATCGAGACACTCTTGGCGTATGGGAGGGCTGACAAGCCGTGGCGGGGGAAAACAGTCATAAGAAAGTCGAGGGCATCCTTCTCACGAACTGTGCTGATGAACGAGGACCCGCTATCCTTGCTGCCAAGACTGGAGTTGTCGGGGGTCAATGGTGGAGTTGATAATACAGAATTAGTCCGGCTGGGGATACTTCTAGGGGATGTAGCCGTGGTGGGGTACCTGACCGAATTCTGGGAAGATAGAACGCTGGGGCTACGGGCGGATGGAGGGGTGGATGACGGGGTGGATAAAGGGGAGTCGGAGTATCTGTAGGGGAAGTAAGACGCCGGACTGCCTGTCACACAGTTCGACGACCCTCGGTCGGGAGGGCATTTCGCTCTGGGGGCGTCAAAAGCGCCACTGGGGAAGATCAGACATGGACAAGTTGCTGCTGCAGATGAAAACTTACCCCGGGCCCTCCAGAGAACGTAGTGGAATAGTAGTACATGTCGTCGGTGCCCTGAAGGTGGCACACAGCAAGCACACTAGGCTCGGCGTCGAAAGTGAAAGCCCCATCCCCAACGGTTTGACGACCGTTGCTAAAAAGAACTCGGTGAGAGGGGCCACAAAAAGAGAGGAGAGGGGACATACGTGGGGCAAAGACTAGATTTCTGATTCGATATATTCGACATTTTTGATAACAACATAGAATGCCAACTTGGTAGATTCGACGGGGATGGAGTAGGTGTTAGTAGTGGTGGAGGGAATGGACGAAAGGGACAAATGCCACTCCCACATCGATGAGACAATGACTAAGCATCACCGGCATCTTCCGGCAGGCTCTCCATCCTCACACAAGGACGACATCCACGAGCTCATCGTCGCATACAACGCCGCCCGCCTATCTGTGAGTGCTCCATCGTCGTGGTGTCCATCCACCTTGACGGCCAGTTGCACACTCCCCAAGTTTGAGGGCATGCATCTGGTTTTATTACGATGGATGGCGCGACTCACCATAGGATGACCTTTACTGATCTTTCCCCTAGACCCCAACAACTCAAACATGGCTGACGCAGGACGAGGACGCGGTGGTTTCGGACGAGGGCGTGGTGACAGAGGGCGTGGGCGCAGGGGTCCCCGTCGAGGTGGTCGCAAGGACGAGGAGAAGGAATGGTATGTTACTACCGCTTTTGCGTCCTCCGCGTCCTTATCTTTGCATAGGGTCCCGGTCACCAAGCTTGGCCGTTTGGTGAAGGACGGAAAAATCAGGTCGATGGAGGAGATCTATCTTTTCTCTCTGCCCGTGAAGGAGTTCCAGATTATAGACTTCTTCCTTCCCAAGCTCAAGGACGAGGTTATGAAGATCATGCCCGTGCAGAAGCAAACCCGCGCCGGTCAGCGCACGCGCTTCAAGGCTTTCGTCGCCATCGGTGACGGCGAGGGTCACGTCGGCCTTGGTGTCAAGTGCGCAAAGGAAGTCGCTACCGCCATCCGTGGTGCTATCATCCTTGCCAAACTCTCTGTCATTCCCGTGCGGAGAGGTTATTGGGGTGCCGCCCTTGGTGAACCTCACACTGTCCCTTCAAAAGTCAGCGGCAAGGTCGGATCCGTTATGTGCCGTCTCATCCCCGCTCCCCGAGGAACTGGTATCGTTGCTGCCCCCGCCTCGAAGAGACTGTTGCAGCTAGCTGGTGTTGAGGATTGCTACACCCAATCCAAGGGTTCGACAGCGACGATGGGTAACTTCTTGAAGGCGACCTTCGCAGCTGTACGTCCGCGATCGATTACTTGACCTGTGCTGCTCACTGACTGCATTTTCTAGATCACCAAAACTTACGCCTTCTTGACCCCCGACTTATGGCGCGAAATTCCTGTATCAAAATTCCCTTACGACGAGCACAGTGCTCACCTCCAGCTTGCTGGTGGCAAGAAGTACTAGATACTCTTCGCCTCTTTGTTGACTGTTATCATACTGCTATAGCATATCCATCTGTTTCTCCTCGCTTTTACGCAAATCTGAGCGTTATTTCTGTGTCAATAACTTACTTGCGTTGTCGCCGAAGACAGGGGGATTGTTGGTCCAAGTTTGACGTGACACATATCTGGGTGATCAGAGACAATTACCTTGGTTCATATCCTCAACAGCTTTTCGGCGATTTGTTCCTCAGCGGCCTTTCTGTCCTAGCTCAGGTTTCCCGCTCACATGGAACGCTATGCTGACCTCGAATTGACGCGCAAAGAAACACGCCGCTTGCCAATTGCTTATTCAAAGTCTCTCTGCGATCTCCACGTCGCTCCCCCAAGCCGCGCCTTGCAACTTACGCGCAAAATCGATCCCGCAACATCTGGGCTTCGTTTGCCGCCTGGGCCCACTCGCCCTTGCCTGTCTCGGTGACTACGTTTTCAGCGCAACTCCTCTCTTGTCTTATCATGAATTAGGCCGATATCGTTCTGTGCGACTTCCAAACCAGTCTTGTGTGAGCCAACAATCCCAGGGGTGCGGCGACGTTTCTCTCAGCTGCCCGATTCTTCTTTCGCCTGGTACTACGGCGTTGCGACTGGTGTCTCGAACTATGGTGATGACCATGGACTACCCCCTCCCACTGTATCGAGGCCGCCAACACCGCCTGGCTCAGTTGTCAGCACCTCTCAATTGCGGAGACCTCAAGTTGTCAACGCCCATCCCAGCTGGCGCCAGGGAACTGACTTCGGACTTGGAAGACATTTCGACGACATCTTGCCACTTGAATCAAAGGTTGTGTGCGATGACTCTAGCGTTGTCAGCTCTCGCTCAACGCCGATAGCGATCCATGGGGCTATCGATTCTGATGCTGTCTCCTCACTGTACAACTGCACGTCTTTCGATTTTCCAGAGCCCCCACCTATTGGCAGCCCTGTCATCCGACGTATGCGCAGCTCGCCGTGGTTTGGTTTGGATAGCTGTGAAGGCGAGCTCCTGAATCGTGTCTTTGAAAACTCTTGGAAAGGGAAGGACGAACTCGCCGTACCGACGAACGGTGTTCTTGACCATGGCCGCAGGAAAACACTCCAGAAGAGTCTTTCGTTTTCCGAGGACCCCCATAAGGTATAAATTTGACTACCTCCATCTTCCGGGTCCGCGACTAATCTGTGCATTTGGAATGTCCAGAACGACTGCGTCGACCTGGAACAACTCGGTGAAGTGTTGCTAAGCTTGGACATGAACCAACGGCAATCCACACCCCTGGATGTTTCTCACTTTGGTGATTTGTCCAATGCGTCGGATTTGCTGCAATGGTCGACGTCTCATCGCAGTACTCCTCGAAGCCTAACGCCGAAACCAGCAGACACTCCAGTTGCAGCCAGGCAACTTCCTGCACACTGGAACGGCTGCGCAGCTGAGACTCCTTCGAAGCCCGCGGCACGCCAAGAACCCTCGTCGTTTACTCGTTTGCCACGAATCATTCGAAAAGTCGCAAGTATGAGGTCTGATACACAGAAGCCCATGGACGTCCCGCCGCATATTCCTAGTCGCAAATCCATTCCCAAGTCTCGTTCTTTTCGGTCGATACTCCGGTCGTCGACAGGTGATCGTGTTCCAAGTTATGGATATAAGGCGGAGGACATGCAACAGAGTAACTGGTCTTCAACTGGTCAAGGTCACAAGATAGATTCAGCAAAGAGTCGGCGGCAACACCTGTCGACCCCCTACACGACTGGTCTGGGCTTGTATACCCCTGGGTTCGAAAGAGTTGACGTTGTGCATGACTCGCTGGATTCGAAACCTTTAGCAGCGCCTTTTGTCCATCGTTCGGCAAGCAAAGACGCCTCTGCGAAAGGAATCCAACTGGGCCAGGAAACGACACCCAGGTCGTTCATTGATATCACGCCAGAGAGGAATATGAGTTCGGACAACATGAAAGCCACCGTGAAGAAAGAGCGAGTCAAAAACTTCATTTCTAAAGCGGGAAGCTTCTTTGCTTGGGGCAAGGGGCACCGGAGAAGGAAGAATGCAGCTCACCAGTGATCGTCCATCTTGCGTTGGTGCTGAAGGATTGGGCCCCCCATTTTTTTTCCTGTACAAAAACCTTTGACGCTTGTAGGCCAACGGACCCATAAAGGAGTATGTGATACATTGTGGGGTAATCCGTATTGAATGGGGTGTAGTGAATTAAATAACAAAGCTGTATGATAATACTCTATAACGAAATTAAACACTCTTGCCACTTGGTGGATCGGGCGGCGGTGTCGGGGCTTCCGGTGCATGGCTTTTTGACTTGGCGGCTTCGACCGCTTCTGGCTGTGTAGCCTTCATTTCAGCCTCTATTCGCTCCAAGGCGCGGACGACCTTAGACTGTAGATAATGAGAGTGGAATGGCGGGATTTGCTTTGCTGTCAGAGGCTTTTCAGGTTTTGGTGGAGGTGAGTTGGCTTTGAACAGGTGTTGGTGATTCTGCGGCACGAGTGAGTAGGGGCTTTTGAAAGGATATACCAATGCACTGACCTTGGTTATTTGTTCCATGAGGTCACTCTTTTTAACGTTCAGAATTAATTGGGCCTCGTCGAGCGTCATGCGATGCTGCCGTGTCAGTTGGTCCGTCACTGAGCCTGAATTCGCATGTCCTACACCAGCCGCGTCATGTCCGATAGCAGCCTGGGGTGCACTCTTCGCATCTGAAAGGAAGAGATTTAGAAGAAGGTGACAGGATCGGAAAGGGCAGGTGCGCACTTTTGACCGCCTGCTTGCCTGCCTCCAGAAATGCCTTGCCGAGAATTCTTGACCCGGTAATAAAAATCTGGACAATGGCTCTTGGAGACGACTAGGACACGGTCAGCAGGAGAACGGGAGATAGTTATGGGACGTACCATTGCAGTTGCAATGAGAGAGCCCCGACTTGTGCGCGGAAACCAATGTCACTTGCCCACGTGATCGATACAAAATTTGGACTCTACCACAACGTTGAACCATGTCTCCCCACAAACGCAAAGGCCATGGTCTCCCTAATACTCCCTCGAAACGCTTCAGGGAGTCACATACATCCGATGGAGAGTTCAGAATTGTGAAAACAATCCTTACTCTTTCTGTACCGCCTATCTTCGCCGCCCATCCGAAAGCCGGGGCTGAAGAATTGCTCGACTCCATGGTTATGAGGTGCAAATGTCGACCTATACATCTCGGAATCGGTCTAATGGAAACAGATATAATCCATCCCTACAAGGAGTCGCCCTGTCGCATTCCAATATCACATTTGTAAATCCGGTTGCGACCATCCAACGCGATTGTCCATTCTTGATCTGCAAAGTCGCTTTCGACGCGACTGTATGGAGCCCTCGCGTCGGATTCAAACTTTGTGAGTCGACGCATGATTTGTGCACTCTTGTATTCACATTCCTGTCAGCGGGTAAAGTCAATCTATGTTCACCAGACCACATATCCCTTCTTGTGCACAAAACTTTCAATGCATCAATACCACGGAATCATATACCCACGGACATCTGGGAATTTGAGTACGGCCCAGCCGAAAATGACCCGGAATTTGGGGAGGAAGCTCGCGCTAATGAGAACGGAAAAGAAGAGGATGGAGAAAACAGCACTGGAGGGAAATGGGTGCATCGAGTGACCGGAGATGTTCTGGGAGGTGATAACGGGTTGGTGGAAGTTACGGTTGTTGGGTGCGTTTTCTTTGGCGATCGAGAGTGTATCGACCTACTTATCCTGCATTCAATAGTCTAACAGTCGCGAACGAGATGCTTTCCGTGCTTGGCTCACTGCAACCCGACCCATTTTCTCCACGGCATGTTGTCCATCCACCAAACGCAGAAGAGAAAGGCGAGAGTGGCGACGAGTCGGAAAGCGAGGATGATTCGGAGGAAGAAGGCTCGGCAGACTCTGAGGAGAGCGAGGAGGACACGCTGCAGCTGCTGGGGAAGCGAAAGGACGCGGAGGAGCAGCGGGAGCGGGCCGAGAAGCGGAAGCGGAAAGGATAGTCGGTAGATATGCTTGTGGCTGTGTTCCCTACTCTTGCACCATGACCACCAACCCGTCCCACATCCTCATAGCCCGCAATTCTCGAGGCCAGAATCCAGCTGCATCTCTCAGTTCTCCAACTGAAACCCATGCTGCCGCATCTGGCATCTTTCGCGCCACTGGCTCACCACCGTGGCTCTTGGAGGACTGCGAACCGGATGAGATTGACTCTGAACTGAGCACAGAAGAGGACGATGAGGCCATTGACATCGATGAGATTTTCACGAAGAATTGCAAGCTTCCTGGATCTGTCAAGATAGTTGTGGAGAGTACCACATTCTGGTGTGCACCATCTCTGCTTTATGCCGCTTGAGCCACTCGTCAACTTCAACTCGCTTCGCAGGGCACATAAGGAGATTCTCTTCTTCTCCTCCCCATTCTTCGAGGCCGCTCTCAGTGGTAACTGGTCTGAAACTGGCCGACCACAGTCTATGCAGTCTGTTGTCACCGTATCTCAACTTTCTCGGCCTAGTGAAGGCGCTTCAAGTTCCACCGAAATGAAGTTCGCTCCCATGGATCCTGATGCGGACCCTGAAGACTTGGAGGTTTTTGTTGAATTCGATCAGCCGAAGTCCGACAATGAAAAGCACGATCCCGGAACGAAGTCCAAGGAACGAGAAGATAGTTTAGCTAAGCTCGAGGGTTCTTCTTCCGGAGGCTCTCCCACGCAGCGAACGGGCTCTTCCTCGCGGAAACTCTCAGCTGCACAGGCCATTGTCCGTCGTCACCCTAAAAATGGACCAGATGCTGTTATCGTCCTCAAAGAAGAGAAGGTGCGTACTTGTTCCGGTATCCTGATCATGTATGATGCGACTCTATATTTCACATAGGCAGGCACTTTTCATGATTTCCTGAAATTTGTTTACCCCCAGTGAGCTCTTCGAAGGTATTCTGTCCGCTGTCAATCGCTGAAGACGGATCGTCAGAATGGAGTGCACCATCACATGGAATAACGTTGGTAGCCTGATGAATCTGGCCCACAAGCTTTGTGTTCCCTCATTGCAGAACGAATGCTTGACATTTCTTCTGACTCATGCTGCTGGCAAGCCAATAAAGGCTATGCGAATTGCGGAGATCTATCAGGAAGAAGAGCTCTATCGTGAAAGCAGTCGTTTCGTTCTTGATAACCCAGGTGGTTGGACAGAACATGAGCTGAACACCCTGACCCAGGAAACACTGTTGAAGTTGGAGAAGAGGTCCGAGTTTTCTCGTGGCAGGAAAAATATTCAACTCAAGCCATCTGTTCCGCCAGGAGAAATTGGTTTTTGGAGCGTGTACTGAAGCTAGGATTGACGATGGTCGCCAAAGAATATCAATGCGTAAGTGATTCATCCTCCCAGGTACGGCGCTGTTTTCTTACCCATCGTTTGCTGTAGTGTGCAACTTGTCCAGATTCCGCTGTTTGTGCTCGACTACTGGAAGAGAAGTGGCGTCAAGCATACCATGCCGTCTTTCGTTTCGGTATGCGGTCCAAATTTTCACTGGATCCTCGCCATACCTAACACTTTGGGATTATAAAGGTCCACCACAACCTTCCATGGTGTTCCGTTATCTTCGTATGCTTGAAGGTGTGAGTCCTCCACTCCAACTGACTCATACAGCCTGTCAAGCAAGTGCGAAAGCATTTGTTGCGACATGTGGGTATTTGAAAATATGCTCCTTCCACCCTCCTAAACCTTCCGTTCCAGTGTTTGATAGAATGTTCTCCTTGGGTCTGCGTGGGAATGGGATGGATGCCCCACCTCTAGGGGGACGCGTTGCTGTTGCAGCTGCCGCAGCCGTTAATGGTCCTAGACGTCATTTCTTATATTGCACATTAAAGCAGGATTCGAATCCAAAAGCAAGGAAATCTCGAGAGCAGAGCTAAAGGCCGATATCTGTCGGCGAACTTGTAAAATAGGTCTACGTTTGCAAGTCTATCATAGCCAAAGGAAGTCCAGTTACCGATAAGCTTAGTTACCGCGCTCGGTCTACAATACATATCCGAAAGAATACGAAAAATGGGTATGCGATGGTGATCAGGAGGAATGAATGACATAAGGTAGCAGTTTGTACAGACAATAAAATAAAAATGACCGAATCAACGAACGTTAGATGAAAAGGTATAACCGTTAAGGTATAAATCACTCCGACCCAAAAGCCAACGGGGCGTTGTCCACCAGCCATTCAATGAAGAGGGCTTTCCCAGCCATGTCACTGAATTCAGCAGCAGGATCTCTGGACCTCATCAGGGTCGCTGTTATAGGTTATAATCAACGAAGTGAATCAAGCAGAGCCAACGGTCGTACGTACGTCCAAAGACAACACCCAGGTTTCTCCCATTCATCAGGTTCTTGTCACAGCGTTCCCGAACCCTAATATAAGATATTAGTGAGCCGCAATGACCACTCGGGCAAGCAACTTACTGATTTAGATGCAACATAAGCATTCTTAGCGTGAAGTAGTGTTCGTTTGGTAGCATGTTGATAAGATCAATTAATGTTTTCTGTTTGAGGGCGGGATCACGAATGGTAATCGCGGACATGAATTGATCGTGCAGATCAAACGTAAGTAAAGGAACAGGCAGTGAGCGGAAGTAGGTCTTGAGCACAGAGGTAACGCTGCAGATATCGTTGAAGCGGTCCATGTCGCAGAGGTCGAAAGAGTCGTAATCTCCTCGTTCAAACATCTGAGTTATCGCTTTCGATTGGCCTGACCCTCCGGTTTTACGATAGATGCCCTCATAGTCCAGAGCTAGGCACGAGACATTAGCGAGATGACGACATTAATTAGGGAATTAGGAACGAACCTCGTTCTTCGACCGCTTCAATGCATTTCTCGACGATCACAGGTACCTGCCGATCATCATCTCTACGGTCAGCGTGGACCTGCTCTGTGAGATCTCTGCCAAACATCGAGGGCGCTAGAGGGGCCATTAGTATGAGGTCAATTTTATGGAGGTGTTCGACTTACGGAGAGGGACTTGCGGCTCCTCTCGTGGCGGTGACCGATGTTGAGAGCAAGGGATTTGCACATTTGCGATACATCGGACGTGTATCGAGGTAGAACAGACTGGCGGAACATCATCAGCGCCTGCCGATGAATGAGAACAGATCGCCAACTTACCAGTGCACCGCAGCTGCGAACCCCACATTTTCTCTCCACAGTGGTCGCATCGAGCGAATCGCAAGACGCTGAGCTGTTGGAAGTTGTGCTCAATATGCGCTTTGCTCTTGCTAGTCTCGATAGTTGATGCAGGAGACGCCATTTCCTTCGGGCGGGTGCCAGGCCACTTGAACTTGGGCTTCGCAGGTGTCTGAAGCCCATTTTCCGACCTCGGAACCCTCAGTCCTGTATCGGCGTCCGAGCCATCATAAATAATCGTGGATGACCCACTGACAGACGAATTGAGGGATGGTGCGACCAGGATATGTGGGTTAGCACGAGTCTCAGATGAATCTCGGGGGGATGTCTCTTGCATGTTCTTCGCAGGAGTCTCGGGTGCGTTCTCTATGCGGCGGGCATAGACTGCACTGAGCTGAGCCAGTTCCTCGTTACGTGCGTTCAACACGGTCGTTTCCTCCAGGAAGACGTCGCGGACTGCCTTCAGCTCAGCGATTTCTCTCGTCAACGCCTCCTTCTGCTCCGTCAAGGGCATGAGCTCTCGCTGATACTGGTTCCTCAATGTCTCCAGACGCTTTGTCAACGATCTTGCAAGGTTCGGAGGAGCAACATCCACAGGGCTACCATTGGATCTAGGAGAGCAAGTCAGTGTCGCTTCGTAGGGAAAGAGAAAGAGACTCACCTCTTAGAGGAGATCTCTTCCATTTCGGCGATAGCGACATCCCGCTCAACCTTCAGACGAGAGAGGTTCTGCTCTAGATCCGATAGGTTGTCGTTGAGCTCCTTCGAGAACTGCTGTCGCAATTCTTGCTTGCGACTGTCGCCGGACATGGCTGTTAGACGGGCAGCCTGACCAGACAGCAGGACTCTTAAACGGGTGACCTCCGCCTCAGCATCTCGACGAGCCTTTAACTCCTGATCATACTCTGCCTGCGCGACGGTCATGCCATCGATGAAAAGCTTACTCTCCCGCTGGAATACGAAATTAATGCAAAGAAAAGAAAAAGAAGAAGATAGCCGCACGTTCATGCCATCAAGGCGGGTCTTTAACTGTTGGTAGTCGGCATTTTGTGATCCAACGAGGTCCAGGATGGCGTCCACAAGGTTCATGCCCACTTGTACGTGTTGAGCGCCTTTCTTTTTAGCTTCATTCAGAGCTTCCCTAACTTGAAGCATTACGTTATCGGTCTCTCTGTGCCGTGACGGAGGGTTGAACGCCGAATCGGGCAAAGGCGTCAAGCTCCCACTGGTCGACTCCTGGTCGGCTTGGAACTCTTTGGCGGTCAGAGTTGTGATGACTGACTCAATCTCAACGTGCGTATCTGAGCTAGCATCCGCCAGACTTCCGCCGCTGTGACGATACATCGTCGGTGACGACGCAGTCGGGGGAGGTGTTGATGGGACATGATGTTCTTGCGCCTGCTTCGTGGATATGGCGAGTTTGTCGAGGGATCTGAGCGATGGAAGGCCTCCAACGGAGCTTAGGAGTTCGGAGAAATCTGCCGTGTTCATTGAGAAGCGGATCGGCGGTAGCGCTGGGGCAATAAAGGTGGCGTGCGAGGTCCGTTCTACGGCTGTAGGATCTCCCAGCTCTTCCAAAATATCTCCAGACTCGGAAAACTGAGAGGAATCAGGATCGACGCCATGTATCCCTAGAGACTGCTTGACGTCTTTCGGAGGGGGCGCTGGTGGCGAACGGCCATAGCTTTCAGATGACGACATGTCCGCTTCATTCTCTGCATCCGTGTCCGTTCCACTCTCGACACCATGAGGAACGTCTGCACGATACGCCGGAGACGCCGACCGTGGCGCATTCCTCGAATTGGGACGATCGACGCCAGCAAGCCCTGAGCCGTAGCGCTGAGGATAGGCGCCGTTTGTAAGCGTCTTTTCATCAAACTCGAGGGTCATGGACGGTGGCGAGGTCATCACGACGGTATCATCGTGACCATTTGAATCAATGCGGAGGGATGAAGAGCGGGAGCGAGGTATAATGTGATCCGGTTCGGCAAGAGAGGAAGACCTGCTATGGGCAGAGCTAGACTGGGACGAGGGTCGCGACGAGAGAGGTTCGTTTGGGGTGAGATAGGGAGGGGTTTGTGAGGCACTACGGTCGTGTGGTTGGGAAGAAGTGTGTGGAGCGGAATTGGACATTTGGTTTGACAGTGCTTCCTTAAAGGGAGAAAGTGGGAGGCCAGGGTTAATTGAGCGCCGTTTGTCCTGCTTTGAGGTAACCGAGAGCGCTTGGGTGGCGTTGGACCTTGATTCTGGGAGCAGGCCCGCGCTGACCTGCAGGGAGTCTTGCTTGATGAGGACATTCAGCGGGCGATCGTCGTAGCTATTCGTTCGTTTCAATTCGGAGGAGCTGGGTGTTGGGGGAATAGGAAGGGTGTTTGACTTTGCGAGGCCATGATGCTGATTGAGATAGCCTGATGATGGTTGAGATCCGTTGAGGTGTTGTTTGCGGGGGCGTACTTCTGGATCGACAGGAGGGGCAACGGTAACGGATGGCTGGGTTGGGAAGGAGGATGAGGAGGCGATCGCGTTGGTGGAAGAGTAGGAAGGAGGACTAGGATCCGCTGGCCTTGCCGGAGAGCGAGCATCTTGGGGACGGGGACGCGAGGAGCCAGAACGCGCCTGGAGTGGGGGTTGAGACGACGGGGCAACGGGCAAAGGGGAAGCACGCACGTCCTGATCATGATGAAAATTCCTCGCCTCGTTGTCCCTGGAGCGCGACGAGCCACTTCCGCCGTTTGCCCGTTCCCTTTCTGCCTTCTTCTGCGCGTGTTTGCGTATTTTGATCATGCGCTCATTGTGGCAGTTCATGCAGTAGATGCCCTGGGACGTTTTGGCGAAGACAAGCTCGTCGATGCGGTTGCTGCAGACCTTGCACTTGAAGCAGTGGGCGTGGTATGAGTCGTCGCCGGTCATGATTGCCTCGTCGAGGATGGGGAGACGGCAGATGTTGCAGGAGTAGGAGCAGTTTGCGCATATTGGTGATCCGTCGGAGAGGAGGAGGAGATTTGTGTCGGCGGTGACCTGGTTGCGACATTTTGCGCACTTGAAGCAGTCGACGTGGAAGAAGGATTGGCTGGGGCGGGTGGTGAGGGGGGCGCAGAAGACAAAGCAAACGAGTGCTTACCCAAAGGCGACGACAAGACCGCCCTGCTCGTTTACTGCGGAGCGCTTGCAGCCGGGACAGAGCCTGTCGTCGAGGGCGAGCTGGTCTGCGCTGTTGGATATGTTGAGGTGCGAGTGCTCCCTGGGGGGAACGGCGGAGAGCATGTCGGGGACCAGCACAACATACAACCGTCACACTGTCACACACATGGCTCTCATCACACTCGCTGGTCTCCCCGCCGCAGGAAAGTCCCATCGCGCAGCACAGATACGCGACTATCTCGCCGAAAACCTGCCCGACTTCCACGTCAGCATCCTCTCAGACCACTCCCTCGGAATAGCGCCCAGCGCATACGATGGTGCGCGCTTATTTCTTTATCACATTTAACCGCTCAGCTCCCCCAGACAGCCCCTCCGAGAAGCCGGCGCGTGCCGCCCTCTTCACCGCCATCCAGCGCCAGCTCGCCACAGACACAGTCCTCATCGTCGACTCCCTCAACTACATCAAGGGCTTCCGCTACCAGTTATACTGCGCCGCCCGAGAGATGAAGCTCAGAACATGCACAGTCCGCCCATCTCTCTGGCTGCCCGGCTGAAACGCTCACTCAACACCAGGTCCATGTCGTCGCAACCCCCGAGCTGTGCAGAGAGCGTAATTTACTCCGCGAAACGCGCTACGCCCCAAACACGCAAGTTACCTCTCTCTCCATCGTGGCGTCCTAGCAACTTTGATGCACCAGTCTAGAGAATCTCTTCGTCCGCTTCGAAGAGCCCTCCTCCATGGTCCGCTGGGATGCACCCCTCTTCACCATCCTCTGGTCCGACGAGCACATCCCAGGCCCCGACATCTTGGAGGCTATCACCAAAGGCAACCTCAAGCCGCCCAATTCGGGCACCCTTTCCGTCTGTCTTGCTGTCTGATCTCATGTCGCGTGCTCAATCTCTGCGTCACAGGTCCCAAAGGCGCCAACAGATGCCCTTCACGTCCTCGAGCAGACGACAGCCACCGTGGTCTCCGCGATTGTCTCCGCCTCCAGTGCACAGCCAACCGGCGGGACCGTGATCGTCCCCGTCGGCCCGTCCATCAAGCCATCTATCACCCTCCCCCCGCGCACCATCACACTCTCGGAGATGCAGAGGCTCAAGCGGCAGTTCGTTACGATCCACAAAAAGGCTATTACATTGGGAACGACGGAACGGGGAGCAGTGGATTGGGAGGAAGAGAGTGTGGCGGTCAAGTTTGTCGCGTATGTACAGGACAACCTCCGTTAGTTACGTAATGGCACAATGGGAATAATGCAAGGGCCACTTCCAACCCTTGTCTGTCTCCTCCACTACCACCACCATGCCCCTCCCGACAGACACCACCCTCTCCCTTCTGGCCTATCCAAGGCCAGACTTTTCAAAGCCAAAGAAGGCGATGCTCGTCCGCCTCTCCACAGAGACCCTCGGGGCTCTCGAGTCCTTACCCCCAGTCCAGTTCGAGTTTGGAGACAGCCCAGTGCGTTATGACCCTCTTACAGCGTGTTCGCGTCTCTAATTGTCGCAGGGCATCTACATCGGCGATGCCTACTTCCCCATGAACCACTTGGAAGAAAAGTCGGCCACCGAGCTCTACCTCCGCTCTTCCTCGGGCGCAAAGAAGACAACCACCACTCCCTTGAAACTCCACGCCAACGTGATCGGCAAGTTTGCAGTCGAGCGAGAGCTCGCCGACATTCGTGACAAGATCAGAGAGAGCACACAGGTCGCGACCGACCAACGGAACAGGCCGACCACAAAGTTCATTGACGCCCCACCAGACACCCTCCAGCCCCCGCCCAAGAAGAAGACTCCCTCATCTACAACCCTATTCCGCAACCCTCCCCGTCCTGCAGACAAGCCAAAGCCCGTTCCACCACCGCCGACAACGACACCTAACAATAGACCCTCATCATCTACACCAACACAGCGCGATGGTCTGGTGCCGTTGCGTAAGCGCCTGGTTCATTGCCTGGCCGTTAGCGAGAAGCTTGAGGATCAGCTGCTCAAGATGCTGGGGGCATCCGATCGCAGTTCGGCCTTGCGTACAGAAATCTTTGAGTTGTTAAACGAGGTGCGTAGTCGATCACACATTGAAACGCGGTTGGTATTCAAGATTGGTCCCAGTTGGCCGATATCAAGAAAGGGACAGGAAATTCACACAGGGTCTACCAGCTCAAGCCTATTGGATGGAAGGAAGTTCGTCCGCACGAGTGGCCTCGGTTGAACGACCAGGAGCGACTCCAAATGGCGCGCAGTGCCCGCATCGCCATGAACTCCCTCCGCATCCCCGAATCCGACCCCATCTGGACCCACTTCAGGACCAGCCCTCCTGCAACCTCGTCTGCCAGCTCTTATCCCGCCACTTCCTCGTCCACTTCTACGAGCAAGCTGGACGCGCCTGCCCCAAAGCGTGGCGTCTCGTCTCGCGAGGTCAAAGAGAAGAAGCAGAAGCCCAAAGCCGACCCCAAGGTGGAAATCATGATGAAGGACGAGAGTGTACGAGCGACCAATCGGGATCCTCCTCCTCCTGCCATCCGCATAAATGACAGCAGCCGCCCAGCACCAGAGCCCATCCGAAGAAACCAGCCATCCGCTGCGAAGCCTATCAAAACCAACCCCAGGCCTTCCGCTGTTGACGGGCGTACGGCTTCATCCTCGACAACAAAGGCTTCTCGTGAGGAGCGACCTGTGGCGCCACCGGTTGCATCGAGCAAGTCCTCCGTCAGCCAACAGGATGACAAGAAGCTGTCGACCCAAGCACGGAAAATCCGGAGGGAAGAACTTGCTCAGTTCTCCGACTCTGACAGGGAGCGGAGCTCTGTTCAAGGCGATAAGCGTCGACCTAAGAAGAAGGAAGTGGAATATGCAGAACCTAAAGCTCCGGCGCCAAAGCGAAAAACGATTGATTACGACGACGACGAATATGATGATCGCTCGAGTCGTCAGAAGAAGAGGAAGACCGACCCACACGTTCACGCTTCGTCAGCATCGCGGGAGGATAGGGTGAAGGATGCGCCCAAGAAGCCAATGGTAGACCCACGGCCGAGCGACAGAAACACTGAGCGAGAGCGGGAAGTATCTTCGTCGTCGGCACCCAAGAAGAGGAGACCATCGCCGCTCCCGCCTCCTGCAATTCCTGCCAAACGAGTTTCGTCTTCGAACGGAAGAGCATATTCGGAGGTCTCAACTTCCTCCAAGTACACCAACACGTCGGCATCGGGCACGAAGGCAAAGAGGAAGCGTGTATCTCCCATTTACACGTCTTCTGAAGACGAGAAAGACGACGAGGTTCCTCTGAGCAAGCGCGTTACAGCAAAAAGTGCTCCACCACCACCTCCAACCGTCTCATCCACCTCGTCTTACAGTTATCGGCCTCGACCACTGCCGACGGATCATGCCAGCCTGCGCGTACGATACGACGACTCGTACATTGATTATTTACAGAGCCTCCGCGATTTGAACAAGCAGAAACTGAAGCTCAAGAATCTCCTTAAGAATAATGACATCGCACGAGCAGGATCAATCACGGACTCTGACGGAGACGTCGAGCTGTTGGGACCTGAGGATCTAGAGAGGCTCACGACGAAGCACCGGAAGCTGCACGAGGAGCTGCAAACGATTCAGCAAATCTTCAGTGGGGCGGTCAAGTCGGAGCCTAGTTCGGATTGATTTGTTCTTGGACTGCCATGTAATATACTTGGATTGTACGATATAGATCGCATTTTGTTGCGTATTGGACGAATAGGAATGAGTAGACTGGACTAATGGTCAGCCGCTTGTTGATAAAAGAAGGTCAAAGGGTGGAATTTGCTCGCAACTCAAATGGCACGCACTACGTTTAATCCTCGACATGACCCAACCGTCTGGTTCAAATACGCACGCAGCCCTTCCCCGCAAGACGAAGATGAGGATATGGACAGCGATGGGGTCTCAACCGACTTTGTCCCCTACGCAGCACCGAGTCCCCTGCACGCGACAACGGCGGTCACCGAGATCGACGAGCCGCTCCCCACCCTGACCAAAGCGACACAAGAAGTCAGCATGCATCATTTGAATTCGATAGCCATCGTGTGCATGGCACTGGCGTTTCTGAGCGTGGTGGTTGGGCTGATCGTGGTGGTGAGGACTCGGTATCGGGCAGGGAAGAAGACAGCAGTGGACGAAGAAAAGCCAACAGAGAGCGAGACGGCAACAACAATGACGGAGACAGAGACACAGACGGAGTTCTCTGTGCGGACGTCGGTGAGCAGCGTGTCCTCCGAGGGATATGTGGTGCAGCGCGCGCAGACGGAGAGCGTCGAGTTCAAACGCGGGGTGCTGCAAATCGAGTCACGTGGGCGTGTATCGGTGTCTGGCCCCTAGCGCCGGACAATAGATCTAAGATCATAGCGTGAACACTGAACAATAACCGCCCTCCGCCCTTTCTCTCCAACCACCATGTCCGTCGTTGCCATCCTCGCACTCGTTATTTCTCTTCTTATTGCTTGTATTGTCTACTTCGTCTTCATTGCCCCGTCTTTCAACCCTCTTCTCGCCATTGCCGGCCCTCCAACAGATCGCGGCCTTTTCACCAACTATCTCCAGCCCGTCCTCGAGTGAGAGACACCTCTTCATATTCATTCTCCATTTTGATGTACGTCAAGCCCAACGTATTCGCCGCGCACCCACGAAGCCTATGTCAAAAAGTACGGGCGCTCCATTCGCATCCGCGGTGTCGGCCCGGTTCGTATACTTGGCTGCCTCTTTCATTCTCTCGGCTGACGGCCTCTTGCAGTGGGACACTCGTCTCCTCACACTAGATCCTGTCTCTGTCTCTCATGTACTCAAGAATTCAACCCTTTATGAAAAACCATGGCAGTCGCGTACTTTGATTACAAGTCTCATTGGATGCGGCATGCTCGCCGCTGAGGGTCAAGTCCACAAACGCCAGCGAAGGGTCGCTACTCCTGCTTTTTCTATTCAGAACCACCGCGCCCTCGTACCTCTTGTATTCAGGAAAGGAACGCAGCTCAAAGTCAGATGGATGCAGATGGCGAAAGAGCAGCCTGAAGATCGCATTACCCTGGATGTCTGTCACTGGGTTAGTCGAGCGACTTTCGATGTCATTGGCATGGCAGGTTCGTCTCTACTACCCCCTTCTTCCAGATCTACTTAACCTTCGAGACACAGGATTCGACTACAATTTTAATGCCATTCGCGACGAATCTAACGAACTCTTTATGGCTTACAAGGAAATGTTCGAGACTGCAATCTCCCAAGGCAGTTTTCTCCGAACAATGCTGAGAATATACCTCCCTTCGGTCTCCTCCTTATTCGTACGTTATCCACCTTTCCCAAAGATATTCATTTCACACATCGGTTCGTTCTTATAGCCTGATCACACTGTCCGCACTGTCAGGCGATGCCAGAACGTCATTCATCGCGTTGCTGGCCAGTTGATTCAAGAGAAAAAAGCAAAAATTGCACAAGGAGAGGAAGATGGCGTTCCTTATGCAGGAAGAGATCTCCTCACCCTTCTTCGTCAGTCTTCGCCCCCTTGCTGCTTTTCAGCGCTAACACTCCAATTCAGTCAAATCAAATATAGCAACGGATCTACCTCCTGACCAGAGAATCTCAGACGCCGATATCCTCCATAATATCAATACTTTTATGTTTGCTGGATCAGATACCTCTTCGCTCAGCCTCACTTGGACACTACTGCTTCTTGCGCAGAACCCTGCGATACAGGACCGCCTTCATGCCGAACTTTTATCTATTTCTCCAGTATCCTCTGGAAGCCTTGCGGATCTGACGGAAGATGAAATCCAGTCGTTGTATACCACCATCTCCAACTTGCCTTACCTTCACAACGTTATACGCGAGTCAATTCGCTTGATACCCCCCGTGCATTCCAGCATCCGCGTCGCGACCCAGGACGATGAAGTCCCAACGTCGTATCCGGTTCACAAAAGGGATGGGACAATAATCGACAGGCCAACTACGGTTTCAGTTCCCAAAGGTAGTTTCGTCCATGTCGCCGTTGAGGGATTCCAGTTGGATAAAGAATTCTGGGGGGAGGATGCTTGGCAATTCCTGTAAGCCGTGCTCATAACTTACTGCATGGAGTCTAATGCTTCGACTAGACCTGACCGGTGGGATCGTCTGCCGGAAGTTGCGGCCGAACTACCAGGTTTGTTCTCAAATACTTTGGCGTTCTCCGCCGGTCCTCGTGTAAGTAGGCTGCAAGTTTTCGCAGACATCTGCTCACCTTCACGTACTAGTCATGTATTGGCATGCGGTTTTCGATGATCGAAATCAAGACATTCATCTATATCTTACTCACCAACTTCCTCTTCTTGCCCACCGGAGACAGAATCATGAAAGCAAACGTGTAAGTCATGCCTCTCCCTAGTCATCGTCTTACTAAGGTATCACAGCGTCTTGACACGGCCGTACATTGTCGGAAAATTCAAGCAAGGAAGCCAGTGCCCTCTTATTGTTGTACCCTATGATGCGAAGCAATCCGCCTCGACAGCAGATTAATGGTATACGGCACCCATTACCCATAACTCCGATTTCCGGGTTGAACGATTAATCTAAGACGGCGTACTTTTTGAGATGAGATGGGATAGCATCCTCGAGACCCTTGCTTTCCAGCCACTTCTTCGAGAAGAGTCTGCTCTGATAACGATAGGCACCGTCACAAAGGATGGTAACGACCCTCGACCCTGTAAATGGTTAGTACCGAAGCAGTGTACGAGAACCTGTGACATACCCCGACCCAACTTCTGAGCAAGTTCGACCGCGGCAACGACATTGAGGGCTGTGCTAGCCCCAAGGTATAGACCCTCTGTGTCCAGCAGCTCGTATAGTGTAGCTATCGACTTTTCGTCTGGTACGGTAAACGCTCCAGAGATGTCATTGATGAATGTTGCAAGGTTATCCGTAATACGACCTTGACCAATACCTAGTCCGAGATTAAACCAAGGTCGAAGAAAAGAAACGAAGAAGATTTGACACACCTTCTGTGATAGAGCTACCGCTTCTCTCGATGAGCTTCCCACCGCTCGTGACATAGCTTGTAAGCACACTGCCGGGGGGATCCGCAAGCCAGATCTGTGCCCTGCCGTCGCTCTTCTCCTTCAGGTACTTCCCGACCCCAGCTAGGGTGCCGCCAGTGCCCGTCGCACATATGAACCCGTCGACGCGTCCTTGGGTCTGCTCCCAGATTTCCGGACCTGTCGTGAGGTAGTGCGCTTTGGCGTTCGCGGTATTGTCAAACTGGTTCGTCCAAATCGCGTTTTCGATGCTCTCTGCGAATTCACGAGCTTGGTGGTTGTAGTTGAGAGGGTTCTCGAAAGCGACTGCAGGTACGGGTCGGACGTCTGCACCGAGCATGCGGAGAAGGTCAATCTTTTCCTGGCTCTGCGTGGCGTGTTAGGAGGGGCACGACTAGGAAAGACGCGATGGACCTGTGTGTTGGGCATGTAGATCACACACTTGTAGCCTTTTGCTCTGCAGACGTGCGCAAGACCGATGCCGGTGTTTCCAGCGGTCCCTTCGACGATAGTTCCTCCCGGTTTGATCCTAGAATTACTGTCAGGCTAACGGTCGTCGCGCATGCAAGGTGAAAGACGAACAAGCCCTGCTCTTCAGCGTCCTGGACGAGGCCGAGGGCTGCTCGATCCTTGACGCTTCCACCGGGGTTCTGAAACTCGGCCTTGCCATAGATATGGGCACCAGTCTTCTCAGACAGCCCTTTGAGATAGATCTATGCGCAACACACTGTTAGCAGGGAGGGCTAAAGTGAACGAGAGCAACGTACAAGAGGTGTGTTGCCTACCGCGCCATTGAATCCCTGGACGGTGGAATGGGTTGCAAAACCTCTGGAACGCGCAGCTAACCGTAAGGAAGACAACATGGTGGTAGTTCTGGTTGAAGAAAGGTTGGGGACATGGGAGAGGTCTTAGTCAAAAGCAAGCATGATCTGCCCAGAAATTACTCAAGAGCACGACATTCTCAAATTACTTACATAAGCCCTGTTGGAGGCGTTCTGTCAAAACTGGGAGCGAGAATAGACATGTATTAGACTATGGCTAAAGAGTATCCAGTCGTACGTTGCGCGAGTCGTGCATGGCCATGAGCGGTCGGGAAACAAAAGAGGAAAACGAAAAAGACAGAAGCGGGTATGGGTCAAAAACGTGAAGTCTGGTATAGAACATTGTTCCGAGATCCTGCCATCGCTGAGAAGGCAAGAAGTGAGTGTGGATCGGTGGCTGAGAGCGGCGCCTCTACTGCTGGCGCTTCTTGACGTTTTGTGACAGCCATTGGAGACCCTCGAACAGACCCTCACCAGTTGTCGCACAGCTGCATACCCAGTTAGGGCAAGTGGTGTGGAGAAACTGCATCGACATACCTTGGATGCACGTACCACGACCGGTCGCGCATTCTGTGTAGACCCAGCTTCTCAGTGACCTCCGCGGGTGACATGGCTAGGGGGGCAACGATAAGATAGAAGCATACGGCAGTGCCACAAGCAACACACCTCCTGGCAAGTCCTGCTTGTTTGCAAACACGAGCAGTAGGCACTCCTTCATCTCGCGGTCACTCAATATCCGGTGCAGCTCCTGCTTCGCCTCGTCGATTCGTTCACGATCCTGGCTGTCGACGACGAAGACAAGACCCTGAGTGCCTGTGTAGTAGTGTCTCCAGAGCGGTCGGATTTTATCTTGGCCTCCGACGTCCCATACATTGAATTTGACGTTCTTATACGTGACTGTCTCGACGTTGAAGCCGACTAGAGAGTGTATGAGAAGCTGGACGGTGGCAGGAAGGGATAGCTCAACGCACCAGTTGGGATGGTCGTTACGGACTGGTTCAGCTTCAACTTGTAGAGAATCGCTGATGGCCGCGGTCAATTGGAGCTGCATACAAGATCCCGAACTCGCCACGTACTTGTCTTGCCCGCCGCATCCAAGCCCAACATGAGCAACCGCATCTCCTTGTTCCCAAAAATCTTGCCTGAAACGTGGTGGCGTCAGAGGGTGCGCAGCAACGGAGAGCAAGAGGGCGAACCCATAGCCTTTGAAAGATTTGCACCCATGATGAAGAGAAAGTAAGGAGCGAAGACGGGCTAGCAAGAGGGAGACGGTCGAGGTGAAAATGGGGACGAGAGAAATGCGCCAACTTGTGACAGCGACCAACATATCACGTGATATTAACGGCATAGGGGTAACGGTAGACTAACTACAATCAAGTCGAGACTCAACCATGGCTCTGGTTGTAAACTTTCAGCCAGCTCTCGCCCATGTCCTTCTTCAGTCCCTCTATTCGCCTCCGGTACGTCTCACCGCTGTCGTCAGATGCCGGCACCTCCCCTGGCGATTCGAAGACCGACGCGCTGATTCGATTTCGACGCGCCTCAGATCTTGACGTCATGGTGTTGCGCCGGTTTGAACGAGACAGGCTCGAATATTTCCCCTCGGAAGACCTGAACGCGTCGGATGCAGCCATGAAAGAGGTGGAATTGAAGCTGTCTGTTTGGTGGCGAACATGCCGTGGCCGCTGTCGCGTGTCGTTGGACTCTGGAGGGGCGTTCAAGGAAGGATCTGACGTGCGATGGCTCAATGGTGCGTTCTGGGTGACTGGCGGCTGACTGTCCGCTGGTCGAGGCGACTCTGTCGTCTTGGTTTCTGGTCGACGGTCTACCGAGTGCATTCTCGAGTGCGAGCCAGAGCGAGAGCTTTGTCCACTCGTATTAGCGTCGAGCTCCACGATGCGTTTGACTTTTTTCCGCCGCGGGCCGCCAATCCCAGCTGGGTGACGGGGCGGGGAAGAAGACGTCTCGTCGGGTGGTGGTGGGCTGCATGCTGATGGATCGCGGGCATGCTCGACGGAAATGACAGGTGCAGATGGCGAGGTGGATGGAATGGGGTCGGAGACGGCGTGTTCGAGGCTAAGTTTCTCATATGGGCCAGGTGGTGTTCCGTCGAGGGAGATGGCCTTGCCTTCTTTGGCAAAGTAATTGAAGCAAGTGATACGATACGCATCCTCAACCTCGGTAAAGGGATTGCCTTGAACCCATAATTGAGCGATATTGGGAAGAACGGCCAGTCGGCCGATTTCGAGGCTTTCGTCAATGAGGTTGTCTCGGAGATCGACGCGTTCGAGAGCAAGAAGACGTTCGAGCCCGCATAGTGACTCGAGACGGTTGTGGGAGAGATTGAGAGCGAGGACTTGGCCGAGGTTCTGATAGATACCAAGCACGGAATCGATGAGATTGTCGGATAAATTAAGGGAATGAAGCTTGTAGAGTTCGGCGAGACCTGGAGGGACGGAAACCAAGAGGTTTGAGGAAAGATCGAGATATGTGAGGGACGGAAAATAGGGAATTATTTCTTGGGGGAAGAAGGTGAGAGCATTGTCGGGTAGGTAGAGGTGCTTGAGGAAAGCCCATTTGAGGGAAGAAAGCTGTTTCGGTAAAGGGTCGGGGTCGTCAACGGTGGTATCTTCGGCTAGGGTATGTAGAGGTGGGATGATCCTCTGACGCTTGCGGGATGTACTGCCGTTTCTGCGGGCGTCGTCGTCGAGGACAGCACCGATGAAGATGACGGAGACGTCATGGAGGCCAGAGCTCTTGATCTTGAGGGACCTCAAGGATTCGGCGAGGCGGTCCCAGCCGAGAAGGGTGCGCGGATCGATATTGTCGCACTCGAGACGCTGAAGGTTCTTGAACGCGTCGAGTGGGACAGCGTTGTGGCCTGGGGGATCATGGACGAGTTCGGTAATGAGGTTTCTGCCTGGGGGAGAGAGGGCGAGGGCGGGAAGCTTTGTGAAGCTGCTGTAGATGTACTTGAGCTCTGCATCTATGGTGGGGGGCTGGTAGGCTGACCACCAGACTGAGCCGAAGGAGGAGAAGGCGGAGACGACGGAGAGGGAGGAGCGGAGGGAGGCGAGGGAGAGAGTCTCGGGGTTCTTGGAGTCGGCGAAGACGCTTGCGTAGCTCATTGGACGGGAAGGAGCGTGGATGTGGACGTCGAGGGAGCCGACATCGATACCGAGGGCCTCGAGGCGGATGAGGAGATAGAAGAGGTGGTGGGTGTCGGTGGCGAGCGTGAGGGGGGCGGGGGGCGCGGCGTGTGTGAGCCAGGAGAAGAGGGACGGCGGGGGGAGAGAGACGGGGCGGCGGGGAGTTGGGCCCGAGTGGGCGAGACGGTGCTCGTTGGCGCGGATGTATGCAGCGATGCGGCGCACATAGTCGTCGCCGGCCTCCTGCTCCATGGCATCTGCAGAGTCAGCTTGGCCGAATCGGGCAGTCAACGCGTCATCTCTCTCTTCCAGCCACCATGAAGGTCACCATAAAGACCACACAACAAAAGGTCTTCCAGGTACGTACAGGCCCCGGGACACGCCCATCGCACACCCTGACCACCCCCCAGATCGACGTCGACCCCGCCGAGTCCATCGCCGACCTCAAGGCCAAGATCGAGCAGTCCCACGCGCATCCCGCCGCGTCTCAGAAGATTATCTACTCGGGTATGGCTCCTCTTCTGGTCGCCTCCTCCAGCTCACCCCTCTCCAGGCAAGATCCTCACAGACGACAAGACAATCGACTCATGCGGCATCAAGGAGAAGGATTTTCTCGTCCTTATGGTCTCAAAGGTCCGTCTCGATCTCCCCATCCGTCGCTCTCGCTTCTTACACATTCACAGCCAAAACCTACCCCGGCTCCTGCTCACCCCGAACCCGCACAAGTTGCAGAACAATCTACCCCTGCTGCCCCGTCCTTGCCACCCTCCGTCGCTGCCCCAATCCCAGCCCCGTCTACCACTGAGCCCGCCCCAGCTGCACCCGCTCCAGACGCTCAGCCACCTGCATCCGATGCACCTGCTCCCGCATTTGTAGATCAGACCTCGTTCTTGTCCGGAGACCGCCTTCAGTCCGCCATCAACAACTTGGTCGAGATGGGCTTCCCCAGAGATCAAGTCCTGCGCGCTATGCGCGCTAGCTTCAACAATCCAGATCGCGCAGCTGAATATCTGATGACTGTCCGTCCCAATCCTCCCCCTCTCCTCTACATCTTCTCACTCTCTTACTCCAGGGAATCCCAGCCCACCTAGAGGCTGAAGCTGCACCCCAACCTCCCGCCGCTACCGCTGCACCAACGCTGCCTGCCAACCCAGCTGCCCCCGCAGCAGCAGCTCCAGCACCTGCTCAACCTCAAAATCAGCCCCAGAACCTATTCCAGGTCCGCTCCTCCCGTCTTTCTCCGTTCCTATCCCTCATTGCTCTCCCTAGCTTGCACAGCAACAACAGCAGGCGGGATCAGGCGCCCAACACCCAGCTGCCCCAACTGCCGCAGGCCCTGGTGGGCTCAATTTCGAAGCTCTGCAGAACAATCCTCAGATACAACAACTTCGCGAGCAAATTCGCCGCAACCCTGAGCTCATTCAGCCTTTGATTCAGCAACTCGCTACTCAAAATCCTGCCATCGCTCAAATGATCGCACAGAACCCAGAAGCCCTCTTCCAACTTCTCGGCGTTGAGCTCGACGACGAAGATGGCGCAGGTCCCGTCCCACCTGGCGCTCATGTCGTCAATGTGACAGAAGAGGAACGGGCGGCGATCCTAAGAGTGCGTTCGAGTCATATTGCACCCAACTCCATATATCTCATCATTTTCTTCAAGCTCGAGGCCCTGGGCTTCCCCCGGCAAGCCGTTCTCGAGGCCTACTTCGCCTGCGATAAGAACGAGGAGCTCGCAGCAAACTATCTCTTTGAAAGTCAGTTCGACGATTGATCGCTTTCCTGTATTCTATCTTGTTATTGTACTTGGCAACTTCGAGAGTAATAAAATGATTCCCATGAGCTAATTATGTCGCCTCGCTGTTGCCGTACCGCTTTACTTGCGCACGCTTCTGTCATTCTCAACCACAACCTCTACGTGCAACCATCCTGCCAGACATGAAAGTCCCCTTGTGCACCCTTGCGCTTTTCGCCGGAATGTCATCGGGCCGTACCCATAAACGACGCAACCTCGATTCGGTGGCGACCTATGCTCCAGACACCAACGTCCCTTGCCCTGATCTCTCAACTGCTCCTCTCATTCGCCGTTTCTCCCCTCAGAACCAGACTCTCCACCCAGAAGAACAGCGATACATCTCAGAACGCGCCAACAACGTTCTACCCAATGCTTGGAAAGATTGGCTTGGCGACGGGTCGGGGATTGGCTACGACCTCTCAACATTCTCCCCTGCAACCTATCCAAAGATTGGCATCGCCGTGCCTGGAGGAGGGCTTCGGGCAGCACAATATGGGGCAGGCTGTCTCCTCGGTTTGGATGCTCGCAACGCGACGGCCAAGGCAGCAGGCACAGGCGGTCTGCTGCAGGTCGCATCTTACCTCTCAGGGCTTTCTGGTGCGTTTCCTCTTTACTCTCAACGTGCTGTCAGCCCTTGACGAACTTTCTAGGCGGGTCCTGGCTGACCGGCTCCTTATTCTTCAACAACTGGCCCAAGATCGACGACCTCGTTTTAGGCGACGGCAGGATCTCAGCGGATGGATGCTCGACCTTTCGTTCGTCACTCCCGACGGCGTGGACCTTCTCTCAGACCGCAACCAAGCATTCTATGGCAGTATATTGTACGGCATCATTGCAAAGGCAGACAGAGGAGTGTGAGGCTCTGCCTTGTTCGTGCACAGCCCAATGACTAACACGCCTGCAGTGACACCAGCCTCACGGACCCTTGGTCCCGCATGATATCCTATCACTTTCTGAACCAAACGACACGCGAGAACTTCTTCAGCAATGACACAGGGCATGGCTCTGGGCAGCTATGGTCCCGAATACCTCAGATCCCCGCCTACCAAAGCCGTTCCGTTCCATTTCCAATCGTCGTCGCCGATTCACGTCCTGTCGGTTCCAACTTGACCGCAACTCTCCCACTCAACTCGGTAGTCTACGAAGTACGATCACATCTGAGTTTCGCCTCCGTTTACTTACGATCTTGCACAGATAACACCACTGGAGTTTGCTTCTTTCGACCCCTTCCTCTCGACTGGCATGAATCTTTCGTATGCGGGGACCCATCTGTCAAATGGGCGGTCAATCAACGGGACGGCCTGCGTCACCGGCTTGGATCAAGCAGGCTTTGTGATGGGCACCAGCGCGAGTCTGTTCAACGTAAGGAGCTTCGACCCTCCCAGGATATTGGTGGCTGATCCACCTCCAAGCAAATTCTAGATTTCGCTCGCAACACACTCTCTCAATTCTCGAGCAGCGACAGCGCAGGGCTGCTCTATGTCCTTTCTCGTCAATTACAGCAAGTGCGCACACGAGCGGATGATGTCGCCAACTGGCCGAATCCCTTTCAAGGACTAGACATCCCCGACTTTCAAGACGTGAACGCCTCCTGGCTGGAACTTATTGATGGTTCCTCCAATCAGGAAAACATTCCCTACGGTCCATTATTGGTGCGCGCCAGGAATCTTGATGTTATTGTCACGGCGGAAGGAAGTGCAGATGATCCTGTGAATAATTGGCCAAAGTCTGTATCTGTATCTTTGATGCTGCTTCATTGCTCAATAATATATAGTGGTACAGGATTAATCTTCACTTCCACAAGGCAAACCACCCTGCTACAAAGTACTCATCAACAATTTCCTCCCATACCTTCTACTCCTGAGGATTTCATTGCAACTGGAGTCAATGCTCATCCTACTTTCTTTGGATGTGATCCTTCATCTACTGATAATTATCCTTTGATCATCTATTTACCCAATGCTCCTCCAATTTCTGGTAATGATCCAGTAACAAAGTAAGTCAGTGCAAATTCACTGCAAAGACATATCTGATACTCTATTAGTACACCTACTTTTCAATTAACATACACCCTGCATCACACTCGCCTCTTCATTGATCAAGTCTTTTCCAACACAATATCTGGATTTACTCCCAAATCTAATTCTCCTGATCCAAATTGGGGCAAATGTTTACAGTGTGCTGCTTTTGATCGGGCACGTTCAAAAGTATCACCTGCAGTACCACGTTCAACTATCTGCATCCAGTGCTTTAATCAGTACTGTTACAATTCACAAAACCCATCTAGCAAATCAGAACTCCCAAATCGCAAACTTGAATTTGTTGATCCAGATCCTCAAGGTCTTAGCAAAATTCAGGTTTTTTTCAGTGTCAACAAGTTCAAACTTCTTGGCGGATTAATAGGCTTGATAGTCTTGATTCTTCTTATTACTGCTGGATTGTGAGTAAACTGTTTTTGTTCACTTCTATTAATCTGATTTCAAATCAGTATACTATTCAGAAAACATTCAAGATCATCAAAGTATCAGAAAATTACACCAGCATCATCTACACTTATTTTTGAAGAATTTAAGGATCATCCAATAGCAGAATCATATAAAATGACTATATATTCTAAATAATTATTATTGTATCTATTCTAGAATAGTTGATGGGTGGATGACATAGGTAGACAGGTCTGAATCTCATAACTGTTTTGAAAAACATCAAGAATTAATCAATTCTTGATTTGTGTGGTTCCTGCTAGGATCTGTCTATTTGGGTTGCAGCTGGATGTTATTAGCTACTGTACTATTTCAAATCTATGGGCTGGGGATGTGATCTGTAACATAGTAGCCAAAGTTTGCACATTGGCCAACTTGGGTGTGATGAGGGACAAGGACTGGATTTTGGCCATGGCTATCTATAGGGCTAGGTGAAGAAATTTAACAAGGTGTTGAGTGGAAGATTCTGTACTACACAAACTAGTGAATGAGCTTGGGAAATATATTTTGTCTATTTCAGAGGCTGCTGCTTGTATTTGCATGGGGGGCAAGGCTCCAGATGGCTTATTTATACTAGAGACCATCAAAGTTGGGCTGCAACTTTTGCAGCCGCAACCTGTAGCTGCAGCATGTCATGGTGTCACACTTTGTCACATCCCTCTTGCTCATCAGGAAAAAACCAGATGTCAATAAAGTGCAATACTGACTCTATAGATGTTGTAACACGGTAGAGAGCCCCCTCTTGTATAGCCATCAGTAGCAATGCTTGATTGTTATAGCATCCTACCAAATGAGCTGTAGCCTTGCAGTGCAGCTATTTTGTATAGTAGCTTCAAAGTATGATAGCAATACATAGTCAGACATTGACTACTCAGATATATATGATCAGTTTGTGGTGCAAATAGTTTGTGACCACCACATTGAATAGATGACCACAAACAAGGAGTAAATCATTGAAAGGTAACTAGAGACAATATTCAAGTGGTGTTCGAGGGGTATAAAATAGCCTAGCTAGTGTAGCTACAACTGGAAGCCTACGGGCTAGAGCATCATCTGGCTGCCTTTGTCATCAGTCTCAGGATCATCAATGTAGTCCTGAATAGCTTTGCAGAAGACAGCAATGGAAGCAATGTAGCGGATGGAGACAATGAGAGAAGGGGCTCCAGCATGTAACCTAAAGATAAATGGAAGTGAATAGCTGAGTAGATCAGAAGCATTACAACCTTACTGTTCATAATTATGGAGAATATGCTGCATATGACCAAGGAGATCGTGCTGCTTCATGAACTCCCCAAACTCCCCCAAGGTCCTGATATGCTCAAGATAGACGGGTTGGTACTTATCTGCCCAAAAAGTGATGTCGGTCTTGATGCCGGTAACCCACGCATCAAGATTGCCTTCAATCTGCAGTACTTTGTGGTCCCCCACAGAGTGCTATAGGACTCCACTTTGAGTCCTTGGCATATTATCCAGTGGAGTCCAGTGGAGTCCAGTGGAATTATAGTGGAGTCCAGTAAGAAAGTATACTGGACTCTACTGGAGTGTGATACTGGAGTCTTACTGGAGTCTTACTGGACTACTACCCAGTACCTGTTACACATCAGAATAGATAATAGTCTGTTGAGCAATTGCCCAAGTCCAGCATATAGAGTATGTAATAAGATTCTTAATAATTATTCTTTTTAGGAAAAAGCATCAAGATTTGTAGAGCACCTTTGGTTGACCCTGAATCAAGGTATTTGATGTCATCAGCTGCTCTGCTTGACAAGAAAAATGCAAAATACTGAAAAAGTAGATTACTTTCGCAAATTTTAGCATTATTTGGCTTATATCTTGTTATTAATAGAGCCAAATACCATTACTCAAGGGGATTCAGAATCATCATTTATTGCAATTATTTTCTCCTAAAAAGAAATTTTCTCATAGTCATATGACCTGCATATTTCATATTGTTAGCACCTCTAGTCCCTGTATAGATAGTGCACATTTTGGCAAAATCCAATTTGTCACATGTGACTCTGATATTGATATCATCAGCAAACTTGATAGCTTTATTACTTTTTATCAATGCCAAGTCTGGAACTGGCAATCATATATTTATTAATTGTTTCTATTTGAGGCCATAACATCAAAGTTTCAGAAGCTGACCCTGAAGAAATAGGCAAATAAAAAGTCACATGACTGGCCATCAACCTTGGCATCAGTCACATTTCTCTTCTATGACTATGACATCTCTCTGCATTGTTTACTGGAGTTCACTGGAGTTCTATAGGAGTCCAGTGGAAGATGGACACTCCACTCCAGTAGACTCCAGTTGGGGGTGTGTATTTGCTGCTAAAAGCCCTGTTATTTGTTGATGTTAGCTTTTGACGGTCCCCTGCCAAAGTTGATGGCACAAACACTGGTACCATTTCTGAGCCCAACTCCGCCTAAATAAATTTATTTTTTGGCCAAATGAATATTACTTTTGATTATCTTTCAAGGCTTAGAGCCGGATTTTTTAAATTTGTCCCACATGGTTAAAATGCTGTATGTATCTTGCACACAGACACACTCATCAAGAATTCTGAACCAAGCCTCAAAAGATAATGGCTTCAGGCCTCGACATGCAAAAAATTTTGGTGGCTGGATGAGCGACCGTCCCATAAATGGTACCTCAAAAATGGCCCCTCGCACATGGTGCAATGCAGGTGTCACACCTGTGACTACACATGTCGGGCTCTGGTATGTTGGCTCTATCCTTCTCATTCTCCATTTCAATGTAAAATAAGATGTATTTGGTGTCATTAAATTATTCTATGCCGGTTTTAGGCTGATCAGAGAGCACAGGGCAAGAGAGCAAGGTCAACGCAAGTTTGAGCCTGGCAGCGTCCTTTTCAATGGCTGTGCGCTTAGTCATGGTCCCATCAAGCCAACTGCAAATGCGCACCCCCACTCCAGTGAACTCCACAGGAGTCCAGTAGGCACTTTTGGCTGGTGTTTCTGCTAATATATTTCTACCAGACTCCACTGGAGTCCACTAGAGTCCTATAGGGATATGTGGGGGAGTGTAAAGACCTCCCTCTGCTGCCTCCTCTTGCCCATTCAACACCTCTGGTGCATAAACAACCTCAAATTTTGCAGTTTGGGGTTGTTCACACTCATTTTCATGCCACTGCCCACCCTTGTCACCCGACCACCTTCTCCTCACCCTCCTCACCTGCCACCACCTCTTGTTGCCCCTCCAACATGCCCAGAGCTACCACCACCACCAGGACTATCCAATAATGGCCCTGGTGCATGAATGGCCCTAGACCTCACAGTTTGGGGCCATTTGTACTTGTTTTCTGCTGCTGCCTGCTCTGTTTGCTCCACTACTTCCTCCTTGCCCTCCATTCTTGCCCTCATCCTCTAAAAAAGTTTACTTTCAGAACATCATGAAATAGAATAGATATATATTGAGAATAAAGATGTGAAGTACATGTTCCAGTAAGCAAATGCCAAGTCATGAGCATGACTAAGAGAACACTATTGCCAAGTCACAGAGGTGGTTGTTTTTTTATTATTTTTATATCAACAATTTATATAGCAGTGCTTGATGGCAGCCTGCTTGCTATCTACAGAACATGTATGCTACGTGACCTGGTTACTAAGTTAACTACTAAAACATGTCCGCCTCCCCAACCAAGACCCTTCTGGTGTATATGTCAAAACTTCCTGGAGGGCAACCCACCTTGCAAAAGTGGTGCATCAGGATAAGAGGAGGAGGCCATTGAGGTCTCACTATGCCCCATAGTCATCAAATGCCATTCAGGAGCCATGCAGCACAAATGAAAATAAGACCAGCACCATCTAGGAGGTGGCAGGGTGTCTTGAGGCCAACAAGCCAGAGATGCACCTGCCTAAGACCAGATGCAGAAAGTTAGCAGTGCTGCAATCAACCAATATAGGGAGACTGCCTGCACAAAGGAGCTGTTGCAGGTGCAGGTCTCTGACCCCTAAGGGCCAAGCGTGTCAATTCACCAATAAATTCTCCAAAAGGAAGAATAACCCTACCCGCAGCAATTACCCAACACCTGAGGGGTCCTGGTTGAAGCCAAATGCTGTAGGGTTGTGCTTCAAAAACGATGCAATATCCCCAAGAAACTGGGGATAGTGTACAGAATATCTGTTGTGGCAGCAAAAAAGGACATGCTGGTGAGACTGCAGAGCAGCCCTGCAAGTGCAGCCATGAGGCTCATTGATCTTGAAGCAACAGTAGTATGCTCCAATGGGCATATAGCCAGTTATACACTGGCAAATACGAGCAAACTCAGTGATGCTGTGTCCAAAGTATGAAAGCCAGGGACCTCTGTCAAGGTATGATTGGCTGAATCAGCTGCCTGTCAGGCTGTTGAAGCTCCAAGAATTTGGAACCCCAGTAGGTTGGATCCTGGAAAGTGGAACTCCACGAGTCCAGGACTGAGTGCGCAGCTTGAGAGCATGGCACATCTATGGAATTGTCTGTCTTACGATGTCCAATCCTGACTTTAAGTTCGGTGACATACTTGTGCACCTTGCCATGAATATCCCAATGCAAAGCAGATGGAATGCCAAAGTTGCCTGATACTGGTTAGACCGAGGGATAGAGCCATCAGCTGCAGCCAGTACTGTTAGTGGATCAGCCCTCGCAATTGCGATGAGCTCATCAAGATATGGGCACCTATCCTAAGTAGAATCATGCTCATCAAAGCAGAGACGGTCTGCATAGTGGTCCAGTAGCCGATCACCAGGGCGAGCTTCAGATGCAAAGGGCTTGAAGCTCTCAGTTAAGGTGTGGACATATTTGTCCACCTCTATGACAGTGCTCCTGACTTTCCCCCACATGGTGGGAGTCATCAAGGTGGCAGAGTGGGCGTGGGGTTCAGCCCGTTTGAGAAGTCTCTTGCCCATCATGGAGCAAAGAGGGTGGGTGTCTGAGAGGGTGGCGATGCAGTACACAGCGTGCATTGCCAGCTTCTTCAGCATGAGATGGATGTGGATGAGGCCTGCAAGGGCTTCAAGACTGCCTGTTGGTGAGGTGTGGAAAGCACCTGTGATCCATAGAGCAGCTTTTTGCTGCATCCGTTTGAGCTGGTTAATGGTGCCTTTGTTGCAGGCACCATTAAAATACCAGAGACAATATCTGTACGTGGCAATAGGTACCACACATGATCTATAGAGGAGGTGTCGCTGCCTAGGTGAGAGACCTCTGGTGGAGTTCCCGAGCATGCGCATGACTTGCACAGTAGTGAATGCCTTGGTGGCATAATAACAAACGTGCTCATGGAACGTGAGCCTGCGGTCAAAGTAGAAGCCCAAGTACTGCCAATAGATCTTGGGCTTCAAAGGCATAGCACCAGTATATGGGGCGTACCCCAAATCCAGCAAAGGGTTGTATGTGTCATGCCCATGTGAGAAGTGGAACAACTCGGTCTTGTCATGTTCAAGAACAAGTGTGAATGCAACAAAGAGAAGGTATATAATCTTATAGGCCTTACGCCAGCCCACATTGTTATCATTGAGTTGTTTGGACTGGGCTAGAATGGTCCCATTGTCCACAAAAGACAGGAGCGTCATGTTTAGCAGCGCAGCTTTGATGCAAAAGAGCTTCATTACTAGAGCAATGAAAAGCCCTGAAATGACAGGTGAGAGTGCTGAGCCCTGCCTGACACCCACACCCACAGACCAAAAGTCAGATTGGAAGATGTTCCAGCAATATACTGTAGAGTGCCCAACCAGATAAGAAGCAAAGAAATCCACCAAAATCAGCAAAAACCCTTGTTTGCGCAGGACAGCTATGAACATTTCATGGTTGATAGAAGGGAAGAACTGCGTGATATCAAAAGCCAGCGCGCTAGTCTGGAGACCCTTTACCCACCCCACTTGCACAAGATGGGTAAGAATCAATCCAGCATCCTCAGTCGACCTTTGGTGAATGCCGCCAAGCTGGTTTGGGTGAAAGATATCATGCTTGATGGCATCAAACTGTATCCTGTTTGCAATCATCTTCTTCATAAGTTTACCAAAAGTGATGAGGAGTATGATAGGCCTGAAAACAGAGGTGGTTGTTGTTGATTTGTGGAGGCTGTCATCAAGTCGCACAACATGACAATGAACTGGTGGGGTGGAGTAAATAATGGAAGGAGGTATTAAAGTCAGTGACACACCATGCTGGGTCTTCTGCTGCTTGGCTCTCCCTTGTGGTTCTTCTCTCTATCCAGCTCTGCCATAATCCTCATTAGAGGACATGGACATGGAGATGTTGGGTCTGACATTGATCTGTGGAGGCGGTCATTGAATTGTTGGAGCTGACATTGAGTTGTGGATGGCAGATGTTGAGCCATGAGGGAGCAGCTTCCAGTTACCATGGCTGATGTTGAATCAGCAGGCCAGCATCAAGTAGTAGGGAGATGTGGCCAGCAATGAGACATGGGGTCTATTATCATCTTTTGTGATGCAACAGAGAACTAGCAGGTGAGTAAGGAAGAGTGGAAGGAGAGTTAGTCAGTCACTCACTGTGTTGGACATTCAGTCTCCAGCTACTCAGATCTCCAGCTACTTGGGTCTCTCTTTGTTTTTCTCCTCCTCTATTCAGCCCTTCAAAATGTGCTCTAACTTCATTAGAAGGCACAGGTGCATGGTGTAGGTATCTATAGTAGAAGAGGAAGAGGAGGAATGGTGATAGTAGCAGCAGAAGAAAGAAAGTGATAATGTAGCACACGATTATGGCCAGCACAGGTCACCTGATCACTTACCTCTATAGAAATCTGTCCACAAATGAAATAGTATTCACATACTCTACATTATATTTATGGGTACTGTATTTTTCTCCTGTATTTTACATCAATTACACAAGTATTCTTGAGGCCAGACCTCCACTTCTCGATGTTAAGTTTGAGTGTGAATCCATTGGATATACATTCAAATTCATCAATCTTCCATTGCTTATCAGCCACTTTAGCATGTTATTCAGCTGCTTTCTGCCTCAAGTAAGCTGCTTGTCATTGACGAAAGCTTCAATCTATCTTTAGACCATTGATTTGGTGGACTTCACAACAGAGAAATCATTGGTGATACATGAGAGTGAGTACCTTCTTTATGTATCCTCTCATGAACCATCTCACAAGAGTCCTTCATGACAACCTCCTTGGACTTTAGGTTTACAGTTCTGTCTACTCCGTGAGCTTTGAGTGCCTTTTTAACAGCCTTTGTAGTCTGAGCAGGTGTTGGCTTGTGTTGTCTCTGTGCTGCATCCTTTAGGCTTTGGTTGAGTTCCCAAGAACTGTCCTATGTTTTCTTTGCATGCTGAACTTCCTTGGTGTGGTTCTTCAGTCTTCTAGCAACTTCCTCCAGCTTTGCTGTTAGCTTTTGAAGCTGCTGCTTGAGGATGGGGAGTGTTCTGTTTGATTTTTGGTTTCCAGGTGAGTTGGCATCTTTATTGCCATGTTCTGCTTTCCTTGCTGCATTCTGAGCATGGTAATTGTGTAGAGCATTAAGGGATTGTGCCTTCTGCATGGCAGAGCAGTGCAGGGGCATGGAATAGCCAGGGAGATGAATGAGACACATTTTACTGTGAGATGTGATGCAGTAAATGTGTTTTGTTGCAGTCACCTTCCTGTTTTAGCACACTATCAGCCCCTGAATTGGGTGTCACTCTCCTCGAGTGCATCATCAATTTAACATGTTTCGTCAGGCCATTCTGACACTCAAATTTGTACTGGGTTTTAAAGAGAACTTGTATGCCATCAAATCCTTAGACTTAAAATTTTTATACTGGTCCTAGTTCTTGTGATACTGTATACTGTGCAATGTGTTTTATATATTTGAGGACTCGTTCCAAAAATGTAAAATCAAGGATTTACTGTAAGACATATCTGAATCCCAAAATATTTTTTTTGAAAGTCTAGAGTGGGTGTGGAAAGCAACACATTTATGGAACACCTCTCTCTCTGCGAGAGTTGGAGTTTGAATTTGGTGGGGATTGCAGGTCCCCAGTCATAGCTGTCAAACTCTACTTATATGACCTAGCAAGTCACATATTCTTCTACTACAGAAACAGTGTCTCTATATCTCTGCAACTGCTGCAGCTACAGCTCTGAAATTCTATACAGCATGAGGCAATGTTCAGAGAAGATTATATAAAAAATTTGAGGGCTTCAGGGATGCTGTGGCATGAGATATTACATATTTTTAATGCAAAAAACCCACACCTCTATATCTCAACACATACTGATGCTACAGGTCTATAACTCTGAAGCTATTATCAATCATATTATATCTACCTCTGTACCAACTTTCAGATTTTTTGATACTCTGGGTGCCAAGATATTGCAATATGCCCACTTTGGGGGCTTTGGTGCAAACTGGTAATTTAAATATGCAGCCATGAATAATGAATGTGCATCTATGAACTCTACATTTACTAAAGACCCTCTGTATCCTACATAATGTTGCCAAGGTGTTCCAGTGCTCTGGTCCTTGCCAGGGGTAGAGATTTGCATCTGTATCAGCTGTAAAAATATAGAAATTCTAGGTAGTTTTCTAACTCTATGTCTACATTTGGGAGGGCAATATCCTACCTTCTGCTTTGGGAAGAGGGTATATAATGAGATTTTTGATAATGATTTCTTTTTGGAAAAAAAATATCTGGGTTTATAGAGCACTCTTTCATGACCCTGAATCAAGTTGTTTGATGGCATCAGCTGCTCTCATTGGCAAGAAAAATGTGAATTACTGAAAAAATGGCTTGCATTTTGCAAATTTTGTGATTATTTGGCTTATATCTTGTTGTTGATAGAGCCAAATTGGTTGTGCTGATAGTGGCAGGGTCACCTAGGCCTAGAGTTTCTATTTCAACCATTTCTTTCTAAAAATAAAATTTCTCATGGTCATATGACCTGCTATTTTTGCATTTTTGGCACCCCTAGTCTCTGTCTAGATAGAGCAAAAGAGAACTTGAGCAAATTTTTGCAAAGTCCAACTTGTTACATGTGACTCTGATGTTGATGGCATCAGCAAACTTGATGGCTTTATTGCTCTTCATTAATGCCAAGTCTGGGCCTGGGAATCATGTATTTATTAATTGTTTCCTTTTGAAGCTATAATATTAAAGTTTCAGAGACTGACCCTAAAGGAAAAGGCACATAAACAGTCACATGATCAGCTATCAGTCTTGGCATCAGTCACATCTCACATGCTGGGCACTCATTAACCCCTCTGTGGTAATAGGAGAGCTTTCTCAAAATAGAAGGTAGAATATTACCCTCCTAGACATAGACTTGAAGTTCAGCCATGTCTGCTAGAAATCTATATCAGATCTTGTATTTAAACAAGGTATCCTTATATATCAGGACTGTAGTTGAACAGTCCACCTATGGAGAGTGGCCTTGCCAGATGTGCTGGAGCTCGCAGCTGTGGGCAGGGCATGTCAATATATGCAAACAATACAGGAAACAGTGCCCAAACACTGTTCCTCATCATTTGGGGTGCTCCTGCACCCGTTTTTAGCAGGGAAAAGGCATCACCAATAAGGAAACATATTTCCTCATTGTTGTGCACCATTTCCCCCACTGTCAGGGGGGTGGGATGGGCTGGATTGGGGGGGGGATTTTGGATAACAGTGTTTCTTTGGGTGTTGTCTATTTTTAGAAACTGTCATGTCCAGTTCTGGTGAGCTCGGACATACTCAGAGCACTCCAAAAAATGAGGAAAAAATCATTTTAAATTGGAATAAAATAAGTACACTACATGGGTGGCTCTACCAGCCACCTGCTGTAAGATAGAAAGAAAGAGAGCAGAAACAGTGTGCCATGAGCATGCTGTTACCACCTGTAGGACCTGCTGGCCATCTTCGGTGGCCCTACCTGCCACCGTCCCCTTTGTGCTCATTTTGCTGCCGTCCTTGTGTTCATGTTGCCACCGCTGTTGTGCTCATGTTGCCATTGTGTTTGTGTTGCCACTGCTGTCATGCTTGTGAAGCCGTCGTCATTGTGCTTGTGCTGCATACTGCTGGATTGCACCACTATGCTCAAGCATTCTTGCGGTGTGTTCTTCTTTGCACTATTCTTGTGGTGTTGGTGTACTTACGCTATCCTCACACCACCACATCCTCGCTGTCCTCACCCCATTGTCGCCCTGGCACTGCTGTCGCTATTGCCCCGCTACCGCTGTCCTCAGCCTGCTGTTGTCCTCTGTCATCATCCTTGTGCTCTGGGGATCGTGTCATGTTCGTCGTCGCCTTGTTCAGGGCGATGTGGTGTTGGAGTAGCTGGCGGAGGGTGTGTCAGGTGTGTGTGATGAACCCTCAGTCAGGCTGACAGCCCAGTCTTGTCATCTAGTGATATATATCAGATTGGACTACTACCCAGTATCTATTATACATCAGGATGGGTAGTAGCCTGTTGGGCAATTGCCCAAGACGTTCTATAACAACATAGAGAGATGTCGTCATTGTAGGAGAGGGATGTGACTGATGCCAAGACTGATGGCAGGTCATGTGACTTTTTATTTGCCTTTTCCTTCAGGGTCAGCCTCCAAAACTTTGATATTATGGCCTCAAAGGGAAACAATTAATAAATACATGATTCCCAGGCCCAGACTTGGCATTGATGAAGAGCAATAAAGCCATCAAGTTTGCTGATGCCATCAACATCAAAGTCACATGTAACAGGTGGGACTTTGCAAAAATTTGCTCAAGTCCCCTTCTGCTATATCTAGACAGGGACAAGGGGTGCCAAAAAAGTGAAATTGAGTGGTTATGTGACCATGAGAAATTTCCTTTTTGGAAAGAAATGATTGGAATTGAAACCCTGGGCCTAGGTGACCCTGCCACCATCAGCACAACCTATTTGGCTCTATCAACAACAAGATATAAGCCAAACAATCACAAAATTTGCAAAAGACAACCCATTTTTTCAGTAATTCACATTTTTCTCACCAACCAGAGCAGCTGATGGCATCAAACAACTTGATTCAGAGTCATCCAAAGGTGCTCCATGAACCCAGATACTTTTTTCCCAAAAAGGAATGATTATTAATTATCTCATTATGTCCTCTATATGCTGGGCTTGGGCAGTTCCCCACAGGGCTACTACCCATCCTGATGTATAATAGATACTGGGTAGTAGTCCAATTTGATACATATCACTGGTCACTACAGGTGGTCCATCTCACCCTCGTCCTTGCCCACCTATGCCATCATTCATCGCTTCTGGCACCCACATCCCTGTTGAGGGGGAGGAGTGGGTGAAGGATGCGGAGAGGGAGAGAAGCAAGAGGCGGGAGCAAGAGGGCAAAGGGCAAGAGGGCAAGAGGGCAAAAAGGCAAGTGATGAGAGGGCAAGTGACGAGAGACGAGGTCAAGAGGTCAAGAGGGCAAGAAACGAGGTCAAGAGGGCGAGAGGGCAAGGGACAAGAGAAAGAGAGGGAGAGAGGGAGAGAGGGTGGTGAGAGGCAAGAGGAGAGGATGAGGGCTGAGGGGTGAGAAGCAAGAGGCAAGGGGTGGTTGGTGTGGGCAGCCAGAGGGTCCGAGCAGCTCCTAGTAGGGCTAAAATCTGAGATGCGGGTGATAGTGTGTCTCCTATCTGGAACAGCTGTTAAAGCAATTGTTGCCTATGTAACAGACTATGTAACAAAACCTAGACTGACGATCTATTCTGTATTTGATATGGTACGTCAAATCTACACTCATAATAGTGAGCTTATCAGTGGCTCACTGGACCGCCAAGAAATAGCAAGATCACTCATGACAAAGATGGTGAATCATTTAACAGCAAAAATGGAGATAGAAAGTCCTATGGCTTCTCTGTACCTGCTTCGAAATCCTGATCACTATACTCAGCACAAATTTGAGAATGTCTACTGGAAGGCTTATGTTCGAGAGGCGCGAAAGATATGGGAAGCAGAAGCAGAAGATGAGAAACAGGAGCAGGTCATCCTCAATAAAAACTTGGGCAAATATGTAGGTCTCTCCAAAGTCCAAGACTATATCTATCAGCCTACACAATACCAAGATATCAGCCTATATGAGTGGATTCAACGTGTCAAAAAGTCAAAGAGAACACCCAAGGAAAAGAAAGTGTTTCTTCAGAAATTATCATTTCAGGCATCAGATGATTTAGCTGGTTCTGAAAGTGAGGATGAGCTGAACATTGTAGACTCTGTAGGTGGTGGAAAATCCAATGAGACTGAGGATGAACTCAATATCATTGACAAGCCTTTGAATGAAAGTTGCAATGGAAAGAAATTTTCATTCCTCCCTCAACATCCACTGTATAAGACACATCAAGTGATGCTTGTGAAGGATGATCCTCTTGTAGTTCCAAATTTTCTAGGCAGAACACTTCCAAGAAGCAATCAAGGTGATCGTGAATATTATTGCTCAACAATGCTCACACTTTTCAAGCCTTGGCAGAGTGGATTGGATCTAAAGAATGCTACTCAGACCTGGGATAATATGGGAAAAAGTCGCAAGACGGATGACATCAAAAGCTATTGAGAAATGAGTCTAGAGCATGAGGAGAAATATCTGGAAATAATTGGAAATAATGATCATTGGGCTCTCTACAAGTTTTTCCTGCTCTTTCCAGGTGTTGGCCAGCTTATATCTCTGCTCCTGGTTGGAGATACTATCGAGTGCAATCTGTTACCTCCTGTCGAGGCTGAGGTCTGGGGAGCAGTTATTGCTGAAGTCAACTCAGGAGGAAAGTGTGGTCTGGTTCAACTGGAGCTCATCAACAAAGACTCTGCAAAAAAAGCAGACATACAGCTTGCATTTGCAGAACTCTTCAACTACATCTCAGACAAAATGCCTTGGCAGACTCAGTAATTGATCCGATTTGATGCAGTTTTGCTTGAGCATTCCTTATGTAAATGCGGACATCATGACAAATTGTAGGTGGTAAAGTAGTATTTTTTTTTTGTGAAATATATACAGAGTTTTTTTGTAGCAAGTTGAGCAATGAGAAAATAAGTGTGATGTCTAATTGCAAGGTCTAATGGAGAGCAGGTTGAACAGCAAGATGAGAGAAGATAAGAAAGAACAGGTTGATTGAACAACAGTACATAGATTAGAGAGTCAAAGGCAGAATTGCATCTAGGTAGTACCAACAGTTGCGCTATACAATGCTGCTCTCCGGACAGGTGCTAGCTGGGCAAAATCTCCAGCAAAAATCATATTCACTCCACCAAATGGAGAGTCATAATTGTCTCTTACCTTTGCAAGTTGAGAGCTAATCTTATATATGTCCATGCAAGATACCATTGAGACTTCATCAAGAAATATGTAGTCAGTACCATCAAGACAATCGCGAACTTGAGCTAGCAGCTTATGCTCATTCATTTTCCGGGTACCATCTGACTGAATACCAAGTGCAGAGTGATAAGTTGAACCATTTAATAATGCAGCTGCAGAGCCTGTTGGGGCTAAGATTAGTATTCGATGAGACTCCTTTCTCTTTGCAAAGAACAATATCAATGCTTTAATAACCTGAGACTTGCCTGTACCACCCATACCTCCAAGATACATCTTAAGCTGCTCAACTTTTCAGAGTGTAGCATGATTGGCTACTATACGAAATGCCTGCTCTTGCTCTTCATTCAAGGAGAATTCACTGATGGTCTCATCAATAAGGGTTTGCTCCTCAGCTTGCTTGGCTTTGAATTTCTTATCAATATAAGACATTGGAGAGACAACAACTTCATCTATGTATCCATCTCCAGCCTCAATGTCTTCAGACTTTGATGAACTGCTAGGAAGATGTTCATTCCTTTTACGAAGAATAAGCTGCTTAGCAGTTGCAACAATTATGTTCCACTTGGTACTCAGAATGATATCTTGGAGCTGGATGCTTGAAATATCAATTGGAGACAGATTTTTCAATTTGCTTAGCCAGCCTATATCTGTAATAACTTTCTGAATGTCAGCCATTTCCTTCTCACAATAGGAATCCTCATTGAGCAGGTCTGGCAGGAAATTGTCTTCATCAAAGTCAATGACTGGGCCATTGTCATTGTATTCCATTATTCCCTTGGTGTCATCAAGCTTGCACACTTCTTCATCAGTCATCCATGAGAACATGAGTCCAGTAGTCAAGGAATCCTTCTTTAGCTTAGCGCTGTAGTCATCTTGTGAGTCATTGCATTCATACCTAAGATTGAAGTTACCTATAATTTCTTTCTGACATGGAGAGAACTCATGCAAGTAGAAGGCATGGGGACCATAAGCTTTTTTATTGACAAGTTAATTCTCAGCGGAATCTTTTGTATAGCCTCCCTTGAGAAGATCATCATAGAATTGAAGCCAGTCATCATAGCAATCAAACCAACTGCTTGCATCTGCCAGTGCATAACTGGCCACACACCCATTGGAGTGTACTACCGTCACTTCAAGATCAGTGAGCCTCACGGCTGCACTTGCGGGGCTGCTCTGCAGTCCCATCAGCACTTCCTCTTTCGCTGTTGCGATAGATATTCTGTACACTATCCCCATTTTCTCGGGGATATTGCATCGTTTCTGAAGCACAACCCTATGGTGTTTGGCTTCGACCGAGACCCTTCAGGTGTCAGGTAATTGTTGCAGGCGGGGTTGTTCCTCCTTTCAGGGGATTTATGGTGAATTGACACCACCAAGCTCTAGGGTTCAAAGACCTGCGCCCGTGACAACTCTTTCATGCAGGCGGTCAACCTATCCTGGCTGATTGCAGCACTGCTAACTTTCTGCGTCTGGTTTCGGGCAGGCGCACCTTTGGCTTGTCGGCCTCAAGACACCCTGCCACCTCCTGGGTGGTGCTTTTCTTATTTCATTTGTGCTGCGTGGCCCCTGAACAGCAATCGACAACTTTGGGGTGTAGCAGAACCTCAATGGTTTCCTCCCCTTATCCTGATGCACCGTTTTTGCAAGGTGGGTTGCTCTCTGGGAAGCTTTGGCATATACACCAGAAGGGTCTTGGTTGGGGGGGCAGTTGTGCTTTAGTGCTTAACCCAGTAACTGGGCTGTGTAGCATATGTGTCTGTAGATAGCGAGTGGCCTGCCATCAAGCACCGCTATATAAATTGTTGATCAAAAAAAAAAAAAAAAAAAAAAAAGCAATCAAACCAACAGAGATTTGTTTTCCACCATTCAGTTCCATAGAAGACTCCACAGAAACATAGCATGTTGAATAGGCCAATATGCAATTTCAGCTTGTGACTGTTGCTAAATATAGCAATTTCTGCATGGACTATAGTAGGTGCAAGCTGATGGAATGGTGAGAAAAAATCTAGATTGGTTATAATGGACTTCAACAAGTTATCCTTGCCCTGGTGAATTTGTGCTGGAGTGCTGCTGACAATAGGAACTAGACACATAAGATACTGTAGAAAGAGTTCCATCTTTGCTTCTCAATGCTCTTGACTTGATGTCACTTCAGGTTGTGAGTCTTGGTGCCAATCAGAGATATATTGATCAAGATATTTGAGCAGAAGATGCTCAGGTGTTGATTTAACAAAAGCAGGATGCTGTTGAAAAGAGATTTCAAATTTTCGTACAGCATCTTCAATGTATCGAGCACTCTGGCATTGTATTGAGTTAGCTCCAGGCATAAGAAACACTGGAGCTTTAAAGTACACTGACCAAACTTCATCAAAATAGAACATGGATATACCACCCAAATGCACAATAATGTTGAGAAGCTCTCCTTGAACATAGCTGATATTCTTGTTTGGAACCTTCAACCAAGCTCGAACAGTTTTAAAGACGATATCTTTAATCTCAATGCTATAATCGTTCTTGCTGAAGCAGAATTGAGGCAGTTTAGTCATGTACTGCACATCGTTGGCACTAGACATAAAATCTTTGGCCTTGAGAACTAGCTCTGAAGGTCGATTGACAGGATTGTGGATGATCATAGTGATATGTTTGCTCAAATTTGCAACCCATGGTGCCATCTTGTGCCCATCTACTTCCAGAATGATGTTTTTCAGCCAAGTGTGGATTTTCCATGATGTATACATTATATGACTTTTCATCATCATGGTCTCCAGATTTGAAGTATGAGCTTGTTTGACAATATATTCAAAATCAGTCCAAAATGATGCCAGCTTCTTTGTGGTTGTCCAACTGTCAGGTTTCTCTGAAATGGCATGCAAAGTGTCGGCACAGATATTTCCAGTTGTTTGAGATTCCTTCTGTTGCTTTTCCTCTATACGAGCAGCAATACCATACTGAATATTCTCAATTATATCAACAATAGTATTGATGTTAATCAATGCAAAAGGGCCTGAACAATTTGAACTTAGTCAACAAATAGGAATATGAATTAATATTCCTTACCAGAATATGGTGTAGGACTGTCAGCATCCATGTTGACATGTGATAGGATATTTTCATGAGTTGAAGTTGACTGGAGACTTGTTTGGTGTCTCGTCCCACCTGCCTTATCCTGTCTTAATGCAAGAAGGCTATACTATTCTGCCATCTTATGGTGAGCGCTGGGCTGCTCTGGAACATTACCTGTCCACAGTAGCCAGTTCTCTACGACAACAGTATGGGCTCCCATCAATGCAGCCTCCATGTGTATGGACTCAGGGTTACAATCGCCACTTCAAATCATTTTACACCTCACAAAAGGCCATATCCACCTCAAGAGACTGGTTTAGAGTTTGGATAGGCTTTGTGTCCTATCTTGTTGCAATGGCGCAGTGGAAGGAAGTCTCAAAATCATCTTCATCTATTCCTTCTCTAGTTATCAACAACTGGTACCACCACCTCGTCAAAAAAGGTTTTTCAGAAGCTTGGCTACAGTCTCTGTATCAATCAATTGTTTGCACCTTTGAGCATATCATACCTCGAGCTGGTGTATTCATCTATCTTCCTCGAGAAGAATTACAACCCTCACCAGAATGGTTTCAGCAATTAGGTGTTCCAATCTGGTACGAATGGACAAACATCCACGCTTCAAATAAAGCGCTAGAGCCTTGGGCCCCTCCAGCAATTCTCCTACAAGAAGCCCACACTATTGTTTTCCAGGCCCCAAAATTTCAACAGAATTCAATTGATCTTTTTGACAATACAGAAATTTTCAAGTCCTCACAACCTTTCAACGTATTATGGAATGCATACCATGGCAGACAGGCCATATACAAGAAGGAACACCAGAAGCGAGAACAACCTTTAGATTGTCAAGTCTGTCTAGCCAGAGCTAATAATCCTCCCATTGAATTGGCAACAATTTACATTTGGGCTATGTATGAGGAGAATTGTTTTATTCGGACCTGCATTATTCCAGAGATGAGAAGAATTGCTTTCGACACCTTTTCCATCAAGGAAAAGATCTACAATGCCTTTGAAAATGCTTGGCATTGTAGCAAGCACTTCTCTCTTCCAGATCCTCCAAACGATTGCTCTTCTGCTGCTGCTCAAGAAGAATGGAATAAATTTTATTTGCATATCGACATTGAATCTGAAGAATCATACCTTCCTCAAGAAGCTCATAACCAGAATCTGACAACTTTGCAGAGTGCCGTCTTTATGAACGCCCATCCCTATTTTCCACTGGCTGAAGCACAAAATCTGGGAGCAGATAGGATGCAGAAAGAGATTCTTGACATAGCTTGGCTGTACTATGGATTTGTTCCACCACTTCTATCAACAAATTCTTCTCCATCTGGTCTGTGGTCAGAGAATAAGAAAAAGGAGTTTCTTCAGATGATTGGCATGTGCTACAATGATACTCTTTTTTTTTTTTTTTTTTTTTTTGATCAACAATTTCTATAGCGGTGCTCGATGGCAGCCCACTTGCTATCTACAGACACGTACGCTACACAACCCAGTTACTAAGTTGAGCACTAAAGCACGACCGCCCCCCAACCAAGACCCTTCTGGTGTATACACCAAAGCTTCCCAAAGGGCAACCCACCTCACGAAAACGGTGCATCGGGATAAGAGGAGGAGACCATCGAGGTCCTGCTACACCCCATCCTCATTGATCGCTGTTTGGAGGCCATGCAGCGCAAATGAAATAAAACAGCACCACCCAGGAGGTGGCAGGGTGTCTTGAGGCTGACAAGCCAGAGGTGTGCCTGCCCAAGACCAGATGCAGAGAGTTAGCGGTGCTGCAATCCACCTGTATCAGTTAGAAAAATATAGAATACAAGGCAGTTTCCTAACTATGAATTTAAGCCCTGGAGGGCAATATGCTACCTTCCGCTTTGGGAAGGCTCTCCTAATAAGAGGGAGGGGCTGCCAGGTGCCCAGCATCTGCAAGGGTGATGAGGAGGGGGTAAATAAATTAGTAAGCATCCATTTCCGGGGTGGGCAGGTGGTGGGAGGTGCAGGAGGGGGGGATAGGCCAAGCAGGACCCCAGGGCACTGCAGAGAACTGGTCATGTGACCTGTTTGCTCTGCAGCCTCAACCGGGGCCGTTTTTTGTGAAAAAAGTACCCAGGGCCAATGTGATAGCATGTTACTGTATGTCATAAGAAAATCAGGAGAATCTGGGATGTGGAATGTTGCGAAATGGCGCGTATGAGGTGTCACCCTAACTTGGTGCGCATTTATTTTTAGCACAAGCTGCTAAATTGGGATCTGGCATCAAAATAGCCATTGCTGGCGCATTTCAGGCTCGTTTGGCTTCCCCCTTGGTGGAAATTGATGGGAACGATGACGCGATAATTTTTAGGGCATTCATAGCTACCTGTAGACACCCAGAACGTGGGAATACGACCATTTTTGGTGATGTTATGGCCTAAACTGTGCTTCTATGCACAAAAATGCGAAAATGCGCACCTAATGCTCTGCTTCTCATGCATCCCTGCATCATAAAAACCAGCCAATAATTTAGTATGCTACTAGAGATTCAGAACGAGCCAATAATAGTGGTCTTGCATGAATTATTGGTTATGCAATGGGCCTTTCGATGTTTATGTGCTAAAAAACCGAAAAAGCGCACTCAAATCTCTATGCCACACATGTATCTATCCTTTCCAAATATTATGCGTTCAGATAGAGGCTATCAAAGGCTACAAAACGCGCTATTCAGCGTCTCCACGCGTTCATTTGTTCAAAAGATATACCCAAGACACTCCTCATCCCTCAATATCACAAAAAGCAAACTTCTGTATCTCCCCCAATTCTTATCCAAGACCTGTAGAGATTTTCAGTCAGTCTCACCCAGTGCCCTAGTCACTATTTACAATCACATAGCATGGTATACTCTCCCTTTTAATATAATATAAGCACCCCTTCCTCCTCCCCCTGAAAAGCCAGAAATGCGCCCTCCATTTACCATTCCCCAGGTTATTTATGTGAGCTGTAACATATATGCATATTAATAGTAGCCATATAGGTACCTCCATGCAAGAATGCAGGAGTTAATAATGCCAAATGCACTTGCAGTGGCCAATTTCGAGTTTTCTACCTATAATCACCTTGTTTGCCCCATGGGATGCCCAATTCTTCACCAATCTTCAAGAAGAAACATGTCCCAGAATCGGAACAATCTCCTCTTTAAATTCCGAACACTCAAGGATCGCCATTCCGTTACCAAAGACACTTCCTCCTTCTTGTCTAGGAGATTCCCACAATGTTGATGGTGGACATGGCATCCTTCTGGCATGTCCTCTAGTGCCCAAAATCTCCTCGGATAGCTCGGAATACTTACTATTCTACTGTTAGAGTGATATAAAAAAAGTCCGACACAAGTTGAATAAGAACTGAATATGTTATTCATGCAACTGTCCTTCTGCCTTCTCAATTGCCCTCTCCAAGATTCTACCTCGGATTGGAGGTATAGTCCTTGCTCTGAAATTTTGTAAAAATATGTTTAAAATAGATATTATAGATGTGTGTAAAAGCTCTGACCTGTGAGCAATGATACTACCTCCAGTTTCCGGGGTGAACACATTTGACAAACTAGGCAATACGGTGATCACCACTCCTCACCAGTCTGTTTGAGGTTCATTTCAGACCTTCTGCCTTCCACAATGACCCAATTACAATAGAACTTTTTGAGGACACTTAGAAGTAGTCAGTAGAATGTCTCTGCATTGTCTGATTAATTATATATATCCTTGATCTCCTTAAAAGTGGCAATCAGTTCATCTCGGAGGTGTTGGAATTTGAAGAGGAGATCGTTCCGATCCTGGGACATGTTTCTTCTTGAAGATTGGTGAAGAATTGGGCATCCCATGGGGCAAACAAGGTGATTATAGGTAGAAAACCCGAAATTGGCCACTGCAAGTGCATTTGGCATTATTAACTCCTGTATTCTTGCATGGAGGTACCTATATGGCTACTATTAATATGCATATATGTTACAGCTCGCATAAATAGCCTGGGGAATGGGAAATGGAGGGCGCATTTCTGGCTTTTCAGGGGGAGGAGGAAGGGGTGCTTATATTATATTAAAAGGGAGTCTATACCATGCTATGTGATTGTAAATAGTGACTAGGGCACTGGGTGAGACTGACTGAAAAGTTCTACAGGTCTTGGATAAGAATTGGGGGAGATACAGAAGTTCGCTTTGTGTGATATTGAGGGATGAGGAGTGTTGTAGGTATATCTTTGGAACAAATGAACGCGTGGAGACGCTGAATAGCGCGTTTTGTAGCCTTTGATAACCTCTATCTGAACGCATAATGTTTTGGAAGGATAGATACATGTGTGGCATAGAGATCTGAGTGCGCTTTTTCGGTTTTTTAGCACATAAACATCGAAAGGCCCATTGCATAACCAATAATGCATGCAAGGCCATTATTATTGGCTCGTTCTAAAGCTCTAGTAGCATACTAAATTATCGGCTAGTTTTTATAAGTCAGGGATGCATGAGAGGCAGAGCATTAGGTGCGCATTTTCGCATTTTTGTGCATAGAAACACAGTTTAGGCCATAACATCGCCAAAAATGGTCGTATTCCCATGTTCTGGGTGCCTACAGGTAGCTATCAGTTCCCTCAAAATTATCGCGTCATCGTTCCCATCAATTTCCACCCAGGGGGAAGCCAAACGAGCCCGAAATGCGCCAGCAATGGCTATTTTGATGCCAGATCCCAATTTAGCAGCTTGTGCTAAAAATAAACATGCGCCAAGTTAAGGTGACACCTCATACGCACCGTTTTGCAACATTCCACATCCCAGATTCTCCTGATTTTTTTATGACATACAGTAACATACTATCACATTGGCCCTGGGCACTTTTTTCACAAAAAACGGCCCCAGTTGAGGCTGCAGAGCAAACAGGTCACATGACCAGTTCTCTGCAGTGCCCCAGGGTCCTGTTTGGCCTATCCCGCCCCCCCTCCTGCACCTCCCACCACCTGCCCACCCCGGAAATGGATGCTTACTAATTTATTTACCCCCTCCTCATCACCCTTGCAGATGCTGGGCACCGGCAACCCCTCCCTCTTATTAGGAGAGCCTTCCCAAAGCAGAAGTTAGCATATTGCCCTCCAGGGCTTAAATTCATAGTTAGGAAACTGCCTTGTATTCTATATTTTTCTAACTGATACAGGTGTTCCTAGAGCTTCAACAGCCTGACGGGCGGCCACTACAGCCATCGTACCTCAATGGGGGACCTTGGATTTCAACCTTCGGACACAGTATTACTGAGTTTGCTCATATTTGCTGGTGTATAACTGGCCACACGCCCATTGGAGCGTACTATTGTTGCTTCAAGATCAATGAGCCTCATGGCTGCACTTGTGGGGCTGCTCTGCAGTCTCGCCAGCACATCCTTTTTCACTGCTGTGATAGATATTCTGTACACTATCCCCATTTCCTCAGGGATATTGCATCGTTTATGAAGTACAACCCTACTGCATTTGGCTTCACCCAGGACCCTTCAGGGGTCGGATAATCGCCTCGGCTGGGGTTATTCCTCCTTTTGGAGGATTTATGGTGAATTGACACCCTCGGACCTTAGGGTTCGGAGACCTGCACCCACCGCTATTTCTTCACACTCACGGCTGCTATTATAGCGGGTCGCGGCGCTGCTAACTTTCTGCGTCTGGTTTCGGGCAGGCGCATCTCTGGCTTGTCGGCCTCAAGACACCCTGCCACCTCCCGGGTGGTGCTGTTTTATCTCATTTGCGCTGCGTGGCCTCCGAACAGCGTCGATGGCTCTGGGGTTTAGCGGGGCCTCGATGGTCTCTTCCCCTTATCCTGTGTCACCGTTTTCATGAGGTGGGTCTGGCTTTGTGGGAGTTTAGGTGTTTGAGCCACAAGGCTCGTGGTTGGGGGGGCGGACGTCTTTTAGTAGTTTACCTAGTACCCAGGCCGCGTAGCGTACATGTTTGTAGATAGCGAGCGGGCTGCCATCGAGCACCACTATATAAATTGTTGATTAAAAAAAAAAAAAAAACTCAGTTGACCTTTGGTTTGGGTGGAAGATATCATGTTTGACAGCGTCAAACTGTATCCTATTCGCTATCATCTGTTCAATAAGCTTACTGAAAGTGATGAGGAGTACGATGGGCCTGAAAGCCTTCAGCACTGCATAGGAGGGCTTGTTTGGTTTCAGAACGATAACCAATAGCGACTCCTTGAATATATGCAGCCAGTAGCCTACCTGAAGGCAAGCATTGGCCAACATGATGAAGAGCACAAGGACGTGTTTATCCTTGAGCAACTCCTTTAGGTGGACCCATGTAACATGGTCTGGTCCTGGTGCAGAGGAATTAGAGCACCGCTTAAGGGCACCCCACAACTCATGCTCCGAAAAGTCAGCCCACTCATGGACTAGCTCATCAGGAAGCTCATCTAAAACAGAAGTGTCGTACTTGCGACCCGAGGCCGAGTTGTACATGCTGTGAAGGGTGTCCCAGAGGTCGTCCATATCATGACAAGGCTGGCCACCATCACGAATAGCCTCACAGGGTGGTAGCTTGCGCTGTTTGACCCATTCCATTAGGTCCCATGGATGCTTGCGAGAGGTGGCGATCTCTGTGATGCATTCATCAAAGAAGTCACATTTGGCGTCCTTGCATGCCTTCTTGAATTTGTTGCAATCAGCTAGCAAGTGGCTCAGCTGGTACACTCCAAATGTCTCCAAGCACTCATCTGTCCACCAGGACTTGGAACACTTGGTAGGTTTGGACTCGGTCAAATGGGCAAGCCAAGTGTCCAAGAACGCTGTCACAATAGCATCGGCTAAAGCTTCAACACCTTCCTTGGTAGCCAGGGCTGCGACAGGAATAGCCACAAGATCCCGGAGGATGTCCAAAATGAAAGACTTCTCAGCCTCACTTCCAGGTTTAATTGTCCGTCACCCAGATCCAGGCATCGGGATTTTTTTTTTTTTTTTTTTTTTTGAATCACCAATTTATATAGCGGTGCTCAATGGCAGCCTGCTCACTATCTACAAACATGTACGCTGCACGGCCTGGGTACTAAGTTAACTACTAAAAGACGACCGCCCCCCCAACCAAGACCCTTTGGGCTCAAATGCTGAAACTCCCCAGAGGGCAACCCACCTTGCAAAAGTGGTGCATTGGGATAAGGGGAGGAAACCATTGAGGTTCTGCTATGCCCCAAAGTTGTTGATTGCTGTTTGGAGGCCATGCAGTGCAAATGAGATAAGACCAGCACCACCCGGGAGGTGGCAGGGTGTCTTGAGGCTGACAAGCCAAAGATGTGCCTGCCCGAAACCAGACGCAGAAGGTTAGCAGCACCGCAACCCGCTATAATAGCAGACCACAAGCGCGCAAGAGTTGTTGCGGGCACAGGTCTCTGAACCCTAAGGTTTGAGGGTGTCAATTCACCAATAAATCCTCCAAAAGGAGGAATAACCCCACCCGCAGCGATTATCTGACACCCGAGGGGTCCCAGTTGAAGCCAAACACCATAGGGTTGTGCTAAAAAACGATGCAATATCCCTGAGAAAGCAGGGATAGTGTACAGAATATCTATCGTGACAGTGAAAGAGGATGTGCTGGTGAGACTGCAGAGCAGCCCCACAAGTGCAGCCATGAGGCTCATTATGAGTTCTTATGTAAGTAAGACTCGTTCTTTCAACCTGGGATGCAGAGATCATTTTACTTTCCCATGTTATGGTCATCCATGCTTTTTTTCCCACAGTAAGTATTACATTGATGGCATAGCTACATTTTCAATAGTTCACTACATTTTTACTGGCTATTGTAGTAATGCCCTTCTTGCCCCTGCAAAATCAAAATCACCAACCTCCCTTGCTCACTGCAGCCCTCTCTCGCCCTTCCAACCTAACCCCCAGCACCATCCAACAACAGCCCTGGTGCCCAAACAATCCTGGACTTCACAGTTCAGCACCATTCACGCTTGTTCAGCCACCACTGCCTGCCCCTCTTGCCCCATGACCACCTGCTTGCCCTCCTCACCCTCTGCCTCTCACCCCTCCCAACGGGCCTCAAAAACAAAGAACGATGGCAAACCAACATGCCCCTTCTTGCCCTTACCCCCTTGCTCTCAACTTCTGCCACCACCCCCCCTTCTTGCCCCTCCAACACCCCTCACCCATCCCAACGGCCTTCAAGGATGCCGAATGACACCGAACACAGAGGTTGGGTGATGTTTGCGCTCATTCTGTGTCCTGCCTGCCTGCCCACCTAGCACCGCCCGCCTCTTGCTTTCCACCCCCACTACTGCCCCTTCTCACCCCTCTGACACCCCTCACCTGTTCCAATGGCTGCCAAATACAAGGAATGATGCCAAACACAGAGGTTTGGTGGTGTTCGCACCAGTTCTCCATCCTGCCTGCCCCATCTTGCCCTCCTACCCTCGCTCTCACCTTCCAACACCACCACCCCCTCCAACATCCCTCGCCCATCCAAACAGCCCCCAAAGACGACGAACGACACTGAACACAGAGGTTGGGTGTTGTTTGCACTCATTCTCTGTCCTGCCCACCTGCCCATCTAGCACTGCCCACCTCTCACCTTCCACCCCCACCACTGCTACTTCTCATCCTTCCAACAGCCCTCGCCCATCCAAATGGCCCCTGAAGAGCCCCGATGACAGCGAACAACACTGAAGCTCTCATCCTCTAAAAAAGTTCACTTTCAGAACATCATGAAATAGAATAGATATATATTGAGAATAATTATGTGAAATACATGTTCCAGGAAGCAAAGGCCAAGTCATGAGTATGAATGAGAGAACACCATTGTTGAGTCACAGAGGTGGTTGTTGTTGACTTGTGGAGGCTGCCATCAAGTCGCACAACATGATGATGAACTGGTGGGGTAGAGTAAGTAATGGAAGGAGGGATTAGGGTTGGTGACACACTATGCTGGGTCTCCCACTGCTCAGGTCTCCCTTGTGGTTGTTCTCTCCATCCAGCTCTTCCATAACCCTCATTGGAGGGCATGGCCATGGAGATGTTGGACCTGACATGTAGCAGCAGAAGAAAGAAAGTGATGATGTAGCACACGATTATGGCCAGCACAAGTCACCTGATCACTTACCTCTATAGGAATGTTACTGTATACAAATGACATAGTATTCACATACTCTACATTATATTTATGGGTACTGTATTTTTCTCCTGTATTTTACATTAATTACACAAGTTATTTCATGAGAATTGAATAAGAATTGACAGAGATATAGAATTTGCAAGATGAGGTGGAGCGGCTGTGGTGGCTTTGTTTGTTTAGCCAAACATATGACACACGAAAACTCTCCAGAAGTAGGGCTCGGACCGCCAAAAAGGATGGTTCGTCATGGTGTGATGCGGACGCCCCAAACGAGCGAGCCGCGTTGGCGACCCGTGGGGGCTCAGCCCACAGAGGGCACGAGGTGGGTGCGAGACGGGCTGGCTCCCCATCACTCAAACCAAGGCCGCGTGGGCCTGATGTGGTGCACGAGCGCTGAGCGTGCGTGTCGCCGAGGGGAAATGAGGAAAGGAAGGGGAGAAGAATAAGGAAGGAATAGAAAATGTAAATGACTTACCTAAATTTTGATACCATATTGACAATGAAGGGGTGCATTGTGCTGTTCTTGAAATGGGGTGTGTTGGTGGGAGAGGAAGAGAGGAAAGCTAGGATGACTTGATGTGTATAGATATTGTGTCCTTGACATGCACGCGTTGTAATTTACGTACGTTGATCCGAACTGGGAGCCTGAGCCAACGAGGTGAGCTGCCATGCCAGTGTGACACTTGCAGGGAAGCCGCTCGAAAAACCGTCTTTGATGAACTGGCCATCAATTTCCGAAGCCGTCATGGGCCACAAAAAGGACGGTTGGTCAAAAAAAGGACAGTCGGGGCACGTCTTTTCATCAAATTTTAACTATATCTGGACTGACAACCAACGGTTCATCAAATAAAAGATGGTCTCCAACCATCAAAAGACATTTTCGCTAGTCGGATCGTGCATTTATGTATTTACAGAGCGTTCTAAATAAAGCTATTATGTATGTAATTCTAGGCCTCAAGCCCCCTCGGCTGCAGCACGAGCCGCTGTGCGTCGGGCCTTGCTGATGGCAATGCGCTCCTCCTTTGTCTTGTAGGAGTACGTGCAAATAATGTTGCTTGCCTAATATTTATGCCACGGGTGTGATTAGCCTGAGTACCACATATGAAGACTGGGTATTGACGTACCCAACGGAGGACCGCCTCATGGTCTTCTTGGCTTCCTGGTGCGTGTGTTGGCAGCGGCGGTGGGGTGCACGCTGCACGGACAGGAGGGGCTGGGGCTGGGGCGGGTCCCACTTTTTTTGCAGCGCCCTGACGGAAGGCAGGACCGTGCCGAGCGCCGAGCGCGTAGCCGCACAGGAACGCGACGACGAGCACGAGCGCGTAGGCGCCCGTGGCAGTGGAGACGCCCATGATAGGGGCCAATCATCCCAACAGGGATGTGTGCCAGCCGTTGTTGTGCAGGCCGTCGATGGCCTGTGAGACAGCCGGAGGGACTGCCGACCTAGGGAAAAAAAGAAGGGCATGTCAGCATGTGTCAGCCATCCCAGAGCGATAGAGGGCGCGGGAGACGAAGGGCCCCGAGACAAACACACGCAATGCAGGGTGACAGAGGGGAAGACAGTACCCCGGCCCAGACATGCCGGTGGCTGTGCCGAACCGTCCACGAGCCGTGATGGATCAGATCACGTGTGTGATCGGACCGTCATTCTGCCGAGAGAAGTTTTCGTGCATCATAGCTGTCAAACTCTGCTCACATGACCTACCAAGTCACATGTTCTTCTACTACAGAAACAGTGTCTCTATATCTCTGCAACAGCTGCAGCTACAGCTCTGAAATTTTATACACCATGAGGCAATGTTCAGAGAAGCTTACATAAGAGATTTCAGATCTTCAGGGGTGCTGTGGCATGAGATAGTATATGTTTTAAATGCAGAAAACCCGCACCTCTATATCTCAACACCAACTAATGCTACAGGTCTATAATTTTGAGGCCAACATCACCTATATTATATCTACTTGTGTACGAAGTTTCAGGTCTGTTGATGGTCTTGATGCCAAGATATTGCGATATGCGCATTGTTTTAAATGCAAAAAACCCGCACCTCTATATCTCAACAGCTACAGATGCTACAAATCTATAATTTTGAGGCTATTATAAACCATATTACGGCTACCAGTGTACCAATTTTCAGCTCCGTTGATTGTCTGGATGCCAAGATATTGCAATATGCACATTGTTTTAATGCAAAAAACCTGCACCTCTATATCTCAACACCTACTGATGCTACAGGTCTATAAACTTGAGGCTATTATCAACCATATTAGATATACATCTGTACCAACTTTAAGGTCTGTCAATAGTCTGACTGCCAAGATATTGCAATATGCGCATTTTTGGGTTTTTTGGTGCAAACCAGTAATTTAAATATGCAGCCATGAATAATGAATGTACATCTATGAACTCTACATTCTCTAATAACCCTCTGTATCCTACATAATGCTGCCAAGGTGTTCCAGTGCTCTGGTCCTTGCCAGGGGTAGAGATTTGAGTGCACATTTTCAGCTATTTTTAGAAATCAGCACTATTTAGTCAATTGTGCACACAATTCTGTGCACAATACTGATATTTTGGGACCAATATAACTGAACATTATGACTACTCATTAATGAAGATTTTTTTTAGCTAGGGGATGTCTGGGAGAGAGGCCAGTGAAGCCACATTTTCATATTTTTAGGGGTGTGCAGCATTAATTTGACTGTAGATCTACCAAATCCTGGAATTTTCTCATGTTCAAGACCTCTACTGAGAGTTATGAATATTTCATGACTTATGATATTTTTAAATTAAAATTAAAATGGCCCAGAAATAATTGAAATATGCCAGCATTTGTCACAACCCATCCCCTGCTCCTGGCTCAATTATGCAACTTCCAAGGCTGTTATCTGGCTTCTGAGGCTCATGGTATTGAGCTGTGCACTTTCAGATGCTTCTTAGACATCCAGGAATGAGCTCTGAGCTTCCAGAATGCTTCCAACATGTGCCATCTCTAGCTCACCCCATTTTTTTTTTTTTTTTATTCAACAATCTATATAGCAGTGCTCGATGGCAGCCCACTCGCTATCTACAAACACGTATGCTACGTGGCCTGGGTACTAGATAAACTACTAAAAGACATTCGCCCCCCCAACCACAAGCCTTGTGGCTCAAACGCCAAAACTCCCACAAAGCCAGACCCACCTCACGAAAACAGTGACACAGGATAAGGGGAAGAGACCATCGAGGCCCTGCTAAACCCCAAAGCTGTTGGACGCTGTTCAGAGGCCATGCAGCGCAAATGAGATAAGAATTGCACCACCTGGGAGGTGGCAGGGTGTCTTAAGGCCAACAAGCCAGAGAAGCGCCAAAAAACCTCTTCTCTTGAACGCCCACTTGTCAACAAGTGTAAACAACCAGCTCATTGTCTCTTTTGTCGTCCAACGCTTTATCGCCTTGTCAGACCTCATCGCCTGATCGTTCATACCGCACCAGCAACACATGTCCGACCTCCCACTGAGAGGTCAGGGCGCGAGGCCCCCTGGGGCGGTTCCTAGGAGCTGTCATGGGGGGGACTCAGGTTCCACACCACCAGCTATACCACCATCGGTCGCTGGCACATTGTCTTTTGGCGGTGACACCTCGCCAATCTCGCCAGACCCTACCTCGACTAGGGCCACATACTCGACTGTTGTGCCATCTCGATCCCGCCACATGTTGCCCCGCCGCAGGTCCCGTTCCACCATGGGTTCCGCCCATTCGTCTGCAAATGAGTCTGACTCAGGGACGGCCCACCCCCAGGAGATGGAGGTTGAGGGCACTCAGGGAGGGGAGGAGGTCTCGAGGGACCCCTCCGTCGACCTTCTTCTAGGTCAATACGCCTTGAAGTTCTGAGACACAGTCAAGGATCTTCCTGGTGATCTCGAGGTATTGACCACCTCCATTGCGAAGGCCACAGATTGGGTTCTGCAGGCCGCGCACCACAATCCACTCTCCATCGATGGGGGCGATGCCTTCGTGGCCCAGATGACGTCCTTTGTGAATGCCGTCATGGCCACTGACTTTAGTCGTATTCGTGGACCAGGCGAACTCGACAACTTCTCACTCGCCTCTCTCCTTGAGGCCAAGACATCTTCCAAGGACAAGCCGACCATCCACCCGGCTCCCGTACTCAGGCCCCCTCCTCCTGCTGCCCATGGGCCGCTCGATGAGGGTGTCAGTGATGTAGGGGCTCTGCCCAATGTCCTCATGCAGGCATTGGATGACCTTGGTCGCCTGGCCTCCCCGCCTCACATCCCCGCTTCCAAGAAGCGTAAGGGTGTTGATCGCCTGGTCCCACCTCCTCCTCAGAAGAAGAGTAAGGTGGCATACTCCTGCCCTGGTCCGCCTCTGCCGATCAATCGCGCCACTAAACCCAAGCCCCGTCCAACGACGTGGGCAGGGATCGCCAAACAGGCCGCTCCGATGCCTCCCCCGCCTCCTGGCTTGGGACCGCAACATCGTGGGCCTTCTCCTCCCCCTGCATTCCCGACGGGCCCGATGAAGACATCTCCTCATTGGTCTGTCCCTTCTTTTACTTCCGAGGGCCCCACCCGGAAGCAGGTTCTCGTGTCGTTCGGGGGTACCCCTCCCGACCTCACGAAATTCTTCACCGAGTCGGCTATTCGTGCAGCCAACGGGTACCTCAGGGATGGTCAATCTATGCTTAAGGTCACCTCCATCGTCCGTGCATATGACGGTTTGTCGCTAGTTACCCCCGCTGTTGCCAGCCCGTCCGACCTGGACGTCCTGCGTAACTTTATTCGCAAAAGCCTCCCAACGGGTACTCCGTTCGAGGTTGCGCTCCCATCATTGACATCTTTCATAAAGATCCTCGACGTTCCCTACTTCGATCTGAAAGGGTTGAAGATCACCCAGGAGGCGCTTGAAAAGGCCCTCCATACCTCGGTTCATGCTGAGGTTTTTGCATATCTGAGCACCAAGCCTCGGATTGACCGCAACTCGGCGCACTCGACATCGTGCACCGTGTATTGCAACATCTGGGACTCCCAGCAGGGAACCCGCCCCAAGAAGGCCCTTGGCCAACCGATTTTCCTCGCCAGGCGGTCCTGCGCAATCAGGCCTGCCGCGCGACACACCGGGGTCCCGCTCTGCCAGCGCTGCTGGAAGTGGGGCCACCCCACCGTTGCCTGCAAGGCAAAACAACTTTCTTGCCCCATCTGCTCAGGTCTGCACGAGCAGAAGGAGCACCGTCAACATGCGGGATGTTGCAAGGGCAACGCGAAAGCGAAGCCTCCTGTGCCGCCCACCCCTCGCGACCAGCCCTGCCCCCATAAGGGCCACTGTGTCAATTGCCACAAGGACCACACCGCCAACTCAGCGTCGTGTAAGTTCTGGGCCCATTGCTACGACTGTGAGTGGATCATGGCTGAGTATCGTCAGGTACGTGAGCATGTTGCTCGCCGCCAACTTACTAACCCTCGAACCTAGACTAATGTTGGGAAACCAGCAGGATCTAAATAGCGGGCTACGTATTTACTGTCAGAACATTCGTCACACCTATGCACACGTAGACACTCTTCTCGAAATTTGTAAAAACAGATTTGATATTTTATTTTTCCAAGAAACCCCTTGGAATTTCATAAGACACGCACCGTCCACCACTAGTATGGAGGGCGATGAGGTTATTGGCGCACCAAAGCATCCGGACTGGCTGCAGATGGTGCGCATTAAGGAAGGGGAGGTTCCCCGCATGATCGCCTACGTTTCGACTAGGTTATCCCGCTATCGTCCCGCTATGCGCCGTGACATCGTTGACCATTGCGACATCCTCGTCCTCTCCCTCTTCAGTGGGGGTGAGGTTCTTAATCTAATGAACGTCTACTCTGACGATCAACACACAGCCATTGAGCACCTTGCTGCTCGTGTGCATTCTTTACCACCGTTCATCTATATGGCTGGTGACTTCAACTGCGTGTTGACGACTTGGGATGACTATGAGCATGGCGAGTCGTCGACAGCAATATCCCTGCGGGATACCGCATCTCAGATCGGCCTCGAGTGGGCACGACCTTCTAACCATGGACCGACGAGAATCAGTCTAATCCAAACCAGAGATCCAACGTGTATTCTTAGCTCCATCTGAGATCTTAATCTCGATGCCCAGATTGGAGCACGATCTCCAGGGTCCGTCAGATCATGTCCCAATCTGCACAGATCTTGATATTGGTCCCGAACCGCCCGGATCTGGGCGACGGACAATTAAACCCGGAAGCGAGGCTGAGAAGTCTTTCATTTCGGATATTCTCTGGGATCTTGCGGCTATTCCTGTCGCAGCCCCGGCAACCAAGGAAGGCGTTGAAGCTTTAGCCGATGCTATCGCGACAGCGTTCTCGGACGCATGGCTTGTCCATTCCTCTGAGTCCAAACCTGCCAAGCGCTCCAAGTCCTGGTGGACGGATGAGTGCTCGGATACATTTAGCGTATATCAGTTGAGCCGCTCGCTCGCTGATTACAACAAGTTTAAGAAGGTGTGTAAGGACGCCAAACGTGATTTCTTCGATGAACGTATCGCGGAGATTGCTACTTCTCGCAAGCGCCCGTGGGACCTAATGGAATGGGTCAAACAGCGCAAGCTACCACCCTGTGAGGCTATTCGCAATGGCGAACCAGCCTTGTCATGATATGGACGACCTCTGGGACGCCCTCCACGGCACTTACAACTCGGCCTCTGGTCACGAGTACGATGCCTCAGTCTTAGACGAGCTTCCCGACGAGCCGGTCCGCGAGTGGGCTGACTTTTCGGAGCATGAGTTGTTGAGTGCCCTGAAGGGGTGCTCCAACTCCTCTGCACCAGGACCGGACCATGTCACTTGGGTCCACCTAAAGGAGCTGCTCAAGGATAAACACGTCCTTGCGCTCTTCATCGTGTTGGCCAACGCTTGCCTTCGGGTAGGTCATTGGCCACGTATATTCAAGGAGTCGCTATCGGTTATCGTTCCGAAGCCGAACAAGCCCTCCTATGCCGTACCGAAGGCTTTCAGGCCGATTGTACTCCTCATCACTTTCGGTAAACTTATCGAGAAGATGATTGCCAATAGGATACAGTTTGACGCCGTCAAGCATGATATCTTCCATCCCAACCAACTTGGCGGCATTCGCCAGAGGTCAACTGAGGATGCTGGATTGATTCTGACCCATCTCGTGCGAGCGGGGTTAAGGGTCTCCAGACTAGCGCGCTGGCTTTTGACATCGCGCAGTTCTTCCCTTCTATCAACCATGAGATGTTCATGGCTGTACTTCGCAAGCAAGGGTTTTCACCGGTTCTGGTGGAATTCTTTGCCTCCTACCTTGTAGGCTGTTCCACAGTTTACTGTTGGAACACCTTCCAATCTGACTCACGGTCTGCGGACGTGGGTGTCAGGCAGGGCTCTGCTCTCTCGCCTGTTATCTCTGGACTGTTCATTGCTCCGGTAATGAAGCTCTTCTATATCAAAGCAGCGCCACTCAACATGACACTGCTTTCCTTTGTGGATGACGGGACCATTCTGGCCCAATCCAAACAACTTGATGATAATAATGTGGGTCTGCGTAAGGCCTACAAAATTATCTACCTTCTCTTTGTTGCCTTCGCACTTGTTCTTGAACACGACAAGACCGAGTTGTTCCATTTTTCGCGTCGACGAGACGCCTATAATCCCTCGCTGGATTTGGGGTACGCCCCACATACCGGCGCTACACCTTTGAAGCCCAAGACCTATTGGAGGTACTTGGGATTCTACTTTGACCGCAGGCTCACGTTTCATGAGCACGTTCGCTACTACGCCACCAAGGCATTCACCACCGTGCAAGCCATGCGCATGCTCGGGAACTCTACTAGAGGTCTCTCGCCTAAACAGCGCCGCCTCTTATATCGGTCATGTGTGGTCCCCATTGCCACATATGGCTATCGTCTCTGGTATTTCGATGGCGCCTGCAACAAGGGTGCGATGAACCAGTTAAAACGGATGCAGCGTAAAGCTGCTCTATGGATCATGGGTGCTTTCCGCACCTCACCTACAGGCGGTCTTGAGGCTCTAGCGGGCCTCATCCCTGTCCATCTTATGCTGAAGAAGCTGGCAACGTGCAGTGTATCGCGTCGCCACCCTCTCGGACACCCACCCTCTTCGCTCCATGATGGGCGAGGGACTCCTCAAGCGAGCTGCACCACATGCTCGCTCTGCCGCCTTGATGACCCCAGCTATGCGAGGGAAAGTCAAGAGCACTGTCATGGAGGTGGATGAGCGTGTCCACACCTTAACTGAGAGCTTCGAACCTTTTGCGCCCGAAGCTCGCCCAGGCGATCAGTTACTGGACCGCTATGCGGACCGTATCCACTTTGACGAGCGCGATCCTACCCAGGATAGGCGCCCATATCTAGACGAGCTCATCGCGAAAGCGAGGGCCGACCCACTAACAGTACTGGCTGCAACTGATGGCTCTGTCCCTCAGTCCAACCAGTATCAGGCGGCTTCGGCTGCTATAATCTACAAGGGACATCGCGAGCTCGAAAGGACTCGCTACGTCTCTGGCAGAGTTACCGCCCCAGATGCGGAACTCAATGCCATCTCGTGTGCAGTGCGCCTTGCTGTTAAGCAGGCAAACTGCCAACATATTATGGTCTTCACTGACTCTATGGGCTCAGCCCATAGAGCGGTTGACCCCGGCGTGCATTCTGGTCAGGCTTTTAGTCTGTCAGTTTGTCGTGTTCTTCAAGAGTGGTTTGAGGCAGACGATCTCCGCCGCATTACCTTTGTTTACGTCCCATCCGCCCTGCGGTGGGATATCCATGGTGAAGCACACAAGTACGTCACCGAGCTCAAAGTCAGGGTTGGACGTCGCAAGACGGACAACTCCATAGATGCGCTACGCTCTCGAGCGGCGCACTCAGTCCTGGATTCGTGGAGTTCCACTTTCCAGGATCCAACCTACCGAGGCTCTGAGTTTTTAGAGCTTCAACAGCCTGACGGGCGGCCGCTACAGCCATCGTACCTCAATGGGGGACCTTGGCTCTCAACATTTGGACACAGTATCACTGAGTTCGCCCGCGTTTGCCGGTGTATAACTGGCCACGCGCCCATTGGAGCGTATTACCGTCGCTTCAAGATCAATGAGCCTCACGGCTGCACTTGCGGGGCTGCTTTGCAGTCTCGCCAGCATATCCTCTTTCGCTGTCGTGATAGATATTCTGCACACTATCCCCGTTTTCTCGGGGATATTGCATCGTTTATGAAGTACAACCCTACGGCGTTTGGCTTCAACCGGGACCCGTCGGGTGTCGGATAATCGTTGTGGGCGGGGTTGTTCCTCCTTTCGGGGGATTTATGGTGAATTGACACCACCGAGCTCTAGGGTTCGAAGACCTGCGCCTACCGCTATTTCTTCGCGTTTGCGGCTGCTATTTCTTCGCGTTTGCGGCTGCTATTGTAGTGGGTTGCGGCGCCGCTAACTTTCTGCATCTGGTTTCGGGCAGGCGCACCTCTGGCTTGTCGGCCTTAAGACACCCTGCCACCTCCTGGGTGGTGCTGGTCTTATCTCATTTGCGCTGCGTGGCCTCCAAACAGCGTCTGACGACTTTGGGGTTTAGCGGGGCCTCGATGGTCTCCTCCCCTTATCCCACGTCACCGTTTTCGCGAGGTGGGTCTGGCTTTATGGGAGCTTCGGCGTTTGAGCCATAAGGCTCGTGGTTGGGGGGGCGGACGTCTTTTAGTAGTTTACTTAGTACCCAGGCCGCGTAGTGTACGTGTTTGTAGATAGCGAGCGGGCTGCCATCGAGCACCGCTATATAAATTGTTGATCAAAAAAAAAAAAAAAAAAAAAAAAAAAAAAAAAAAACCCCTGCTAAAGAGGGAGAGGACGAGAATGTCGCGATGGTCGACAATGTCGTGATGCATAGCGGGACGATAGCGGGATAGCCTAGTCGAAACATAGGCGATCACGCGGGGAACTTCCCCTTCCTTAATGCGCACCATTTGCAGCCAGTCGGGATGCTTAGGTGCGCCGATAACCTCATCGCCCTCCATACTAGTGGTGGACGGTGCGTGTCTTATGAAATTCCAAGGCGTTTCTTGGAAGAATAAAATATCAAATCTGTTTTTACAAATTTCGAGGAGAGTGTCTATATGTGCATATGTGTGGCGAACGTTCTGACAGTAAATACGTAGCCCGCTATTTAGATCCTGCTGGTTTCCTAACATTGGTCTAGGTTTGGGGGTTAGTAAGTTGGCGGCGAGCAGCGTGCTCACGTACCTGACGATACTCGGCCATGATCCACTCACAGTCGTAGCAATGGGCCCAGAACTTGCACGATGCTGAATTGGCAGCATGGTCCTTGTGGCAGTTGACACAGTGGCCCTTGTGGGGGCAGGGCTGGTCGTGAGGGGTGGGCGGCACAGGGGGTTTTGCTTTCGCGTTGCCCTTGCAACATCCCGCATGCTGAGTTGTCCAGCAGCGCTGGCATAGCAGGACCCCGGTGTGACGCGCGGCAGGCCTGATTGCGCAGGACCGCCTGGCGAGGAAAATCGGTTGGCCTAAGGCCTTCTTGGCATGGGTTCCCTGCTGGGAGTCCCAAATGTTGCAATAGACCATGCACGAAGTTGAGTGTGCGGAGTTGCGATCGATCCGAGGCTTGGTGCTCAGATATGTGAAGACCTCAGCATGAACCGAGGTATGGAGGGCCTTTTCAAGCGCCTCCTGGGTGATCTTCAACCCTTTCAGATCGAAGTAGGGAACGTCGAGGATCTTTATGAAAGATGTCAATGATGGGAGCGCAACCTCGAACGGAGTACCCGTTGGGAGGCTTTTGCGAATAAAGTTACGCAGGACGTCCAGGTCGGACGGGCTGGCAACAGCGGGGGTAACTAGCGACAAACCGTCATATGCACGGACGATGGAGGTGACCTTAAGCATAGATTGACCATCCCTGAGGTACCCGTTGGCTGCACGAATAGCCGACTCGGTGAAGAATTTCGTGAGGTCGGGAGGGGTACCCCCGAACGACACGAGAACCTGCTTCCGGGTGGGGCCCTCGGAAGTAAAAGAAGGGACAGACCAATGAGGAGATGTCTTCATCGGGCCCGTCGGGAATGCAGGGGGAGGAGAAGGCCCACGATGTTGCGGTCCCAAGCCAGGAGGCGGGGGAGGCATCGGAGCGGCCTGTTTGGCGATCCCTGCCCACGTCGTTGGACGGGGCTTGGGTTTAGTGGCGCGATTGATCGGCAGAGGCGGACCAGGGCAGGAGTATGCCACCTTACTCTTCTTCTGAGGAGGAGGTGGGACCAGGCGATCAACACCCTTACGCTTCTTGGAAGCGGGGATGTGAGGCGGGGAGGCCAGGCGACCAAGGTCATCCAATGCCTGCATGAGGACATTGGGCAGAGCCCCTACATCACTGACACCCTCATCGAGCGGCCCATGGGCAGCAGGAGGAGGGGGCCTGAGTACGGGAGCCGGGTGGATGGTCGGCTTGTCCTTGGAAGATGTCTTGGCCTCAAGGAGAGAGGCGAGTGAGAAGTTGTCGAGTTCGCCTGGTCCACGAATACGACTAAAGTCAGTGGCCATGACGGCATTCACAAAGGACGTCATCTGGGCCACGAAGGCATCGCCCCCATCGATGGAGAGTGGATTGTGGTGCGCGGCCTGCAGAACCCAATCTGTGGCCTTCGCAATGGAGGTGGTCAATACCTCGAGATCACCAGGAAGATCCTTGACTGTGTCTCAGAACTTCAAGGCGTATTGACCTAGAAGAAGGTCAACGGAGGGGTCCCTCGAGACCTCCTCCCCTCCCTGAGTGCCCTCAACCTCCATCTCCTGGGGGTGGGCCGTCCCTGAGTCAGACTCATTTGCAGACGAATGGGCGGAACCCATGGTGGAACGGGACCTGCGGCGGGGCAACATGTGGCGGGATCGAGATGGCACAACAGTCGAGTATGTGGCCCTAGTCGAGGTAGGGTCTGGCGAGATTGGCGAGGTGTCACCGCCAAAAGACAATGTGCCAGCGACCGATGGTGGTATAGCTGGTGGTGCGGAGCCCGAGTCCCCCCCACGACGGCTCCTAGGAACCGCCCCAGGGGGCCTCGCGCCCCGACCTCTCGGTGGGAGGTCGGACATGGTTTGCGATGCGGTACGAATGATCAAAAGGGTCTTCTGGCTTGTCGATAAAGCGCTGGACGATGTGCGAGACGGTGAGCTGGTTGTTTGCGCTTGTTGACAAGTGGGCGTTCGAGAGAAAGAGAGGCTCGCTCTTTAGCAGGGGTGAGGTCCTTAATTTGATGAATGTCTACTCCGACGATCAACACACAGCCATCGAGCACCTTGCTGCTCGTGTACATTCTCTTCCGCCTTTCATTTATATGGCAGGCGACTTCAACTGCGTTTCGACAACTTGGGATGATTATGATCATGGCGAGTTGTCGACGGCAATATCATTGCAGGATACCGCATCGCAGATCAGCCTCGAGTGGGCACGACCTTCTAACCATGGACCGACAAGAATCAGTCCTAATCCAAACCAGAGATCCAATGTGTTGGATCTTGTATTCTTAGCCCCATCTGAGATTCTAATCTCGATGCCCAGATTGGAGCACAATCTCCAGGGTCCATCAGATCATGTCCCGATCTGTACAGACCTTGATATTGGTCCCGAACCGCCCGGATCTGGGTGAAGGACAATTAAACCCGGAAGTGAGGCTGAGAAGTCTTTCATTTTGGACATCCTCCGGGACCTTGCGGCTATTCTGGTCGCAGCCCTGGCAATCAAGGAAGGCGTTGAAGCTTTAGCCGATGCTATTGCATCAGCGTTCTCAGACGTGTGGCTTGCCCACTCGACTGAGTCCAAACCTACCAAGCGCTCCAAGTCCTGGTGGACAGACGAGTGCTCGGAAACATTTGGAGTGTATCAGTTGAGCCGTTCGCTCACTGATTACAACAAGTTTAAGAAGGTGTGTAAGGACGCCAAGCGTGATTTCTTTGATGAACGCATTGCAGAAATGCTTTTTTTTTTTTTTTTTTGATCAACAACTTATATAGCAGTGCTCGATGGCAGCCCGCTCACTATCTACAAACACATATGCTACGCAGCCTGGTTACTAAGTTAACCACTAAAGGACGACCGCCCCCCCAACCAAGACCCTTTGGGCTCAAATGCCGAAACTCCCCAGAGGGCAACCCACCTCGCGAAAACGGTGCATCGGGATAAGGGGAGGAAACCATCGAGGTTCCGCTACGCCCCAAAGTCGTCGATCGCTGTTCGGAGGCGATGCAGCGCAAATGAGATAAGAAGAGCACCACCCAGGAGGTGGCAAGGTGTCTTAAGGCCGACCAGCCAGAGATGCGCCTACCCGAAACCAGATGCAGAGAGTTAGCGGCGCTGCAACACACTATAATAGCAGCCGCAAGCGTGAAGGAGTGAAACGGGCGCAGGTCTCTGAACCCTAAGGTCCGAGGGTGTCAATTCACCGATAAATCCTCCGAGAGGAGGAATAACCCCGCCCGAAGCGATTATCCGACCCCCGAAGGGTCCCGGTTGAAGCCAAACACCGTAGGGTTGTACTTCATAAACGATGCAATATCCCTGAGAAAACGGGGATAGTGTACAGAGTATTGATCGTGACAACGAAAGATGACGTGCTGATGGGACTGCAAAGCAGCCCTGCAAGTGCAGCCATGAGGCTCGTTGATCTTGAAGCGACGGTAATACGCTCCAATGGGCGCGTGGCCAGTTATACACCGGCAAACGCGGGCGAACTCAGTGATGCTGTGTCCGAAGGTTGAAAGCCAAGGTCCCCCATTGAGGTACGATGGCTGTAGTGGCCGCCCGTCAGGCTGTTGAAGCTCTAGGAATTCAGAGCCTCGGTAAGTTGGATCCTGGAAAGTGGAACACCACGAATCCAGGAGTGAGTGCGTGGCTTGGGAGCGTAGCGTGTCTATAGAGTTGTCCATCCTGTGACGTCCAACCCTGACTTTGAGTTCGGTGATGTACTTGTGTGCCTCACCATGGATATCCCACCGCAAAGCGGATGGGACGTATACGAAGGTAATACGGCAGAGATCATCCGCCTCAAACCACTCTTGGAGAGCGTGACAAACTGATAGGCTAAAAGCCTGACCAGAGTGCACAGAAGGGTCAACCGCTCTATGGGCCGAGCCCATGGAGTCAGTAAAGACCATAATATGTTGGCAGTTTGCCTGCCTGACAGCCAGGCGCACTGCGCACGAGATGGCATTGAGCTCTGCATCTGGGGTGGTAACTCTGCCAGAGACATAGCGAGTTCTTTTGATCTCGCGATGTCCCTTGTAGATTATAGCAGCCGAAGCCGTCTGATACTGGTTGGACTGAGGGACGGAGCCATCAGTCGTGGCCAGTACTGTTAGTGGGTCAGCCCTCGCTTTCGTGATGAGCTCGTCTAGATACGGGCGCCTATCCTGGGCAGGATCGTGCTCGTCAAAGTGGAGACGGTCCGCATAGCGGTCCAATAACCGATCACCTGGGTGGGCTTCAGGCGCAAAAGGCTCGAAACTCTCAGTTAAGGTATGGACACATTCGTCCACCTCCATAACGGTGCTCTTGACTTTCCCTCGCATGGCTGGGGTCATCAAGGCGGCTGAGCAAGCATGTGGCGCGGATAGCCATATGTGGCAATGGGAACCACACACGACCGATATAAGAGGTGGCGCTGTTAAGGCGAGAGACCTCTGGTAGAGTTGCCAAGCATGTGCATGGCCTGCACAGTGGTGAACGCCTTGGTGGCGTAGTAGCGAACGTGCTCCTGAAACGTGGGCTCGCGGTCAAAGTAGAAGCCCAAGTACCTCTCTCTTTGTTGCTTTCGTGCTCGTCCTTGAACACGACAAGACTGAGCTGTTTCACTTTTCACGTTGATGAGACGCCTACAATCCCTCGCTGGACTTGGGGTATGCCCCGCATACCGGCACTACACCTTTGAAGCCCAAGACCCATTGGAGGTACTTGGGCTTCTACTTTGACCGTGGGCTCACGTTTCATGAGCACGTTCGCTACTATGCCACTAAGGCGTTCACCACTGTGCAGGCCATGCACATGCTCGGCAACTCTACCAGAGGTCTCTCGCCTAAACAGTGCCGCCTCTTATATTGGTCGTGTGTGGTTCCCATTGCCACATATGGCTATCGTCTCTGGTATTTTGATGGCACTCGCAATAAGGGTGCGATGAACCAGTTGAAACGGATGCAGCGGAAAGCTGCTCTATGGATTACGGGTGCTTTCCACACCTCACCCACAGGCGGTCTCGAGGCCCTAGCAGGTCTCATCCCCGTCCACATTATGCTGAAGAAGCTGGCAACATGCACAGTGTATCGCGTCGCCACCCTCTCGGACACCCACCCTCTTCGCTCTATGATGGGCAAGGGACTCCTTAAGCGAGCCGCACCACATGCTCGCTCTGCCGCCTTGATGACCCCAGCCATGCGAGGGAAAGTCAAGAGCACTGTAGGCTCGTGACCATCCGCTTTCGGTCATCAGCTTTCAGCTGCGAAAGCGGCTGGTCGAACTGGTCAGTCACATGGCGGGTCACAGCTCGCTCCGCCAAGTGTGACAATGGACTTAGCAAAATTTCCGTGATTTTGACTGTGTGCAGCCTGATTCCGTTCAACAATGGCTCGTCTGCCCAAATTTTGGGCACTCGAACAACTTAAATAGGATTCTAATGTAAGTATGTACTTTAAACAAAGCCTCCTTCTTCATCAGTGTCCAAATCTGAGTCATGTTCATGCTCCAAGTCAACATCTCGGTCAAGTGTGGCAAGATCTTCAGCATCCATGTCAAGGCAGACATCCGCTGCAGACTCGAGGGATAATTCTTGGACATTCCCGTCTTCAAACTCTTGTAGGAACTCACCAGGGTGCTCGGACTCTTCGTCATCTGAGTTTTCCGAGCCAGAGTCGGAGTTGAAGTCATCTGAACTACCTTCCTGCGATCCTGGATCCTCGAGTTCGGGATCCTCCGAGTGTCGAAGAACTTCGACAGTGGTCGCAAGTGATGTCTGAGCAGCAGGAGCCTCGTCCTCATCCGACTCGGATCCCACCAACGGTTTGAGGCGACGTCTTGCCTGGAGGTGATGGAACACGTCGTTGTAGTTGACTAAAGGACTTTCTTTTCCTTTGAGAAGATCCTTGAGCCCAGAGGAAATGATATCGACTGCTGGGGCATCATCCTCATCTAGATATCAGCCTTTCTTGTAGATGTAAACTTCATGATCTTCAAGACTATCCATGAGATCAGGCAGATCATGGGACAAGTCCATAGGATGGTGGGCAGTCCCTAAGTCCGACCCGAGCATCTGTTTAAACCCACGAGCAAGCTGTCGAAGGATCTCAACACAGAACGTTTGCCATACCTATGCCCACGTCGATACACTTCTCGAAATTTGTAAAACCAAATTTGATATTTTATTTTTCCAAGAAACCCCTTGGAATTTTATAAGACACGCACCGTCCACCACTAGTATGGAGGGCGATGAGGTTATCGGTGCACCAAAGCATCTGGACTGGCTGCAGATGGTGCGCATTAAGGAAGGGGAAGTTCCCTGCGTGATCGCCTATGTTTCGACTAGGCTATCCCGCTATCGTCCCGCTATGCATCACGACATTGTCGACCATCGCGACATTCTCGTCCTCTCCCTCTTTAGCAGGGGTGAGGTCCTTAATTTGATGAATGTCTACTCCGACGATCAACACACAGCCATCGAGCACCTTGCTGCTCGTGTGCATTCTCTTCCGCCTTTCATTTATATGGCAGGCGACTTCAACTGCGTTTCGACGACTTGGGATGACTATGAGCATGGCGAGTCGTCGACAGCAATATCCCTGCGGGATACCGCATCTCAGATCGGCCTCGAGTGGGCACGACCTTCTAACCATGGACCGACGAGAATCAGTCCTAATCCAAACCAGAGATCCAATGTGTTGGATCTTGTATTCTTAGCTCCATCTGAGATCTTAATCTCAATGCCCAGATTGGAGCACGATCTCCAGGGTCTGTCAGATCATGTCCCGATCTGCACAGATCTTGATATCGGTCCCGAACCGCCCGGATCTGGGTGAAGGACAATTAAACCCGGAAGCGAGGCTGAAAAGTCTTTCATTTTGGATATTCTCCGGGATCTTGCGGCTATTCCTATCGCAGCCCTGGCTACCAAGGAAGGCCTTGAAGCTTTAGCCGATGCTATCACGACAGCATTCTCGGACGCATGGCTTGCCCATTCAACCGAGTCCAAACCTACCAAGCGCTCCAAGTCCTGGTGGACGGATGAGTGCTCGGAGACATTCGGAGTATATCCGTTGAGCCGCTCGCTCGCTGATTATAACAAGTTCAAGAAGGTGTGTAAGGACGCCAAGCGTGATTTCTTTGATGAACGCATCGCAGAAATCGCCACTTCTCGCAAGCGCCCATGGGACCTAATGGAATGGGTCAAACAGCGCAAGCTACCACCCTGTGAGGCTATTCACAATGGCGACCAGCCTTGCCACGATATGGACGACCTCTGGGACGCCCTTCACAGCACGTACAACTCGGCCTCTGGTCACGAGTACGACGCCTCCGTTTTAGATGAGCTTCCTGATGAGCCGGTCTGTGAGTGGGCTGACTTCTCGGAGCATGAGTTGTTGAGTGCCCTGAAGGGGTGCTCCAACTCCTCTGCACCAGGACCGGACCATGTCACTTGGGTCCACCTAAAGGAGCTGCTCAAGGATAAACACGTCCTTGCGCTCTTCATCGTGTTGGCCAACGCTTGCCTTCGGGTAGGTCATTGGCCACGTATATTCAAGGAGTCGCTATCGGTTATCGTTCCGAAGCCGACTAAGCCCTCCTATGCTGTGCCAAAGGCTTTTCGGCCTATCATACTCCTCATCACGTTCGGTAAACTTATCAAAAAGATGATTGCCAATAGGATACAGTTTGACGCTGTCAAGCATGATATCTTCCATCCCAACCAACTTGGCGGCATCTGCCAGAGGTCAACTGAGGATGCTGGATTGATTTTGACTCATCTCGTGCGAGCGGGGTGGGTTAATGGTCTCCAGACTAGCGCGCTAGCTTTTGACATCGCGCAGTTCTTCCCTTCTATCAACCATGAAATGTTCATGGCTGTTCTTCGCAAGCAAGGGGTTTCGCCGGTTCTGGTGGAGTTCTTTGCCTCCTATCCTGTAGGCCGCTCCACAGTTTACTGTTGGAACACCTTCCAATCCGACTCGCGGTCTGCGGACGTGGGTGTCGGGCAGGGCTCTGCTCTCTCGCCTGTCATCTCTGGGCTGTTCATTGCTCCGGTAATGAAGCTCTTCTACATCAAGGCGGCGCCGCTTAACACGACGTTGCTTTCCTTTGTGGATGATGGGACCATTCTGGCCCAATCCAAACAACTTGATGATAATAATGTGGGCCTGCGTAAGGCCTACAAAATTATCTACCTGCTCTTTGTTGCTTTCGCGCTTGTTCTTGAACATGACAAGACCGAGCTGTTCCACTTTTCGCGTCAATGAGATGCCTACAATCCCTCGCTGGATTTGGGGTACGCCCCACATACCGGCGCTACACCTTTGAAGCCCAAGACCTATTGGAGGTACTTGGGATTCTACTTTGACCGCGGGCTCACGTTTCATGAGCACGTTCGCTACTATGCCACCAAGGCGTTCACCACCGTGCAGGCCATGCGCATGCTCGGAAACTCTACTAGAGGGCTCTCGCCTAAACAGCGCCGCCTCTTATACTGGTCGTGTGTGGTACCCGTTGCCACATACGGCTATCGTCTCTGGTATTTCGATGGCACTCGCAATAAGGGCACGATGAACCAGTTGAAACGGATGCAGCGAAAAGCTGCTCTATGGATTACGGATGCTTTCCGCACCTCCCCCACAGGCGGTCTTGAGGCTCTAGCAGGTCTCATCCCTGTCCACCTTATGCTGAAGAAGTTGGCAACGCACGCAGTGTATCGCGTAGCCACCCTCTCGGACACCCACCCTCTTCGCTCTATGATGGGCGAGGGACTCCTCAAGCGAGCCGCACCACATGCTCGCTCAGCCGCCTTGATGACCCCAGCCATGCGAGGGAAAGTCAAGAGCACTGTCATGGAGGTGGACGAGCGTGTCCACACCTTAACTGAGAGCTTCGAGCCCTTTGCGCCCGAAGCTCGCCCAGGCGATCGGTTACTGGACCACTATGCGGACCGTCTCCACTTTGATGAGCGCGATCCTACCCAGGATAGGCGTCCATATCTAGATGAGCTCATCGCGAGAGCGAGGGCCAACCCACTAACAGTACTGGCTGCAACTGATGGCTCTGTCCCTCAGTCCAATCAGTATCAGGCGGCTTCGGCTGCTATAATCTACAAGGGACATCGTGAGCTCGAAAGGACTCGTTACGTCTCTGGCAGAGTTACCGCCCCAGATGCGGAACTCAATGCCATCTCGTGTGCAGTGCGCCTTGCTGTCAAGCAGGCAAACTGCCAACATATTATGGTCTTTACTGACTCTATGGGCTCGGCCCATAAAGCAGTTGACCCTTCCATACATTCTGGTCAGGCTTTTAGCCTGTCAGTCTGTTGCGCTCTCCAAGAGTGGTTTGAGGCGGATGATCTCCGCCGCATTACCTTCGTCTATGTCCATCTGCTCTGTGGTGGGATATCCATGGTGAAGCGCACAGGTACGTCACCGAACTCAAAGTCAGGGTTGGACGCCGCAAGACAGACAACTCTATAGACACGCTGCGCTCCCAAGCCGCGCACTCAGTCCTGGATTCGTGGGGTTCCACTTTCCAGGATCCAACCTACGAAGGCTCTGAATTCTTAGAGCTTCAACAGCCGGACGGGCGGCTGCTACAGCCATCTTACCTCAATGGGGGACCTTGGCTTTCAACCTTCGGACACAGTATCACTGAGTTCGCCCGCGTTTGCCGGTGTATAACTGGCCACGCACCCATTGGAGCGTATTACCGTCGCTTCAAGATCAACAAGCCTCACGGCTGCACTTGCGGGGCTGCTTTGCAGTCCTGTCAGCATATTCTCTTTCGCTGTCGCGATCGCTACTCCGTGCATTACCCCCGCTTTCTTGGGGATATTGCATCTTTTATGAAGTACAACCCCACAGCGTTTGGCTTCAACCGAGACCCCTCGGGTGTCGGATAATCATTGTGGGCGAGGTTGTTCCTCCTTTTGGGGGATTTATGGTGAATTGACACCACCGAGCCCTAGGGTTCGAAGACCTGCGCCTACCGCTATTTCTTTGCGCTTGCGGCTGCTATTGTAGCGGGTTGTGGCGCCGCTAACTCTCTGGGTCTGGTTTCGGGCAGGCGCTTCTCTGGCTGGTCGGCCTTAAGACACCCTGCCACCTCCCGGGTGGTGCTGTTCTTATTTCATTTGCGCTGTGTGGCCTCCGAACAGTGTTCGACGACTTTGGGGTTTAGTGGGGCCTCGATGGTCTCCTCCCCTTATCCCACGTCACCGTTTTCGTGAGGTGGGTCTGGCTTTGTGGGAGTTTCGGCGTTTGAGCCACAAGGCTCGTGGTTGGGGGGGCGGATGTCTTTTAGTAGTTTACTTAGTACCCAGGCCACGTAGCGTACGTGTTTGTAGATAGCAAGCGGGCTGCCATCGAGCACCACTATATAAATTGTTGATAAAAAAAAAAAAAAAAAAAAAAAACCACAAAAGGATCTCAACACATGGGGCCACCATTTCGAGCCATTCCCATGATGCAGAGCTGCCATGGGCTCGGTAGAAATTCTGCACGACAAATAAATATCATGAGAATTTGAATGGTGAGATAAGGTGAAGAACATCTCGCGCATCTGACCTTAATCCAAAAATTCATGTGTTCCTGCATAAGGTCAACCTCGATCCATGAATTTGGGTTCCCAGTGGGATTTATCAACCAGTTATTGAGGACAATGTTTCTAAGAGGCCAAGGATTCAAGGGTTAATGAACTGAATATCAACTTTCCCTTCAAACTCACCGGATTTCCCTGGGCCATACATGGGTAAGGTTATGGATTAAATGCAACATTTCATGTGCATATTTTGTTCGGCCACTTCCCTGAAAGCTAAGCGCCCAGGTTTTCAGAACTAATAAAACTCAGCCTGAGTCCCCAGATTTGACAGCATCCGTGAACTCACGCGAGAGAAGAGCATTGCGAAAGAAGAGAACAGCATTTTCGAACACCATGTCACCGTCATGCACTGGTGTCTCTGTGGTCAGCTTCACTGCAGCTTGTTTCCGCTTCTGTCTCAGCTCAGAAACAATGTCCGCACTTCCAAATTTCTCAAGGATTTCTGTTGAGTAGAGTTCAAGTTGGGCCCATGTCAAATCCTCGAGACACTCCTTGAGAGATGCCTTCTTTGAGACAAGAAGCAGACAGTGCAGGACCCGGGCATAGAGTGACACAAAGATAAGATCACGGCATGTGCGAAAGGGTGGGGGGGATGTAATGGTGATGGGCTTACGTTGGAGAACCGTGTTGTGAAAAGCCAAGCATCCTGGATTTCGAGTTCCTGCAGACGGTTTCCCCCAATGTGTCAGAAGACAGCCATGGACATCAGCCATCTTCGCATGGAAAAGTCCTGGCATCCAAACGCCCCACCCAAAGCCTGAATAGCCTCCCTCATGGCCAGCCCGAATATTGACAAGCGCCCGTAGCCGAGCGATAGTAAGCTGATCGCCACAAAAAAACTTGATGGTCCCAAGCCAGCCCTTCACTTTGCGAATCCCGAGTATGTCAAAAATTGTTTCCACAACCTCAGCCCCATCAACGATTGTAGACTCATCAATATCCATGGCTGGGAGAGGGTGGAGTGGTGTTTTGTTGAGCTCAATCTTCTCGTCACTGACTGGCAGTGTGCGTGCAAGATCATCCCCGAACTTCTCAAAACCCTCACCACCATATGTCACAATTATCTGTGAAATAGTATGTTGGAGGTTTAACTTGAGCTGAGTGGCCTCCACTGGAGAAAGGATTACATCATGAATAGAGAGCAGGGGTGCTTGATCAAAGGTGGAAGTCAGGTCCTCGACTTTCATGTCTTCCAGTCTTGCCTTCCACAGCGGCCAAATTGTGGCACATGTGCCATTCTCCTGAGCATCTAGACCCATCTTATATTAGCAGTCTGGGTTCAAGAATAATAGAAGTACCTGTCCGCCCAACAATTTGCTCAGCTGCGCGGAACACCATGTTGATATTATCATACGAAGTGGCAAAAAGGCCTGTTGGTGCTACAGCAGATGCGGCATCCACCATCGAGCGCGAGAGTTGACGGAGGGTCCCTCCTTTTGACTTCAGAAGCTCTTCAATCAGCGGCAATGCATCGCTAGTGGCCGCTTTTTTCTTCTTCCGACGCTGTTTTCCAGTAATTGCATCATAGCTTTCAGATAGACCCAAGTGCGACATCACACTGAGCGGTTGGCGTTGGGAGCCAGTGCTGTACATATACAGGGAGCCAGTGCTGTACATATACAGGCCAATGACCTTCTTTGGCCAGTTATTGTTGTAAATGTATTCCCCCAACAACGATAACGCGGCCGATGTTACAACCGGTTCCATGGCTTTTATTTAGTAATGACACCAGTTGGATATTCACAGTACTTACCTTTATCTTTTTAGCCATACGCTCTATTGGTGCACTCTTGAGCTGACAAGCCAAGGTTGCAAGAGACTGAAGGATGTTCATGAAGATGGACCCATTGCGCGTCAGGTGCGCATATATGGTCTTGAGGTCGAAATTGAGGACTAATGTGCTGTCCACCTTTCGTTTCAGGGTCTGAAGATAGCCTGACTCCGTGATTCTTTGGGCTTCTTGCTTAACCTCCTCTGACATGAAATCTACAGCCCAGGTATGAACTTGTTCCTTTGAAACTGTACTGCCCTTGGTAGCCCAAAGTTCAAGAATTGACGGAACAGATTTCCGGTCTCAAAAAGACTCTCCCAACGTGCCTGACCTTGGCCGTGAGTCAGTTGTCCCAATGTATATCCATGGGATGAAAGGGAACTGAGGGTATCATCAAAGAACCTCAGCTTGTGCCTCTCTTTCGCCTGCTCGGCCTCGCTCTGCTGAGCCTTTTCTTCCTCTTGCTGAGCCGCTTGCTCCTCTTTTTTCCAAGCCAGTGTAGCATTGCGTTTTCTCTGGCCTTTCATGCGATTTTTTGCAGCTCGCTCTCCCTTGGTTCTTCCGGTGATTGGAGATGTTGGCTGGAGGCCGTCACTCGACAGTGGAGGCAAGGTATGGACATCAGTCGTGTCAGCAACTTGGGTTTGAAGTAATCCAGGGAGGGGTGGTACAGGCAGAGGACTAAGTGGAAGCGATGAGGGACATCGCGAGCTCAAAAGGACTCGCTATGTCTCTGGCAGAGTCACCGCCCCAGATGCGGAACTCAATGCCATCTCGTGTGCAGTACGCCTTCCTGTTAAGCAGGCAAACTGCCAACATATTATGGTCTTTACTGACTCTATGGGCTCAGCCCATAGAGCGGTTGACCCCGGCGTGCATTCTGGTCAGGCTTTTAGCCTGTCAGTCTGTCGCGCTCTTCAAGAGTGGTTTGAGGCGGATGATCTCCGCCGCATCACCTTTGTCTACGTTCCCTCCACGCTGCGGTGGGATATCCATGGTGAAGCACACAAATACGTCACCAAGCTCAAAGTCAGGGCTGGACGTCGTAAGATGGACAACTCTATAGACGCGCTACGCTCTTGAGCGGCGCACTCAGTCCTGGATTCGTGGAGCTCCACTTTCCAGGATCCAACTTACCGAGGCTCTGAATTCTTAGAGCTTCAACAGCCTGACGGGCGGCCGCTACAGCCATCATACCTCAATGGGGGACCTTGGCTTTCAACCTTCGGACACAGTATTACTGAGTTCGCCCGCGTTTGCTGGTGTATAACTGGCCACGCGCCCATTGGAGCGTATTATCGTCGCTTCAAGATCAACGAGCCTCATGGTTGCACTTGCGGGGCTGCTCTACAGTCTCGCCAGCATATTCTCCTTCGCTGTCGCGATCGCTACTCCGTGCATTACCCCCGCTTTCTTGGGGATATTGCATCTTTTATGAAGTACAACCCCACGGCGTTTGGCTTCAACCGAGACCCCTCGGGTGTCGGATAATCGTTGTGGGCGGGGTTGTTCCTCTTTTGGGGGATTTCGAGCCTTAGGGTTCGAAGACCTGCACCCACCGCTATTTCTTCGCACTCGCGGCTGCTATTATAGTGGGTTGCGGCGCCGCTAACTCTCTGCGTCTGGTTTCGGGCAGGCGCTTCTCTGGCTTGTCAGCCTCAAGACACCCTGCCACCTCCTGGGTGGTGCTGTTCTTATCTCATTTGTGCTGCGTGGCCTCCGAACAGCGTCCGACGGCTTTGGGGTTTAGCGGGGCCTCGATGGTCTCTCCCCTTATCCCGCATCACCGTTTTCGCGAGGTGGGTCTGGCTTTATGGGAGTTTAGGCGTTTGAGCCATAAGGCTCGTGGTTGGGGGGGCGGATGTCTTTTAGTAGTTCACTTAGTACCCAGGCTGCGTAGTGTACGTGTTTGTAGATAGCGAGCAGGCTGCCATCGAGCACCGCTATATAAATTGTTGATAAAAAAAAAAAAAAAAAGTGGAAGCGATGAGGCACGGGCACGTCCATGTCCACGTCGTGTCGCGTTTCGTTCTGCTGGTGTTGGAGATTCTGGAATGTCGGACTCAGACTCAGAGGTCAATGGTGATTCAGGTGGAGGAGACAAGGGGGGAAGGGACTCAGGCATTGCTAGCCAAGGTGGTTATTGCAGAGAATAGGAGCAGATGCAGTACAGAAAATCAAGTGACCGGAATGAATGCCTCCTCCTTTCTCCTATACCAATGTCAACTGCACCAAAAGGCACAACCCATTGCGGCGAAAACCTGCCTCAGCCCTAAATTCTGCATCAGAGAGTGTACCGGATCGTCGCCCATGCACTAAAGATGAGCTGGAAGGCTTGAGTGCAAAAATTGCAGAACAGTTCGGATGGAAAGACGGACCTCAGGTATTTCAGATGGATGCTATTAATGCCCAGCTAGAAATGCGTGACGTTCTCGTTCATGCGGGAACAGGAACAGGGAAGACAGCCATTGCAGCAGGGCCTCATGTTCACCCAAGTGCGAAGGGGAAAGTGTTGATAATGGTGTCACCACTTATCGCACTACATGACGAGATGGTGAGCCTAGTTGTGAAAAGAGGGGCCCCACACTCATCTTATATCAGGTTGATACATTCCGTGAAGAATTCAAGCTTGTCGCAACAGCGGTTAATAGCAGTAACAGCGGGTGCATAACAGAGAAACTGAAGGTATGTGGAGCAATTTCAGGCAGTGTCAAAAAAACTCACGATGTCCAGAGCATCGTCAAAGGCGACACACAAATCATCTTGATTTCTCCGGAGCTCCTGCTTTCACGGCGCTTCATTAAGGAGGTGCTCAAGAACACCGAATTCAAGAAAAGGGTGCTCTCTGTGATAATCGATGAGGCCCACGTCATCTCGCACTGGGGGTCAGGCTTTCGAAAGAAGTACAGTGAGCTTGGAATTATTCGATCTTTTCTACTAAAATTGACTCCAATCGTTGCACTTTCTGCCACTCTTCCTGCCCATGTTCGGAGAGAAGTCCTTTGGGTACTACGGTTTGATCAGAAGAATTTCCTGGACATCGACATAGGGAATGACCGACCTAATGTTTCCATTGTGATCCGTGGCATCCAACACCCACTAAACACGTATGCCGACCTCGATTTCGTCATTAACAAGCTTGCAGAATGGCCGGACGATATCCTCAAATCATTTATCTACTGCGATAGCATTGCAATGGGCACCGAGATCATCGATCATCTTACAGATCTCTTACCTGAGCATCTCCAAGATGTTGGAATAATTTGACCATACAACGCATGCTTCTCCAAAAAGTATCGACGGGCGGCGATGAGGGCATTCAAGGAGGGTTCTGTGCGCATCCTTGTTTGCACAGATGCTGCAGGAATGGTGAGTCTCCAGCCATCTTACATGTTGTTTGACGTGACTCACAATTGTCCAGGGATGTAACATCCCAGACATCGACCTTGTTGTCCAGTGGAAACTCCCAACCTCTGTGTCAGCCTTTGTCCAATGGGCAGGCCGAGCTGCTCGTTCGCATGATCATCTTGGCTTTGCTGTCCTGCTCGTGGAGCCGTCAACATACAGCATCATGCTGGATGAAAAGTGAAACAAACCGGACGCGACACCAAGTGGCACTGATAAAACGAAGACGAAGAAGGCGGCATCTACACCCGCTGAAAAGGCAAGGGCGGCAGAGCTGAAGAAACTAAAAAAGAATCATGCAAAGGTGCGAGGTGTCCAACGCGGGTCGTTGGGAGGTCGGCACAATACGATCCTGGTGTGTGATTGTCCTCCGATAAGTGAAGATGCGGCCGACGAGGGGTTGGTGAGCTTGGTGCAGTCGGGCACCTGTCGAAGAAGGGTCCTGGGCGTGATCTATGGTCATGTACTAGTCACAGGTAAGTTATCAAAGACGAAAGCACCATAAAATTATTACTGACACACCGAAAACAGTCCCGTCCGTTCCATGTTGTGATATCTGCTGCCCCGAACTCCTGAATCGCACGCGCCCGGGGAAAAGGCCAAAGAACACGAGGGCAAAGGTTGTCAAGAGAGGCGAGCCTTGTCAACTTGTCATTGACACGGTCGTTGCATGGCGCTCTAAGATCAAGGCCCGTGACTTCAAAGATGCGTTGTTCGCATCGGATGGGCTGGTTTCCGATGAAGTTGTTGATTTGCTGGCAAATGTGGGGCCAATCCAATGCCCGGAACAGCTCTCAGCAGCTGTCTCGGGCCAGTGGGGTTGGGAAGAGACCTACGGAGACGAGCTCTTGCAGGAACTGCTCAAGCTCGACATACCACCTCTAATTCCGCTGCCCACAGCACCCAAAGCAGCACTGAAGAGGCCAGTTGTCGACGGGCAAGAGCAAGGAGCCGTGGTAACAAAGAAGCAGAAGAAGATGGTGAAAGCCACCCAGACCACAAATGATCTGACAGGAGTGCAGCCACTTTTCGTAATCGAAGGCTATTCCCAGAGCCCTCAGATGTCAGTTCCCTTCGCGAGTCAACCGTCCATGTTGCCGATGTCTGGATCACTTTGGGCTCCTCAGGTGCAGGGTTTGCCATCTGCTGGAGGTTCTAGAAGAGGGAGAGGTGCAGGAGCATTGGATGAAGTAGATATCTAGTCTACAGAATGCTATTTGTGGAGGGACAGAGCGGGATCACACGTTTGACGGTGTGTGTGAACACGTGAACACGAAAAAACGGCTAAGTCCAAACTCATGTTTGGCGGGCCGTCACGCTTCCAGCCAAAATCGTGACCAGTTATTCCAGTCTGTTCGCAAGCTCACATCGCTTCCTTCCTATTTCGTTAGGTCGTCTTATGTCAGCGCATGTGATCTTGCGAACATGACTGGTTGCGAGTCTAAGAGCACTGTTATGGAGGTGGACGAGCGTGTCCACACCTTAACTGAGAGCTTTGAGCCTTTTGCGCCTGAAGCCCACCCAGGTGATCGGTTATTGGACTGCTATGCACCGTCTCCATTTTGACGAGCGTGATCCTGGCCAGGATAGGCGCCCATACCTTGACGAGCTCATCGCAAAAGCAAGGGCTGACCCACTAACAGTACTGGCTGCAACTGATGGCTCTGTCCCTCAGTCCAACCAGTATCAGGCGACTTCGGCTGCCATCATCTACAAGGGACACCGCGAGCTCGAAAGGACTCGTTATGTCTCTGGCAGAGTTACCGCCCCAGATGCGGAACTCAATGCCATCTCGTGTGCAGTGCGCCTTGCTGTCAAGCAGGCAAACTGCCAACATATTATGGTCTTTACTGACTCTATGGGCTCGGCCCATAGAGCGGTCGACCCCTCTGTGCACTCTGGTCAGGCTTTTAGCCTGTCAGTCTCTCCAGGAGTGGTTCGAGGTGGATGACCTCTGCCGCATCACCTTTGTCTACGTTCCCTCCACGCTGCGGTGGGATATCCATGGTGAAGCACACAAATACGTCACCGAGCTCAAAGTCAGAGTTGGACGTCGTAAGACGGACAACTCCATAGACGCGCTTCGCTCTCGAGCTGCGCACTCAGTCTTGGATTCGTGGAGTTCCACTTTCCAAAATCCAACCTACCGAGGCTCTGAATTCTTAGAGCTTCAACAGCCTGACGGGCGGCCGCTACAGCCATCGTACCTCAATGGGGGACCTTGGCTCTCAACCTTCGGACACAGTATTACTGAGTTCGCTCGCGTTTGCCGGTGCATAACTGGCCACGCGCCCATTGGAGCGTATTACCGTCGCTTCAAGATCAACGAGCCTCATGGCTGCACTTGCGGGGCTGCTTTGCAGTCCCGCCAGCATATCCTCTTTCGCTGTCGCGATAGATATTCTGTACACTATCCCCGTTTTCTCGGGGATATTGCATCGTTTATGAAGTACAACCCTACGGCGTTTGGCTTCAACCGGGACCCGTCGGGTGTCGGATAATCGTGGTGGGCGGGGTTGTTCCTCCTTTCGGGGGATTTATGGTGAATTGACACCACCGAGCTCTAGGGTTCGAAGACCTGCGCCTACCGCTATTTCTTCGCGCTTGCGGCCGCTATTGTAGCGGGTTGCGGTGCCGCTAATTTTCTGCGTCTGGTTTCGGGCAGGCGCTTCTCTGGCTTGTCGGCCTCAAGACACTCCGCCACCTCCCGGGTGGTGCTTTTCTTATCTCATTTGCGCTGCATGGCCTCCGAACAGCGATCGACGACTTTGGGGCGTAGCGGAACCTCGATGGTTTCCTCCCCTTATCCCGATGCACCGTTTTCGCGAGGTGGGTTGCCCTCTGGGGAGTTTCGGCGTTTGAGCCCAAAGGGTCTTGGTTGGGGGGGCGGTCGTCCTTTAGTGGTTTACTTAGTAACCAGGCTGCGTAGCGTACGTGTTTGTAGATAGCAAGCGGGCTGC